AATCTCGCCCACGACGGGTCAGCAAGTGATCATGCTCCCCAATGGACGGTCGATAACCCCACAGCAGTTTCAACAGATTCAGCAGCAACGACAGCAAGCCCTTCTTGCTCAACAGCAGCAGCAGCAGCTGATGCAGATGCAGCTCCAGCAGCAGCTTCAACAACAACAGGGTCAACAACAGGGTCAGCAGTTAGAGCAACAGCAAGCACAACAGCAACAACCAGGACAGCAGCAACAACAAGGACAGACGGGTAATAATCTCAACAATGGAACCGGTGGACCGCAGCTGCAGTCGCCTGTATTACAATCCCCACGGCTACAGTCTCCAAGGATGGCGATTCAATCCCCGAGGCAACAGAATCCACAGTTGAATCAACAACACCAGCAACAGCAGCAACAGAACTTACTCCAGAGCCCGCAATTGCAGGCACAGCAGTTGATGATGATGCAGATGCACCAACAACAGCTCCAGCAGGCCCAGTTGCAGCAACAGCAGCAACAACAGCAGCACAACATGCAGTCGACATCGTCGCTCTTGGCGCAGGCTGCCGCTGCACAGGCTGCTGCTCAGGTTGCTGCTACATCGAATGCTGGAGGCGACTTGAACGGCGGCGCTGGAGGCAATGATGGTACAGGAGATCTCAATGGAGGAGGCGGAGGGGTCGGCGGTACAGGGGTTGGATTGTTGTAATATCTTTAATGTGTCTTTTATTTTTATTATGATGGTAGTTTTATTAGTAGTATTCTTTCATTCCGTTTATTCGCATTCACGAAGAGGTAGCCTTGGGGTTTGTTTTTGTTTCCTTTTCTTCCGCGTCCTATTCCCCCGTCTTTGAACAGAACTTGTACATAAAATCAACGTTAACCGTAGAGACAAACTGATAATTGGCTAAACCCAGTCCTCTTTAATTGTGCGCAGAAGCATTAGCAACAGGAGCAGTAACATACACCGCACCAATAACAACCAGCAACATTGACCATGTCTACGGTGCCTGCATTCACACCCGCAGAGGCAAGCGCACCACGGTTCAAGGTGCATCAGCAGAGCTTCAAGTTCATGGATCAGCAACCAGTCTACATTCAGATCACGGCCATGGACAATTCTGCCTGGGTGTGGATCTCAGCAGCAGCAAGTCCAGTGATGCAACAACAGTCCTTGCAGCCTCAACAGCAGCAACAAGGTGGCGGTGGAGGAGGAGGAGGGTCGTTTGGAGAACTCGCCATGGCCATGCCCTCATCCCGACCTGGACAAGTACGAAAAAAAGATATGCAGATCGACTTTTTTTTTCATTTGAATATGAAGATCGAAAAGGCTGCAATGAGCTTATTAACACGCGTTTTCCTTGCTTAACTCTGGCGTTTGTCGATGATTGGTAATATTCTTGGTGTCTTGTTTAGCCTGCGGTATCGAGTACATTGCTAGGAAGCCCACTGGATGAGACCGCTGCCAGCATGGCTCGACGTCTTGGTAAACTTTCAAATCGAACGGGGAAGGTGGAGGGGGGGGATCTCACCCCAAAAGAATGAAGAGTTTAATTATCTTTATTTTCTTCGCGCTTTTTGAATTGTTTTTAGCGACGAGGTTTAAACGACAATTCTTGGTGAATGCGGATATCCCACCAGGGATCGATAACGCGATGCTATTGGCGTTTTCGGAGCGCAAGACTGTGGAGATGTTACAGGGGATCTTTGATGCAACGCCAGGACCAGTGGCAGCAGCAGTAGTGGATTCGGCCAGGGTTACGAATGGGGTTCATTGAACGGTTTGCTAGACCCTGCCTGTTCATGCATATACACATGCACACACACGGAGCACAGCATAGGTACAGCACAGTACAGCACAGCACAGTTACTCAATAACGCGCGAGCTTAGTTTTGATGAAGCTCTTCTTCCATATATATATATATATATATATAAAAGGCGCCATTTTTTTCTTCCTAAGGAAAGAAAGAAAGAATAGATGCGCTGAAAAATGTTCGAAGCGAAAGCGAAGGCAACATTGTGAACAAAAAAAGACCCTTGACGCATCCGCCCAATTCCATCCTCCATCCGTAGGGGGGCATTGTTGTTGGTTCTGTCTTCTCACCGTACATTCATCCCCCACGATCTTTTTTATTATTATTGCTATTGGACTCCGGGGGAGGGGGATGTCCCAGGCTGCACATTGCGTGTTGCGTATATCGATAATGACCGGAAATGTTAGGCAAGCTTAAACCTGCAGAAGCAAGTGCTCCATCATGATCTCATCCACTCGTAGATTCATTGGAACTTACTACGCAGCAACCGCTTTCGTTGAGCTGACCGGACATAAGGCGTACAAAAATAAAAATAAAAGGTCCACTCAAAGTAAACGGCGCAAACGGCCTTTCTTCCCTGCTCGATCTCTGCACCTCTCGCCTCATGCAGCCATGCGAAGCATTGCACTATCTGCAGTTGAGACAGCCCTTTGCAAAGGGACCCAACAAATGTTATTCGGCTGTAATTATCGCACACCATTGAGCAGTGAGGTTGAAAGAGGAGACATGCGCATTATCCTTCATCGAAGATATGGATCAAACCGTACCAGCACCATGTTCTGCCACTTCAAGGAGGCATGCATCAACGGAGCTACACTTACCCCAGACAAAGAAGACCAGGCTGATACTGAGCTTGGCGGTCCCTATGAAGGCGAATAAATGGAGCATGGAAGTGAGTTGGGAGTGTAGGAGTGAGAAATGGGATGGATGATCCAGTCTGTCTTTATTTTTGGGCGCAGGCACCATTTGAGTTGACCCAGGCGTCATTTGAGTGGGATTAAAGGGTGAAAATGAGTTGACTTGAGTTGTACGGTCAACTCGCCAGCCTTTATGCTAATAAAAAAGAAAAAAGACGCCTGCTTGAGGAATACGACCTTTCGAACCGCCTGGTGTGCGATTGGTCTTCATGATTGAGGTTGATCTCTGGTTTTTTACATGAGCTGGATGGTTTAGTGCGGGCAGCTCTGAATCTTTAAGGCCCCAGACACCATAGTTAACCGGCGTGCTGGTGCCAAAAGCAGCGCTTTGGGTAACCAAGCAGGCGATGGCTGCATCGTTTGATGTGCCCTGCTTGAGGAAATATGCTGATCTGCATTCGCGAGATTATCTTTGTACATCGTCCGTTGTCGACTCTAGCCTGATACTTCCAGTGTTCAAGATCAAAGCTGGTTTCCTTTTTGGCTGGCAAGGACATATCGCTAGTTCGCGTTTGCGTTTTCGTCTGGGCTGAAGCGCTTGCATTACACCATTCCATGCATAAGACGATATGCGGTATTCAAGTTGGGCTCGCAAGGACCCGTCGAAGTAGGCCGTCGTACCGGCGTTGCCAAATAAAGTTGACTTCTTTGCATTGCCCTGAAGACCGCAGCAAAGAGATCGTGATCCAAATTACTAGCACAGCATGCAGATAGATGCGCCTTCGTTTACTCGTTTGTATGTCATTGCCACCATAAAGTCACTCAAATAGATTGTTTGAAGGGGCCATTCTTTATTGCATTGTCTGTTATTCCTCCTATCGGCACCATCGGCTCAACTTGCTATCAGTCAACCTTGGTTACAAAGGTTGTGCAGAGTACACCACGGGCAGGTTGCAAGTCATCGTACTCCGAAAAAAAACCGCACAAAGCCCAAAGAGACCAAGTGGATAAAAAAAAGGGTTCAGAAACATTCTCAGGAACTCTTTTGTTTTTGCGTGAAGAAAAGGCAAAGCTCCTTGGCCCGAAGGCACGACCAGAGGTGATGATAACCTGAGGGGAGTAGGGGAGTGGGGAAATTTGGTGCTCCCGCCCAAATGCACTACTAGGGTTAATAAACCCTCTGGGGAGCGGGTATAATCCACAGGTTGAAAACCTGGGATGGGTTGCCGAGGGCACGCAATTAGTGAGGGGTTACAGTCCCAAGATCGAAGTCAAAACTCCTGGGACCTCTATAGCTATCTACTGCCGAGGGCACGCAAAGGTGAGGGGTTACAGTCCCAAGATCGAAGTCAAAACTCCTGGGACCTCTATAGCTATCTACTGCCGAGGGCACGCAAGAGTGGGGGGTTGCAGTCCCAGGATCGAAGTCAAAACTCCTGGGACCTCTATATTGCCGAGGGCACGCAAAGATGAGGGGTTACAGTCCCAGGATCGAAGTCAAAACTTCTGGGACCTCTATATTTTCTATCTAGGGAGTGGTGGAGAGCGAGTAGTGGAGTGGGAGTAGTGGAGTGGGAGTAGTGGAGTGGGAGTAGTGGAGTGGGAGTAGTGGCTTGCTGACGAGAGTGCATGTGGAGGAGGGTTGCTGGCGAGAGTGCGTGTGGAGGAAGGCTGCTGACGAGAGTGAGCACAAGAGGTGGGAGTGGGAAGGAGGAGGGTGGGAGTGGGTGGAGGAGAATGGGACTGGGTAAAGGACGAAAGGCGAGGTTGTGTCAGTAAGAGAAGAGATATGGGGTGGAGGGTGGAGAGTGGAAGGTGAAGAGCAAAGAAAAAAAGCTTATATCATACGTACCTGGAAAGAAACTTGCCGTAGAGCGCGTGAGGAAGAGTGGGGAAGAGTGTGGTGGAGGTGGGGGAGGTGAGGAAGGGAGAAGAAGGAACGCGTAAGAAGGAAAGAAAGAGATAAAACAAAGTCGAGCTTAAAATGTGCCGCGTGGTCGGTGGCTGAGTCGGTAGCAAGGGGTCTACGGAGATCGGAGGGCTCATATGGCCGCTGGGAACTGGGGGGTGGACTATGGGGAATGAGACGGTAGTGAGCATGTGCCTGAGAGTGAGCGAACAACGCGCACGGCTCATCAGAGAAAAAAGGAATCATCATTCAGCGCTGTCCACCATGAGCCCAACTTACATCAGCATCGCCTTTGCCAGCGATGAGCGTACCTTTGACAGCAAAAGTGCATGGTCGCGAACATGTTGCCATCAATTTCATGTTGAAGGTTGTTGAAGGTTGCTGATGTTCTGTTCGCGTGGTTTCGTAACAACCTTAAAAAAGGAGTGCAAACAAATAGCGCACCTACCACACGCGACTCAGCCCAAGCGAACACTGCCAATAAAGTTTGCATCAACGTGCGTTTGTTATGCTGCATGGTTCATATTTACTGCAGCAGAGAAGAGCCGGCGGACGCAGCGCCACCATTCTAATATCACCTCGACCAGTGCGTGCAAGCGATTGCGATTTGACAAACCCGGTTCCTCGTGGAGAAGACAAGAATAAACGATAAGAACACAGTGAACATGAGGTCCACAAAGAGACATCCACTGCGGAAGAAATTCTATTTTCTTCATCGCTATTGCCTTAACCTGCAGTAATAGCAAAGAGACTTTCGTGCCGGCAGGGAGTAAGAAGGAAAGGGAATACTAAAATGGTTGGCGAGCCATTTCTGTGCGATAAAGACATGCTCAAACGCACTCAGACGAAATAAAGCATTGCTTTAAACAGCTGAAAATCAGTAAACGAATATATTATGGGTGAAAACAAATGAGTTGATCGGCTTTAATACCCACTCAAATGACGCCTGGGTCAACTCAAATGGTGCCTGCGCCCAAAAATAAAGACAGACTGGATCATCCATCCCATTTCTCACTCCTACACTCCCAATTCACTTCCATGCTCCATTTATTCGCCTTCATAGGGACCGCCAAGCTCAGTATCAGCCTGGTCTTCTTTGTCTGGGGTAAGTGTAGCTCCGTTGATGCATGCCTCCTTGAAGTGGCAGAACATGGTGCTGGTACGGTTTGATCCATATCTTCGATGAAGGATAATGCGCATGTCTCCTCTTTCAACCTCACTGCTCAATGGTGTGCGATAATTACAGCCGAATAACATTTGTTGGGTCCCTTTGCAAAGGGCTGTCTCAACTGCAGATAGTGCAATGCTTCGCATGGCTGCATGAGGCGAGAGGTGCAGAGATCGAGCAGGGAAGAAAAGCCGTTTGCGCCGTTTGTTTTGAGTGGACCTTTTATTTTATTTCTGCACGCTTTGTGTAATTGTTCCCGTCATTTGAGTGGACATTATTCTGGGTCGGAATGAGTTGACCCGAGTTGCCCGGTCAACTCACATGTATACACTCGTAAAATATTGAGAGATAGTGGTCTTCTTTATTATTGACGTGCATAAAGATTAAAGACCGTTGTGCTTCCAAGCGTGAATGGCGCTCGACGGGATGTTGAACCATCCAGCGTAGTAGGCCAGGTCCGGATCCTCTGTCAGCAGCACGAACCGTTCTTCTGGGATCCGGTGGGCCTCGTCTCGTTTCCGTAACATAAAGAGGCATGCTCCCAGGATAGGGCGCCAGACTCTGGGCACATTCATGGCATTCCGAACTTCGACCTCCTCCTCCTCCTCCTCCTCCTCCTCTTCTTCTTCTTCTGTGATATTCTCCTCGGATTGTGCAGGATCTCTTCCGCGCTTCCTCGATTCTTGACCGTGGTGTTCCATAGTGCTGTCAGTTTGATAATCAGTAGGTCTCGTATCTGCACTCTTTGGATCTGTCAAAGATGGTGTCTCGTCCATATCCGCATCACCATCCTGCTCTACCTTGACGGCACCGCTTGTCCCTGCAGGGGCCTCGACTTCATCCACCAAAAAGGGCACGGCTTCACTCCAGCGTGCGAGACTGTCCTTGACGTTCTGTCCCACAAGCAATGGTTCTGACATGCCCCAGCGAGTGAGATTCAGCCGGTCATCCAGGAACCGAATGGCCTCTCTCGCCTTCTGATTCTCCTTTTCCTGACCCTTCTTGGCATGATCAAGTCGGTCAATAACGTCCAGGGGCACGATAATGAGACATCGACGATGGTCCAATAACGTCTTGATCTCCGTCAGACTCCAGACGAGCACAGAAAAGTCCACGACGCAGGTCCAGTGAGGCGCCGCGTGTTTGTCGAACTGACCCTTGGACTGTAAAGAACCAGTGGCAGCACTTTTTTCGGCGGCAGAACGTCCACGCTGTGCCACTCCCGGTACGTTAAATTTCGGCGCACCTCGTTGATAGTGATCCGTTAGTCGTGTTTGGCCAGTCAGAGGAAGCTTCACTGTTCCAGGAAGGGCCGATATAGGAATGAGTGCTCTGCTCCGCGAGTTTTCCCTCTTGACTTGCTGTCCGTCCTGACGACTGGAGTGCGCACTCTTACGCTCCGTGCTCTCCAGGCCCTTTTGTAGCGAGGACACCTGATCCTGAAGCCAATGGGACGCCAGAGCCTTTGATCCCCGTTCGCGAAGCAAACGCTACATGCACAAGATAATAAGTATTATGTCAGCCATTTGCATTTCGATGAGTCCCTTCTTCGTGCCTTTAATGCAATAATTACCTTATACTCAGCATCCAGCAGCCTGTACTGAGTGGCTCCTGTCCCATCCTCATCAGACAGTGGCTCTAAAGTCAACTCAACAACTGTTCCGCGGATGCCTTCGCTCGCTTGGATGACCTTGTCGGCGAAGAACAGTAGTCGATACAACCTCGTCTCCTCCGGGTTCTCGACAACATCAAATTGCACCGATAGCTGACAATGGAATCGACGGAAGGGCATGAGTCCATAGTGATGGTCGCGGTCCTGCTGTAAAAGACTGAGTGCCTGTTGCGAAATATCGTCCGAGCTGGGGCGTCTTTGGTCCTGAGAGTGGGCAATATTGATCAGGCTGACAAGGGATCGGAAAAACGCCACCGTGGTCGTTTTGAGCGAGAGGTCGGAGCGACTGGATATGCCTGCCCATTTCTCTTCCAGACGGATCATCCCCCATACTTGGTCCCAGTGAGATATCCAGAATTCGATCAAAAGATGGATGGGCAAGAGCAGATCCTGATTCAAGGGAGAGCGCATTGGCCCCTCGCGACTCACTATAGACAACTGGCGATTCAACACGACAGTAACCATCCCTAATAAATAGACGAGTCCAGCTCGCTGTGCCTGCTTCAACCCCATTGCGCCCTCCTTTGTCGTTGACTCGGTCGCAAATGATGACAGATTCGTTCGCGCATGAAGATCATACACAACAAAGATCATCGAAACGATCATCTTCAGAATGCTTTCCTCAGATCCTTCCTTGTTCAGTCTGGACTGTAGCTTTTGATTGAAAACACCCATGAGAGTCGAGTTGCTGAAAGTGATACTAAAAGTGACCAATGCAATATAATAAGGTTAGTACATGTGAGCATTCTTCAGGTTCATGACAGCACGACCAACATATCTTCGTAGCTGGGAGATGCATACCTGTCGAGGTGAGGTGCAAAGAGGTCCATCTGAATTTTGATAAACAATACATTTAGGTCACATCTTGTCATGGCCAACTGCTGCGCTGAAGTACGGTTGGCTACCCGGGGACTACCCGTGTCCTCATCCGTGCTCATGGCGTCGGTCGGATTGTCAACGGCCAGACATATGGAGGATAGCAAGTCCTTGACTCGATTCTGGTATCGAGAGAAAAATACCTTTAGATTGTCTCGCACTACGATCGATGGGTATTTTGTTCCCAAGCTATAACAGGAGAAAGATTACAAAGCTACAGTGATTAGTAATCCGTCTTCGAGTCATTTGTGCGACGCCCTTTTATCCCCAGGAAAAAACCTTACCTGAGAGTGTACCAATACAGCGCATCCAGGTCATCGTTGGCATACGAAGCAAGGATCGCCAGCTGACCATACGGTTTCCCACTGTCCGGGAATGTTTGGATCGCCCGCTTATAGAACCTGTGCGCGGCCTGCCAATCCGATGCAGAGGGTTTAATGGGCGGCGCGTTTTGGTTTGTTCCAGAGTGATGCGCAGTTGCCAGCGTGGCCTGAGTCTCCAGACGGATGTTGGTTCTGTATCGTGCCAAGTCTCCCAGATAAATGAAACATTTTTGGATGCAGCTCGCAATCGCCTCGGTCGAGTAGATCGGTCCGGGCGGCTCTTCTTTTGTTCTCGACTGCTGGCGACTGCGACCACTCTTGCTGCGACTCTGTGAGGGCTTAATTTCACTGGCTGTCATCAATTTGCTCTTAGTGGCCCCTGCCTCAGACTGGAGTACCTCTACTGCAACGGTGCTCAGGTCGAGATCATGTTCACAACGCAAGGCCGTGATCATTTCATGATAGAACCCTGTCCCTTTGTCCAACAATTTGCTGAGCTCGTCCATGATCTCCTGGCGACGACTACTGCTCTTATCGAGCTGTTGTTGACATTGCGCGATTTTATTTAAAAATGGTTAGAGACACTGCACTGCGGCTGAAAAAAAAGATATAACCAGTCCTTCGTGAGCACTTTTTCATTACTCACCTTTCTCAGCTCAGCCCGCAGTTCCTCGATGGGTGTATAGAATACGTGCCTCCAGAGGCGCTCATCAACCGATTTTTCGACTGCGGTAACCAAATCTTCGAGCAACACAACCTCGTAGACGTCCTTGAGACTAGCGTGCAGTAGCATTGATTTCAAATGAATTGATGGAGATAAGACATTCCGAGTTAGAGAAGGCATGCGTACGTAAGAGACATCCATTGTTCCCAGCATATCCTTGAAGGTATACCTGTCTCTTAGGAAGGTCAATTCTTCATGGCTGGAACGAAAATGGGATGAAGGAGGCACTTGGAAGCCCTGCTCTTCCTGCTGTGGTGGCTGCTGCTGTCGACCGCCGCGTCTTTGGTTCTGAGGAGAAGCTGATGCTTGCCTGCGATGACTTGAAGAGGTTGAAGAAGTATCGGACAGGTTCAAGCGTCGCTCACTGGCGAGCGAAGAGGGATGCGAAGAGTTGCTGGATCGATATCCGACCTTGTTGGCCTCTACATGCTGCTGGATAGTTTGTTCAATGAGGGTGGCATCTCTAGAAACAGCGAGGATCGATACAAACGAGCTGGTTAGTCAGGAAGGTCGGCAAACAGAGGCGGTTTTGACACTAAAGAAAAAAAAAAAAAAAAAAAAAAAAGAGTATGGAAAACCACATTGTGATAGGTGCTCTACTCTTGGTTTGGATGTCCAAGTGCTCGTTTCTTACAAATAAAGCTGTCGCACAATCTGGATGTGATGTTCAGGAGAGAGTTGACTGGTGGAACTTGACATCCTCTATGGCCATGTTATAGTAGTGTAGTGTTGATGTTGTCGATGGCAATGTGAAATGGAGACAACGACGGGGTTGAACGAATGCTGTGAAGGTGGAAAAGTGCGTGAAGAAGGAAGAACGTCGTGCGTGCGTTCATTTTCCAATTGTCATTTGTATACCACTTAACTAGTGGTGTGAAGACTTAACACTATCCTCGATTATAAAGCTAATTGCATTGAGATAGCATGAATTTCAACAGTAATAATTCAAACTTTATTCATAATAATTCCACCGCACATAACCTCCCAAGCCATCGCAGCGGACTTTTATCGCCCAGTCTGTGGGATCCCTGCGCATCTCTTGATTCCTTCCATCCCAGTCGCCTGTCTGCATCGCCCTTTCTTCTTTCCCGGCTTGTATACACCCATCACATACTGACATCGCCATCATGACCTCGGAAATAAACAGTGAGTTGCCCCGCCTCTTTTCCTTCCGACTTTGGCCTCTGACCACGCGTCCTCGCTTCATTACACAGCCGCGCCAGAGGGAAGACCTCGCTCATTGGAAGGGTTCTTCAGGTCTAACGCTCTTTCTTGTTTCTCATCACGCATTGTCCCATAGCTCGTGCCATCAAGGTCGACAACTCCAGTCTGGCTGACCTCAAGAACGCTTGCGATGAAGCACTCAAGGAGGTACGAAGGCAGCAGTGAGTTCTGCGCTGTCTGTCCTGTGTGACAAATCAATGCAACTCCGGCTCTGTTGTCGCCACGTCAACGACCTCCTAATTCAATTGATCCATTGCCCCAATATTTTAATATAGTACCTCGAATCGAAGGGAGGATACAAACAGAGTCACAGGCATACGGATACCAAACTGGTTCTCGGATATCTGGGATGTGCCTTCGCTGCCGCAGGATCGTACTATGGATATATTCACCCATTTGAGCTGCCAGCAACAAAGTTCTGGACCCTGGTCAGCGTTGTTCTGTAAGAATGATAAACCAATTGTCGTTCAGATCGACTGCACCTGCGTTTTATCGTCCGGTGATCATGCTAACACGGATGCTCTTGACCCCTTTCATCTTTAGCTATTACCTGTTCAATGCCCTCATGATGGCCTACGCATATTTCGTCGAGAGGGACACCATCTTTTCAGGAACCAAAACCACCGCTGTAAGCTCTCTTTCTCTTTCTGCGGCGTTTTTTTCGCTCTGCGGTCATTGGAAATGTTTAATTTTTTTCGTGCGCCTTTTACTAAGTGCGCTTTCTTTATTTTTCCATCTTGACGCAGAATGGCACGCAGACGATCTCCGTGGGCTCTAATGTCAAGCATTACAGCCCTTACTATGATCTCGAAATCCACATGGAGTTCTCTGGTAAGACTGCGTCCTCAACGACAAAGAAATCAACCCACCAGCAGTTCTCGACAGCATTCCGCTACTGGTTCGATGAGGACGGTGTGCTGGCCCATGATCTTTTTGAGGCAGACATTGCAAAGTTCTTCGCTAATACCGAGGCCACACATGTCGAATAAGATGTCGTTTTCAGGACCAATGGTCTCTTACCCACGGAGTTGGATACACTAGCAAGAGAAGAACATGAGAAGCGAGTTCTACACATGCCATACCATACCATACCAAAATATAAAAAAAAATGCCCTGTTTATTTTCTGCCGTCTGGAGCAGTTTGTTTGTAAATGATGTTTGTTGTCTGACACGCGACGCGACGCGCGTCATGTACGCGTACACGCCCACACGCACAGCACAGATCCTGTGGCATAAGGTTCGCTTTGTTCTCTTGACCTCTTCTCATTCCTCTCGACTTTAACCACCACGACTATTCACCATGCCCTCTGTTGATGCCCCTACTGCTAACAACTCTTCGAACCCCTCTCAGCTCGAAGCGATCATCTCGACATTCACTTCGCTGACCGACCCACTTGCCATCAACGACGCCCTCCTTGTCTTAAACCATGCCCTACAAGGTGAGGTCATGCATCTTGAACACCATGTGCCTTCGAGCTCACTCCATTGTGCCTTTACCGACATTCATTAATCTCTATCTCCTCCAGGAACGAACTCTGCCGAGGTCACACAACGGATTCTGGAATCCATTCCTTTGGCCCACTTTTTCCAGCTCTTACAAACAGATCATGGTGACGAAACCGAATTCATGATCGACCGGACTTGCAACGTATTAGAGTCGCTTCTTTCGCAGCAGCCATACTCCACAATTGTTCAGGATCCACTCATGTCCGGGGCGCTCCTACAAGCACTGAGCTCGCCTTCTCCTAAAGTGCATATCCTGGGATTATCTCAGGTTGATAAGGTCGCCAAGGAGGATCTTTCTGTTCTACGATCGATCGTAAGAACGCCCAATGGGCGCAGGATAGCAGCGAAAATGATTTTTTATAGTGCTATGATTCATTTTCACTAACAAGATGTCATTGCTGCGGTGCGTAATGATAGCTGACATCGGATGTCTTTAAAGCATCGGTGGAGGGCATTGCCTCAGACAACATCTCAATTGCTGAACGATCGAAACAGACGCTACTGAAGGTAACGGACCTCTGCTTTTCAGGATTCGTAGCTCCCAACAGCACTTCATACGTACATCTTACTCAACCGTCTGTTTTTCGCCCCTCCTTCCTCCCCCGTACATTTAGATCTGCAATGACCAGGAGCGGCTCGAGGAAGTTATCAAGTCTGACGCATCACTGTCTATGATTCGAGATCTTGTCCATTCCAGGTATTGATTTTCGGTCACATTCTTTCATTGACGTTTTTGCTTCCAGTCGCTATATAGGATATTCATATCACTCACCATGCAGACCTTTTCTTTTTTTCGCCTTGAATGTTCACTAGAAGTTCGCTCGTACAGCTACGGATGATTGAGGCATTGACGGAATTGGCGGGGCGGTCACACGAGTCATTGGCTGTTCTGGAAGCCGCTGGTCTGCTGGACGCACTCAAGACTGGACTCAGTGCAACAGATATTTTGACCCGATTCAATATCATTGAGATCCTATCTGAGGTTAGTATCCAGCAATCGGTCGGTCGTCGATTACTCCGAATGATCAAGCCTCATATCTCACTTTTCTACTCACTTTGTTTTCATCGTATAGCTTGGTGCGACAACAGCAGGCAGCGAGTTCTTGGATTCTTCAGGCATCTTGACTCGGATAGCGGCTGTGGTGCAAGATGAAACCAATGAGGATCACCTGGGCATGAATGCGATTGCCAAACTGTATGGCAAACTGGGTGCGTCCGACAAGGTCGATTTCGTAACTCTGGATATGAGGTATCAGATCCTATCGCAGCTCGAACGGCTCATGATTGGCGATGATGACTTTGAACCCGATGAGACCTTGAAGGTGATCAAGAGCTCTTTAAGTTCAACAATATGAATTCACGGCTCCATCTGTATTTCAATCTGCTTATATTTCCTCGACCTTTTTTATTTATTTTGCGTGTTTGGTTTTTTAGATCGAAGCAATGGCTTCTATGGGACTAATCGGCGGCAATGTTCAGAATGTAGAGTGGTTCTCTCAGAGCCATTGCGCTGAAGCGTTTATTGATCGACTCAGCCTGCTACCCAGAGACTCCAAGGTGGCATGGTATCACTCCTTTGCCCAGATCTTGGCTTGCAGGTAAAGGCTGGAATCTACTTTGACCTCAAATAATTTTGTCCGCAAACGTTGACTGCATCATGGTGTCCATGTTAACTGATGTATTGTTCTCTTCTTTCTTCGATTTAGCCCCGATCCTTCTCCTGAGACTGAAAGGATCGTTGCGGGATTATACGATAAGATGGATGGACCAGGACAGAGTCCGTTCATCTTGCGCCTACTCGTTTCCGCAAAGTCTCAAACAGTCGAGCTGTCGCTGGCCGCATTGTCGGCGATGATAGTTCTGGCGCGCTACCCTTTTGCAGTACAGGTAAGTCATGACGACGGATCTGCTTCTGTCCTTTCCGTAATTTATTAAGATGGCTAATATTTTACCTTTTTTTTTTTTTTTTAAGAAAATGGGCTTGCAACGGGACTTCATCACGTTTCTCTGGGAACGAAATGCTGGGCTATCACACTCTCAAAAGGTGCCACGGCCGCTATGACCAAACCAAACCGATGTTCACGATTTTTTTTTAATGACACTGACTAATGCTCTCAAATCCTTAATAGGTGGCCAAACACCAGGTGATCGAGGCAATGCTCAAGACCTTCCATGAAGTGAAGAACACCTCCAACATTGAACTTTTGACGATGGAGCAGGCCACTCGTCTGGACTTGATTCGTCGCCAGGGTCCTTTCTATCAGCGTGCCACAGCAACTGTCGCCATCCAGGACATGGCCGCTTAGGCATTCAGGCGAAACAAAATAAGAGGACAATAAAGATACTCTTTTTTCAAATAAAAAACAATCTGATTCTTTATTTACGAGTGCTTATGTGAATTCATGCTGCAGATTTGATTATACAAGATGTTGCAAGAAAAATAAGGACAAATACATATGTTCTTCTGCGAGGAATAAAGAATTGACAGGAGTAACAGCAAAGGAGAAACAAATGAACAAAATACATGAACATAAACAGACACTTTTTTAACAAGATGCAGACGGTAAAAGAAGGGTAAAGGGATTGGATGGTGGGGAATTGTACAATGATGCTTTCTCTGGTTTTCTTTTCTTCCTCTTTTTCAGTCCTTAGTTCACAGCAACGGTGGGAGGTACCTTCTCAGGTCTCTGGATGGGCTTGCGATCCTGGAAACCTCCACGGGAGGGACGACCACGGTTTCCCCCCTGGGGGCCCTGATGGCCGTTTGAGCCATTCTGATAGTGAAAGGGACGGCCACTATTCTGGAACACATTACGGCTAGGACGGCGCTCCTCTGCCAAAACAATCTCGGAGCCAACGTTGACCTTGTTCTGCTTCAAAGCTGCCTGGACAGCCTCCACGGATTCAAAATCGACATAGGCACAGTTTCTCTTGGAAGTCCGCTCGACATTCTTGACGGGTCCAAATTGATTAAATGCCTCGCGCAACTGATCCAAGCTCATCTTATCAGTGATGTTCTTGACATAGATTCCATGGACCTCCTCCCGTCCGCTATGTCTCTGTCCCTGGGGCCTATTCTGGGTAGGCTGAGCAGCCTGGGGCTTGGGAGTGGGCTGGGAGACGTTGATGGAAGATCCTTTAGCAGGAGCGACATGGGCTCCCCACTGGTTCGAGTTGATGGCAGCCAAGTTGGCCCAGGTCTTGGGCTTGGAGGGCTCAACTGGAGCGGGAGCGGGAGTAGGCGCGGGTGTTTCGACTGGGGCAGCAGCAGTAGGAGCAGGCGCGGCCTCGATCTCAGACGCAGCGGCAGTGGTGGTGGCAGCACCGTTCTGCTTTTTGGAAGGTTCAGGTGTCTTTGGCTTCTCTGCGGGCTCAGCCTCCTTCTTGATATCCTTCTTAGCGTCCTTCTTGGCATCCTTGCTGTCTTCCTTCCTGGCGTCCTTCTTCTCAGTCTTCTTGTCGTGCCTCTTGTGCTCGGCCTTCTTTTCAACATGCTTCTTCTCCTCAATAACAGGCTTCTTTTCCTCGACAGGCTCGGCAGCAGGGATCTCGATGGGAATGGCAGTCTCGGTGGGCTCAACAGTCTCGGTGGGTTCAGCAGTCTCGATGGGTTCAGTAGCCTCGACTGGAACAGCAATGGTGAGGACCTCCACCTCACAGACCGCAGCTTCCTCGATGGGTACAGGGGCGAGGGCGACCTCGATCAAGTTCGCCTCGTCACTTTCGATAATAATAGCCTCCTCCGCCGCAACTTCGACCTCGATCTCATTGTCGTCTTTGAGGTAGCGGAAGATATCATTCAGGACATAATATCCCTTGGGTTGCTCGGCCAGGAAGAAGGTCTGGACGAATTTCTGCGAGGGACCACCCTTGTTGGACATTTCGCCTAGGACCTGGACCATGATTCCGCCGTTCAGGGAGCTCTGGCTGTCGACATTGCTGACCAAAACCTTGCAGTCTTCGAAGTCGAGTTCAAGAATCTTGGCGTGGATGCTCTATTGTTATGGAAGGAGGGCCATGAAATAGATCGTTAGCAATTTGTGTAGGCCCGGCATCGGCCACCAAAGTAAAAAGAAAATCGTATTCCTGTATACATGCAGGAACACATGCGACGCATGGGAGCACTGGTCTGGATGAAGCTGCTTGATTCTATACTTGATCAATCAGCACCGCAAACCACACCCTCTTTGGACGCCTCATCCCATCCGATAGCATTGATGCTAGCAACTTGCCTGTTGACCGTGGCAAATATGGGGCTCCTCACCCTGAATGCCATGGCTCATGGTCGATTGTTTATTGTAGAAGCAGTGGAGACGGCTGGGTTCCTTGTTCAAGAAGGTGTAGTACTCGTGGACGAACATCATGCCGACCTCGTGCGAGTTAGCGGCGGGCTCGCCATTGGCGGGGGCGGTGGAGTTTGCGGTAGTGGCGGTCATTGTGATCTTTTTTTTTAAGATATTATATATATATATACAGCGAAAGAGAGGGAGACTCTAGGAGTTGTTGGCCAAGAAAGAGATCTAGATGGCGATGAGAAGACAGGACGAATGGTTGGATGTCAGTAACGGATCTTTGCGTTCAGAATCAGAAAAAAGGGGGAGCAACATAAAAGGGGGGAGAAATGAAGACACAGAGAGTTGAGGTGGTTATGCAAGGTCGGAACAAGAGGAAGGGAGAACAAAAGAACCATCGCCACTGTTCCCTAATCCACACTCAACAGCGCATGAATACGAATGAATATTATGAACATGTAGCAATAGCAAACATGAAACATTGAACTGGTCCTTCTTTGGTGATGGCAATGGTGGTATCGGGACTCAATACTCTCAAGCAGAAAACAGAACAAAAAAGAAAAAAAAAAAAAAAAAAAAGAGAAACGCAGATCAGACCTGTTCCCCACCAAGGTCATCGTCAGCTACACCCTCCTCTTATGCACCCCCCTCACGGTCATCAAACTCCTGTCGTGTGTGATCCATGGTCCACTTCCATTCTTTGCACATCCTGTCTGGTCCAATGGTGTCCTGCAACTTTCCCATATTTACTTCGCCACCATTTTCTTTTTCTGTCCTGATCAGCAAGGATGAAGGAGGTCCAGTGGGTCCAACAGGAGAGAGAGTGGTTTGTTGAAGTCGTTTTTGGCTGACGTCTTTCATCTCATCTGGTTCTATGCTGTCAGGATGCAACTCGGGTAGCCATAGAAAACGAATGTTGCCACCAAAAAAGGCATCCCTCTCAGGGTAAAAAAAAAAAAATGCTTGACCAGAAAAAACTCTCTACCGTAACAATAGGCATGAAAAAGAAGGATGAAAGCAAATTGTAAGGACGACTTACCGATGATGGTATGGAAAAAGCTAGCGGTCTTGTTTAGTCGCAGACGATGAGGTTGGTTGCAGTGATGAGGATTGGGGGAGTGGATGCAAAGAAAGGGTGCAGCTTTGAGTGAGGGGGAGAAGGTGAAAATGATAGAACAGAAAAGAAAATCCTGGAAAAGCACGCCCCCCCTGTGGCCTTTTATAGGTGCACTCAAGGCTTTCTTTCTTCTTTCAGAAACAAACACATCCAGTCCATCGTCGGTGTTCAGATACAATGCAGCTGCCACCATCTCTTGTTGATCTCCTGCTCAGGTGTGTTTACTTGCCCTCTACTCTGTGTCCAAGCTGACTGTGCCTTCGTGGTCGTGCCACTTACCTCGATGACTACGGTCTCAGGCTATGTAGCCTCCATTGCGCATGATTGGATAGTTCGTGCAAGGGATAGTCGTCCATCAGGAGGGACATCACATTCTATGGGTCGCCAGCACCAAAGGCGGATCGATGGAAGTTTTGAGAACCTTGGGTCCCGGTGGCTTGAGGGCGAATCTGATTGGACACTCGCACAGCCCGTCCATTGGGACCTGAAAAAAGTGAAGCTTGGAGGGCCTTGTTGTAAATATTGTGTACAAACACAGCTACACAAACACATATTTTGTAGACTACACGTACCCCTGTGGTTGGTGGTGCACAGAAGGAAACAAAAGGTGAGAGGGCGTGTGTGTATTACTTGTCGACCCTTGCTGTAAATGCTGCTGCATGCTCTGGATGAGTAAGCTAAGCTGCAGCACAGTGGGGGTAGAGAGAGAGAGAAAGAGAGAAAGAGGACTGAAGCGCGTCCTAAACCGATGGGAGCACAAAGTATAAAACCAGGGTTGGCCTTCTTCTTCGCTTGGGCCCATTGGGCGTAATCCTGCTGCTCAGAAGAGAAGAAACAGAAGGGCGCACAAACAAAAAGGGAAAATATACAAAGGCTACAAGGTTAGAGCTTTCTTTATCCTTTGTCCTTCTCTCTCTTGAACTCCACCTTCTTCCTGCCGCCTTCCTCCTCTCTCCCTTCAACTTGCGTTGGAACCATGGACATCTATGAGCACCAGTCCAGTTGCGCCGAGCTAAAGCCTGTCGCTATCGACGTTGATGCCGATGTCAACGTTGGCACCGGCTTGGGACTCATTACCCCTGAAATTGCACACTCCTCCACCCCATCCCTGCTACATCCGCCTCTTATCCATGCATCTTCCTCAACGTCTGCAACGCCCGCAACAACAACACCAACAACATACCCCGCATCAAAATTATCCGTATCTCGACCCCCATCTCCATCCCTGTCAGCCTCACACTTGTCCGTCAAAAACGAACACGGCGGAGCAAGGGCGCCCAGTATACTCAGTCGACACTCTTCACGCGCGCCTAGTATTCAGCATGTGGCCGCCACTGCAGCAGTGCTGATAAGCAATCCAACAGCAAGACGGTTACGCATGAACGTGTATTCGGAGCTGGTTCGCGGCTGGTATTACCTCTCGACCAGCTCAAAAATACTGCTTTCGTACTACATCATGGCCACCATGGTCGAGGTATGCGACATTCTATCTGAAGCAACTGTTCGGCATGTTTGCTGGCATGCAAAAAAAAAGGATAAAAAATCCTTACCATATTATTGTTATATATCCAGATTATAGTAACAATAACTGTAGTGGTGATTGAACGAAAGAACGCACACGAATGCTCCTTCCTCATCATCTTCCTCGCACTGTACCTGACCCGGGCCATTGTCATTTGCGTGTTGCTCCTGCGTCGATTCCTTTACGTCCGCCCGGACGACCTGCCTCGAGACCTGAGTAGAGCATGTGGCGCACAGTACGTTTTTATTTGTACCATGATTCTTATTTGGCATATGTCTCTACTTTAGTCTGCAACGCAGTAACTGTTTATCCCCGCTTACGGTTGCATTTGTTTTAAACTTTTTTTTTTTTGGCAGCTACAACACCATGACCAACTTGGCGTCGCTGCTCCTGTTGCTGGTCTCGATCTCACTTCTCACGACGCAGGCTCATTGCGCCCAGGATGCGCCAGGACTCTTTTATCTTGTCTTAGCTTTGTCTTCCATGGGATACCTGTACCTGGCAACGCTGCTCCTCCTTTGGTTCGTGGTCCTGTTCTGTCTGAATGGTCTAGTAATTGTTTTGGAACTCTTTGGCGTCGGTTCGCGAGTGATGCAGTGGGAAGGCGCTACACAGGACATGTTGGACGAGGTTCCAATCATCAAATTCACGAAACACGATCTGAACAGCGCTTCACCAGTCCAGGACCGAGAGGAGGGCTCGCCATCATCCTCGGACGAAAAGAGCACCGCGATGCCAAGCATTGTTGTATCAGACGATTCTGCGGGAGTACAGTCGGGAAGACAGGATTCGTCAGGGATCGTCGTTATTGACATGAGACAGACTTCTCGTGTAGAGGAAAGCAATCCAGTCTCTCTGACTACTAACTTGCCAGACACGGAGGAGAACATAGGCAACATGCTGACATTTGATCATCTGAGTTCAGAGGAGAGAGAGCTGGCAGTCCGTATCTCGACATCATGTTCTATCTGTCTATGCGACTATGAGGATCTGGAGGAGCTCCGGCACCTTCCCTGCGACCATTACTTTCACAAGGAATGCGTGGACGAATGGCTGAAACTCAAGCGGACATGTCCTCTGTGCAAGTACGACATCTCTCGGACGAATCGCGGTGCTAAACGTTGGTCCAGGCGTTCAAATCGACACCAGACAAGTGGAAGCGATGGTGCTCGTGGGTCGCGACGCTTTTCGCTGAGGAGATAATGTGTCTAGTCAACAATACCACCCAATGTAAATATCATGTAATTCACTTGTTTGTATTAAAAAAAAAAACTGAATTTACAAAAGCATGGCGAATGCTTTCTCTGCACACAGTCTACATTAGAGCTAATTTTACCCTGCGAAGAAATTCCAGCTTGCCAATACGAGTGAAGTCTGTTGAATGCGGACGAAGATCAATGGGGTCACTTCCTCCTTCTTACTTGCAGCATTGCCCGCTACGTTCTTCAGAAAGCACAATGATGGCCCTCATCGCTCCACAGCGCGTCTTCAAGTGATAGCACTACTGAACTGGACTGGACTCGTGGGTTACCAACATCATGGGGTTGGCCTGTCTCAAATGCGCTCTGTTGGTTATTGGCTCTCCCTTTTTTCACTATATATGAAGCCGCTCTTGCAGGACCATTAGGAATGGGAAGCGTTGTTGAGCGAATGCATCGCTTACTCTCTCTTGACATCACTGCGAAATCACCTGCTGCTCCATTTACTCCTCCTTGTCATTGTCGTTGCCCGTCCTTGTACTGCGCTCGCTCTCTTCACCTCCTCCTGTTCTTCTATATCTCCTCCGCTTTCGGGCCGGTACCCTGCCATGCCGCATAGTTACACCAAGGTATAGCACAGCTCCACTCTAGCGTCCTATCCCGCCGTATTATCCTTTCCACTGGCTTTGGCCCTGACCATGCCTTCCTCCTCTTTCGCTTTTGTTGTGATCTAGGTATCCGTGAACAACCAGGATGAGGCACATCATCATCTTGGGTCCAGCTCTTCTGCGACTACACACACCAGCCATAACAGTGCAAGTGTGGACGATACAACAGCTCTAACATCCACATGGACAGAGGTCAACGACACAGACGGAGGAGATCCGTCACTGACATTAACACTGCAGGAGCAACAACGGCGTCAGCAGCACCGCATCTCGGATATACCATCTAACGATACCGACTCATCTAGAAGCAAACAATGGAGTCTTGGACGAATACGGGATGGACTCTTGTCTTTTTCATCCCCGTTTACGTCTTCTACTACGGCTTCTTCCTCATCTTACACCTTGGTCAGAGGAGGGGAAGTAGCACCAACGTCCTCATCTGTAGCGGCATCTTCAGCGCCGTCAGCTTCTTCATCGTCAACATCAGCCAGAAGGCTCGCTCGTCCTGCTACATCGGACGGCGTGTTTGCCAACATCCCTGCCAAACCCGAAGTTGAGGCGCAAAAGGACGATGAACAACGACCACCAGTAAGTGTGAGACAGCTCCCAATTGTTACAGCACCCTCTATTTCGGTTTTATGATACGATATTAAACATTAGCATCCTATCACCTTTCCATGGTTTTTTTTTTTTGTTTTTTGTTGATAGACCTATGACTCTGCAGTCCAGGATGTGACTCCACCGTACTTCGAGATGACAATGGTCTCTTCAGGTGGGAACGGAGACGACATCCTTGTCGAAGGCATTCCCGTTGGAAACTTTTTCCAGTTCCTATGGAATGTAGCTGGTATGCAAGTTTCTATCGGCAAGAGAATCTCTTCCCTTTTTTTTTTCATGTCCTCTCTTGCTCACCACATCTTTTTTTTTTTCTGTTCTTATGCAAACCATATCATAGTGGCGGTCAGCTTTCAATTCTTAGGGGTCTTGTTGACCTACCTTCTGCACAACTCGCATGCCTCCAAGGTACACTGGGCCAATTCCAATGTCACTGCATAAGATCATTGCCCTTGACTAACACAAATATATACATCTGCTTGTAGGCTGGATCGATGGTCGGTTTGGGGATCACACTACTCAACTTTGGTATTCGCATGAGAGGTGGATTCGACAACATGCTTGGCAGCGAAGATGTGATGGGCTCCAATACTGGACCTGCGGGCGAAATTACCCAGATCGACAAACACCCCTTCGTGGACGACACTGGCTATGTCATTAGTGATGGTGGCGATAGCGGCTATTCGTACGGCTCCAGTGCAGATTCTGCTCAGATGGACTGGCTCGATGCAGATATGGAGAGTCATTGGGTGTCCCTGGTCCTGATGGTCGCTGGATGGATGATCATTGTCAAAGCCCTTGCGGAATATGTGACTGTCAAACGAACAGAAAGGCTCATCAACGCTCGACCCATGGAGGAACGTGAGGCTTCAAGGTCCTCGATCGAGTACGATGTATAGAAGTGCATAAATGCCAACAAAAAAAAAGATAAAAATAAAAAGGGCCCATTTCTTTGCATTTTGATATACGGGCCACAAACATCCTGTTTCTTAACTGGTCTCGCGTTGAATACATTAATACATTCAAATAAAGACTGAACTTTCTTTCGTTTCATTTCGTCGTTCGCCTGCTATCGCTACTTCAGCCGACTACTCTCCTGCATTGCGCTCCAAACTTATATTGATACAAAAGACCTAAGCCTGGGTACAATCGCGAGACTAGGGAAAAAAAAAAAAAAAAAAAAAACGATATATCGTTAGTATGATACGAAGCTGACTTGCCCAAGATAGAAAATGTTTAGAATTCACTCACGATATGGCCCTCCTGCTGACACTTGTAGCATACTTGCGCCTTGGGCCCTTCAGGGCAATCCCTGCTCAGATGTCCAAAGTTATTGCAGTTATAGCACTTGACCCCATTGGCCTTGCAGTCGCGCGAGTAGTGATTAGCACCTCCGCACTTGAAGCAGACTACTTGTCTGCCAGAGACACCTCCGTTCGGGCGACCAGCTCCCATGTTCATTCCAAAATTGCGGGGAGGTCCGTTATAGCGAGGCTGGTTTCGGCAGTTCCGCGCCATGTGTCCCTGATTTTTTTTTTTTTTTTTTTTTTTTTTGGTTTGGAAAAGATAGTATCATAGGCGGGAAGCCAGGATTGTGGGATCCGTTAATTTCCTATGTTACAGTTTAAAAAACCCTCCTTGCGATTGCTGCTCATTCCGTTCCTGGTTGACTTACAAACATGCCGCAGCTGTAGCAACGGCCAGCGGCGCCACCGGCATTACGTGCGATCCTGATCGAAGGACAATCCGCTTGAATATGACCAACTAACGCGCGAGAAATAAAAACGAAATATCCTATCAGATATCCTGTTTCAATAGTCTTGCCGCTTTGACATGTAGTGTGGCAGATCGAGGACGATCCGATCCAAGATAGTATCCAGCCTGTTGTTGTTATTGTTGCTATTATTATAGTTGTTATTGTTGTTCCTTTTAACTCTGCTTGCAAAACTTACCTCCTCCACAAGAGTAGCACTGTTTAGCATCGGTCGTGCGGGGCTGGGGGCACATATTTGACTCGTGGCCAGACTGCTTGCAGTTGTAGCAGAGGCGCTCGGGCTCTGTGCATGCATTAGCATAGTGGCCCACTTTTTTTGGAGGAAGGGGGAAGAGAACGATCGATTTTGAAGAAACAAAAGGATATCCTTTGTGTCAATTATCGGCAGTGAAGACGAGACGAAACCAACCAACCCAACCGACTGCGATGTCATCTGGAGGCCGCCTTACCATTGCCACACTTGAAACAACCTTTCCTTGCGTACGACATGATTCAATTAACAAAAACTTATAAACACCTGTCGTATACGCGCCCAAAAAATTGTTATAGAGGGTATAGGTGTTAGGCATGGCCGAGAAGATCATACTGATGCTTGGCCCCACACACATACACACACATGCACGCACACAATTGAATTAGGATGCGATAATAGGGCCGGTCGTAGGTTCATCAAAGTGAGGCGTGAAATATCCAGCTGTATCGATCGCCATGCCATGCTTCAGATACGCAACACATACAAGAGCAAGGTGTGGGACCCTGATATAACAGGTCACGCTGCTTTCCTGGAAAAAGAACCCCGTTCCCCGAGCTGACAAGCCGGTTCGCAACATAGGAGCCTATTCCCATCCATACCTCTTTCTCAGTGTACGTCTCCATCGAATGCAGTCGGCACGTTAATCCTGATCAGTCTGTTCCTTGCTCATTACCTCTTATATGTGCTGCTCCGGAATGAATGAAATGTAAGGATGGTTGCGAATAGCGTGAAAGGGCGGCCAGTCTTTACAAGAGGATGATCACTGTTTGCGATCCATCAATATCACAATACGTCATCTGGGCTCCCATTAATTTTTTTTTTGTTTGAATATTTCGAGCGGGTACGATTGAACTAGAAAAAAAGATGTGCGCAAAGATGTTCTCTAATCTTCAGGGGCAGGGTCGGCCTCAGCCTCGGCTCTAGGGGCTGATTGGATGAAAGTATTCATGCAGAGTCGTATGCATGTTTGAAGAGCATCCGTCGAGTTGTCCGGTTCATGGTTGGTTCGGGAAACAAGGTGTCCATGTAATTACGATATTAGGAGCGGAGAGCGAGCAGAAAATAGCGGCGAGAAAAAGAGACACGCATTGGTTAGTAAATGGTTTGGTATCCATGTATGGGAGGCAATCAAGATACAGCATCGAATGATGAACGCAAGACATTACCCTCCTGCATATCCGAGGTCCAAAGAGTCAAGTTGTCCCTCAAGAGCTGCATGATCAACGTCGAGTCCTTGTAGCTCTCCTCGCTAAGGGTATCCAACTCGGCGATGGCGTCATCGAAAGCCTGCTTGGCCAAGTGACAGGCGCGATCGGGTGAGTTCAAGATCTCGTAGTAGAAGACAGAGAAGTTAAGAGCCAAGCCGAGACGGATGGGGTGGGTAGGGGGAAGTTCAGTGATGGCGACATCGCTGGCAGCCTTGTAGGCCTCCAAGGACTTGTCAGCAGCCTCCTTGCGCTTGTCACCGGTGGCAAATTCGGCCAAGTAACGGTGGTAGTCGCCCTTCATCTTATGGTAGAAGACCTTGGACTCGCCCAGCTCAGCGTTGGGGATCAGGTGCTCCTCCAAGACCTTGAGAATATCCTGGCAGATCTCAGCGAGTTCGTCCTCGATCTTGGCACGGTAGGTCTTGATCATGGCGACGTGGGCCTCAGAGCCCTTGGACTCCTCCTTCTGCTCGATCGAGGAGACAATGCGCCACGAGGCACGGCGGGCACCAATGACGTTCTTGTATGCGACCGAGAGGAGGTTGCGCTCCTCAACAGAGAGCTCCTTGTTGACGGAAGCGACGTCCTTCATGTTCTTGACCATCTCTATCAATTGCACAGTACGATATGCACAAGAAAACGCATGGTGTGAATAATCGTTTCCTCGAGACCTGACTTAATAATACTATGGCTGTTTTCCTAATTGCTCCACGCGCCAGAAAGAACCGGTACCACACAAACATGGCTAAAGACGTCGGGAAGGCTCAAAAAAAACCGTGACCACAGCGGGAAAATAAAAACGGGAGTGACGTGAAAGAAACTGATGGAAGAAACCCGTGGAGCCCCAGTCCAGCGAGCGTAAGAGGGGAGCCTCGTATGCCATACAAGGCGGGGTACGAAGAAAAAAGATTAAGGTATGGAGGCATGAGGGGAGGGTAAAATGTGGGTGCGACTGTATAGTACAGTAAAGTACGCGGGTGAAAAGGCAAAAAAGCAAAGCAGCGATCCCGCGTGACCAAGTGGGGTCTTGCCGAAGTATCAGAGACCCCGAATGGAAGCACAAAGCAAACAAAGGGACACGAGGCAATAAAATGAGAAAAGATGCACAGGAAAAGCGGCAGTGGCTAGCTTGACGTGCCTCAAAGAACATATGACGCAAGGCGACCGACCTGCAGTGCCTTTGCCCTCAATTCCCTCTTGGTTGCCACCAGAAACAACTTCTTGTCAAAACGCGTTTGCAACTCTCCCCTTCCATGGTTCGAGGCGCGTTGAGGATAAAAAAGGACATTCGCGGAAAAAAGAGACGCGTTCCTGAATATAAAAAAAGAAGAAAATGCGTGGTATGTGATGAAGAGAAGAAAGAGAGGGAAAAGGGGTATAGCTGAAGTAAGGTGGATGGGGTCAGGTAGGGCTGTTGCCACCAAAGCTGAGGGGAACGAAGATGAGGGCGATGAAGATAAGAGAGAGAGCTGAGTCGGAGCTGTACCTTCGTAGCGCTCGGCCTGCTCAGCGAGCTTGGCGAGGTAGACGTGGTCTTCGCGGGAGTGGGTGGTGTCGGCCATTGTGTGTTAGTGTGAATAGAGGGATGGGTGGATGGATGGATAGATGGGTGGTGGATAGATAGAAAGACGCGTGCGAGTTTGAAGAAAAAGAAGAAAGAGAGAAAGAGAGCAAGTACGATCGATGGATGGATTGGGTTTAAATGGATGGGGGATGACGAGTGAGAGGGCGGGTTTTATGTGAAGTGAATGAATGGACTGGGTTACTACAGCCAGTGGACTGTTTCGATTTTATATTCTCCGCCGCGTGTTTCCCTCCCTCTCCCCCCCTCCCTTTTCACATACTGTCCGCACAAACACACACTTCGGCAAGAGAGTATGAGAGTATTTTGTTCTATTCTGTATTCTGTATTGAATTGTATAATGTAATGGCTCCCATTCACGCGGCCATCCCCTCCGTCATTATATTATATTCTCGTGCTCCTCTTTCTTTTTTTTTATCCAAGAGGCGAACTCCGCTTTCGTCTCTTTTTTACCACGACCCTATCGTCTATGCTGGCTACCAAGGCCTACTACCAGAGACCATTTGTTTGAATCCTCAGCGAGTTTGAATGAGGGTCTCGATCGACAACAAGCATGCCAGACATGTCCCCAAAGAACAGCTGCATCGCATCTGTGTCAAACGGATATAAATGGATAAAATAGCAAACACAGGGATCTCTCTCCCTCGCTTTATCCCTCTCCTTCCCTCGTTTGCATTCGTTCGCGTGGGGAAAGCAGAGGAAGCGCATGGTCAAGTGCACGTTGTTGTTTTTGGTCTAGCCTGCGCGGTTGCCTGGTCTACAAAGTGATCAGCCAACTTTGCATGCTTGCTCACCAAAGCAAGCATGCAATACAATAACAAGATACAATAAATCATATATAGTCCATCTGTTTGTAGATGAAAAGGTTGTTGCCGTTATCACTGTCGCTTGCCGCTGTTGCTACTGCTGTCGTTGGTTGCTTGGTTGGCATTGCGAGTGTTGGTGTTGTTGTCAAGGGCTGGGTTGAATATGAATGAGTAATAATACAATTGGACCGCATCATCCACAGGCTGTCCCGTGCCTCCTTGCCTCCTTTTGCTTGCCGAGATTAGGCTGCAAACAAACGTTGGATTCATAATCATCGATGTATACTTTTAAGTACAAGGACGTCCTTGCCGAAGTCCTTGTTCTCTTGTGCGGTGCCTGACCTTGAACCTGTGCCGTACTTGGACTCGTCCCCTCCATCCATGTCCCCATCCCTATGCCCATCCCTATCCTTAACCTCATCCCCACCTTAACACTCTCTCCATTCCACTCTTCACTCACACTTCCTTCTTTCTCTTTCTTTCTTTCTTTATCCGTCCATCCCTCTCTCTCCCTCCCTCCCTCTTTCTTCCCCTCCCTTCTTTCTTTCATTTGTGCACTCTTGCTCGCCCTACTCCACATCTCACCCGATCCGCCTGTGCTTCTGCCACCAGTGATTCTATTCTTGCCTCAGCCCACTGTCTGTCCTTTGCTCAGCTCGCTGTATGCTCTTTAGGTTATTTCCTTCAGACTCATCTTGCCGAGGATCCGGCAGCCTACAGCACTCCTTTTTTGGGTCCTATTCCTCGCGCCCCTTCTTTCCTTCTTTCCTTCTTTCCTTCTTCCCTTCTTTCTTCTCCCTCAATCCCACTGCAGTTACATGAGACCAATCAATAAAGCGAGGCATCTCTTAAAAAAGTCGCTAAGTACACCTGTACACGGATGCTCTCCAGACGACCAGATCACCCAACCGCGGAATGATACAGCATCCCTTATCTTCCAACTGTGCTAAATGAAGATGCTGCTCACAAGTCTTCGGCAACTTTAAAAAAAAACTTGGCTGATCATGGTTTGATCCATGACCATGCTGTAGTACGCGTGTGGTTAGAGCACTCCCGTCCCACCAGTCATAGGTGGAATGTTGTACGTGAAAAAAGAACCCATGTGCCCTTCTAAAAGCCATGGAGACAGTGCTCGACTCCCCAGTCATTCTTCCCGACCCTTTTCTTGACCTTACAACCAGCTTGGCAGACGAATGTTACTCAGAAACACGTCTTTTCTTAAGCCAGTTTCAACCGTTTTTCACGTAAACTCCTTACTGTCATCGCTATGAATTTGCATGAGAACATGATTTGCCCCAATCTCATTTCTTTGCTAGTGATGTATTTTTAATAATCCTGGACCACGTCGCTGGTTGCATGGTAGGCTCGAAACCTGCCGTCGCCGACTAGTCCGGTTATGGTTATCCCTTCTACGAACAAGAAACCAATATTTGATCCTGTCTCGTGTATAGACTAGCTTGCTTTTGAGTCTAGGCCACTTCAAACTACATAAAATTAAGCTCTTTGCCTAAACTCCATTTAACACAAGATGGTCGCCACCAATTCCTCGCTGGCTTCTTACCAGCTCAAAGTATCCAAGGAGAAACAGAGCCGAATGGGTGTGTTACAATGCCTTGCGGCAACAGTAGCAATTTTTCGCCACTCTAGTTTAGTTGGTTTCATGGACTGACTGCAAAACAGGGGTTTTATACTTGCCTTTCCCGTATACACATGTTTAAGTACGCATGTTCAAAGGAACTTATTCCACCAATATCCTTGATACGCGTTTAAGGAGGAGATCTGGCGTCAATAACCCCCCTTCCTTTCCTCATTCACCTTTAACCTTCATTCCAGAGATAGGTCCAGTTCGCGTTTTATGTTGTAAATGAAGCTGAAAATGATTCTTGACCATCGCGACAGTGCCATGAAACCCAGCGCAATTGAACACCTGGGAACCAGAGAACAGTTTTATTGAACGTCGCTGAATCGCTGATTACTGGACAGAGTGTCATGCCGAATAGACTACAACCGCTCCAAAGCAGATCGACACTTACCCCTCGATTTCAATCATATTCCAGGTGTACCTGAAATTCCTAAAAAAAAAGAGATCCCTAGTTTCGAAGATACTTGTCTCCATCTCGTATACGTACTTTGGCTTGAACTCGTCTCTTATTCTTTGGAGGAGAAACTGTTGTACATTCATCTATTAATGTCGCCATAGATGTGTCCGACATGCACTTTTCTCAAAATCCCCAATCGCAATAACACGGTCTCTGCCGACATTAGCCCCGCTGGTGGATAGTATCAATCACGTTGTTTATGACACGGAGATCTGCATACACCTCCACGTTCCGCTATTTGAACTAGTTGATGATGAGCAACATCTCAAACTAGGGCGTCAGCGCTTCGTGGACCTTCTTGATCAAGAGCAGGTCGACATGTTGGATACGTCCATTGCGGTCTTGTACGGCGACCCCGATCTTGAGTGGAGTGTTCTCGCCGAAACTCAACACCTTGGTGATCAGCATTGCGTTCCGCTAGGTCGTTACGGTGTCTAGCTCAAACAAACCGGGCGCATCGACTAGTAAGTAGCACGTGCTGCCCGTTGATTTCAACCAGCTCTTGCTGAAAGTTTGTCGTGATTCCATCGCCATTATTTGAGAACTCGGACATGAAGTTCGCTCCGAGATGGTCGGCAATAAAGCTCTTTCCGGTCCCGGGTTGCCGATGATGAACGAAATGTAGGTCGAACCATAGATTAGAGTTGAGGCGCTCAGTGCTGCTCTATGAGTAGGAAGGAGGCGGCGGGTATGTGTGTTGGGCAAATTATAGAATCATAGTTTATATGGAATTACTTAAACTCCTCGCTCCAGAATGAGCTCTGCTTCGCCCTTTCTTTCTGCGAGGGCGAAGTACAAACAAACCCGTAGACCATCTCAAAACTGCTACTTTTAGGAGTTATAATTCTACAGCCTATAGCACTGAAACAGCATGTTTCCTTCATATTACATAATCCCCTATTCACTTTGGAGCCCCCGCGGCACCGTTCTTGGATGTCGAGAGCTTGAAGATGATTCCAGTGCTTACTGACTGGCGGTGATAGTGGTGTTAGCGGCACTAGGATGAGGGGTAGCTCAGAAAAAAGCGCGTGCTGGGCGTGCTGGGCGTACTGGGCCTGTCGAGTCTGGGCCTGTAGGGCATTCAGGGTTTCGTGTGCCATCCGAGATCAAGGATAAAAGCTGTATTTTGCATTGAAGCATGGTTCTGTAGGGGAAGTTGGGGACGCGTAGGAGAAGGATTGATAAAGCCAAAGGTGTACTTTGGTGAAATGAAGGTCCATTGCAATGTAGGGAGCGATAGAGAGTTGTCAAAAGTCACGGATTTCATAGGCATCAACGCATGCATGCACTGCTAAGAACGCGAAGCCTTTTGTTTCGGCAGGCCTTGATAGATGCGGGGAAATAGGAGGACAAGGTGTGATTGCTAGCTCTCGTCAAATCTTTTATTCATGTGCACAGAATAGACCCTGCGGAACAATCAGTTTAACGCGTCTTCTGTCTTCGTCGCATTATCTTCTGAACCGAGAGAGACCAACAAAGGGATGGATCGCTCAAAATAGCCATCCTATTTCCACTACAACGAAGAAAATACAGTTGGGGATGCAATGGGTTCAAGTCTGGGAACATGGTGTTGCGAAAGTTAAAAGGAGTTTTCAGTGGTGAAGGTGTATAAAGTGGCAAAGACTGAGGTTCAAGTAAGGGAGGTGCGTGCCTTGAATACTAGTGGTTTCAATATTTCTGTCCAATACAACATCTCTGACATTGTTCCAGAGGGTTGGCTTTTGAAGCTGCTTTGCCATTTTCTTTACCTGTTTTGCAACACTCTTAGCGATATAGAATGGCTCGACGCTCCTCTTTTATCAGCTTTCTCCCTTAATCCGTTTGTGCTTGTTAATACGAATGTGCGTGCTGTCGGTAGGACGAAGGTGCTGTAACTTTTTGAGTCGAGCCCGTAATACCCTCGCTAGACATCTCCTACTTCATAACGCTCACACTCACAAACACATCCAACATGCCGACCTACTCTTGATCAAGAAGGTCCACGATGCGCTGACACCCCAGTTTGAGATGTTGCTCATCGTCAACAAAACCAAACCGCGGAACTTGTCTAATATGAGAACCCCGCCTGCATAAGGGGCTTCGTTAACACCATCCACCAGCTGACCGGAGTCAATGTCAGCGAGGGGCGCGTGATCGCGATCCGCGACTTTAGGCAGGGGGAGCCACAGAATGTGCTGCCCCTGATTCGGATGCTGACTTCTAAGGCTGAAGCGTCCGTTACCAATGTCGAAGACATCCATGTTTCTGAGGAGGATTTCATTGATATCGCAACCAAGTTTGTGAAATTCCTATACAACGCAGTTGCCGGCGGCCTCACTCTCACAACGCTCTTTGAATACATAATTGCTTGAGCTGCCCGACCGGGTCCAACCATCTCTTGCATATTGCACTTTTACGACACAATAATACTTCGTCTTCAATGCTTTGAATAATAAACGTACGTTATATTCTGATGGAGTGATTACTACCACCATTTACTTGTTAAATAAAGTGATAGAGTATTATATTTCGAGACAATACTATAGAATTCTGAGAGCTGCAAGCGAATGAGGCAGCTTTATCCCCTCGCACTTCTGGCCTGGTTGGCAAGGGACACTGAACACAGGGCAGATAGCCGTTCAACTTCTCACCAGCAGCACGTCCTCAAGTTAATCATCTACGCTGTCAACTTGGAAGAGAATGCCGCATACAATATGTCGGGGTGTGGTGATGTGCCTTTCTTTTGCTGCAGCATCCACTATGCGGTAAGGGAAGGAACGAGGATGTATTGGCGCTTGAAATTATATATTAAGGGCATCATAGTTCTAGCTTTCGTCTGTTCCGCTTTCCATCAGCCATTCGTTCACGCCATATTGGATACATCCTCGAGCCGAGTCTACGCTCTTGTGCCTACAAGACTGTTTCCAGCTGTCCATCCTTTACCACCGTCACTCTTTATCAACCTCCTCTGCCTAGTTACTCTCCATCAAGCCTTAATAATACGGAATTGGAGCTTCCAAGGACAAGTAATGGACAACGAGCCCTGGTCATACATCATCACGCAGCGGCTTGCACGTACCCATCACGACGCACCGGAGAAGAAATACTATGCTCTTTACAACGTGATTCTAACCGCCGTCTTTCGGATTAAGGAACGCTTCATGATCTTCCCACAGACGTATCCTTGGATGCGCGCGATGCAGAGGATTTAGCGGTGGAGTTCCTTGTTAAGCTGAACGACGGGACCCAGCCACGGGCGCCGATTTCAAGTGCGCCGGCGATTGCGACACTATACAGAGGAGGATCGACGCTGATATGCAGACACGCGAAGGACCCTTCTCCATACGGCAGAGCTTTCGCATACCTCGTTTCCACTTTGTCAGCGCAATGGGAACTCACCTACCTGGGACGCATTGCCCATAGCAGGGAGAAGTAACGATAGTTTGAAGGCATTACATGACAACGAGACAAGGCGGAGTGACCCAGAGTTGACTGGAAAATCCTCAGTGAATTTGAATCCTTATTGAACGGGCTACCTTTGTTGGGCTCAAGAAAAAAAATGCGTTCATCGATCTTGGACACGGAGGTTGCTCGCGTAAACTCGAAGAGCTTGTGACGGCCGCTGCTGTACTGCTGTCGCTGATGTGAATGCTCCTGCTTTCCGAAACGGTGACATGGCTTAAATTCCCTTTTTCCATCCGCATCACCATCCATTGTCATGTAAATCTATTTCCATCCTCATTCTAATTACATGATTAGCTGCATTCACAGCCCTCTTTACATTCAGGGGCATTGCAAGTCTAGAGTTAGAAAAGCGTATATTTTTGTAAGACCTGCCTAACCGCAACAAGGTAGTTCGCTGTGATAGGGGACTGAAAGCAACAGGGGTAGTCTCATTGATACAAAGCTTCAGATAGAAAAGTGGCTCCGAGTGGTGGGCCAGTGACACTTTCAGCAAGCAGGACAATATAGCGACTGGAATGTGCATCCATAGCCAGGTCCTAGGAATCACTGGGATCTAGAGACGCGTTGCAAGGGTTCCATCCTGGACTAAACTATGTACATTTATAGGAAGATCGAGAAGCAACTGCCCCTTGGTTTTGGCAGTGTGCGGTTTGTCCATTCCAGCCCATGCAATTGCACGCTTAACCCCCTTTTATGATGCACAGAAGGGAGAGAAGGAGAGTAAAGGATGAGCAGAAAGGGTTAAGGGAGGAAGGAGACATGTTCAGGCCATACGATACATACCAATTAGCATGCAAGAACACAAGGAAGCAAGGACCCTACTTCCACTTGTTCTCCTCGCTCTGTATTCTGCACTCAGCACTGCACTACTCATTCCTCCCTCGATCGCGGACACTCATTCGACATTCGACCACGCAGGACCATGCTCTCTTCCAACAGCGCACTGAATGCTAATGGCGATCCCAACCTGAATCGCCTAGCACACCAGCAGCAACCACAGCAAGCACTACCACAGCACCAGAATAACGGCGGCAATAACCCTCTGCTGCAGCAGCATGCCCAACAGCCTCAAGCACACCATCAACATCACCAGCACCTGCTACAGGATCATCACCACCACCACTCGCATCATAGTCGACAAGACGAGGCACGTTTGTCGCACAGAATAGTTTACCTTGGATGTGCAGACTCTGTACATTTTCTTTATGATTACTCTAGAAAGTGCGGAGTGTGAACGCGAAGCACTAAAAACTTTATCTTATAATTCTACCTTCTCGTCCTACCCGCAGGAAAAAGCTCGGCAACGCGCAGAGCAGCGGGCAAAAGACATTGCCAAGAACCAAGAACACATTTTTTACTCTGCGAGATATTATGGTAGACAGCAATCCGTAGATTGAAGGGAACACGTCTCTCAATATTCTGTGTACTGACCACTCGTCATTTTCTTATTTATTGTTTTTTTATTCTAATACCGCTTCATAGACGATATTTGGGAGTACAGGCAAGCTCTTTCTTTCATAACTGCAAAAGACCCGTGCAAATGAAGACATTCAAGGCAAAAAAATATCCTTACCTGCGATAAACACTCGTCTCGTAATATCCTCACTTAGGCATGTGTCGCTCCCCAAGGCCATCGCACGGCATGCTCCGAACGAGCTGATGACCGAGGATGAGTGGAGGGCCCTTGGTGTCAAGCAGTCGCAAGGATGGGAACACTACATGATTCACAGTGAGTGAGGAATGTTCATAGAATACGGATGCGCTCTAATTGGTTCAGAAAACGTCTCTGTTACCAATACATCGTTCATTTTCTGTACCCTTTGATTTTTTAGGTCCAGAGCCACATGTCCTGCTGTTTAAACGCGAGAAAGATTACCAGGCCAAGTAATAAAACCAATGCTTCTGATCATAAAAATGGTTGAAACGGAGCTACTGCTTACTCACGCATTCTTGACCTTTTTTACCCAGGTACCTTAACGGTCCCAAGCAACCATAATTCAGCAGCATAAGTGGCGGCCATGCTGCTTACTATTATCTCAGTAGAGACGATAGGCGACGAGTTGATGGCGACTATTAGATATGGCAAACATTTATATCCTCTCCCTATTTTAATAATAAATTTTGATCTGATAACCTTCCTGTCACAACGGACACAGCACTTTCCTTTCCCGGAAACAAGGACACACCGCAACAGGAACCTTCCTCGATCAACACTCAACATGACGTTTCCCATTGGACGACTCAGCTCCAGGATCGCGTCGATCCCTCGAATCAACACGACTGCGGCGATCACAATGTCGCCTCTGAAATGGATTCCACGCGCACGCTACGCTTACATCGCGAAGACTTCGGTGCTTGCCTCACAAAGGCCTTGCTACTCGACTACAGGACTAAACAGCGACCATGGATCCTCGCCAGAAGCAAACTCAGACCATCCAATTCACACTGTGAATAAGGAGGAGATTGCAAAGTTTGCAGCCATGTCGGACGAGTGGTGGGCACCACAGGGTCCCTTCAAAATGCTGCATCTCTTCAACCCGCCCCGCGTCCGTTATATCCGGAACCGGCTAGAGGCCTCAGGGGCTATCTCGAATGCCATGACCAACGACAGTACAGACAAAGGGAAAGCATTCTCCAGCGCACGCTTTCCACTCCAGGGCCTTTCGATCGTCGATATTGGATGTGGTGGAGGTTTACTGTCGGAGGTACTTCACGATACTTTCGTCCATATTATCGACATAACCTGGATGTTGCCCAATTACCGCAACGATTGACCATTAATGCATATATTGTCAATCTAACCATCAATTTCTAGGCATTGGCAAGGCTGGGAGCGCAAGTGACAGGCTTGGACGCATCGATGGAGAACATTCAGATGGCCCGTCTCCACTCTAAAAAGGATCCATTACTCAATGGAGGAGGACCAGGGACGCTGGAATATCGCCACCAAACAGCAGGTAATGCACACAAGGCACACGGGTCAAGGCTTTTTGCGTACCAGGAAAAGGACCCTAGGATATGCTTGGTCTGATTCTTTTCTTTTGCTTATTCGATGCTTAGAGCAATTACTGGCAGAGGGCCGTCAGTTTGATGTTGTGTGCTCATTGGAAGTCATTGAGCATGTCGATAACCCAGCTGGCTTCCTCAAGGTTCTTGGAGAACTCGTCAAGGTATGGGTGCTGTACTTGTATCATCGGTTTTGCTCGTTCGTTTTTTTTTTTTTTTTGTAAAGGTTTTGGATATTCTTTGATACCCTTTTTTCCATGCTAATACATCAAACCGCCTCTTCCTCTTTCTTTCCTCCACTTTCGCTATTGCACAATGGACAGCCTAACGGCGATTTGATTTTGTCGACAATTTCACGAACTGCGCTATCATACTTTTTAACGATTCTCTGTGCGGAGCACCTGTTGAGGATGGTCCCTGTGGGCACACATCATTGGTCAAAATTCATTACTCCAGATGAACTGAAGGCTGGGGTTGAAGATTTGGCAAAGTGCCAGGTGTTGAACATCCAAGGAATCGGCTTTAATCCTTTGGCGGGACAATGGGAGCTGACAAGGAGCCGCGATGGTATGGACATCGGCAGCGGGGGGTTGCTGTCACTGCTTGGACCATCGTTGTCAGAGGCGTCAAACTATCTCTTGGCGGCGAAAAAGGTTCCTAGCGCATAAAAGAAAAAAAGAAAAAGAAAAAAACGGCCAGTAGACTATTACAAGCATACCATGGACTAACTGCAGCACCAATAAAAACCACAATCGTGAACAGGGTCTTGACGTACTTCATCTACGAGAGAATGGACAGGTATCATGCAGATAGGCTACTGTACGAGTTCACAATCCAATCGTTCGTGCAAAATGAGCAAGTTTGGGCGGAAGAACTATTTTATTCAAACTAATAGTATGCTATGTATTGTACTAATATGACAGGGTGTTATGTAAATGTACTCATCGACTTATTGGATCTGGGGCGAACGAGAGACGAACGCGAAGATGATACCACTGGTAAGACCGGCAGCGGGAAGAGTCATGATCCAACTGGCGAAGACACCGAGGAGAAGGCGCCAGTTCAGGGACTTGAATCCTCCTCCAGAAAGAAGACCGATGGCGGTGGTAGCACCAGTGATGCAGTGAGTCGAGGAAACAGGCAGGGACAACTTGGAGCAAGTCAAGATGGTGATCGAAGTACCCATCTCAGCGGAGAAACCACGGGTGGGGCTCATATATGTCATCTTGTTACCGAGGGTGCGCATGACGTGGTAACCGTAGGTCATCAAGCCGATATCAATGGCAAGACCACCAAAGGCGAGAATCCAGACAGGGACAGGGGCCTTCTTGACGTCAATGTTGGCATTCTCCCAAATGTAGTAGATAGTGGCAAGAGGTCCAATAGCGTTGGCGACATCGTTGGAACCATGAGCAAAGGAGGTAAAGCAGGCAGTGATGACCTGGACGGCCGAGAAGAGGCGCTCGGTATTGTGGTCGAACTTGGTGGCATTGGCGTGAACAGCCATGGTATTCTCGTCGTGCGTGGTATTGATCTCCTGAGTAAGACCGTGGAGCAGCTTTCCCTTAAGCTTCTGAGCAAAGGTCTTGTTTCCAGCCTCGAGCTGAACCAAAGAAGGATCGGCCAGGCCGTCGGTAGTGGGCTCTGAACCATCGGCGTTCTTCTCAGGCTTCTCAGCGACCTCCTCCTGGTGAACGGGGGCCTTCTCACGCTTGCCAACGAGGGGAATGATGAACATGTGGTACCAACGGAGGTCCTCGTCGTCCTGGATCTTGCGGCGAAGGAAAGGACGAAGGAAGAAGAAGCACCACAAGAAGACGATGAAGCCGACACCGAAAGCGATTCCGACGGGGATACCAATGTCAGTCGAAGCATCCTTGAGCTTAGAGTTTGGTGCGCCTTTGTAAATGATGTAGAAGACGTTGACGGTCAAGGCAATACCGAAGTAGGCAGGGATAGCGATAAGACCGCGGCGGAAAGAGTCATCGTGGTTCAAGACGACGAACTTTGTGAACAAGAAGATGATGGAGCAAACAAGACCAGAAACGAGGGGCGAGATGACCCAGGAGAGAACGATCTTGGTGATTCCAGACCACTGGATACCATCAGCGCCGAAGGCAGAGAGACCAGCGCCGGTGATGGCGCCGACAATGGCGTGAGTGGTCGAGACAGGCCAGCCACGGGAGGAAGCGAACAGAACCCAGGTAGAAGAACCGATCAAAGCGCACACCATGGTCAACATCAAAAGCTCGGGGTTAGCGGCATACAGCTTGGTCTCCACAATTCCACCCTTGATAGTCTCGGTGGTGTTAGCACCGAGGAGGAAGGCACCACCGAACTCGCAGAAACAGGCAATAATCAAAGCTTGGGCAAGAGTAATGGAGCCGGAGCCGACAGAGGTAGCGAACGAGTTGGCAACATCATTCGCACCTAAGATACGGAGATACGCGATGAAAGTAAGAGCAGTGTTAGTTTATCGATCCGGATTGATGGGAGAAGTGTTCGAAGGCGACAAGAGCGTTATCTTTTTTTTTTTTTTTTTTTCGTACCAATGCCATAGGCATCCATGAAGGCGAAGAAGAGACCGATTCCAAAGAGGAAAGTGTAGTCATGAACTTGCATCATTTTCGGTTATAATGCGAGGGGGATATGGAGGTGTGAAAGGGTATAGAGAGGAAGGGTTAAGGAAATGGAGAAACCCTTGCTGCTGGGGAGGAGGAAGAGGCGATTGTTGAATGGGCGATCTTGATGGTCAAAGGGCATCGGATATGGAGTGGGGATGAGCGGTGGTATTTATAAGAGAAGGCGCTTTCTTGGATACTTGGAGGTGGATCTCTACGGATGCACAAGAAAAGACTCTAAGCAAGGGAGCGCGCGGCTGTGGAACGGTGCGAAGAGTAAGAACGGATGAATGAGCGACGAGTACGATGCCCATGTTGACTGCAGCATCGTAGCTCGTTGTTGCAGAATGTATTACAGGAATGAGAACGCTATTTCCTCCTAGGATCGTTACTGAGGAAATCTGTTGCGAGACTATGGTGCTTAATAGAACACACCGTGTTTAAAGTAAGGTTCCCTCGCGCTGTACCACCGCCACCACGCAGAGGGACACAGGCCCTGGATCCAGCCAATCGCCTGCCAGTTCAGAACACCGTCCAGCTCCATAGATGCCTCTCTCTGACCCTCGTGCCCATCTTATGGAATTGTGCACGAGCAAGAGATGCAGCTTCCTTTCGTTGTTCCGGCCTGCGGTGTTTTGTTTGTTTCTCCATTTTCCATTTTACCTATTCCATTCTATCTATTCCATTCTACCTATTCCATTCTACCTATTCCATCGACCACTCCCAAATATTCGCCTGCCTGGCTAGGTTGGTCTTGTGTTTGTTCGTCTTTACCAGGGATGCGACGAACAAACTTTAACCGAAATAAAACTGCTGCCTCAGCCGGCCTATCAGATCGAGAGATCCAGAGAACGTGAGGCAAAGCGCACCGTCCGCGCGTCCCCGTGGCCAGCCACTCCAGAGCCGATGCCTCAGACCAACAAACACACCACTACCTACTATTTATCTCTGCGCACGATCTTACCGAGGATCCGAGATTGAAAAAGTAGGGGTACAGTTTGACCACGATCGCATGTCTCGCTTGTTTCGCCTGTCCATTTATTTATTTTCTTTTTCTCGCGCTTCTTTCCTTCAGAAACAGGGCAGATCCCTCTGGCGAAGTGTTAGATCAACTCTGTAGCGGCACCCTAACTTACTACGCCACATGCTGTGACAGACGACTGCGTGGTCCTGATGACGCCTGTTCATTGGGGTTGTGCTTTGCTGTGAGCCGTTGAGTTTCTTTTAGTTTGCCGCTCGATGTTAGCTGCTGTTATCGTAGTAGGTAGACTAAATTCACACGTTGACGGACGAGAGGTCCATTATTGGTTGCTCCGGCGCGCTGGAGCACGCTACACAGTTGTCTCCTGTGAGCTGTCGCTCGTTAATCTCTCATGTATGCCGTATACCTTACTGTCCACATTGCCTTCTCAAAAGAAGACCATAGTGTAAAATAGAAAGCGAATCAGGGAGCCAAATCGGGGTACCATGGTAGACTAGCATCCATGTTCTTCTTGGGACTGATGGTCTGTCCAACTCATGTGTAGTGAGAACATGACGCTCTTTTGCCCGCATTGGCTTGAACTGTGTCTTTCCTACTCTCGCCGATGTATGAAGAGCTACTTTTTTTTTTTTTTTTTTTTTTTCAGATTTGTGTTCACGCCTTGTCTGTTCAAGGGTTCATATCGAGCGAGGGTTTTCTCACAGGAGGTGTTCCGAATTTTACATGCATTTCGTGCGCAGCTTTTGTATTTAATTTTTTTTATGCTACCGCTTCCCATGCCCTTGATACGAATTGAAGGGTAATTTGTGCCTTGATTCATGCCTTAACATTCCAGATCCGTAATACTTCAATAGTGCGTATTGGCAAGCAAAGTCGCCCTCTCTATATTCCGCACCAAATTAATGTGACAACTAAAATTTCCTGATCCAAAATTCCCTGACAGACGAAGGGATAAAAGGCGTCCTTATCCCACTGCCAATCTTCCTTCATAGTTTCATGTGCTTGCATTGGGACACATAATTGATATGCCATAGTCTAGCTTGATCTACGATAATGATCTTGATTATACTTTTCATGCTGCTTTTTCATGAGCATAGTCCTGGAGAGGGGGTACTGCGATTTCATCAGAGTAGTAGCATGAATTCTCCAATGAATCGATTCATGGCGGGGGATGATATAAAACGCGTGTCAGCCTTGTTGTACTACTGTCTGAAGAGGAGAGACGTGTGCAATCAGGGATGGTCCTGGCATTTGCATGCGATCCGTGCCCGGCAAAACTATCTTGAAAAAGGAAACGAAAAGGAAGGGATACTGGTTCTCACCTCTTGGAGACACTCAATGAAATGCTATTTAGGGATCTATGAATCTACGGGTCTAGGGGTCTACGAGTCTGATCCTACGTGCGGGTGGATTGGTCGCCACCAAACTGAGGTAGCCTGCCTTGCACGTGATACAAGTCGTTGGAGCGTGCGTGAGAGAAGCCAAGAAGGGAATGAGACCAAGAAGGAGGAGCAATGGAGCAGACAACAGCGATTGATGATCTCCGTCCTCATCAGCCGCATCCACACCTCTTGATCAATACTGCCTTTCCTTTATATCTGTCTGTCCCTCTTCCTTACGTCTGCTCCTTTCCTTCTCCTACAACCTCCTATTCATTTATTTGCACCCTTGCTGACCACGAGCCCACCTTTGGCCATCCATCCATCCTTTTCATCCACTCCACTCATCCACTGTCCTTTGTGCTGACTCCACCACACTTCCCTCTCCATCTTTATTTAACCTCGTACACCTTTTTCCCCACTCCAGTCCCGCTTTATCAGCCGTGTCTATTGACAAGTCCATTTCAGCCCTTCTCGTCCTATCCGCAGTACCATGGATTCAAGCACGCACGGTACCAGCGCGTCGGAATCGACCGTAACTCCAACCGCTGTCGTTTCTTCTCAAAGCCGACCAGCTATGCGACGTACCCCTTCGGAGCTCTCTGCGCTCTCCAAAAGTATCCTCGGCCTCCATGACGACCTTGAATACTCCCAGGATAGCCGCGGTAGCGACGGCGGATCAGATCACTCACGCCGACGCAGACATAGAGGCACGAGGGATAGGGACAGGGACAGGGACGTGGAGTCGGCTCCTTTGCTGACGAATTCGACCAGGAACTCGTCCTTTTCCTTCTCCACCCACTCTATCGACACAGGCAATTACTCTGATAGTTACGAAGGATCATCGCCCTTGTTGTACGGCGAGTCGTTTGTGGATCATCAGCCCCTCCAACGACACGTTCAAGATCAGCAGCAACAGTCAGCGCACCTAACATCCTCGCAACAGACGATCCGGAAACTCTCTCCACGACAGGTGGGTCAACGTCGTGGAGTAGAGATCTCTGGACCATCAAGAGATCGACTTACAACTTCACTCAGTGCCTTTAGATTAAGACCTCAGCGGTCCCCTCCATCTCACCAATCGCCACCCACGGGACCCTCTGTAACCTCGACACGCTCACATTCATTTTCATCGCAAACCAGTCGAACACATCCTTCTCACCATTTCAACCAACCTAGTATGAACTCCAATGAGTCAAGTCCACAGCGTAGCGTACACAGCAGCGGCTCGGAGGTCAACCGGGATTTGACAGAAGATACATTGATCATGCCCCAGATCATGACAGTCGACCAGAGGCATAACGAAAATTTAACGGAGGCAGAACGAGGCAGGAGGTCCAAATCAATGCTGTCGGCATCACCCACGGCCATGGATACTAAGGGCAGTCTGCCTCGAATGATGACGCCCTCACCAGTGCCGTTGCATGCGAGACTATCACGGATTCAGAAGGAGGCCAAAAGGGGTGCGCGGGTCATCGACATGGATAGCCAGGGATCATCGCACCACTACGACTATGAGGACGTGACAGATTCGAGCCACGACTTTTCAAGTAGGAGGCATTCTGTTGCCGAAGAGGACGTAAGTCATGGTCGAAATGATGCATGCTGCTCAGAGATTATTTTTTTTTTGCTAAAACTATGTTGCATGCTAAGAATCTTGTTCCATTTTTAGGTTTGTTACCCCCTGCAATCATCTAATCTCGATATCGACTACAATGCCCTGGAGGAATATATTCGACAGGAGCAGATCAAGACTCAGAAGATGATGGCGACCTCAGATATTTCAAGTCCCAAAAACCTCCAAAGTTCGCAGGCGAGAACAAAGAGTTCATCCACTGGCTTGCTGTCAAAGCTGAAGGGCAGCGGTTTAAGCACCTCTTTCTCAAGTTCGACACCACTGGCGTCAAAGGGTGCACAAGACACAGACTACGGAGCAATCCCCACAAAGAACCCTTCTAAACCCGAGCGCAGCTATAGTCTCTTTGGGGAGCGAGACAAAAGTCAGGTATGATCCATCAGTTCTACCTACGGCAGTAGTTTGTATTGCGCCTATGATGTACCTTGCTAACGACGCAAACATTTGGTTATGAACAATAGATCCCTCTGGACGATGCCTACAGATTCACGCTCTATTCGACCGCCTCGGTGACTGTACACGCACAGACGCTAGGTGAAATTCCTCCGAGAGGTCAGACCCTGTCCAATATGCTTCAAGCGGGGTACTTTTGGTTGGACGTCCTGGCTCCGACAGATGAAGAGATTCGCATGCTCAGTCAGGTATATTCAATGGGCATTTGATGTATCATGATTTGGTTTTTGTTCATCTTCAAATTCTAACGCCACCCAGCTGCTGACCTTGGTTGGTAATAGGTCTTCAGAATCCATCCGCTTACGACAGAAGACATTTTAATGGAGGAAGGGCGGGAGAAATGTGAGATGTTTTTGAACTACTACTTTGTTTGCTTCCGGACCTTTGTACTGGACCCAAACAGCCATAACTACCTGCAAGCATTGAGCGTCTATACCCTAGTGTTTCCTGCAGGAATTATCTCTGTAAGCGAACTTTCTCATACTATTTGCAATTACTAGGCGAATATCTTTGCAGTTGTGTACTAATCAAGGCCATCTGCAATGAAATGTATACACAGTATCACTTTAGGCCGGTACCCCATTGTAGGAACGTCAGAAAGAGGATCCGCCACTTGAAGGAAAGAATAGAGGTGACACCAGGTAAGTCTTGCCTTTGCTGTGATATATGTATCTGCATGCTTCTATCTGTATTGACACTGAAGCGGACCAACTAACAATGTTTCCTTGTTCAATAGATTGGATCAACTATGCGATTATCGACGACATTGTAGATACCTTTGCACCGCTCATCCGGCAAGTAGAGGCCGAGGTGGACATGATCGATGAGCTGGTCTTGATTTTGAAAGAGTCGGAACAAACGGACATGCTACGGAGGATTGGCAATTGCCGGAAGCGTGTCATGAGTCTGCTACGCCTTTTAACTGGCAAAGCAGATGTCATCAAGGGTTTGATTAAGCGCTATGAGGGTCGCATGGGACGCAAAAGCATGGGCGAGATAGGACTTTTCATGGGCGATATTCAAGGTACGAGAAGGACAGCTTTTTATTCTTATACCGTTCTTCAGCTACCTCTCCTCGCGTTGATCAATGGCTAATTATCCAGCTGAAATATCCTTGTTTTTCACACCATACTCTAGATCATATCATCACCATGCTTCAAAACCTGTCGCACTATGAAAAGATACTGTCGCGGTCGCACTCAAACTACCTGGCGCAGATCAATATTGAGATGACATCTGCCTCGAACGAGACCAACGATGTACTTACGAAGCTTACAGTGCTTGGCAGTATTCTCCTGCCTATGAATCTAGTCACTGGTCTCTGGGGCATGAACGTCCCTGTACCTGGCCAGGAATCCGACGACTTGACATGGTTTTTTTGGATTGTCACAGCGATCTTTATGGCTGCCAGCTTGTTTCTTTTAATTGCTAGGAAGACAAGGCTGCTTTGAGCATTGAATTAGATCAGCCAGACAGTCGTAGGAAGACAAATAAATTTTTTTTTTTTTTTTTTTGGTTTACACAGGCACCATGCCAGGCTATCAGAGGCAAGCGGGCGCGATGGTGATTTTGAGTTTGATTATTCTTAAGGGCAACAGGATGGATTGATTTCAATCCGAAAAAAAATTATTCAAAAGCTGCGTCCAAGTTCCCAAAGTTTTGGTTCCCTCTCTTACTTCCCGAATTTCAGAAATGGCACCCACTGTGAGTGTTTTCAAAAACAACGACGGCGCACTTCAGAACATGGCATTGGAGTAAAGGCGACGCGAATTACATGAACACAGATACGGATACGGACTGGACTTACTATGACAGGATACGACGTTGCGACTTGAGAACACTCTTGATCACCATGATCTCACGACATTCAATTCAAGATTCATTACCACGAGCAATGCCGATCGAACTGCTCTGACCTCTCTTTTATTTCTTTGTTTTCGACGACATTGGATATAATAGAAGGCTAACAAGAAGGTTTCGCACAAGTTCACCATCGACTGCTCCGGTCCCGCCGGTGACAAGATCTTTGATGCCGCCGCTTTCGAGAAGTTCCTTCACGACCGCATCAAGATCGAGGGTCGCACTGGTGGTCTCGCCGATAAGGTGACCATCGCCCGTGGCGATGATGCCAAGATCACCGTTACCGCCAACCAGGAGTTCTCTAAGCGTTACCTCAAGTACCTTACCAAGAAGTTCCTCAAGAAGCACCAGCTCCGCGACTGGCTCCGTGTCATTGCCTCGGACAAGGGTACCTATGAGCTCCGTTACTTCAACATTGCCAACCAGGACGATGATGAGGATGAGGAATAAACTGTTCCTACTCACTCTGAATCAATTGGTGTTGAAAGCCTTTTTTTCCTTCCTGTTGAATAAAAGGGTCGATTGACGTCGAACAAAAACATACGCATAACATATTCCTCAGAAGTATATAAAATCAAGGCGAGATGAAGACGAGCCTGCCTAACGGCAAATCACAACTTCTGATGACATTTTTACTATCAAGGCCAGCGCAATATCATGGGAGCGATTGTCAAAAGCAAGGAGCAAGGAAAATCGGCAGGAGATCTCTTTCATTCTCGTCTGGACATCGTACCCGTTTGTGCACATCAGCTCTTTTGCTCTGTCGTTTGTTTTGTCAGGACAGCTAAAGGAGGACAAGGACGGAAGAGGCCAATGTTCTGGGAGGATCATGAAAAGTACTGAGGTATACCTGGAAGATTGTCAACAGAATGAACAGGACACCCACTAGCGCTGCAGGACCGCATCTCTATCATCGTTGTCGTCGTCAGAGTATTGGTGGAATATCTACTGTTTGGCAGGCCCCATCATCTTGCTCAAGGACGGGATTTCTCATCACTGTTTATTTCGACAAGACAAAGAGAGCAAGGGCATGGTGCGGAGGAAACTATGGAGGAGTCAGGACAACCAGGGGATCGGAACGAGGACATTTGTTGCCATAGCAGGATGTATATGTCAGATGAGATTGTGGATGATCGCTTGGGATCGTGGCACAGGATTCGGAAGTGTTGTACTGTGTAGGATCCTGGATGGCGCCATTTGGAAGATCGGATTGGATGAGGCTAGATCTGCTTGGATCGGGCTGGATCAGCTTGGATCGAACTGGATCAGGAAGCAGCGGAGGAAGCTCGCATGGATCTTGATCTTGAATGTGGATGATGGATTGGCTGATCATCTGCTCGATCACATCTATTCGCGTAGGAACACAACATAAGGATTTATCTTTGGTTTTGAGACGGAATGATCTCTGCTAGAAAATCTCATGGCTAGGGATCGATGTTGAGTTGGTCCTGTTGATGGTGATGGTAGCGATGATGATGATGATGATGGTGACAATGAAGGTGATGGCGGGGATGTCAACTCTGCGGCGCTCGGCGGCAAAATCACTGCCGAAGCGAACGACTACTCGAAATCGTTGCAAATGTTCTGAATACTGAGGAGGATGGCGGCGATGGCGACCGCTTTGGGTACTCGACACAGAACCCCACCCCGGCATCCTCGATATTTTAGAGGAGCGATAGGGACAATTGGACAATTGAGTAATCAGGCAAGATCCAGCCTGGAGAATAAGACTCTGCACTACGCCAGAGGAGTATGCTCTTTAAGGAGCGGGTGATGATGATGATGTTCTCCACCGTGTGAGGAAGGGATTTATGAGGTCTGAGGCACCATGTCAATGGCGGTTTGCATCGCAGGCGAAAGCGGCCTCTCGGTACCGATAGCAGCAATTGATCCACCTGGACATGCAGCGCATTCTGTCTCTCATAGACTATCTTCATATATCGATAAGTGAATAAAGAATCTTGAATAGAATGAAAATGCACCGCGTGCAGAGAATTATTTTTGAAAGACAACCATTTCAGTTGCTCATCACACAACCAACTCATCTCTTTCATCTCTCTTTCTCTCTCCAACTTCTTATTCATCAGGACAAACAGACGCACGCCGACCTTGCACTATCAATGGACTTGTCAGCAGAGAACGACACCAAGCAACAGCGCCAGAAGGACACGGACGAGACCAGAGACGAATTCCCGACGGAGCCACCAGTATGGGCCACGAACACTTCGGCTTCGCAGGCACAGGACCTGGCTCCCCCACCCACCTATGATCCTTCGGCCTTCTCAGCCTCTGTGGACGCGTTGAACGCACTGCCGACGTTCAAGTCCCGTAAGCCCAATCGGGTCTCGGTGCTGGCCTATCCCACTGATGGCTCACAACCATCCTTGCCAACCAAATCAACAAGCACTCCCCCAGGAGGAGTGAGCACACTCCCTGCGCCCATTGCTCAAGGAGGTCCTCCAGCTCTGTTCGGATCTTCAGGAGCAGGAGCCTCTACCACGCCCCCTCCACCATCGGGTGGGTCTCCAGGGATTAAGCTGCCTCCGCCGCCGATGAAGAACCCAGGAAATGGACCTGCACCGATTCCTTACAACAAGGACTTCAGGACAGCAGAAATTGTGAACCATTGGAACGACCCCCCAACACAGGTAAACTACCAGAAAAAAAGAGCACACATGACAAGACTATTGCAGAGTATCACAGACTAATCATCATCTATATTTACAGATCTTCAAGAAGGCGTCGCAAACCGAAGGTGCGGCGGCATTCGACTTTGTCCCGATGAAGGAAACATTGGCTACAATCATCAAGGAGTGCGCTGCGAATGTGCCTGTAAGGACGCATGGGATTAAATACAGCATACTGAACCAAGGAGCTGTCCCGATCTGCATGACGAAGCAAACCACTGACACCTTGTATTTTTGTCTCAATAATTCTATCTTTTAGGCATCTCAAAAGCGGATGTTTGAGGACACGACCAAACGACTTCAGACATTGCAGGAGCAGATGGACAATGGAACAGTCAAAGAGCGTATTGTCGCACCGCTTGGTGAAATGATTCAGGGTACGCATATTGGGCCTTTGATTTTGAGTGCTTGGCAAACGGCCAGGATCTTCGGTCACACTGTAACACTTATTACTTTCTTTCATGTTCATGCTCCTTGCTGCAGCGCTGTCTTCGAAGTCGTTCACGCAGTGCCAAGCTATACATGCCAAGCTGATGCAGACAGAGTTCGAGAGCGAGGGCAAGTGGTTGCTCGGGTTCAAGCGTCTGATCGATCTGTACGCCTCATTATCATCCTCAAGCTGAGGTGTATGACTGAGGGGCTTCATATAGGGCGACGAAGCACGGCAGGCAGGGTTTTTCATGCGCGCTTTTTCCGTGAGACGACTAGCACCATAGACAAGTCGCGAATAAAAACGCCACAGAGCGGACTACTGTGTGCACGCCATCTGTTGTCTCTGGGATCGCTACTCTATGTTGTACAAGGAAAAGCGCACAAAAGAAAGACAAAAAGTGCATGCATTGTTTTCTTTTGTTATTGCTATTTTTTATTATTGCAAGAAACATTCGAAGGAAGAAAGATGGCGGAGAACATGAACTGGGGGGCCTATTTGATCTGATAACTCAATTAGTCCTAGACTTTATCTCTGCAAACGTAAACGCGTCGCGTTCCACTTTCATTAATCAGTTAACGCGCCTCTTCTCACATTTACTCTTGCGCGTCGTCTTCGGCATTTAACATAGCGTTGAGATGTTATGTGCACAGGAAGATTTGGTTAGACACAGACCGATACACATTTTGGATGAACTGTAGCAATCGCTTTTGATGAGAAACCGCACAAGGTCGTACACACATTTTCTACCTGAGAGAAGGTATTCAGAAAGAACGCTACCCATTGATGCTCTAGACCTTTGGCCTAAGGAACAGGAGCAGGCGGCAGACATATCCTATGGAGTGCAGTGCATGCACTGGGTATGCATCGACATATGCGATGTAGTGTTATGTAGGCACTGGGACGTGGTACACCCCTGCCTCTCTTTCCTGCAAATGTACCATTGAAAATATTCCCGACCTTTTGCCTCTCACCGCTCCCTCTCTTTCTCTCCCACACCCCTCCTCTGTCCGCAACAACCTTGCCGACTGCAATTTGAACGAACAGTACTCATCCAAATGTCAGTGGTCCAGGGTCAGCAATCCTACGGCGCTTTCGCCGGCACCGAATCAGTCGACATGGAATCGATGCCCTCTCTCATGCACTCGGACGTCTCCTCAGGAACAGATGTCATGGACCAGGACACCGTACCCCTGGAGGAGCACCAGATCCGCATTCAGCAATATGGGCAGCAACTAGACGATCAGCCCCTCGCACAGCATCGACAGCACCAGCAACAGCACCAGCAACAACCTGTCCTCGCTCAAGGACAGCAGCAAGAACAGGATCAGGGACAAGGACAGCAACATCAACATCAATATCCATATCCGTATCAATACCAACAGCAACAGCAACAGCAACAGCAGCAATTACACCCCCAATATCAGATGTACTCCTTACACTATGCACAAAATGAGAAGCAGCAACAGCAGCAACAGCTTTACCATTACCACCAACAGCAGCGGCAACAGCAACCAGCGTGGCCAAGAAATGTCCCCGACCACCAAACATTGACACCCACGGTCGATTACTCTGCCGAGACAGAGATGCCTGGCCTTTCCGAAGACCAATCAACGTCCTCCTCGATGCAAAGTGCAAGCCCTCGCCTAGGTCCGGTCTCGTCTGGATACGCATACCCAGGCCCTGTAAGCGAGCGGGCAGGCGGTCAGGAAAGCCCCGAGGACGGAGACGAATACTTTTTGACATCGACTCTCAATATGATCCCGCCAGAGATGATCAACAACACCGTCCCTCCTCTGGCACACTTTGACTACTATAAAGAGTTTCCACAGCGACAAAATTTGACTAAGGGAGGCAATGGCGAGATTCGACGTGCCTTTTGGCCTGCGAGGCAGTTCGATGTTATTCTCAAGAATTTGATCGACATCAAGCATACCCCCACCAAGATTGCTTTACTCTTTGACAAGGAGGTCAGTTTAAACCCTGTCTGTTCATGCTCCCGGCATGTATGTGGATAACTATCGATGTTGACTCCAGCCCGTTCTCCTTTTTTCTTTGCTTCTTATTTTACTTTCTATTTTTGCAGGTTGAAGTGATGCGGATATGTGGGAATCACAACAATATCGTTGAATTTTACGGCATCGCCACCAGACAGCAGCAGCACCAAGTCGAACGGTTCATGATTATGCGGTATTATGAGCGAGGAGACTTGGTGCGGCTGTTGGAGAGGCCACAGAATCCGTCTGAGGCACCTACTTTGATCGATAAATTGTTCCTTGCGCTCGATATTGCTATGGGATTGGAACATCTCTTTCGATGCGGCTTCCATCATGGAGATCTCCATCCAAAGAACGTTCTCATTGATGGCCGGCGCGATGACTCGCCTTCGTCCACATACTACAGGGCTCGGTATCAGGCACGACTAACAGACTTTGGTCTTCGCCGGATACGCGACAACAGGAACGCATATTCGAGTCAACCGCTTGCAGGAGTTCAACAATTCATGGCACCTGAGCGGATGTACAAGAATCGGCCGCGATACAATGTACGATGCGACATCTTCGCATTGGGTGTCATTTATTGGTACCTGATAGCTGAACGGTATCCATTCAAGAACTCACCGATTCTCATACCTGGCCAGCGAGAGGAGAGGGTAGAGGGCACACCCGATTGGTATCACGCGCTTTATACACAAGCATGGCACGAGGATCCAAATCAACGACAGCAGAGTCTGGAGGAGATTATACAGGTGCTCCATTACCAGCTTCGTGTTTCCGCTGTACCATTCCCGACAACAGGATATCAACAGTATGAAAACTCGCTCCACGATCGATCAGCAGCAGCAGCAGCAGCATACCCAACTCCTTCATCAGGACACGATAGCTTAGCTCCCCCTTCAATACCCGGTTATGACAGGACTCATCAACAATTTTTCTTTCCCTCAGTCAGCGGAACCGCTCTAAGGGGTGGTCCCATGGGACACCAAAACTTGGCTGTCCCACCATTGTACAGTGGAGCCCCATCAAGTGCCTCAGCAGGTCCCTCAACAGGTGCCTCCAACATGCCCTCGCCTACATTGACACAAACAATAGCATCTAAGGCTTCGGCAGCCAAGTCTACTAACCCAAGCCATCCAAGGAATAGAAAAGTCGTGGTCCCCAACGGCATGCCTGCCCGAGGCGGCTATCGCTGATACTAATGACCACATTGCTTTGGTTGCCATATCGTCTTCAAAAATAAAATCAGCTTTGAACATATCATTGTTTTGTTTGCCCATGAGACGCGGTCTAGGTCGTCCTAAAGCACTGCGCACTCTGCATTGAGCACCCTGTGAGACCAAAGGTGCAGAACGCAGCTTTTTGCTCTTTCAGTTAACAGTTACATTCACCAGCTTCGAACCACACGCCATGAACGGAGTCCCGCAAGACATGGAGGTAAGGGAATCTCATGACGATTCGACAGATGAATGAAAAAGCCAAGTTCACGCTGATCATCTTGTATTTTAGGTCAATAGTCCTCCAAGCGATGGTATCTCCGAAATCCAGTTTTCCCCACAGGCCGATCTTTTAGCGGCGTCCTCCTGGGATAACAACGTATGGCCTCTTAACTTTCAACAACCATCAAACAAGGACAGAATGTGTATGGATATAGTGGAGTATTGACGGATATATTACTATCTGCTATCATGTTATTATGTATATGTTTATATGTTTCTAGGTCCGCATTTATGAAGTCTTGGCTAACGGATCTAGCGCTGTGAAAGCCCAGTATTCACATGATGGCCCAGCATTATGTTGCGCGTGGAGTAAGGTGGGTTCGTGTAAACGTTTTTGGGTACAAAAACTAGAAAGGACATCGCTAACCATGGCCATCGGTCCACGCTGCTTTGTCTAGGACGGAACCAAGCTTGCTTCAGGCGGTGCAGACAACATTGCTAAGCTATTTGACATCACTACGGGACAATCGACTCAGGTAGCACAACATGATGCTCCGATCAAAGAAGTTCGCTGGGTGGATGGACCCAACCCAATCTTAGCCACAGGAGGTTGGGATAAGACCGTCAAGTACTGGGATACCCGTCAGCCAAAGGCCATCGCAACCATCGTGCTGCCGGAGCGACTCTATGCCATGGACAGTGTGTTTCCGATTCTGGTTGCAGGCACAGCGGAGCGTCATGTGGTCGTCTACAATCTTAACAATCCGTCGACGCCGTTCAAGGCCCTGACCAGTCCACTGAGATGGCAGACAAGGACAATATCGTGTTTTCCGAAGGGAAACGGGTATGGACTTGGAAGCATCGAGGGCCGGTGCGCGATGCAGTATCTTGAGGACAAGGACGCGGCGCTGAACTTCACGTTCAGGTGTCATCGTGAGGGAGGACAGACGGCGCGGGATGATTTTACGGTGTATTCGGTGAATTGTATCAATTGGCATCCAATCCATGGAAGCTTTTCCACGGCGGGTTCGGACGGTGGGTTCGCATTCTGGGATCGAGATGCGAGACAGAAATTGAAGTCGTTTCCCAAAGTCGGGGGACCGATTTCATCGACGTGTTTCAATAGGAACGGAAGCATCTTTGCGTATGCTATCAGTTATGAGTGGAATAAGGTAAGAGACCAAGAGTCACGTATGAGCCTGGCATTTGTGGACGCACCCTTTGTTCTCCCCACCCTTTCCAGTAATAACGGTTCGATGGTTTATTCATTAGGGTCATGCCGGTGCACTGCAGCAGGGCCCCAACAAGATCATGCTCCATGCGGTGAACGACGTGGATGTCAAGCCAAGAAGGCGTTAGAGATATTATAAGGCAAGGCAACGACCAAATAAATCATTCTTAACATCCAGTTTTATTGGGTCATGATGGTACTATCTTCTTTTCTTGCTTGGTTATCCGTTGGCGTTCAGGGATCGGTTCTTCTGTAGCAGCAAGCAGGATTGATATTTGAAACTGGAGTGTGTACGCCTCTTGAAGGAGTTCTGCCAGCGTCTCGTCTCGGGTCTAAGAACAATAAAAGAAGAATGCATTAGGATCCCAGCTGTCCAAGGTACAGATATCTGTTTAGTCCTTTTGAAGGCAATTAAAGTTGGAACATACAGGTGCCTCTGGAGATCCTGTGGATGTGGATGATGCAGAGAGGGGCCTCTGTTCCCTTGATTTGGCGAGTCGCTTTTGGATGGTGTGAAGGCGGTAGCGGAGGTCGTCCAAGGCGCCACACGAGTTTGTGGCGCGCTGGAGGATCAGTTGGTTGTCAAGCATTGCACTTTGTGCCATGGCGGAGAATTAGTTCTTGTATTACTTGTGTTGCGTCCTTCGTGGATGGTTGGTGGTTGAGTCGAGGGCTGCTGGTCAAGGGTCAAGTCGATGGCTGAAGAAGGTGATGGTGAGAAGCGGGGCAGAAGTAGTCGTCGTCGAGGTCGTCTTTAAGCGTGAGACAGTCACCGTGCCTGAGGTTGTTTATGATTCCTGCACGGAAGGGCACAGTGGACCCATTCCTTCCTTCCTTCTTGCCTTCTTGACCACCATACAACTGATCAGCCATGTTTGCCCGGACATCCTCATTCACTCGCGCACTCGCACAGACCCGCCCCTCGGTATCCTTCTCAAGGGCCTGCTTGCTCTATACCACCGAGGGTACCTTTCTTTGTCTTCATATTCGTTTTTCAATGGAGGTCATTGATATCAGGTTAATTGATGCCAATTAATATGTCCATGCTGCTTCCCGCTCAACAGCTGCCCCTGCCACTCCCCAATTGCTCGTCCGCATCAAGGCCGATGTCAAGGATGCGATGCGTTCAAGAGACAAAGAGAGATTAGCTGTGATTAAGGTATGGATAGAGGTATCCGATCAGACCTAGCGGTTGTATCTTAGGGCTCCTGCACCTCATTAACGTTAACACCTGCACCTACACTTGCATTTCAACTTCCATCACATATGTCTCCCAGGGAGTCCTTAGCGACCTCACATACCTCGAAAAATCCCCCCAGGCCCCTGCCCAGGTCACAGACTCGGTAATTCAGGTCCTGATCCAAAAGTCGATCAAAAGACGCGAGGAGTCTATTCTCAACTATAAGACCGCCGGTCGTGCCGAGCAAGCGGATCAGGAGCAGAAGGAGATTGAAATGTTGAAGGTGTACCTACCCCAAGCCATGACGGAGCAGGAGATTGAGGAGGAGGTGCGCCGGGTGGTCAAGGAGCAGGGTGCGACTGGCCCTAAGGATATGGGCAAGGTCATGAAGGAGCTGGGTGGACTCGATCCGGCAAGGGCACCCAAGAAGGCCGTCAGTGACGCGGTCAAGAAGATCCTCGCCTCGCTTTAGACCTCTGGACGCTGAGGCTCTCTGTTGATATATAATAAAGTCATTTTCAAAAGACGCCGCCACCATTTTTTTCGGTCGTTGGTCTGTGCGGCCACATTTTACAATTGCATCCGTCCAAAAGGGCACGGGTACACAGAGAGGAACGCGGCCCCCCCGTTGCCCGAGGCAGACACTCCTTGGCCGTTGTTGGATTCCAGATTCCCAACCTAGCCCATCTTTTTTTCGTTCGATTCACCTATCATCTCGCCAGCACCAGCAGTGCAGATCAGAACCGACGTACCTACAGTAGCACCATCTACCCACACGCGGCCCTTGACGTGTGCAGCTTGCCGCACAGAAACCCCGCATGCACTTACCAAGTCGTCGGCCCCAATGGTAACCTGATATCCTTTTCTCTCTCTCTTTGTTCTTTATGCGTGGCCATCAGTATCTGTACTCCACATTGCCATTCGGGCTAGTTGTGACAGACATGGCAACCTGTTCTTTATTTCTGTTTCTTCGTGCCACGCTCCCCAAAGAGAGGGGACCAAGAGAACGGTACCGCCCAAGCCGTTTATAAGGCCACCAGCTTTTGTTCGCCCCACTACCTTAAGACGTCCTCATATGCTAGACCTCTTCACGCACGTCTGTGTATTCCTTTCCTCTATCTTGCTCAAGCATACCCAATAGAGGCGTTTCTGGTGCCCGTATCGTCCTACAGCCCCTATATAAACCCCTAAAACCTTATCCATTGCTTTAGGCTAATAACAACACCTCAACATGGACTCCACTGCATCTCTCGCTGTCAACAGAAACGACGACCTAATTCCCATTACGGACACAACACGTCTTCTGAGCGTCCCCCCAATCCTCAACAACAGCACGACGTTGCTTCGAAGATTGCCCACCTCTGACGAGGGCAAAACGACCTACCTGGCCATTCCTTCCCCTGTATACACCTCTGATAAGAACCTTGACGACAACGAGGGCGGCAGGGACCAGTTCCTTAAATCTGTTGGCATCAAAGACTATGAAGACGACGAAGCCGGACTTTGCAGGTCCAAAGGACACAAAGACATGGAGTTCACCTTAGTGATCGTCTCAGACAACGATAGTATCAGCAGGTCAGCTGTTATGACCGAGGATCTGGACAATGAGGAACCAAAAGGGAGCGAAGATGACGCGCACGACGAATATGTAAGCTTTCATGCATAATCCAATCGCACTTTAACTCCAGTGACTGTCCTTATGAAAAGGAGAGTTTTAACGGCTCTGTTATCGCGCTGCATGATAGATCTCCAACAAAATGTTCCACCTGCAACATGGATTCAAGAAGGAAGAATTCGCTCAGGCAATCCAGAGTAGCGAGAACACCATAAATCCTGTTCAGAGACTGAGGCTCATTCGTCGATCCCATACCTGCAACTTTATGGTACGCATCCAAACACCCCGCCTTCCGGAATTCTACATGTTAAATCAGTACCTAACGCACCGTATTCCTACTGCATATGAAAATTATAGCTACTGGTCGAGCAACTGAACGCGATGAGAACGGCCGCAGCGATGCTGCAGTTCGAGCATGCAGCCGTGCTTGATCTCGCGGCCGAAAAGTGCGAACGCGTCTTTATGCGCCACCAAGACTTTGACCAGGTTTGTCATCTATGGTTACACAGCCAACCCTCATTGGCCCAATTTTTTACACAGCGCGTACTTGCTAAACCTTCGTTATTTTTACCCTAAGATCCTGGAGTCCGAGCCAAGTCAGGCCCATGCAATCAGAGCTTTGCACACGCTGGTGAAGACATGTTGTCAAGATACTACCGAGCTGATCCAGGACTGGGCCATGGTTTACCACACTCTCTATGAACTCACCCAGCGTATCACCTCCCTCTCTGCTGGAGCTCATCCGTCAAAAGCATCGGCCCAACGCCGTTTCTTATTTTCCAAAAAGCCCGCCGAGATGACCACACCTGAGATCCCAGGGGAGATTCTACAGCATCAGAAGAACGTCTGCAATAACTGGGCGGCGCAGATGAAGGCCTTTGAACAACTTTCACACGCCTGTTGGGCCTTTGTAGATCAGGCGACCGAGTTTGCAGTGATTGACGAGATCGAAGCCGTGAGCAGGTATTGCGGCGACGAGATCAACCAGATCTTTTTGAAGTCCCAGGCGACGTTCCTTAACACGAAGCAGCTCAGTCATCTGCACTTCCATATCGACTATACCAACTTCAACAAGACCCTGCCGAAGGAGAATGCGTTGACCACAGCTGAGGAGCGTAAGGCTCACCCTCTGCGTCCGCTCTTCACAAGAGACATGATTGGTCAGCATCGACTGGTTCGTGAAGGAAAGTTGAAAGAGTTCGTGTCGCCATTCGCGGCTTCTGCTGGATCAAGTAAGAGGAATGCGAAGGCTCCGGCGCCCAAGGAGTATCAGCTTATTGTAACATCAGATACGATCTACCTCTGCGAGATCGTCATGGCCAATGGTGCGGAGGACAACGGCAGGAATAGCAAGAAGCGTAGGCCAAAGAAGCTGTCCGACAAGCGGTATCGTCTTGCGCATGAACCCGTCTTGGTAATCGATTCGCAGATCTCGTCGACGCCTGACATTGTCCACCCACCACTGGTGCAGAAGAACATGGTCATGGTATGCTTCTATAATCAGACGAGTTATATCCTTCAGGCAGAATGCTCTGAGGAAAGGGATGCCTGGGTCGAGTGTGCTCGCCAGTTGAACATTGAACAGCCCAAGCCTACGGATGCCTGTCGCGAACAGGATGAGAATGGTAAGTTCAGTCAGCAATCCACTATAAAATATGCCACAAGATTTGTATTCTAACTCAATTAGTTGTGAACGCGTCCTTGTGTACATCAGCGGAGATCCAGCGTAGTATGAGCTTAGCCAGCTTCTACACGATCGGCAAGAGCATAATCAACAAGAATTCGCTCTTCAAGCGACTTAAATCCAAGCGTCGTCAGGGTAACCGCCTTGCTGAAGGTATGGGTCCCATTCCCGAGATCGACCCCGACCAGCTCACCCGGACCGAGGAAGAAGAAAAGGCGCGAAGGATGCAACTCGGCCAGACCTCAGTCTGGGAAGTCCGTCGCCTGCCTCTGGATCTGGGCGTGATCCCACCTTTGGAGCACCCGATTCCCTTCCGCAAGAGCCATTTGTACGACACCAACGTCAAGATTGTGGATTTGACGACGGGAAAGATGGCGCCTGGCGAGTTCGGTATGGGAGTTGAGGATCGCGCGGCCTATTTCAGAGACGAATGCGCGCTCTTTGCGGTCCTGCGACCTGCACGTCTAATCCCGTTCAACGAGATCGATCGCCAGCGCGACGACTTCTTCTTGTGCTGCAAGCGTCTCCACAAAGGCGAGATCATGTATGTGGAGCCACCTTATATCACTGACTTTTATGCCCGGAGCTGGCTTCATCCAGATATGCATATCAAATTTGACGTGGAAAGTAGGTCTGTGATGATTGCAAAGATGTACAAGATCATCTGCTCAACCTCGGAGATTGTCATGGAGTTCCAGAAATACCATGCCTGGCTTATGAAGGACGCAAGGATCTCGCCCGATAACACCTTCCTCTGTATGGATTACCGTTCGCACCCTCTTCGTATCGCCAAACGGATTGAGCGAGCTATCACATCATCCTCCGTAGCGACAGACATGAGGATTCTGGAGGCAGGCCGCAAGTACACCGAGCTAGGAGAGTGCAACATTGAATTCCGTCGAATGTCTAATGCGCCCGACGCGCTCTCAATCGGATTCTACAACTCGGTAACAAAGCGCGATATGGCTATTGGTGTCATGGTCTTTGATAAGAGCAAGGTCAAGGCAACGGCCTCGAGTCTGGGTCTGGACGCGCTCAGTGCCCTGGGAGCGTCTAACGGTGTTGTTCGAGTCTCATCTACAGAAATGTCCCTGACGCTGTGGCAGACCGATGCCCGTACCAGGCCGACGTTTGTCAAGGGTCAGCGCATCTTTGAGACGGTCAAGTCCAAGTCGCTGGATATGTTCAAGATCACCGGCCAGCGGGAGGCCCTGGATGAGCTCGAGGGATTTATGCGCGTCAAGAACGGGACTGACTGCAAGGCGCGAGAAATCCGAGAAACCTTGAAGTTGGTTAAGATTGCGTTCCATAATGAGGTTTTGGACGCGCCTTTGGAGGAGGAGGAAAAGAGAGAAGGAGAAAAGGAAAAAGAAGAACAGAAGGAACAACACGAAATCACTGAGCAGGCTCACAAAGAGAAGCAGGAGCAGGCGATTCTGGGACAGGGACATTTTTCGACAAGTATTTTGGGTCGTCGCCCGGACGGTTACCTCGAGACTGTGCTAGAGGAAGAAGAGGAGGAGGAGGATGAAGAGCAGGACCACGGGAACCTGGAGATGTCCGATGACGCGATCAAGGCAGGCTCTACTGATACCTTCCGCTTCAAAAGCAGGAGTGCCTTGCTCTTCGTGGAAGGGCACCAAATGGAACAAGACACTGCTCAAGAGTCCTCAGTAAAGATCCCGAGTGTATTTTTGCCCGTGATCGAAACTTCCTCCTTCATCGATCTGGTCACTGCGTCTGTCATGGGCGAACTACTAGGAAAAAAGGGCGGATCGGCCGAAGATGAGGAAGAAGCGATGAAGACACTTATTGGCGAAGTTAGTCAGTTTCGGACCAAGACCACGAGTGCCACGGCTGTCATGATTTGCTCTCCATCGTTGACGGCCATCAAGAACACCGACGCTGCTGTTAATACAGAAGATGCGTCGTCTTCATCCTCCGGAGAGGAAGCACATACGCCCGAGCCTACTTCTGAGCTCGAGACTCGCGTGAATATGGTCAAAACTGCGGTCTTGCATTCGTCTATCAATACCGGCAAAGAAACCCATTTTCAGGTGAATGAACATGGTGTTATTCGGGCTACACGCTATGTTCACAGGATGGCAGTCGCAGCCGACGGCGCTGTGGCTACGAACATCAATGATGATATCGTACCCGGTATCGATATGGAGCACCACATGCCTGTCAAGGACCTGACGAAGCGCTGGGAGGAAATCTACCGTCTCGGCATGTAATTTTTCAACTCGTACATTCCAAACAGATATATTGCATATGAATGTCTCTCTACTATGATACATGGGGTGCCATTATTATTTAAGGATTATTAGATAAACGGTAAGAGATCGAGAAAAGTGAGGAATGAAAATAAGAGGATTACGCAGAATACGATGAGATTCATCTAGTTTTAAGGAAAGGGCTTTAAAGGTCATCAAGGAGCTTGTATTTAGTAGTCAACAGCCCATCCGTTCTTGGACAAATAGTCTTCGCAGGCTTCTTTGAGTGCCCGGTTAGGAACCACGTCCCGCTCTGTGAGCGGCATTTGTGCGACGGGATCAAACATGCGTCCATGACTAAAGTGTTCCAGAAGAGTGGACCGCTCATAGCTGATACCAGACTTTGTGGAGATGACAGGATCGTGCATGATTTCGAAGGTGATTTTGTCCAGAAGATAGTCAGGGACCTCCCTGACCTGAAATGGAAGCTGAGCTTGAGGATTTTTCGTTTCTGAGAGATCGGGCGATGCTTCTGGGGATGCCAGTGCCGATTGACCCTTAGGTTGGAGATAGGGCCTCGCGTATTCATCGGGCGACCCTGCACGTTGCATCAGTGTCTCGAGCTGTCGCAGACGGTAGTCTCTGTCTGATCGAAGGTCCGCTGCGATGTCTTCGTAATCACTCGCGTTCTTGTCATGGGCGTCCATCTGGCGCTGAATGTCCTGCTCCACGAGATTAGAGAGGTAACGATATACTTCCGAGACCTCTGAAAGTTTCCTTCGTTCCTCCTCAAGCCATTTCTGTTTCTTTGCCTCTGAGATGACCGCGACAATGTCCTTGATGAATGTAGCGCGAGATTCTAACGCCAACTCATATGCTTTTTTTTTTTTTTTTGGTGGTGGTGGAACAACAATGGGCTTCGATTAGAGTGACAATCATCCAGTATTCGAGATATATAGCGATTCTGAGAAAATAAAAACAGGACATGTTTGAACATACATTTTTTCAACGGAGGATATGCTTCTGATGGTCGTCCAAGTTCCAGTTGCGCTTTGCCCATCTAATACATCAATGAAAAGAAATGTTGGGTAAGTTCAATGCTCCCTTTCTGGTTCGAATATAGCTTGCAAGGAACCTTTGCGCTTAGTCACTTGCGAAAAAATATCCTTTCACTGTAGTAAAGAACATTGCCAACAGAGAAGGGTAGTGAAAGAGGAGAAACAAATTAGTATCGCATCCTCTCAATGGTGGACCCAACAGGCAAAAAGCGGCTTTTCCACACTTACCTGACTTGGGATCCAGTTCAATAACCCTCTCACAATCAGCTATCACCTTTGTGTATTTTCCAAGCTAGAAATATTTGATATCATTAGCAACAAGGCATGATCCAAGCGGTGACAATTCACAATGTATTTTTGACCATGGACTGTTTCTTTCGTGCAACTCACCTTGAGATAGCAATTCGCCCTGTTGCAATAATACGTTGCCATCTTGGGATCCTTGACCTATGTTAAGGTGAATACGTGGCGATATGAGAGTGGGAGAGTAAGTAAAAAAGAGCAAGATAAGCGGGAGCGGATGACAAGTGCTGGCACAATGGAGCAGACGTACAATGGCAGTTGAGTACTCATGAATGGCATCGTCGTAAGCCATTGCCTTGAAGAATTCATTTCCCTTTAGCTTGTGTTCTTCTGCGGTGAGATTGGAGGCCATGTTTCTTTTCCTTGTCCGGTCCTGTTTATTTCGAGTGTTTCTTCGCTTTCGCCCGTATGCTGGTGACTCCTTCGTCCTGGTTTCGAGTTGCTGGTAAGCGCCACTGTCCGCTGAGGTAGGCCTGGTGTAAGCTAGAATGAAGAATGGGTGGAGGTCGAATGAAAAGAGGAATGGGATGGAGATGATTGAACAGCCTTTTCAGCGCTATATAGATTATTAATTGGTGGAAGCGCATGGAAGTATTTGGCATGGATTTCCTTCGGCAGATTCTGGAGGAGTCAAATTTGGAATGAGCTGTGTGCGCACCCCAGGGGTCGATCGCGTGTCAGAGGTAGTCAAAGTAAGCGGACAGGAGCCCTTAAAAAAACGCGGTGCCTCGCGGAGTCGCACAGCAAATTCCTCCCGTCACCATGCCTTCTTCTGATTACCGTATCTGCATGCGTGGCTCTCGATGATACCAGGGACAGACCCCGGACATCGGCTAAACCATGGATAAGGTCTAACGTCGGATCATTCCGCTGACTGGTCAATTGCTTTGCTTCCCAGGCGGCGATCGAAGATCCGTCCTCTCCCACTCTTCGGTCTGAGTTTGCTATGGCCACAGACACATGTTGTTCTGCGTTCTATTCATACACATTCATTCATATGCACACCTCCGGTTTGTCTTTTCGCCATCCTCATCCTCTTCTTCATTCCTCATTCCTCTCTTCATTCCCTCTTCCTACCTTCTCTCCACCTTGGTTCCCCTCACTGGCCCTCTGATAATTCAAAATGATCTTCCAGTCCTCCGATCCTGACCCAATTTATCCCGTCCTCGACATCTACCACTTCCTCGAATCCAACCCTTGCGGAGTCCAGCCAGGCAAGAAGGTCTTTGTCGATCCCGATACTGAGGACCACATCACCTTTGGCCAGTTCCAGCTCGAGACCAAGCAATTCGCCGCTGGTCTCCAGGACACGCTCGGTTTCAAGGACAAAGACGTCCTTGCTGTCTTCTCATGCAACCAGGTACCGCCCGTCTCTACTATTAGTCTAAATATTGCTCAAGATAGACGAAAATGCTTGCTGCTGTGCTTCCATCAAACTGAAACCTGCTCTATCAACTAGTACGACTTTGGTGTCCCGATCCTCGGTACACTCTGTGCAGGGGGTAGGGTGACAACCGTCAACCATTCCTACACCCTCACCGAAGTCGTCCACCAGCTCAAAGACTCGGGTGCAAAGTACATGGTCACCACCATCGATCTGCTCCCCACAGCCACGAAGGCAGCTGAGGTCTGCGGCATTGCACCTGAGGCCATCCTGCTTTTCGGTGGATCGGACGATCCTGTCTCTGGCAAAAAGTCCTACAAGAGCATCTATGGCAAGCGTCTGGCGGTGCCTGCCAAGATCGCTATGGACGACATTGCTTATCTGTGCTACTCCAGCGGTACCACTGGTAAGGGCCTTGTAGAAGCACTAAACATTCTTGTACTGCCAGACTTTCTCACAAATGCTCTTATACTTTTACATTGCAGGCAAGAGTAAAGGCGTGATGCTCACACACCGCAACATCACCTCGAACCTTGTCCAGATCATGAGCTACGATGCCGAGGTCATCAAGCAGAAGGACCTGGTTATCCTCGGCTTTCTGCCACTATACCACATTTACGGTCTTATGAACTGCCTTCACATCTCGCTCATCACCGTACGTCTGCTTGCCTCGGTGTCTAAACCCTAGTTGTATATCTTTATGCCTCATTTCTCACTCTTTCCGTCAACTCTAGGGCACGGAGACGGTGATCATGCCAAAGTTCGATTTGCCTTCGTTCCTGCAAAACATCCAGAAGTTCAAGGTTACGAATACGTTCATTGTGCCACCTGTGGCCCTTGCTCTGGCTAAGCACCCCATGGTCCTGGATTACGACCTCTCCTCTCTACGCCACATGGCCTGTGGAGCTGCTCCCCTACCCAAGGACCTTTGCGGATTGATCGAAACCAGACTAGGTGTTTACTGCCGCCAGGGATTTGGAATGACTGAGGCATCTCCATTAGTGTGCTGTGTGAGGCCCAGCCAGCGTGCCCCTGATGGCTCCGTTGGTCCTCTTGTTGCGGGATTGCAGGCCAAGGTCGTTGACCCGGAGACTGGAAATGGTATTGTGCTAAACACGTGTGAAATGGTTAATAATTTCTCTACCAGGGCCTTGATCTGATACCAGAGATATACAAAAAAATGCGTGCCCTAATTTACGAAAATAGAACTCGGAGTTGGACAGCCAGGCGAATGGTTGCTGAAGGGCCCTAATGTGATGAAAGGATACCTCAACAACACTGAGGCGACCAAGCACACTATCCGCGAGGACGGATGGATGCACACCGGCGATATCGTTTATGTCGATGAGCAGGGCAACTGGTTCGTGGTGGACCGTCTAAAGGAACTGATCAAGTACAAGGGATTCCAGATCCCTCCTGCTGAGCTCGAGTCGCTCCTGCAGACGCACCCCAAGATCATGGATGCTGCTGTCATCTCCGTTTACGACGCCAATCAGGCGACCGAGATCCCCCGCGCGTATGTTGTGCCACGCGACCCTGCCACAGCTGATACGGCACTCAAGACGGAGATCGAGGCGTTTGTGGCGTCGAGGGTAGCGCCTCACAAGAAACTGCGCGGAGGCGTTGTGTTTACGCACGAGATTCCCAAGTCTGCATCGGGCAAGATCCTGCGCAAGGATATCGTTAAGATGGACCAGGAGCAGAACCAGTCTGCATCTGAGCTCAAGGCGCATCTCTGAAACGTTTTAGGACGCTGTCTTCTGCATCATTTAGATACCCGTGGAAAAGATGTTTTCTTTTGTTCAATAATAGACATTTATATCATAAGAACGCTTCCTTGACAGTAGTGGTTGTGTCTCTCTGCCCTTCCATATCTCCCCTCTTTCACGAACAATGACAATGACGCGCTTTGCAGCAGACACCTTTTATAGCGTTCATGTTGGACCTACTTCTTCTGTTACGACCTATTATCAAAATGTGCTTTCCGTTTCTCCCGCGGAAGAGATTTGTTTGTATGGCCAAGTGTTGTTTGCGTAAGCTAAGCCTTGTCGCTTGTTCCTCATATGGCTCTGTTGTATTTGGACTATTGGCATGGATACCGTGCTCTCAGATTACCATCCGTCGGCAATATTACAAAGCCCACCCGCTTTTATTTTATCTGTCCTCCCGCCCTGGAGGCCTGGAGCGGTAACGGCATGGGATAGTCTTTTTAAGTGTGTGCCTGCAGCTATACGTCTGCGGCGATGGGTGTAAAAAGTAAAATTGACCTTCCGACGCGATCACACCTCGTCCTTTTTATCGCCCATCTCTCTTTTCTCTTCCTTCTCTTCTCTTTTCTCTTCTTCTTCACCCCTCTTCCTCCCTTCCCTAACATCACCCTTCCCTCCACCACACGGACAATGCCTCACCTCCACTCCCACCACGGACACGAGACCGACCCTCTCCTCGAGCGCGTCGAGCGTGGCATCACCGGCCACAGCCACTACGAGCCCCACAGCAAGTGGGCTGGTGTCCGCCACAAGGTGCGTCTGTCAGCCTTCCCCTGTCCTGTTCAACGCAAGACGCTCGTTATCAAGTAAAAGAATAGAAGTGCAATGGCATACAATTAAACATTTTTTTTTCCTGTTACAACAATAGTTCAGAAAGGCATTCGCCGAGTTCTTGGGAACCGCCATCCTGGTCGCTTTCGGTTCCGGCGCCATTGCTCAGCTCGTCTTCTCACCCAACAACTCGTGGTTCACCATGAGCCTCGGATGGGGTTTGGGTTTGACCTTCGGTATCTATGTCGCTGGAGGCGTTTCTGTAAGTACATCAGCGATTGTATCTCATCTAAAGTGTCGACACATTGAAAGCAAAGTTTTTTTTAGAAGCAGCGGGAAAGTTACGCGTTTTGGTTATCACATTGCAGAAGGATACTTCTCGGACATAAGCTGACAAGGACTGAAAAGAGAGGCAACTTACGCGCATCTACGGATGACGGGTTCATCCTGTTCTCTAATCATCCTTGTCGAATGCCATAGACACTTCTCACCACCGTTCTACATCGCACTTCTCTTCAAATCCAGGCTCATAACTCTTCATTTCTTTTATGTCGATTGGATGAAACAAACAAATAGGGTGCCCACTTGAACCCTGCTGTCACTCTTGCCCAGGCCATTTTCCGTGGATTTGCCTGGGCCGAGGTGCCAATTTATTGGATTGCTCAGTTCGCCGGTGCCTTTGCTGGTGCCCTCATTGTCTACATCACCAACCACTCTGCCATCAAGGCTGCTGACCCCCAGGCTACCATCGGCATCTTCATCACTGGCTTGCAGAGCAAGGATGTCTCCACCACTGCTGCCTTCATTGCTGAGTTCCTTGGTACTGCCCTCTTGGTCCTTGTCATTCTCTCGACCTCGGACAAGGGCAACACCCCAGCCGGCAACACTCAGCCCTTGATCATCGGTCTCTCATTGGCCGCCATCGGCACCTCATTCGGCTACCAGACCGGCTTTGCCCTCAACCCTGCTCGCGACTTGGCTCCCCGTCTCTTCACTGCTCTCTTTGGCTGGGGCTTTGATGCCTTCACCCGCCAGAGCTGGTACTTCTGGGTTCCCATCGTCGCTCCCTTCCTTGGTGCCATTGGCGGTGCCTTCACCTACGACCTCCTCGTCTACGCGAGCGGCCCCAGCCCCCTCAACAACTAAATTGGATGCGGCATGCTGTAGAATCTCTTGTATCGTGATATAGTCTGGACTGGAGTTGTATATACATATCCCTAGGTTTCGACGCCGTACGTACCTCTGTGTGGGCATGCAAGGCGCTCAACTAAAATAAAATATAAATATATGAAAAGGGCAAGGGCACAGCACTTGAATCATGGCATCAACTGCCTATTGCTTTACCAACGATATTCCCACGTTGGTCATAAAGACAAACGTTTTTCTAAAGAAGAGTTCAAAGAGATGATGGCCGGGTATCTGCACCATCAGAACTCAATAGGCTGAGAAATCAATGTGGTGTCCGTTACCACTGTCCATCCGCATCTGCTGCGTCGTGTACTCTCATCGAAGTAGTAAGCCCTGATCGGTAGTAATCCGCCGCTTTGATCGCACAACACGTCGGCATGCAGTTCGAAGCTGTATTGCATGGGTGTAGCGCACATATTCCTTCAGCCAAGGCTGAGAGATTTCCTTGGATGTTCATTTCTGAATCGTATCCTCATTTTTTTTTGTATGGGCATCAAAACCTCCAACGATCGCATCCAAGGATCTCCACTGAACTACCTGGCGCTTAAGTCCCCTATAAAACGAGACATATTCCTCAAAAAACGTAGCCCGAACCATCATATCTCTTCGACCTCTTCCGAACATTTACAAGACATCAGAGAATCCTTTCATTCACCTGAATTTATTCTGCATCCATGGCTCCACGTACAGTGGCCCTTCTTCTATCGATTGCTCTGCTGGCTCCAGTCGTATTCAATGCCTCGTACGCGGTACCCGTTGTTTCAAGAGACACTTCTCTCTCGGTTCGATCAAACGGGGCACTTGTAAGACACGAGGTCCCCAACAATGAAGGCTTCCATCGCCTTACTCGCCGATGCGACGACGATAACGATGACGATGACGATGACGACGGTGATGATGATGATGATGACGACGACGACGGCGACTGCGATGACTACGATAATGATTGCCATAGACTAAGACGGCATCGCCATCGTCGCGAGAGACCCCGTGTCCTTCGCGTGCCCGAGCCGATCAAGGTTCCCAGGCCATTCCCTGTACCAGCCCCTTTCCCGGTCCCCCAGCCCGTGCCAGCCCCAGTCCCAGTGCCAGCTTCGGTTCCCGCTACACCGCCATTCGGTGGTTCAGTTTCCTTTGGATTTGGCGGCGGATTTGGAGGACCCATTGGTCCTGGCGGTCCTGGACCTTTTTAAAGGTCATTGACAGGGAGCAAACTCACGGTAGATAGGAGAACATTTGCAGCAGAGTAATACCCAATCATGTAATGTATACTCGCGCCATGGAAAAATAAATACACGAACATATAGAAACCCTCTGCAACGTGGCTATAGCTTGTCAAGGTCCTCTTTAGTCACTGTGAATGCGATGTATAGTTCCTGGCGGAGCAGGTCTTTGGACCTTTGGGACCTCACGATGCTCTGACTCGATGTGAATGCAGTCACCCAGGGCTGCTCAGCCCCGTCTGGTTGTTTACAATAAAAAGGCCATGGTCTGATGCGCATTTCTTTTTTCATCACCACTTTTCTGTCAAACATATACACCATGGCCACTGTTGTCATTGCTCAGAAGGCCGCAGTCCTGCCATACGGTATGGCTTCTGTTCCCATGCTGTCTTGCACTCGCAAACGCGCCTCTTGTCCTTTACTTAGATTTCAACAAGGTATACAAACATATGTTGACACCATTGCTTCTTGTGTTGCTTCGCTTCTTTAGCACCCATCGTGCTCGCTGCCGCACTCAACAACCCCACCGTCGTCAAGGTCGAGTACAAAAACGTTGCTACTCTTGCTGAGCATAACAATGCCACCGCTGCATTGACCGCCGACGGGTACTTGACCGAATCCTATCCGTTCTTGATCGACAGCAACGCTTCGAGTACTGATACAACTGTGATACTGATAAGCAGACAATCGTGCTTTCTATGTTAGATCAACTTTGACCGCCGTCAGCGCCATCCTCCGCTACATTGTTCGCTCGCACAAGAACACTCTTTACGGATCGGACCCTGCCTCTACCAGCTTGGTATGGCCCTCTGACGACCTAGGAGTTTTATTTTTTTATTTTTATACATACTTGTCAGGATGATATGGATGACTCGATAATGAGGCAGGAAGCATTGCTGACCATTTACAATTTCTTGTGGACATTCAATATAGATTGACGACTTTATCGACAGGAGCCAGGATATCATCAACACCTCGGACTTCAAGACCTTGGATGTGATCTTGCAGCAGCTGAACCACCACTTGACTCTTCGCAGCTACTTTGTCGGCTACAAGGTCTCTGTAGCTGATATCGCCATTTGGGGTGCCTTGAAGGCCAACGCTATCTTTGCTCGTCAACTCAAGACTGGAAAAGATCTTGGCGTCTATCTTGCCCGCTGGTTTAACCACATCTCGGCTCAGGCCTTTGTCGCTGTCGCGCTCGCAGACCTTGCCAAGGTTAATGAGGGCACCAAAGTTGTAAGTGCGGATTGCCATTTGAGATTTCGAAGTACAATTTTGCTGTGCATCAAGGAGTGGATGTTGCTACGGGGATCACGCTCGTTAAGTACCTAACAACTGGCGCGATTTTCTTTACCTATCATGGCAATCAAGGCCAAAGCCGATCAGGGTTCATTTGATATCAACTTGATTGGCGCTGAAATGGGCAAGGTCGTCACTCGTTTCCCCCCAGAGCCCTCTGGTTATCTGCATATTGGACACGCCAAGGCTGCTCTGTTGAACAAGTACTTTGCAGACCAATACAACGGGCGCCTCATTGTCCGTTTCGATGACACCAACCCCACGAAAGAGAAACTCGAGTATGAGCACTCAATCAAGGAGGATTTGCTCTTGATCGGCATTGACTCGTCGGTCGTCACCTATACCTCGGACTACTTTGATCAAATTTACGAGTTTGCGCTCAGATTGATCAAGGAGGGCAAGGCCTACTGTGACGACACCAGTCAGGAGCAGATGCGTGCCGAGCGTATGGACGGTATTGCCTCCAAGAACCGCGATCTATCTGTGGAGGAGAATCTGCGCCGCTTCGAGGAGATGAAGAACGCCACTGAGTTTGGCCAATCATGCTGTCTTCGTGCCAAGATCTCCGTCGATAACCCCAACAAGGCCCTCCGTGATCCCGTCATTTACCGCTGCAACCTCATCCCCCATGCGCGTACTGGGTGAGTCGATATTTTCTGCCACTTATTTGATCTTTGTCAACCAAAAGGAGTATGTTTCTGACAATGTTTCTTATTGCCTTTTATGCAAAATAGGGACAAGTGGAAGATGTATCCTTTGTACGATCTTGCGTGCCCTGTTGTCGACTCTCTTGAGGGTGTCACGCACGCTCTGCGCACGGACGAGTACCACGATCGTAACCCTCAATACCAATGGTTCCTCGACAACCTTGGCCTGCGCCAGGTCCACATCTGGGAGTATAGTCGCCTGAACTTTGTGTACACGCTTCTCTCGAAGCGCAAGCTGACCTGGTTCGTTGATCAGGATCGTGTTTCTGGATGGGATGATCCTCGTTTCCCGACCATTCGCGGTATCCGTCGTCGTGGTCTGACCATGGAGGCCCTCAAGACCTACATCTTGATGCAAGGAGCCTCGACCAACTTTATTACGCTGGAGTGGGACAAGCTGTGGGCTGTCAACCGCAAGCAGATCGATCCCATTGCTCCTCGTCACACTTCTGTCGACGCCCAGAACAAGGTCAAGGTCACAGTTGCTGGAGCCGAGCCCTACAACTTCAAAGAAACTCCTCGCCACAAGAAGAATGAGGCTTTGGGAAACAAGAGGACGTTCTACGGCCCTACTATTTGGATGGACCAGGCGGACTGCAAGGAGCTCGAGGTGAACGAGGAGGTGACGCTGATGGACTGGGGCAACGCGTTTATCCGGTCGATCGAGAAGAACGCCGAGGGCATTGTCACTGGTGTTCAGGCCGAGCTTCACTTGGAAGGAGATTTCAAGAAGACGAAGAAAAAGCTGACATGGTTGGCGAATGGTCCTGAGCTGGTGAATGTCGAGTTGATGGATTACGACTATCTGATCACGAAGAAGAAGATGGAGGAGGACGACGAGCTGAAGGATTTACTCACCCCCGTGACAGAGTTCAAGACCGAGGCCATTGCGGACGGCAATGTTGCGGAGTTGAACAAGGGCGATATCATCCAATTTGAGCGCAAGGGATACTACATTGTCGATGCTGTTGCGACGCCAAGCACACCCGCGCGTTTGATCTTGATCCCCGACGGCAAGGTCGCGTCGATGACCTCGAAGGCTGCGCCCGTCTCGCAGGCTGAGCTCAAGGATGCCAAGAAGAAGAAGGAGAAGGGCGCTACTGCTTCTGCAGATGCCAAGGCAGGTGCTGCTGCCCCTGCGGTCTCGGGCAAGAAGGCCAAGGCCGCCGCACACGCCGCTGCTCAGAAGCCCGTCCCGACTTGGACTGGACCAGGCCCCAAGCCTGATGAGATTGTTGAGCTCGAGGCGAAAATCGACGCTCAGGGATTGAAGGTCCGTCAGCTGAAGACCGACAAAGCAGATGCGGACCAGGTCAAGGAGGCGGTTGACGAGCTCTTGGTGCTCAAGAAGCAACTTCCTGAGCGTATTGAGGCCCTTCAGCAGTTAGCTGCCGCTGCCTCTGCTGCCGCCGAGAATTTTAGTCTGTAAAGATACAACAAGACTCGTATTATTAATTTTTTTTTTCTTTGTCCTTGTTCATATGCACATACAAATAAACTCTTGATTGGGTTGCAAAAGCAGAAGAAAGGAAATAGTTTTACTTGTGTATGAGTATGTATATAGTACAGAGATAATAATGGCAAGATGCAGAGAGAAGACTAATAAAAACAGAAAGCAAAATAAAATAAAATAAATAGACTAAATGGATAAAGAGTAATGGAGGGTTTCTACTATTACTCCTCTTCCTCCTGGATGGCCGCAGGAGCCGCGCCTGAACGCTTGCCCATCGCGACCGCCATACTCTGTCGTCGACTCGAATACGAATCCCGCTTTGCGCCAGTGGCCGTGCTATCGTATGAATGATCCATCCCCCCATGTCCATGTCCGTGTCCATGGGCAAGCCCACTGCTACTCGAAACGCCCGCTCCGCCCAGCCCACCCAATCCCCCAAGTGCAGCACCTCCGTATTCCCGTTTCGGGAAGAAACCCGTTCTTGGACGTGGGTTAATCTTCATCGCTGCCGTGGCCTCATACCCCGCATTCGGTTGATGTTGGTTCTGTTGGATCTTCATCAATTGCTCCCGCTGCAGCTGCTGGAAATTCTGTTGCTGCTGGAGCGTCATGTTCGCCATCGAGCCCGTGCTATTCCTGTAGCCGCGTCGACGGCCCGCAAACGCATTGGGCGGGCCCGTCGTCGAGGAGAAGGAAGATGAGCCGCCCATTCCGGTGCCGTGACGTCCTCCAGGTGGGGTTAATCCCGTCGAGGAAGACGAAGCAGAAGAAGAATCCGCCTGGCTCGGGACCGCGGGTACATCTCCTGCAGCAGAAGCTGCTGGCAACCCTGGTTTCGAAAGACGTTTCGCAGCAAGGGGCTGGAATCCGGTAATGACCTTCCGGGGAGTGCTATCACGATACTCTCGGATCTTGGCCTGGTTCGAGAAATGCTGATCGAACGTAACCAACGGTCGAGAGGACGGTGAGGGAGGCGAAGTCGACGAGTCTGGGCCACCTCCGATGTTATCCTCAGTCGTCAAGTTTGAACCCCCGGTATAAGAGAAGCTCGACCTTGGAGGAGGATAGCTAGTCGAGAGTAATGTCGTCTTGGGCTCCTCGAGCAATCCTTGACCCCTGTCTATTGAGCGACCGAGAGAGTCATCGCCCGTCGACACTGGCACTGGCACTGGCACTGGCACTATGGTTGCAATCGTCGATCCTGAGCTGCGTACAGAGTCTGGACGAATGGGTGCTGGTGAAGGTGGAGGCGAAGGGATCAGACTGCATCCATCTGCAAAGTCCAACCGAGGCGCATCTGAATTAAACAACGGATCCTCATCATCCATCACTGACGTAGTCGTAGTGATCGTCGCAGTATCCGTGACCTGAGATCCATGCTGGTTCTCCCCTTCGGCATTGGCAACTTGGGTCAAAGATGACGAGGCTGATAACGAGGGCGAAATCGTAGCGATATCCGACTTTGAGGCCAAAGGATCTGTCGAGCTAGAAATCCTCTTATGCTGTCGAATCTCTGAGCCAGAACTGCCTACCTCAGCAGTCGAACTCTGGAATCCTCGTGGCTGTTGACCCTGAAACGATGTGTGTGATGGATAAGCATCCCTGCGCCGATTTGCCCTCCCCTCCTGGCCTGACCCAGATCGAGAAAGGTTACCCTGTTCACGCTGCTTCTCCTGCATTCTGTCGAATATGGGTGATCCTCCAGACAGGTCCCTAGGGGTGCCATGGTCCCTATACCTATCCTCGGCCGAAGCAGATATCGATCCTCTGGGGCTCGAAGCACCTTCATCATGGCTCACTCGAGAACCGTAGACATATGCAGCACGTTCACGCTCCATCTCCCCTCCACGACGAGGCTGGGCTGGCGACGCTGTTGGCGACTGGAACGTGGTCTTGGTCAACGAAGCCCTTGACAGATTCAGCGACGATTTTCTAGATCCAGATCCTGTACTATCCAGCGTCAATCCAAAGATATTGCGGTCCCGCATGCTGCTGCTGCTGCTCCTCCGACTGCTCATGCTTCCAAGGCTGGCTCGTTTAGAAGCAGGGACTGGTACTGCCGCTGTGGAAGATGTCGCATGAGGACTAGGTGGATCTGAGCGATCGATGCTCGAAGCCGCTGATTCGCTCGACTTTCGACCAAGCGACGCTGCCGTAATGCTTGTCCTGCTTGTCGTGCGTTTTTTGGGCCGAACTTCGTCCTGAATGATCACTCCATCGCCAAAAGACCTTGCCTGCGCCGCACGCATCGCGGATGCGTCATTATATTTGCTGCCATCCATCAATGGCACCATATCAGAGGGGTTATCGATATCCTTAGAGGAACGCGTGAACGTGGCTCGGGACGTAGAGTTTGGGGTCATTGCAGCCGATGATTTGGAACTAGAGGAGGACGTTACTCTAACCAAATGTGACGGCTCATCATGTCTACTGTCCCTACTATTCTTGAGGCTCTTGGTTAGGCTCTGGCGCTTTGAAGACTCTTGTGGAGAGTTGCTCTGCATGGGGAACTGGATCGGCTGCTGGACAAGAGGTGAGGATGGCGCAGACCTCGAGGGCTTGAAAGAGGAGAATGCGGTCATCAGCGATGGCATCGATGCCTTGGACGCCTTGATTGATGGTTTCCGTGGAGCATCCTTGTTGGTCACCAATGCATCTTTGGGCTGAGGTCCTGTCATCATCGGGGTTGGAATTTGAAGTGAGGGTGCGGATTGTTGTTTGGAAGACGTCGATAGCCGCCTTGTATGTCCGCTCTGTCCAGCCTGATAATTGTCTCCACTGGTAGGAGGAGCAGCGTTGCTGGAGGTCATGCTACTACTGCCCTTGCTCGATTTCTCCGCTTTCTCTGAAGACTTTGACTTCTTCGAGCCCGAGCTGTGCGCGCCCGTGGTCTTCTTTCGCGATCCACTGGATTTGAGATGGTTGTTCGCTGTCGCCGCAACAGCTGCGGCAACAATGTCGCTAATCTCGCCCTGGCGCTGAAGGCCATTCTTGGACTGAACGGAAGTAAGCGTCGAAAAAGAGCTGGATCCACCTGATACGCGTGGCGACGAGGGAGGTGAGGGCGAATGGGCGCGCTCCGGAAGAGCCGGCTGGTTCACTAGGGCTGCTGCTGCCGCGGCTGCCGCAGTAGCGCGCTGTCTTTCCTCGGGCGTAATCTTTGCAGATGAGGATGAAAACGAAGCGAGTCGTTGGCGAAAGCTCATGGTCGGGGCAGAGGTCGCCAAATTTGATGCTGATTGTCCACCACTGGACGTCAGGGATGACGACGAGGATCCCTGGCTGTTAGGCGACTTCCAGATGGGCTGGAAAAAACTGGCAGGTATGGCGGGTATCTGGGGTCTCGCGTCCTCCAAGGAGGACGTTGAAGACTTGGTCGTGGTCACAGGCACCGGGATAGTCTCCGCTGTCGAAAACGATCTGTTGTTCAGGCGCTTGGGGACCTTGGCCGCATTCTGTACTACTGGTGACTTGTTTAATACTGTGCCCGTGGCGCTCTCTGTAATCCATGCCACGAATCCCTTGTTTTTATGTGGGGTTGGCGTGGCGTCGGGATCTGCGGAATGGTCGTCATCTGCAAGATTCTCTGATGAGGCCGCTGCTCTGACCGCTGTTGACGCTGTTGTAGCATGTCCTGTTTCCATGACGAGCGAGCTTGTGCTGGCGGATTTGTACGAGACGGCGTTGAGGGGTGAGTTGGCGACTTGCTGTTGCAAGAGGTGAGGATAGGGGTGAGCAGGCGGTGCCGGCAATGGCTTCGGGGCTATCGTCGTTACATAAGTGGTTGCAGACGATGTGGAAGACGAAGCCGATGCTGTTGATCCTGCAATGTGTTTGGGCGGAATAGGCGACGGAGGATAGGGCGACGATCCTTCTCCATCGCTTGCTGTGCTAAAGAATCTGTCCTTCAACGAATGCAAAATACCTTTGCTCTTCCTTCGAGGCCTCTCTGCAGGTATGACGGGGCCTTCTCTCTCTGCGAGTTCCCAGGATGAATGCGGGGTGGACGAAGTCGAAACGGAGACACCGCTATCCTGCACAGGTCGTTCAGCCTTGGAGGTTGAAGACTGAGCTGCAGAGGCGGTCTGCACAGAATCCGCTTGAACACTAATGGGCGGCAGCTCCTTCGTCTCGAAAGGATGAACACTGCCCTCCATAGGTTGTACCACTCGCTTCTTTTCCTTCTCCAGCTGCTGCAGCTCCATCTTGAGGAGCTCCATCTCGAGTTTGTATTGATCCAATTGTACCTTGACGTCAGTCGTTTGTTGTTGAAGATCCGCGTGTTCCTGTACTTGCTGTTGCTGTTGCTGCTGTTGTTGCAATTGCTGGTGTAAACTTGCTTGAGGCAACAGTAGATTCGTCTGGCTAGACGAGGGACTTGGATCTGACATGGGTCTTGGAGACCTCTTGCCGTTCTCCATCATCATCAGACCTCCAGGATTGCTTCCGAATACAACCGCTGCGGGTCCATCCATAAGTGCGATGCTCTGCTCCCATTCCAGCGTGGTTCCATTGTCAATCGCCCGCCGCCTGACCTGGTCCACGAGTAAGCACCAGAGCCCATATCCTGGGTCGCACGATTGTGCGGGGACGCCTTTTGTGAAAATCTCCTGATCAAACCCGATTTTCGTCAGAGCGAGCAACAATCTTTGCTCGTACGCATTGGCTGGAAAAGTACCTGTGGAAGCTGAACGCACGATCTGAGAGCCATCCACGCCTGATTCGTAACGCGGAAAACTTTTATTGACCATGGGCGAGGGTGACGGAAGCGGCGATGACATAGGTGAGGGGGCTGCGGTCCCTCCTGGGATTGTTGCGCGGAGGCCATCGCTCATAGGGTTAAATGTATAGGGCGATTGATTTCCCCATGCGCCGTAAGGGTGCTGAGCCAGTGGCGAAGCGAGTTGAGGCGATGATCCATAAAAGTTATCGCCAGGTCTTTGAATCGACTGTACTGGATGGATTTCTCTCTTAGTTAAAGATCCCTGTCGTCCATGGTGTGGTTCTCCTGCATGAAAATCCTCGTCCGCTGCAGCGTTATCGTTGTTCTCCGTGCCTTCCTCATCGTCATCTGGATGTGGTGTCCACCAAGCATGATTTAGGATTTGTTCAACTGAAAATCGTTCCTTTGGTTCCTCTTTCAAAATGTTGCGAATCAGATCTTGAGCATCTAGTAGATTGATAGTATAGAAAGGTAAACATGTCAGCGTTACGATGCGAGAGATAATTTCATCCGCAAAGATATAGCTGAATAGTCATGCACAATGTACCTGGAGAGAAGAGATCGCTAGGCATTTCGTAGTCGAGATCGACGATCTTGTCCTGTACTATCGCCTCATTGTCATCATCAAAGGGTAAGTATCCCGCCAGGAGCGTGTAAAGGATTACGCCCACAGACCAAATATCCGCCTCTGTTCCATACGCCATTCAAAATGAAAATTCGAATATTAGTCCTTCGTACTTCGTTTGAGGTCTTTGCGCGCGAAATGAATACCCTCGCATTCCGCATAACTACAAAAACGTACCTGGTCCTGAATATTTCTTGCCGACGATGATTTCCGGCGCAGTATAAGCTGCTGACCCGCAGTAGGACTCGAGCAGCTTTTTGGACTCACATTCGCGCGTGAAACCAAAGTCTATGAGTTTGATGTTGTTTTGGCTGTCGAGCAAAATGTTTTCGAGCTTCAGATCCCTGTGGACGATCTTACGCGAATGGCAGTACTGGATTGCGAGACAGATCTGTCGGAACCAGCGCTTGGCCAGCGCAGGGCGACAGCGCCCATCACGAATTAGAGCTTCCAATAGCTCGCCGTTAGCGCAGTACTCGGTGACCAGGTAGATCTTGGACTCTGTGGTGAGGACCTCGTGTAGATGGGCGATGTTTGGGTGGGACAGACAGCGCCAGTGATAGATCTCTCGGGTGATGATGCTCGCATGAGTCTTTGCGACGATCTTGATAGCGACCTGCTGTCCTGTGAGGGCGTGCGTTGCCAGCTTGACCTTTCCATACGTTCCTACAATGCAAATACAGAACGGCCAATGCGTTGAGGTTAGTCCATGGTCAGCCGCTTGCTTATTGTGTAATTGGTCCGTTTGGTTGTGCTTTGTGCTTTGGGTGAGGTAGCACAAAAGACAGGCATAATTCCAATTCCAATCTCAGTTACAATTCCAATTGCAATCAATACAACACAACACCAGCAGTTGACTGCAGTAATACATCCTGCCATCGACACCATTGACAGGAGTAGCACCAATGAGTAAAACTGTTGCTGCTGCAGTTGCATCTGCAAGATGTTGTCTTCTCAAATAAAATATAGCATAACCGTCCATGGTATCCATGCATAACTTTTTTTGCTCCCAACCCCAATTGCCTGCAAATTCAAACGGGCTCTCTACGTCCATTAATCCGCCAGAGAAGATGAAAGAGAAGAGGATGAAAAATGAGAGAAGGGGCCACGGTGGGCATGTGTTTGTGCTCATGATCCTCGAGGAAGTAATACGAGCACCTATGTCTTCTTAGTGATAGACTAGTCGTATTGTCCACAGTCCACACCCATATTCATATTCATTGCCATGCCATGTCATGCCACGCCTGATTCGTTCCCTTCTCGCACCCCTTGTTCATGTTCAACCATGTCGTACACATAGTTTATTGAAAAACAAACCACCGAAGTATGCACGAATACGAGCACGATAGCAGAAAACATGAACGAATCATGCGCCTCATATTCCTTCTCCCTCCACCATGCGTCTGCCGTGGCATGCCGCGCTATGCCGTGCCATGCGATCTGATTTGAGGAATATTTCGTGCCCAAGAAAAAAAATGAAGCGGACCACAGACGCCATAACACAAGCAAGTTGGAACAAAATGCACCTTACCTTGTCCGATGGCTTGTCCGAGGTGGTAATTGCCAACGACCTTGACTTGGCTTGACTGGAGATCCTTGAAGAGATCATTCAGGTCTGCTGCAAGCTACGTTAAAGTTGGCATGGAGAGTGTATTGGGAAGGATAATGTGTTAGTAAAGTCAAATGCAAATGACAAAGATGGAATGCGATAAAATGATCCCATGCAAGAATTGAGGAGAGCAGTTTTGAGCTAAACAACCATGTCAGCATATTGGAAAAAGAGGGGGGGGGGGGGCGCCAGCATACAATAAAGGGGAACTGGGAGGCGAAACCATTTGGGGAACTGGCATTGGAGAAAAGGATACTGCTCGCCGATACTAGTTGTAAAGGCGATGTGTGTGATATGAAAAGGGGACGTTTTGGGGGGAAACGATTAACAGACAGGCAGTGCTGGAAAAGGAGAGGCGAGGCATAGGATGAAGTTGCAAGGAGGTGCCTAACCAAGCTAGATAGGGAGCAAAATGCGGAAGTGTCTGTTTGAGCAGTAGGAGGGCTTCAACTGGGTCTGGAGTAGTGGAAACAGGGAATATGAAAGGCAAGGAGGCTGGTTGGGGTTGGCTTTGTGGTGATGCTGTCCTACCCTTTGTGACAAGGGGGTTTGGTGTATTTTTGCAGGCTTCAAGAGCGAGTGGAGCAGAATGCAATGTTGAAGTCGTTAATTGTTACCTTTGCCCTCTGGTTACGGGCTGATGGCCTATTGGAGCCCATCCCGCTTCAAAAGCACGTCTGAGTAATGGTGTCGGGAATCGTTTTGAAGGAAGGGGAGAAGAAGTAAGGCGGAGTGGAGTGGAGTGGGGTGTGACAGGGTTGAGTGTTCCTTTTTCTTCCCGACGAGAGACAAGAAGGTCTTTCTATTCCCTCGAAAAGAACGACGAAGGGTTGGCGATAGTCTAGTAGGTTATGAGAAAATTCACAACTTGAATACGATGCAAAAAACAAGATGGCGATGGGGTGAAAGTGTCTATGAGGATGCAGGATGGCTGTGTTCAATCGGATGTTGAAGAGTGTGATGGGTCATAAGAAAAAGAAATATGCAAATAAAGTAAAGTAAAATAAAATGAGATGGATGGGAGAGGATGAGGATGAGGATGAGGATGAGGATGAGGATGAGGATGAGGATGAGGATGAGGATGAAGGATGGAGTGAAGGGCGTGGAGGGGGAGGAGGGAGGGATGAAAGACAAGAATAATCAAAAAAAAGACTTCATTCCAAAGAATCAGCCGTCTGTAATGGAAGTGAGGTTGTGAAAAGGGAGGACGGGAGGGGTGGTACAAAAACGAAAGTCGTTAAAGGTATGCGACGGGACAGACTACGGAACATGGTTCAGCAACGAGCTGGATGCCCGTCCATACTTCGGTGTTCCCAGTCTTCTTTTCTTTTTTCCCGCCCAAGTTGCTGAACTACAAGGCGACTTGACCCGGGCTGAGTTGGGTCCCTTCCCTGCCCCCACAGCCATAACACTGCATTACATGTAGCCACTCTATCCAACACCCCTGTCCCCCCATCTATCTCTGCCCGAGGCTTTTTTAGGGCGTTAAAGTCTTGGCATTGAAACGATAGATGATCCCCGGGTGCACAGCCCTCAGAGTACAGGAAGCAATAAAAACGGCAGCCTTTTTCTCATCCTGCACAACTCTATCTTTGAAAATCAGATCTCATTTGAAATCGCACCCATTCCACTTCTTCACCAACCGGCTCACCCCTACACCCAAAGTGTTCGTCCTTCCCCTCCAACTGCTGTCTTCAATTGCAACTGAGGTGTAATTGCAATTGAAAATAGCTATACCCTGGCGTCTATATCCCAGCGCCTCTCTCTCGTTTTTCAACAACCCTTGTTCGTGCTTATAGTCTCGCATAATGAAAAAACTTCTAATTGTCCTGATCGATGACCCTGCTCTCGACAAGTCCAGCACCGGCTGCTACATGCCTGGGGACACCATCGCAGGTAAAGAATAAGAACGCTATCTGCAATCGACTTAAAGTGTCCGTCCCATCATGGCTAGCGCTATGCCGCAGTTTATTTTTATGATTCACCAATCGCTCTAATTACCCCGAAACCGTTTGAACCAGGCGCACAAATAGTAACCAACAGTATCGACGTTATTAATAACGATGTCAATGATCTCAATGATGCCTCGCTCTACTAGGCAATGTCACCTTCCACACGTCGTCCAGCATCAAGTACACATGTATCAAGATCCGCTTCGCTGGAATCGTGTCAACAAAGGTCTCCAAGACCACCGAGGATGTCTATGTCCTCAACCAGCAAGTCGTCCTCCTCGGCAACGCCAATAACGCATCAGAGTTCGCCCTCCAAAAGGGCAAGTACAGCTGGCCATTCGAGTTCTCAGTACCATGGCAGCACATCCCTTCCTCCGGCAAGGTACAGCCCCACCTCTCTGTCTCCCCATCGTGGACTATCCTTTGGATAATCTTTTATTAATTGCTCTTCCTCTGCTGCATATAGTATCGACATGGTGCGGTCAAGTACACGCTGACAGCAACCGTCAGCTCAAAAACATTCCTCGGCGGCATGCAGGAGACCGAAACCAACCAGACCGTGCAGCTCAAAGATCTCATCAACTGCAGCCAAGAGCCATACTCTAATCCAATTTCCGTTGTGGGCTCAAGCAACACCAAACCACAGACCAACAAGCCTAAAAACCTGGCCTCTGCCACGGTGCAGCTCTCTCAATCGGCCTACATGAAGGGCCAGCGGCTTCCTATCACGATCGATCTCGCGCATACAAAGGGTATTCAGCGGGATCCCGGGTGCTGGATTCAACTCTTGCGAAAGGAACGCTACCACGCGGGCGAGTATGTTTTATAGTCGATCGCTGTTCTATTTTCTTGCAGCTCGCTCTAGTTGACCAATTATGATGTTTCTTATAACCTAGGCACGACAAAGAGTACACCCATATTTGCGGCACGGCTACAGAAGCGCTCTATGTGGATTCAGGAACAAACAGAGGAAAGATTCTGACCCATCTAAATATTTCCGATGATGCCCTACCGACCATGACTACCACGAGAATCATCTCGATGGAATACCGCCTTCTCATCTTATTCGATATGCGTCTGCGGACGGGGTTCATGGAAGGGAGAGCACGTCGCACTGTCAACAGGAAGCTGCGAACAAAGCTCCTGGCCGCACCTGGTGGATTTGAAATCGAGGTCCCAGTCATTATCGGCACCGCCTCTGAGAACCAATACAAACCAAGGCTGAATCCCTTCGATAAAACCAGCAGCAGTGGCAAAGACATTAACACCCTTGTCACGTCCGTTGTCGCAGCTACTTCTCAGCTTTCGCTCCCTTCTCCCCCCCACAGTGTGGCATCTCCAGGGCTGATCACGGCGTTCGATTTGGCCGCATCCCCACCGCTATCGCCAGTTCCAGGCACAATTTCACTTGGCCACAAAAATCAGACGCCTTCATACACTCCGCAGACGCAATATAGGCCTATTGGGGCATCAGAAGGCTCTCCTGGGTATAACAAGCTGCCGTTATCCTACCGAAGACAAGCTAGCGAACCTAACAATTGCGCCACACAATCCACAGTATCCACTTCCCCTGACAGGAGTAGATCTTTATTCACGCATAGTGCTGTCTCTACAGCCCACAATCCCTGCGTGAAACCGCTTCTATCTCTTCCTTCGCCTCCTTCGCCTCCTTTGCCTCCTTTGCCTCCTTTGCCTCCTCCGCTTCCGTCTACACCAACTCATGCTCATATATCCTCGGCGCTTTCAACAGCACCCTATGCCTTACAAGAACCTTCAGATATCTCTCAGTCGCACTACTTTGAGCCATCATCCTCTGCTTCGTCTTCGTCTCCACTGTGTCCCTCAGGGCTGCATCATCATTCCGCGGCTATGGTGAGCTCATTTAATGGCTCGTCATCATCTATGACAGGGTTGAGTGCGCACATTAGTTCCAGCGATTACCTCTTAGAGAAAGTATCTCCTTCGCTCCAGAGACATCTCCATATTCAGCCCCCAATGAGCATTCAAGTGCCCTCACCATCTGCACCTCATGCAGTAGATCTTGGGATGGGTCCTGCATCCCCAGAGATGTTCAGCCGACGTGTTTCACATAACTTCAGTCTATGGGGTGCGCCGTCCTTGTTAATGTCCAATGGCGACAGTAGCGAGGCTCACGCTCACTACGGCTCATCACAACAGCCATCAAGATCAGGAGATGGATTCCAAGGCCCCCAGGGCTCTTTGTCAACTGGGCAGACGGGTATGCAGCCGTATCCGCCAGCTAGTGTCTCCATGCCATTACACTCTGCAGAAACACCACGTCCACCTCCTCGTAACCCTCAAGAGATCCTGGATAATTGGCATCCTTCTATGTGAACGAGTGCATGGCAGTAGCCCGACAGGCAAACACTACCCCTCCGTATATGCCGACTACATTGAACAATAAAATACGCTCTCCGGTAACAGATTCGATCGCAAAGCCAATAAGGACATCGTGGGAAAAATCCTACGATTGTGAGAAAAAAAAAGTTGTTCCCCACATTCCTGCCATCACCCTTATTTCTTTTTTCTTCATCCCTCACTCCATCCCATCTCATTCCACCCGCTTCACCTGCACCTATACCCATTGCTCCATTTCATCCACCTGAAGCATTCCTGCTCTTCTCATTAACCGCATTTTTCCTCATTACCGCTTCTCCTCTCTCATCCCTTCCCTAGACACACACGCACATTCATCCTTGCTAATGCCAATGGTACTGACGCTTTCTGGATCTGCTCTGCTCAGCTCCGCCTCCAGGATCTTTCTCCAGCAGCGGGCGCCTGTTAAGGTATAGCTCTACAGTATACCTTGCCACGCCTATTATTATACCTACTATCTTCCAATGGCTACACTTGTCTAACCCTCATAACTCTGAATGATCGTTTAGCACTTGCACACGAGCGTGAAGAACCAATATGCAGCAGCTTCTAAAGCCAATTCGCCCCCTCCTGCTGAGGGATTCATGCCCGGTGTTGCCAACTCAAAGCTAATTAAGAACACGCATCACGAAGCCTTGAAGAATCCTGAGCTTGCCAGCGTCGCCAATGGTAGCCAACGTCTACAGATGTCATTTAATTGCGTTCTTCCATGTCATCAACTAACTGTCAATCTAATAATGTATTATGTTCCCAGGAGAGACCAAGAAGATGAACACATTCCAGGCGGTCAACGATGCCATGGGTATTGCCCTGGCTACCGACAATACTGCCTGTGTCTTTGGAGAGGATGTGGCCTTTGGAGGCGTCTTTCGCTGCACAATGGGCCTCGCAGAGATGTTTGGTATGTTGAAGTTCAGCTTTTTACTGCCCATTGTATAACTGAGCAGATTTAGACTGATGAGGATGTTACTTTTTTCATTTTGTTTCATATAGGTCGCGATAGGGTTTTCAACACGCCCTTGACAGAGCAGGGTATTGCTGGATTCGGTATCGGTATGGCCGCCATGGGTTCGACCGCCATTGCCGAGATCCAGTTCGCAGACTACATCTTTCCAGCCTTTGACCAAGTAATTCTCTCTGTCCATGCGCGCTCCCATCGTCACGTTGATTTCTTGGCACCGCTACTACCAGCATTGACATCCTCTACTTTTTTTCTTGCTACTTAGCTGGTCAACGAGGCTGCCAAGTATCGCTATAGATCTGGTGGCGAGTTCAATGTCGGTGGATTGTGTATTCGAACCCCATGTGGTGCTGTCGGACACGGTGGCCACTACCACTCGCAGAGTCCCGAGGCCTACTTTGCACACACGCCCGGTCTCAAGGTCGTGATCCCACGCAGCCCCATCCAGGCCAAGGGTCTACTCCTGGCTTCTATCCGTGACCGTAATCCCGTCATCTTTATGGAACCCAAGATCCTTTACCGTGCCGCAGGTAACAAGGACGAATTCAAATCTCAGCAAGTCGTGATATGACAAAATAATCCCTGCGGCACGCGACATCTGACATATTATCCTTTATCTGTTCATTTGCGTCCCTATCACTATCCGCAGTCGAGATGGTTCCTGTGGGTGATTATGAGTTGCCGTTGGGCAAAGCCGAGATTTTGACCGAGGGCAAGGATCTGACGATTGTCGGATGGGGCGCACAGCTCTACGTCCTCGAGAACGCGATCCAGCTGGCCAAGTCGAGGATGCCGGGCCTGTCGGTCGAGTTGATTGACCTCCGTTCGATCTTGCCCTGGGATGTCGAGGCCGTCTGCAACTCTGTAAACAAGACTGGACGTCTCTTGATCGCCCACGAGGCCCCCAAGACCCAGGGCTTTGCAGCCGAAATTACCAGCACTGTTATGGAAAGGTAAGACATCCCTCGACTTATATGTAAACATGCGACTATGGGTATATTTCCGCGCCGTCGATGCCAGGGTCTCACTGACCATCCATCCCTGATTTTTTTTCTGCATAGATGCTTTTTGCGTCTAGAGGCTCCCATCCAGCGTGTGACCTCTTATGATATTCCTTTCCCATTGATCTTTGAAAAGTTCCATGTCCCCGACATGATCCGCTGCGTTGAGGGTATCGAACATGTCATGAAGTTCTAAGACGTGTGCTAAAATAAAATTGATATAGTAAACACATTGAACCTTCATTGCAATTTCATTTTATCAGTCTCGACATGTACATTCACGTAATAGACGCGGCCTATTGAAGCGCTCAGCTCAATACGCAATGCCAAAAAAAATAGTCGGTTTATTTATGGGCGAATAAATACGGGCATTGATGTCCATCACAGGGCGCATCCACCACTCCTTGACCAATATGTGAATGAAGAGAAGGCCCAGAAGAGTACGTCCGCTCGCTTTCCTCGCTCTCCCTCTCTCTCTCTCGCACACATGCGCTTTCTCTTCCAATTCAGCAGTACCCAAGCGAGGCGAACTCTATCGGCTACTTGACCAAACGGCTAACCCATTGCTCCATGTCGACATCCTCCTGTTCTGCGCGAATGTAGTATGCGTGGTTCTATTGTAAGAAAAATGAGCACATTAGTACAAAGGCACAAATACGCGCACGGTGCGACCCAGAATGGGGAAGGTGGGGGAACTTACAGCTAACATGTCGGGTGATGGTCTTGACTCTACGTTCTTGGCCAAACTAATTGTTTGCGAGGCATTTGGTTAATTAGTATGTGCCATTACCACTAGTCCAAAGAATCCGGGGCATTTTTTTTCCCTTCTATTCCCCATTTTCAATCCTCGGCCATGTTCCCATTACCATATGTCGACAAAATTGCAAAAGTCTTCTGGGAAATTGCTACGGGGGAGTGTGGGCAAGGGCTCGTTCACGATATGCTGAAGTAGTTCCAAAATCGTGAGCGATTTGCACTCGGCATCCAGTGGGAACCTTCCAAGCGCCAACTCCATGAGCGTGATGCCTAGTGACCAGACATCCGACTGTACACCATAGTTCCATCCACGGATTCTTTCAGGCTAAGTTAAACAAAGCAGCAACAATGAAAACAACGGTAGGTGAATAAGGAAGTGTATAAGAAAGAGAGAGAAAAAAGATTCAATATTCAATATCGAAATCGCGGAGCCTGATCCTCTAATTGTTTCCAGCACGAAAAAAGCAAGGGCTTGTTGTTGCACCCATCCCTCACGTACCGACATGTAGTTGCTGGTTCCAACAAATGTATTGGCAATCGAGTTGACAAGTTGTCCAGAGACACCAAAGTCGCAGATCTTGACCATTCCTGTAGAGTTGATAAGGATGTTCGAGGGCTTGAGATCTAGAGTGAGCGGAAAGAGTATTTGGGTTTTTAGCAATGAACCCTACAAAAGCTTTGGCTTGGTGTGACAAGCGATACGGCCAAGAGCTTTTTTTTTTTTTTTTTTTTTTTCTTGTTACCTCGATGGACAATCTTGTGGTTATTATAAAGATAGCTCAGACCCTTGAGAACCGAGACCGTGATGAGGCCGATAACATCCATGGGAAAGGAGCCGTTCTTTGCACAAATGCCGTCCAACGCTCTATAACAAAATGGTCCAGTCCATAGCACGAGTAGTATCATACGAATGAAGCATAAAAAAGAAAGAAAGAGAGAAAGAGCAGCAGATGAGTCCCAGCTGTTGATTTGCGTTCCTTCAATGTTGCCTGTGCCCGTCCCTCAAATAGCTCGTATCCCCTTACCCGACGTCCATGTACTCCATGCAGTAGGAAATTTCACTCTCATGTAAAAACGCGCCATAGAATGAGACGATATTGGGGTGATTGCAGTCGTGCATGATCTGGAGCTCGCGCAGGATTTGCTTCCGGACTGCAGGTTGAGCATCGATATGGATCACCTATACATGAAGAGAGCAGTGTGAAGGAGAAAGTGTGCTTCCATGTGTCAGCGGCATGATTGCCAGAACCGATTGATGACTCTGTTTTTCTACCGGACGAATAGTAACATACCTTTCGTGCCATGATAGCCTTCGTGGGCAGATGGATCACACGGCTGACCGTGCCGCCATTGCCAGCACCGAGCTCCTCCAGGGTTTGCAGGTCCTCGCTCCTGAGATCCAGCTTGAATTCAACGCCGAGCTCGAGGTCCGGTAGAGGCTCCCTGCGCGAAAATTGTGATGTTCCTGCTCCCGCCACTGCTCCTGCGGGCGCCTGACCTCGAGCCACCGGCAAGTTGTGCAGATGGGCGCTTCCGCCTGGGGGTGCATTTACGTTCGCGGACTCGTCAAGTGCCAGGTTCTTGAAGTTTCTCTTTTTGCGGATCGTACCGGGCGAGATCATGACGACAAGTGAGAGATGATAGATATGACGGACAGATAGAGCGGATGAGTTCTTATTTGAGACTGTATACGAAAGTACCGGCCGCAACGTATAAGATGAAGAGCTATTGAATGAGGAAGAGGAGAGTGCCGGGATGTGAAGAGGAGGATGGAGGATGAGAGAGGGGGTCAAAGACTCAAGATGATGGAGCAATGAGGGGGAACACTCTGTCCCTGGACAGCTCTCTTTGTGCCACCCACCCAACCCACGCATACAAACACCCACTCAGACGCTCGTTGGCGTAAACACACAAGAATGTTAGTCATTTTAGAGCGTCCACACACTCCTACGAGCACCCACCGCAAACACACACCCCGCCCTGTCAGCGCATAGCAGTCAGTCTATCTTACATTAACGTCAAGGATTAAGGCAAGCAAATTGATAGAGATACGTATCCTGCTTTTGGATTGGCGGTGAATAGCAAACATTAACGGGTTTCTATATATCCTTGGCTTCCTAAAACCAGCTTGCCTCTCGGTATATGGCAGCTAGCTCCAGGCAACCTTTATCAAGGACTAAAATTGCGCCGAGACATTTGATTTTGGCGCCGTGTGGAGGAATAAGGTTGTCTAAGCAAGCGGTCTTGATGGAGACGTGAGCAATGTCCATGTCGTGTTGGCATACAATATCACCATGAACTTGTATGTGTTATGGCTGATGAAAAAGACAATGGATGCGCCTAATACGAATGTTTATTCAGCGACAACATCTGTTTTTGTCCTCAAACACATCGCCGCGTCTCCTCTCAAGTTTAGGCGACAATCTCCTCCTTCTCGTCAATGACCTCCTCGATCCACTCGTCAACCTCCTCGGCCTCCTCGTCATCCGCGCTTGCAGATATCTGCTGTCCAGCCGCAGCACGGTCAGTGGCCAAGTCAGCCTCAACGCGCTTGCGCCAGTTGGTCCAGTCCTCGAGCAGCTGACGACGACGCTGGCGCTCGGCACTCGAAACCTGCGAAGATGACTCCATATCCTGCTCGTCAAAGCGGACGCTGTACTCGCGTAGGTTCTTGCGAATGTTCTTAATCTGGTCCTTCGACAACAGAGTCTTGGGGCGAGGGCGCCACACGAGCTGCTTGAATTTTTCGAGCGTCTCCTTGTACAGGAGCTGGCCCTTAAAGTCCCAGATCTGGTAGCCGTTCTCCATCGTGTGTCTCCAGACCGAGGCGCTGGTTGCCACAAAGCGGCCAGAGGGATCCCACTCAATGTCTGTCACACCATAGTGCTCGCCCGAGGCCAAAAGCTGCAAGTACGCTGCAGGGTCCTTTTCTCCACCCGTTGGCACCTTGGCTGCAGCCGACTCAAGAGGCTCAAAATCGAGATCATAGAATTCGAGGTCCCAGACGGTCTGGGAACGAAGCGTGGCCAACAGAACGTTGCGACCCTTGGGCGACCAGAAAATGGTGTTGCAAGACTTGCCCGGCAAAGTCTTGATGACCTTGAACGACTGAAGCGTATCCTTGCCCTTGCCCTTGTCTAGGTAGTAGAAGCTAGCAGAAGTCTTGAGGGTGGTCGAACCGGGGGTTGCGGACGTGAAATTAGGATCGCTGGTGGTGATGACCGCAAAGCGCTCGCCCTTAGGTTCCCAAGCAAAGGCCAAGATTGATTCCTTGACCTCGACGACTTCGACAGGGATGTCCTTTTCACGGATACGGAAGATCTCTAAGTTCGAGTAGGTGACCTTCTTGTTCTTAGTGTGGCGATCGACCTTGACGCAGAGGAAATCGCCCTGGCTTTGCCAATGCAGCTTGCAGTCGTTGACATTGAACAAGTTCTTGGTGCGAATAATCTCCTGGCTGGGAATATTGAGGAGGGTCACACGGGCAGGCTGGTTGTCAATCTCAGGAGTCCAGTAGGCAAGCATGTCCTCCTTGACCTTGCCAGACTTATCGGCGGTGGAAGAGGGGGCCCACTCAAAGTCGACGACACCATCAACCTTGATACTCTTCTTGTTCAAAAGACCCATACTGGGTGCCTCATACACAGAGATCTGCGATCCAGGAGTGACACGGGCAAAGTAGCGTTCGCTGGGCGACCATTTGAACACGGGCCAGGAGACGGTTGAACGAGTGCTAGGGCCCTGGGGACCAAGCGAGGGGAAGGAACGGAGAAGAGCCCCCGACTTGACATCCCAGATAACAATTTGATTGCCCTCGTCCTCGGGGCCAAAGGGTCCATCATAGTTCTCCTCAGGCACGACGATGGGCTCGTTGCTCCAAGTGACGAGGAATCGCTCATTAGGCGAATAGTCGATCAGCTTGACTCCAGGGTGGACAAAGCGAATAATCTTCTTCCATGACTCGCCTCCCCAGAGAGCGACACCCTGGGCATGGAAGGTAGTCAGATAAGATCCAAGAGGTGACCATTGAATGTAGGTCTCGGTCCAGTTAGACTTGCTGTGGGCAACCTGGGCCTGCTCTTTTTGCATGTTCCAGAGAACCTGGACTTCATTGTGGCGATAGATGACCATCTGGTCGCGACCGAGCTCATCAGCCAACCAAGACTTAAGATGCTCCTATGAAGCCAGAGTGAGATGGTATCAATCAGCAATTGCTCCTCACTTAAACGTTCATCCGTACATCCTATTGCGTTCATGCGTTTTGTCATAGATGTACCTTCTCGACAAACTCCTCCTCGGGGGGTGCATGAAACTCCTCTTCGACCGAAGAGTACTTCTCGACATCTGTGAAGCGGTTGACAGCCAGGGTGTGGGATTTGTCCATCTTGAAGCCATCAATCAACTTTACAGCAAGCGAGGCCTGTTCAGCGGTCTCAAACTCAATAAACATGAATCTATAGGACAAGAAATAGAAAGGGTTAGCGAATACTGCGTACAATTGACGGACCACTATAAGGATAAACAGCAGTGGTGCGGTGATGAGTTACCCTTTGCTCACAAGTTTGCCTTTTTCGTTGTGGGCCTTGGGCATGACAAAGTGGTTATCCCTGATCTCGCCCACGTTTTTGAAGATCTTGCGGAGAAACTGGATCAGCTTCTCTTCCTTGTTTTCATCGACGATGGGGATGTTGTCAACGACAACGATATTATCGAAACCCTCCTCGAAGGAGAGCTGGTATCTTTCCTCGATATCTGAAAAGTCGAGGTCCTCCTCATGCTCAGGGAGGTTGCTGGGATCGAATCGTGCCATGGTGGGATTAGATGATAAGGCGAGGAGAAGTAGTAGATCAAGCAATGGCATCGTGTTGTTTTTGTTTTTTAGACACCGCGCTACCCGCCGCATCGCCGCATCTATGACGTCACAAAAATTAGCAAGGCCCTAGTGCAACTACAGGGGGTTTGCTTAACAAAATATTCATAATTGACAAGGTCTAACCAAATAAATCAACCAGCACAGGTCTCCACAGAACAGCTAGAAAGAAATGAAGATACAATGTGAAAGACAGCGTAGTATAGTATAGTATGGGTCTAAAGAATAGCATATCCTGCAAGTAGCACCAAACCTTAGGTCTATCCGAGGTTTTCACGGTAGAGTAATGACACGTTGAGTGTGCCTAGGCACGTTGCTCCAAACTTATTTACTGCTACCTTTGCTACCTTATTGTTCTACGCTGCTGCATTGCCCTCTAATCCCCTCGCTTCACTAGTATCAATCTCAGTACATCCAACGGATGCCTTTAGTCCACCCTATCAATATAAAATAAACGAGTCTAATGATGATGGTGGTGTCCGGAGCCATTCCCCTTTTTCTTGCCTTTCCTCTTATCCTCTTTTTTCTTGGCCTCATTGGAGCCATTCTTCAACTGCTGCCCGTCTTGATCCTTGATCACATCCGTATCCTGAATATCCTCCAACTTGTTATATAGCAGATTTCGAGTCGTCCCTTGGTTATTGGGTGATAGGCCATCGATGATGCCTTGCGTTGAGTACCTGATCAAGTCTGCATACAGGTCGTGCGCGTCGCTATAGGTATTTCCTGCACCGAGGAACAGTGCTGCCACTCCAGCAACATGCGGAGACGCCATGCTATATCGCCATGAGAACGATTCAATTATTTATTAATCAAGAAAACGTCTAAGTGCCTGTGTCCTCTTTGGCCACTGCATATAACAAATCTTATGATCTCATTGAAAAGAACACTTACCTAGTACCATCTAGGACGTGAGTAGCTTCAGACGATTGGATCCAATCCGATTCAATACCCGAACCTGGTGCGAAAATGTTCACGCATTTGCCCACGCAGCTGTACCACCCCGCCTTGTCCGATCGATCCGATCCTCCAACTGCAAACGCCTCTTCTGCACCTGCAGGCGAGTACTGGCACGCATCGTCACCAGTGTTGCCAGCAGCGACAAAGAAGGGAAGGTTGTGCTGCAGGACAGCCGTGCGAACAACCTCGTTAACCGGACGAGAATATTGACCCCCCAAGGACATGTTGATAATCTTTTTACGGTTGGGGTTGCTAGCGGCATGACGGATCATGAAGTTGATACCTGCGAGAACCTGCGAGGTAGAGCCCTGTCCTCCTGAATCAAGAACCTTGATAGCCTGAATTCTCGCTGCCTTTGCAACGCCGTAATGGCGACCAGCAACAATTCCAGAGACATGTGTTCCTGTTTTTGTTTTTGAGTGTTTGTAAACGGTATTGTAGATCCATTATGTCAGAAAAGAAACTGGCAAGAGTTTTATATGAGGTATAAAATATGAGTAACGCACGTACCGTGTCCACAGGTGTCCGTATCTTTCTCTCCGGGGACAAAGTTGGCGAGATTGTGGGCGCGACCCTCAAAATCACTATGCTCTGCAAATACACCAGAGTCGATAACATACACGTCCACGTCGGCCCTGTTATAAACATAAAATGACATGTATAAAGCCATAGATAGAGAAGGTAGAGTTCGTAGTGGACGATCATGTATAGAAAGCAACTGGTCAGTCAAACTCATCGTGCTACAGGATTTAGTGAGAAACCTACAGTGATGAGTGGTTCTTACCCAGCAGAAGACATGTAGCTGTAATCACCATTGAGATTGGATTTGTGTTGAGAGATTCTAGCCAACCCCCAACTGGGCGCCCGCATAGAAAAGTACTCAAAGCGCGCACTTTGACCATTCATAACCGAGTCAATGTTCGCCTTTGGTAAGCCATCAGCCAAAGGACATGCATCCGATAGATCTGCCAGCGGATGTGGCTTTTGATGCAGTTCGCTAGGCATCCCCCAGGCCCACATCAACGTGTCCTCCTCTACATATTCGACCTCCTCCTGCGACTCCAGTTCCTTTACAAACTCTGACGAGAACTGGCCCGCATACCCTTTCCAAGTACCAAAATCGTATTCATGGTCTACCTGGTTGGGTATAATCTCTGAATCATCTTTCTGGTGCCCGTTCTCTCCAGTGGGCGGCGGCCGAACCAAGCGATTTTTCTCTGCTGCCTTTGAACGAAGGTTGACTATTCCAGTGGAATGTGACCAGTAAGAATGAATAAGAACAAATGAGGAGGAAGGAACGGGGTGAGAGGTTAACTTGTGTAGGAATTCCAGGCTACAGAATAGGGGAAAGGATAGAGACCAAAGAAGGGATATAATCATTCTAATATGTACTCGCCTACGCGCTATGTATGTAATATCTATAGCGCCTACTTCATGAAAAAAAAAGACTTACGAGAAGAGAAATCGGTGCCGTTTTTGAGCCGCACAATGTATTTATGAGGAAGAACTGTTCCACGCTGTCGACCACGAGGCCCTGTACGCGATTTGGTCTGGCCATCTGCTGTGGTTCTTATGCCAGGGCCCGAATTGACGGTCTCTTGTCGTCCGTTCTTGTCATAGCCGCGGGCCAACTTCTTGGATATGTCGACCACGTATGCCTGCGAAGAATTGTCAATCTCAGAACCCTTATCCTGTGTTTTGTCGCTACCTTGATTGGCATTGTTCCCTTCGGCCAATTGGTGCGAATACTGCTCCTGTGATCCCGGTCGCATATTGGCGGGGAGGGTCGCCTGTGCGTCTTGAAGCAACGGAGCCTCGTTGGCGAAGACGATCCCTGCCACAGCAATGCTGATAAGTAAAACTAATGGCGATCTCATTGAAATGATGATGCAGGTGCGTGAAAATAGGTAACTAAAGGTGTCCAGAATGTGAATTGGTGGATGAAGATAAAAAGAAAAGAAGAAAGAAGTAGCAAGGAGACAGAAGGCATAAGGAACCTAAAATATATAGGAGGTAGCGAATCTTAGATGCATGCCACGTACAAGTTCGACGCGTCCTTAATCGCGCCCTTAGTCGCATTCTTATTTCAAGCAGTGGCATTGTCACAAGCGATATGTAGAATGGACAGTTGCGGTTTATTTTAAAGAAAAAGAAAAAGATAGATGAAATATTGCAGGCGTCTCGTGCCTACGGACCATACTTTAGAGACACCAGTGCTACCAGAGCGTTAGCGCTTGATGAAGGTCTTTGTCAGCAGGGCGAGTATCTTGTTCACATTGAAGTGTACGTATTCCAAATCGAGCAATTGGACTTGATCTTGTTGCTATTACAAGATAAATTAAAGCAACGTGCATTGTGGTGAGCGGATTGTTCATAGGCACAGAACCAAGGCCCACAAACTGATACGCGAATCGATTGTAACAAATAGTGGACATATTTACCTTCTCCAACAGGTCATCCAGCTTCAAGTCCATCTCCAGAATGGCCTTCTCGCGGCCTTTGTAGTGTAGAGCGATGATGAATGTGCCAGGGATTGGCGAAGTGATGTTGAAAAAGATATTGCTTCGTCTAGAAGAACGACAGTGGCAAAGCGTAGACACGATGAAAAAACAAAGAGATAGACAGCGTTATAAACTATCAGTTAGTAAAATGTAAAATATCGCTATTGCTGCAAGAATGTATCATAGGTGGATATTAAAGCAGAGCACTCACCTGTTCTCCGGCACATTGCTCTCCGCAATGACACCGTCCTTCTCCAGCTGATGGTGCGTAAACTTGAAGGGCCCAAGCACTTGCTGCTTGCCCTTCTTGGCCTCCTTGCCTCCCACTGTGACAACGCCAACTCCAGATCCTTGACCAGGGTTATTCCCTCCTCCGCTCTGCATGCGCACGTTTTGCAGATAGGCCTTGTAAGAGTCTAGCTGACTCCTCAGGTAGTTGTTGTGGTCACCGATCGTCTTGTATACGCTTTCCAGACTTGCTGCTTCCTCATTAACCTTTTCCCGCAGGTTGCCCAAGTGTCTCAGCTCTTCTGTGACCTCCTCTGTCATGAATGTGAAATGGTCATCGACCACATTCAGTGCTTCGAGTTCGATAAGCATCTCTTTGACCTTGATGCCCTTGCGGACTAGAATCGCATCCTTTGTCGTAGCAGCTGTCTCTGCGATCTTCATGAGGTCCAAGGGCCGTTTTTCAGCAATGCCAGGGATAGAGCGGATCAGCTGCACAAGAATCGATTTCGTCTCCATATACATGATATCGGCCTGAGTGATGTTGGTCTCCTGGAGGAATGTCGAATGCAGATCCTGAATCGGTGTTTCCCATCGACTGAAGAGGGGCAGGACAATCGTCTTGTTTTCCTTACGAGGTACTTGAGGCGGTGCTGCACCCAGTTCGTTGAGACACACTCTCAAATGATGTTTTTCCTGAGGTGCCAGGGTGTCCCGATGCTGCGACAAAAGCTGGTGGGTATTAAATAGCTCGTTCAGAGTGATGTGTAAGTTGATCTCCTTCTTTGACAGCGCCATATACTGGTCCATCTATATCGCACAAATGGGAGATACAAATGATAATAATTCAGTGTCTGTATGCACATGCTATAATGAAGAATCAGCCAAAGAAGGCGGCCACATACCTCCAGACTCTCATAAAAGTCTCCGACTTCGCAGAGGTCGTTGAGGAACTTGTTTATCCTGGCCTTATTGTTTTCCACGAATGGATTCAGTGTCATCATATACGCCTCCTTGGCGTACGTTGGTTTATTCGCCAGATTTTGCAACATCTTGGCAATCTAGAGGCACCAAAGATATTTTTGGTCAGCATTGAGAATGAGAGATTCAGGCAAACACAAAAAAGAAAAAAAAATACAGCGGTGCTCACCAGCGTAAGGGTTCTTCTAGGATGTTTGCTTGGTAGTCCATCGACAAGCATATAAGCTTGAGGAGTCACAATGGCCGGGTTAATGAAGCGCAAGAAGAAAAATCCGCCGATCAAAGAGCAGATCGAAAAGTCTGTGGCATCTGGGTACTTTCGCTATTGTTCAGTAGTGAATGTTGAACACCAGAGTGTGAGTAGATAACAATTAAAAGGATCAGGTGTATTGAAAAGCGCTGTTCGTCATTTTCTCTTATTTTCGTACCTTGGTCAAGCTGCGGATCTGTTTGCAGATCCACCGGATTCCATATGGCGCCTGATCGAGCGACTCGAGGATGGTGTCGAGGAACGAGTTTGCAATCTCCATGAGCATACTCAGACGCGGGGCGATAATCGCCTGAACATCTGCGTTGGCGGCAGCAACCTCTGGTGGAACTCCGCGGGGCAAATGGGGCGGCAATGAGCCCGTGTTCTCCTCGATCTGATTGATCATCTGCTCATACACCTTGAGCGGATTTATCTCGAGGTTGAGTTCCTTGTGCTCAATGAGGTTGTTAATCCTCTCTGAGAGGACCGTCTTCAGATAGCTCTGACCAGGTCCACGGCGGGTGTATGTAGTCATCATGCGCGAAACTGGTGTGTTGGCGCGAAGAAGGGATCCGAACTCTGTTGCAGTTTCGAATTGTGCGGACAAGACCGACTATAAGAGTATAAGAGGGGAATAAGAACAGAACCAGAACATTTCATGTCAGCAATCGATGTCCCTAGCCCCAGTTGTCAGTGAGGATGAAGAATAAAGGACGATGAGCGTTTGTTTACCTGGAACATGGTCAAGAGAAGATGCTCCTCACGCGATTCATACTGGTTTCCGTAGAGGGTGAACATGACGGTCTGCAAAAGCGTGTCGATCTCGGTCAACGAGACAAGACGGCAGAGCGTTGCGATATGTCGTGGCTCTGTCTGGAGCAGGAAGAAAAGATTACCGTACGACTGCAGCTTGCGGTCATCTGGAAACAGACCGTCCGAGGCATCGACCTCCTCAAGATGCTCCGCAACCTCACGTTGCTATTGGCAAGAGATGAAGACGAAGAGAAAGAAGACAAGAATTGGTTACAATGGCTGTGGGGCAACATTGGATACGAATAACTGGGTTGAAATGACCCAATTGACCCACATTCGAGCGCCTAATTGTCCCCAAACTTTAATAGGCTGACGAGTACGTTGAGGGTAAGGGCAGCTGTGAACTGGCAAGTGCGAAAAACAAAGACTTGCCTCGGCAATAGCCATCCTGTTCTGGATTAGGAGCGCGATGCGTGAGTCGAGGTAACGGACATCGCGTTCGAGGACAAAGTTCTTTTTGGACTGAGATGAGATTTTTGTCTTTAGTTCTCGAAGACGCTTTTGGGCTGAGGGACGGAAAGGATAGCAATATTAGAAGGAAAAAAAAGAAAGAAAAAAGGTCAGCGATGTCATTGCAGATGACGGCATGGATGATGTTGCAGATGATGCTGCAGATGAAGATGAGTAGGACAAATGGAGGCAGACGATACCTCGTGCAAGGTCATCCTCAACTTCGACATCCTGCTCGGCAGCCATAGAGTACAGTTGCGAGTAGCGATGGCTGCTGCGGGTGGTTGAAATAGAGCCCTTCCGGCCCGAGAGACCACCACCAGGCGAATTAGGGCCCCCGTTGTCTGAGGCGGCAGCGGCAGCGGCAGCGACGGCCCTGACCATGCCGGGTTGGGAGGGGTATCCATAGGAGGCTAGGAGGGCGGATTTGCGGGCGGTGGTGTTGGATGGTGAGGGGGAGGACGAGGAAGAGGCCATTGTGGGCGATATGCTGAAAGGATGGCCTCAGGAATAGAAGGGAAGCAAGGGGCCGATGAACGCACAGAGAAGTTAATGGTGGATAAGCTGGGGAGTGCTAAAGCAGCGTAAGGAGTATGTTCGTGAAAAGTATGAAAAGTGAGAGAGCAGGTCAGGACAACGCAGGGCCAGATGAGAGGGGGGGGCGTGAACTGGAGAGAAAGAAAGAGAGAGGTTGAGGCAATGATTTAGAGTCGAAGTTGGATGATGAAGTAGCGAAGATGAAGGATGGGGAAGGGCGGGGAAGGATGAGTAGGGATGAGGATGGAAGAGGAGGTGGAGGGGGGATGACAAAAAAAAAAAAAGAGATGATGATGATGAAGGATAAAAAAAGGAACCACGTTGGTTGCGGTGGTTATTTTAATGTGCTAGAACCCCCAAGGAAAGACGGCACACTAATAATAATTGTTTTGAAACACAAAGCAATATGGGGTAAATCTAAGGTTGTCAATGTGTGCAGAATGATTCTTGCCCGTATAAAAGACTGTGATGGAGCTGAGGCGGAAGGATGCTGGAGTAGTTTAGATCATCCATTTCACGCTAGATAGAAGCTCTAATGTAGCAAGAAAAAACAGATATACACAACCTTGACTGAAGTGAAGATGCGGTTCTATGGCGCGCGTGGATCAGCAATATCGAGCAGGAATGCAGGAATATAAAAGGCGAAAAAGTTTAGGCACAATGTGCACCAATTCATTTCCGAATACGCGTCAAAGGATACCGTTGTGTCCAATAGCAATATTCGCATGTTTCGTTGCCAGCTTGAACAGACATTAAACTGTGGTAGGTAGGATGTCGCGACCGAACGCTTCATAGTTCATTTTCCCCAAAAGAAAGCGTAAGTGTGTGCTACAATATTCATTTAAGAAGGTTTGGGTGTGTTCGGAATCGTGCGCGCTAGACCCCAGCCAAAATACGAAATGAAAATACAAGGACACCAATGTTGAATGGAGATCCTGGCACTGTTGACGTCCCATAACTAAATCTACCTGTATCTGTCTATCATGTGTCGATTGACTGTTACAGACACACTCATAAGAGAATAATATCAAACACCAATGAGAGCAGACAGAAAAACAGAAAAAAAGAGTGAGAAAAGAGCCTGGATTGACGGATTGACAGGCAGCAACAGAGAGACAGAGAGCGCGCGAAGAGAGCCAGCCGGCAACTATTACAGGATTGTTCAATATTCGCACACCACAGAGGGGCCAGGCAGGTGTAAGCAAGATGCACTGCTATGCAGGCCGCGACGCTCTAAAGGGAGCCGCTTATGTGAGCCAGCACGGCTGGTGCAGGAGCCTTACGAAATACTACTGCTGGTCTACACACATGTACCCTCCTCATACTCCCCTATCCACCATATTTCGCTTCATCATCATTGTCATCTTCGTTATTATTAGATTTTTTTATATTGGGTTCTTCTTTGCTGACGAGATTCCTGGGCATCCATAAAAAAAAAATGGCGGGAAGATGCCATACACCAACTCAAAACAGTTTGTGCTTGCAGTGAAGCACCCAAAAAAAAGCCTTGGGGGCAAGACTGCGAATCGCATTTCCTGACCATACACTTTCGTCTGCAACGACAACACATTCTTCACCTCTCTTCATCTAAGCAACAGCAAATCCTAGGCTGCCTCATCCCAGTGCGCCATCTCTTTTCAGGAACGCGACGCGGGACGATCAGGACCTGGCACAGAAATCGATACAAGGACACCACACGACTTACTCGTAATCGATTCAGCATCAGAGTGGTAAGGCGCAATAGGAACCCTCTCTCAACGTTTATACTTGCTCATCGTTCTCTGCCAGGACTAACAACCAAAACGATATGTTCTTCCCGTTGTATACAGGTTCGTGGCGCAAGGACGAGCAGAGCAGACAAGAAATCCGCATTATAGCAGCAGGAGCATCTTCCAATATTCTATACACATAAGCGCAATGTCGCTGGATGGAAGGACGTCCTCTAGTGGGGTGATCGATCAGGAGCAACTGGACCAAAGATTATCAAGGCTCATCATGGATCACAACAACTACCGATCACTTCTTTCCCGATATATCCGTCGCGCGCTCTCGCTCTGCACATGGTTTATCGATCAGGATTATCCATCGTTCTATCAGCGGTTTGAAAGGACTGACAAACTGGTCAATTTGGTAGCCTATATCCGAGATCACGCCCTACAATCCTATCAGGCAGTAGATCGTGCAGGAACTGCTCTTCTGAGCCATGTTGACATCTTGCTCGCCCGAGCCACTATGCCTCCCACTGCCGGATCACCTCTAGCCGGCGGCATGTCGCCCAGCACCCGAACCCCGTTCAACAACAGTCGGCTTTTATACTTAGCAGGAGAAGTCAAGGAGGCGATTCGTTTTTGGCGTGAGCAGTACTACTGTGCGCAATCGATGACGCCAAAGATCTTTGAGATGGAGCGGATCGCAGAACTACGATACCTTGCTCTAACGGGCGACGGATCGACTATCGAAGAAAAGGCACGTGGCGTCAGGATTTCATGCGAGCAGGCGCGTCTTGTAACGGAAGAGCTGGAGCCGTTCCTGGATCAATGGTACGCAAAGCTGTCAATAGTGGAGCGACCGAAAGAGGACCACATGCAGGGACATTTGGCCGGATACGGACTTAATCATGCAGGTGTTATGAGCGCAGGTGCACCGCTGGGTGCCTCAGGAATACCGCTCGACCATCGATCGCATTCCACCCATGGTCTCGATTCACCAGCCATCAGCTACTCAAGCCAGCCCTGGGGACAGGGTGCGTCCTAAAGCGTCAAGAGCCTAGGCATTTTTCATGTACCATAGTCAGCCCAACAAAGCGGAGCTTTGCGGACATTATTGTTCTTTCATTAAAGAAAATGCAATCATCGCGTATACCACGATACATCCAGCTCCCAGATTGCAGTTTCGTAATTTGCAGCAGGTTAAAACGAGAGCGCCCAGCAACTTTACAATACGGTAACCGTCCGCCCTCTCTCTATGCACCACAAGGCACCATATTAATCTGCCGATTACGCCAGACAGCTAAAAACGGAAAGAGCGGTGGCTGTGCTACTGCTCAGCCCTACCCCTGAGAGCGAGTGCACACAAAGTTCTGCCATCACCATCGCTTTCGACATCACCCCATCATTGACCCCAACACTTCTGATTCACAACAGATCGTCTTTCTCCTCTTATCGGCATCACTGTAACCAGCGTCAACATGACAATTGACTTTTCGCCTGCGCCAATACTGACGTCGAGAGAGGCCAGTCTAGGTTCTCTCCTCCGTCTGCCCGATAGTCTAATTATTGAAAGGATCCTGATTCTCCTTGCGCCAAAGGTATATCCCTGAGCAGTGCCTTCTACCATTCGTTAATCAACGGCTCCTTAAGTAACCATCGAATGGGCTGTCATGGTCTCCCACTCTTCTAGGATTTGTGCTCGCTCGCTTTGACCTCGCGATATATGCATGTCTTTGCGCGCAACGACTTTGTCTGGCGCCGTTTGTTTTTTGCAGAGCGGGATAGCAAGTCGACCAGGCTCGTTTATCGAGGTAATTGGCTCCTCACCTACCTCTTTCATAGCCCAGAGCATGATGAAGCATGTTCGAGTCATCCACTTGTCATCTGTCCTGTCCAAATCCAAGGTACATTACGATTCCCCTGGACTCATTTGAGCTATCAAAGCTCTTCCGAAACCGGTAGTCCGTTGCTACTGCACACTTTGCCATCTAACCTTATGTCTTTTCTACTACTAATAGACGTATCCTCCGACTATCTGAGCCTTCAGTGGCATCGAAGCAACATGTTCTTTGGCCACTTTTATCCGCCTCCACCGATTTCTCCGACACCTACCCTTGGAGATCAACATTCCACAGGTCCTACAATACCTATCGAGGATTACCAAGATTTAGACGAAGATGTCTTCTACCGCCGCTACGGATATCCAAACAAACCAGTCATGATCCAAAATTCGAACGTCGAGTCATGGCCAGCATGGAAGCAATGGACTTTAGATGCTCTGGCAGCCAAAGTTAGTCCTCCAGTCCACAGGCAATGCATTATTCGCCGGCATATGCTCCCCCTTGATGAAATCACTCCAATTGACAGTGTCTATTATTTCAATCGCAGCATAGTGATACTGTGTTCCGCGTATCGAACATCGAAAGCGACACTAAACCAAGCTTCAGTCTCTGCTTCAAGGACTTTCTGCACTATCTCAAATACAACAGAGACCTGAACCCTTTTTACCTGTTCGACCCTTGCTTTGCCGAAGCTGTTCCTGAGATGGGAACCGCGTACGAGGCAAGAGCATTACCATTGTCAATCTTTGACCTGCAGGGTGTCGTGGCGATATCCAGCTGACATGATACGATGACTTGATATAGGTGCCCAAATACTTCCGAATCGACTATTTTTCACTCTTAAAAGGTTCTGCCAGGCCACCATACCGCTGGATACTGATTGGGCCGCAGCGGACAGGCGCTCCATGGCACATTGATCCCTCAGGGACATCCGGTATTTATATACATAAATTTGTGTGGCCTACTTTTTAATACCAGCGGTCATCATATTAAAATACTACATTCGCCATTCTTTGCTAGCCTGGAACACACTCCTGTCTGGACACAAACGCTGGGCATTGTAGGAGATTTAGGCGTAAACCTGAGCCGGTTTCTTATTTCTCGACACAGAGGCATTAAACAGGGTACGAGGCTCATTTTGACACTTCTGCGCTTGTTGTTTTCTAGATACCCACCTCATATTACTCCGCCTGGACATGATCCTTCCTCTTCGGAACGCAAGACCTCAGTCGCATGGTATTTAGATGTTTATCCTTACCTTCAACCTGAAGCGCGTCCGATCGAAATCATTCAACATCCAGGGTATGTATAGCGTGATGGATTTTGTTATGCGTTCATCATGGCTCCTTACACATCAAACGACGCTCGGCGCGACTCACGCTGTGATTTTTACTTTAGCCAAACCATCTATGTGCCCTCAGGATGGTGGCATATGGTCCTGAACATGGATAATACTGTAGCGGTGACTCAAAACTTTGCGGATGAAACTAACTTCTCTCGAGTGAAGCAGGCCATGCTCTCAGATAAAACGGAGATATCTCAGGTAACAAATGGGCAGTAGTACAAGAGATAAACTGTTTATCGCGCAATTTTAATCGTAGAATTTTGTGTCTCTAGTTTCGCCGGTGGGAGCTTCTTGCAGAGGCATTACCTACTAAATGGCCAGAACTGTCTTCAGCCGTGGAGGTTGCTCCGGAAGAGCTGCTCCAGGCTAAACTCGAGGCGGAATCGTCCTGGCTTGATCCTGCTTCGACTGAAGCGCAGGATAAATGGCAGGAACGAGTGCGGGATGTCATCTTTCGGTCCACAGGCGTATCCGATCCGGGGAACATCATTTCGATTCAAGTAGGACAGAATATGGTATGATATGGATACTCATCTCTCTTCAATGTCCAGTAACATCTATGGTTCCATTTCCCGACCCTGACAATCTTTACATGTTTTATCTTGAATATATAGTGTTTCTTGTCAGATTCTGGGTTTGTAAAGTTCTTTACGCCGCTCCACGATGGCCACGTCAGTTTCGTGTCTGAGATCGAGTCGAACAAGGCCCTGCAGGAAGCTGTGTTGGAAAGACCCCAGGATGATATCCTATCATTTCCAAAAATGCTGGGACACGGATATTTGTTGGCTACTGACCAAGTCGCGGCCTCAGAATGGCGCTGGCCCTATATCATCACGGAGAATATGCAATGTATTCATCCTGACTACAGAATCTCCGAGGTGCCCCACGTAACAGCTCATGATTTTACGCCAAGGGATAAGCAGGGGTACTACAGCCTGCTTGGCCCCATTCTGAGAACTTTGCACTGTATGATGTGTATCGCGTTGATCTGTTTAGATGCGCTCCATGAGTACATCGTCTTTGCCTGGTTTTGCTAATCTTTTTTTTTTTTTTTCTATCTTGACATAGACATGCATACCCTTGATATGGACTTGCTCAAGAAACAAGACTATAGTTCGATGGAGGTGATACCACGGGAGTCAATCCAGTACACTGTACATTGTCTGCGATCGGCTGCTGTGAACCACGCTCGCTGGAGAGTCTTTCCGAAGCAGTTATTACGATTGCTACCCAGTTATCTGCCGAATGATCCAAAGGACGTATTCGATCCGACAAAAGGGGACAGGGTAGCGACTTTGGTGCATGGAGACATTAACCCAGGGAACATTATGGGGCTTTTGGATGTGAATGTGCGACCTTTTGCTGACCCTTCCGTGAATGTTCCGCAGTATGACCTGCGCACTGAGTCAGTAGCAGCATCGAAAGACTTTTATATTACGTTTAAGCCAACATTGCTGCTCGATTTTGGAGATGCTGCCTTTTCGAGTGACCCGTTGATTGACATCGTCTCAGTCTTCGTCACCATTCTCAACTGTCGACACGACTTGGGAATGACACAGTGCCTGTTGGATTACTGGAGGGCTTTGACAAAGGACACACGACCACAGAGCTGGAACTCAGCGTTGGCTAGACGATGTATGTGGCATGTCTTGCTGTGGCCGTCTGTGGGTCTAAGCCTACATCTCGTTCGATGTATCCCTGAGATAGCGGAAATGCTGACATGGGAGGAGGTTGAGGACGCCGTCTTTGGTTGGTGGTCGCACCTTGAGCAATTTACAGAGAAGTTGTCCTGATATAATTCCTTCCATCCTCAACTTATAAAATAAAGTTCCGCCACGAAGTATTTTCTCAATCGCACTCCAGTATGATTCACGAAGCAGGAGACAAGGAAATGGGTCGAGTGATATTGCATCCATGACTTTAATTGGACAACCAGCGATATAAACAGCGATTCTACGCGCCCACTTTTCTCTGCTCCAGCTTTTCAGGCCACTTTTCCGCTCTATTAAGAAGAATGAGAAGACAAAAGAATAAAACATAAAATCAATCAAAGTTCCGAACCAATGGTTCAATGTTGCGAATATCCGGGATGAAAAACGCAGCAAAAAGTCCTGTATGTTACTCACCACCAAAAGACCGACGATCAGTCCAAAAAGACCGACAATGCTTCCGAAAATCTCAATGACAAGGACCTTGACAAACAGCTGTCCGTCTTGAGCATCAGCCAATGCGGCACTGCTTCCAGTGATACCAACTGAGACACCGCACACCAAGTTGCAGAGTCCGGTTGTCAGTCCAGCCCAGAACAATGCGTATCCTAGATTATAATAAAAACAGACATAAAGGCAAGTTAATGAGCGTTAGAGCACATGAGTTGTCAGCCATCGTTAAATAAAAAACGGTGAACGAAGCGGCGTTGACGCTTTCAGAAATATCGCGTACCCTTGTAATACATCTCTGGGGAGGTGATGGTTGCGTCCTGGACATCATTCAACTTTGCGGTGAAGACAATGGCCATGATAAGGCCATAGATAGCAACGACCTCACAGAAGATAATACTAGAAAGGAGTGCATGTCAAGCATACATTATTAGCCAAGGCAAAGGCATTGCACATTCGATCAGTTGACTGGTCACCACATTAAAATGCCCCTGACGAATCCAACCATAAACATGTTCAGTATGTACCTGATCAAGTTCTTGGTGACGATTCGTGGGGCGCGCACACCTCCTCCGACCAAACTTGCTCCAGTGATAAAGATTCCCCTGTGGACAATGAGGATGAGAGGGTTGGTATTGGGGTAGCGAGCCAATGAAGAACAGAGGGAAGCAGGTGCGAAGAATAGAAAAGAAATGCACAAATAAACCGGTGTTAGTGACACTTTCTGAGTAGGTCCTGGTTGTTAACAACGTTGCGCGGTCTTGGTCAAATGTCCCAGGTCGTTCACAAGCTCTTACCAGGCAGCACCTCCGACACTGAAGCCCACACAGAGGGCAATACCCAGGAGAGACCACATATGGGGACTGATGCTCATGAGAAACTCGCCGACATTGAACTGCTCTCCAGAGCCTGTTAGCAGCATATATAGGCCGACGAGTCCGAGACCCGAGAGTGAAAGGTACGGGTACAGTGATAGGACCGAGGACCCGCTGCTCGCATTGTCGCGTGCGGAATAGGCACCCATGGTGAACGTAAAGGGAATTTAGGAGGAGTGGTGTGTTTGTGATAGAGGAGCAGCGCTAGTGACGTCTCTTATTTTTCGAGAGCGCGAAGGTAGGTGATGCCGGTGCAAGAAGATTCAGGACTGGCGCTTGGAAAAGGTGAAATAGCAGCTGAAAGCGATGTAGAGGAGGAGACAATCAAACAACTTCATCGACATCAACATCGGCTTTGAGAGGCTGGCACCCTTGAGCGCACGCAACCAACGATCGGCCCAATGCACGTGATTATGTGGTTTGAAAACTTTGAACGCGCTTTTTATTTTATTTCTCGCAGTGTTTAACGCTCGCTGCCAATCTTCAAATACCCCGCACTCTATTTCAGCAGTGCTGTTCCAAACTTCTCCTTGGCAGTCTGGTAGGCCTGAATCAAGGTCTGCTCTGACAATGGCACATCCGACAAGTTCTCCCTTGGTTTTGACACCCTAGCCACAATAGCCGATGAATCCGTCTCCAGAACGATGCTATAGCCACAGCAGACACAGGACACCATGGTAACAAAACGTGTTAGCAGTTGTCGAGAGTTTACTGCAACCCTGCTTGCCTCTATGACAGAGCTTTCTGCTTACCCTTCGTCAATTGTTTCATCCAACGCCAAGACGACGAGATCCAAGTTTTCCAGGATGACACGCTTTGAAATTTGATGTCTATAGAAAAGCGGATATGATTCAAAACGTTCGGTCAGTCCAATTGGGCCAGTACGTCCATGTACTGTTTTTTGTCGTTGACTGCATAAAATGAAGACATAGTGATCCGTACCTCAACAGCATCGAGACTGCATCTGAGAAGGCATTCAAGATGACCAAGAGCATAGCCTCGTTCTCTTCGGGCATGCCGACAATATAAAAGAAGACATCCTCGTGGAATCGGTAAAGGACGACCTGGTTATCAAAGAGCAGGATTTCGCCATGAGGTGCACGCTTCGTCTTATCATAAAGACCCTTCTCGAACGCCTTTTGGTCTTTGGGCGAAGTATAGTCTGCGCCAAAGTACTTTGCAAGAACGCGACCGCCCTCGCTATCGAGCATCACTACAGCCTTGACGGTATAAAGTGTAAGATTGACCATGATTGTCCCTGGGGTGGATGATGTGGGTTGCTGCTGATGTTATCGGTTCCGATGGGATTGTGCAACTGTTTGTCCTGTGAAGGTTGGCTGTCAGGGCGTGAGATGAGGCGGGATTGTGATGATGAGCATTCGTGGCACCTTCCTCGCAACGCCCAAAAAGTGCTCGTTATTAGATTATGTAGACAATAACTACGTATAAAACACTAAATCCAACCGATTGACGTCACCGAAGAATCCACCACACGGCGGGTGGCAGGCCCCTCCACAGAGGCTGCTCGCTTGCGCGTTCGAGTTCCTTGTTGTCCAGAAGCCATGTCACTAGTGCTCGAATCGCTAGCGCTGTTGATGCTGGTGCTGGTGCTACTGGCGCTGCTGATGCCAATATTTGTCTGCGACTTTGCAGCTTGCTCCCATGGGTACACCCCGTTTTCATTCATTGGCTGGAGATATAGCGGTCGCCGGTGATGGAGCAGGTGCCCACGGACAACATTGCAAATGTTATGAGCAGCCATCACATCGCAGTGCATGTATATCTTGCAAGTCGTACAGTACAAGCTTCGGATCTCCACTTCTCCGATAAACTGCTCGCAAGTTGGACACTTTTGGAGGTGTAGTATTCATTCACTCCCACGACAATGTACCCAAGAGAGCGAGCCTAGCAAGGACAATCCATTACTACCATTGATAATAAAAATGTACCCTCGAATCCCCTACTCATTGGTGGTGCTGTACACTTACTTTTTGAACAAAGTACGACTGGAAGGATGTATGCAAAGAGAGCCTAGACTTTGTTGAAAACTGTTCATGGCTCACCCCAACCACAACCTTGTTCGCTTCATCCCTCTGTCTGCCAGTTACACCCCCGACCATCTTGAGCAGACGGTTCGTAATAATCGCGTACTCTGCTTTCCGAGCCTTCCTGGCACCCCACTGGTGCTTTTTAACAGCCGTACTGTGGTTGTAAAAGCTGTCCAACTGCATCTTTGCGTTCCCAAGCTCCGTCACATATTTCGCGAAATTGGCATCGTCGCCGCAAAGAGGTGGCAGCCTACTCTCGATGTCGCTGATGGATTCTATTGCGCCAGGAAGAACCATTCGTTTGCACTCTCCCAGCCAGCGTCGGTAATTGAAGATTGGTTGGTAAACAGCCTTCCGCTTCGCAGCCAGATTATAATAAGTGGCGGGATTGGAAGTTGGTTTAGTGTCATTGCAGGGTTCTTTCGCTGCGATACCGCCATCCTGACCTCACTGGGCCTTCTTGAGTTCCGCCTCCTTGGGTTCCTCAGGCAACGACGCACTTGCTCTGGCTACGCATGCTTGACCAAGATTGAGACCAAGGACTTTGATTTCCTCTGGCCTGCATCCCCAAAGAGCTGCAGCATCCTGCCGAGTCTTAACAACGTTTGGAACTTCAGTCAAGTAGTAGTCCGTTCCGGCAATGGTGGATGTAATTCAAGGCGGCAGCACATCCTCTGGGAGTCGTGTGTATCAAGCCGCCTGGAGTTCCTTTAACTTGAAGGCGAGGATCTGAAGACGAAACCCATCAGTTCGGAGAGACCCGCGTAGGATACGACTATTTCTTTCGCACGTCCCAGGATCGAAGTTGCTTTGTCGAATGAGTGCTAGATGCTGCCATATCTCCTCCACGGACATTGTAGTTGCTGTATTCCTGTATGATTTACTGGCTCCTGGCTTATTCCGCTTGGGCCTGTCCTGTCCATCCCGCCCGATATCTGTGGTTAGCATTGTGACGAGGAATCCCCTGCTTTATCGGACAGTCAATTCTGTACATCCGCAAGCACATAGTCTTCTTCCTTGATTTTTTTCTGCAGCGCATCGCTCTTCCAAAAGAACGACTGACTGGCAGGCGTAATAGGAATGGGCCTGCGGCGGTTCTTGTCGATCTGGTTCAAGCGAACAAAATTCTCGACCGCGGATTCGCCGCTATTAACCCTGATGCTGCGCCCATCTGACAAGGGCTCTCTCCTCTTGACCTTGAGCTACAGTATATGGATTGTTTGGCGCTGTAAGCTTCGTATTCTTTTGAAGTGCCCTGGTGTTAAACTCGCGGGAGTAGCAACAACATCAAAAGTCGGTTCATTACCTTTTCATGGAGTTCATTACTCCCTTTTCGAAACTGCAGATCGCAGCAAGGACCCCGCTGGGTATGGCATAATCGGCTTTATTGCTACTCCGTCCTTTTTGTCCATCAAGCCTAGGTCCTGTAATCAAGTGGTGAACCTTTGCATGCGCCCACCGGTCGCCGTAGTAGGAGAGAAGGAGCCAGAGTAGAGATATCGCAACAACATAGAAAGGAAGCCAAGCCAAGCATCGCCGCTCTTGTCATCCAAATCGTCCATATTTGTTGATTTGTCTTCGTCATCGTGATTGTCATCGCCGTTACCGCCGCCGCCCACGCCATTTGTCGAGATATGGGGGCAAATACAGTCCAATAACTCTTTGTCTGATACCATGCAGTCGCCTCGCGTTGCAACGCGTTCAATGAATTGACCGAGGAGCTGTTGACATGATCGTTTGATGTTGGCTACGAGGTACACGGGTTCCTGCAAACACCTGATCACCTCGGACGCTAAATCTGGCCGGTTGATCATGGCTCTGTCGACATTGGCAGATAAGGTCCCAGTATCGAGGGTTACTGTGAAATGTTCCCATGCCAGAGCTCTCTAAGTTCTTTCCTGTCCATGCCCATGTCCACTACTGGCTTGACTGGTTTGCCCTTGTGTCTGTCCTTGTTTCCGTTGTAGTTGTCCTTCTTTTCGTTACATTTGTTGCTGCTGTTCTTGTTCGTATTCTTCTGTTGAGAAGTATCGGTATTGTGACCAGATGGGCTCTCCGGCGGCTTCTTCCAAGGCTTCCATGCGTACTGCTTCATACTCTCTGGCGGCTCGTGCTCTATTTTTCGAGTGCGCACTTTGACGGAATATCGTGACCGGTATTTAGGGGTCTCTTTTTGAGACGAGCTGGGTTGCGCTGCTGTCATCTCCGTGTCTTCGACTGTCACTGCCTCTTTGTTCTGCGGAGTAGAGGGATCGACCGAGCGGTAGCGATTAAATGTCTGCCAGGGTTTGTGATGCTGAATCGAGCTTCCAGGTAACTTGCTATCGTGATTCCATGATGAGTAAACCAGGGTTAATAACTTGGCTGAATTCAGACAAGCGGCAGCAGAATGTAAGCAACATTCGACAAGGTAAGTAACAGCGCTTTGTACCTTCTCTCTGCTTGACGCACATCTCGCAACGCTGCTTGATCCATGATGCGTTGTTCCTTGATGCGATTGAAGTCTGAGCGAAGCTCGTGGTACTCGGGAGCCGTGAAGGTCTGGACTGATGACACAAGTGTCTGTGTGCAACTGAAGAACACTTTAGGCGATGTAGCGGACTTTTCGTTACTTAAATTCTTGCGGACGACCAAACGGTGAAACAAATACTGCGCTATCATTGATGCGGCTTCTACAAGGAAAATAAAAGAACATTGCATTAAAACAAGCTCACACAAAGAACGGTCATTCGTTTAAATGAATATTACCTTCTCCATCCAAGACCTTAATTATGCTAAAATTGCTGACACAACCCAGCATGGGGATGTTGACACTGTAGTCGTTCTTGGAGACCACATTCAGGATTGTGAGTTGAGTCCTGTTGATGCTTAGTGCTGCTAGGATGCCTGGAACGTCGTATACAAAGATCAGCCCTCTCGAGATCGGTCGCCACACTGTCGAGATCCCTTCTTAGACAATCATTTCGCCGTCTCACTATATGGCGACGTCACCCGGCATGCAATATCCTCCTCAGCCTGGCACTCCTTTACGGTCTATCCCTGAAGCTGGAGGTAGCTTGCAGATGCTTGTCGTGCCGCTGACATCCAATAAAAGGCCTTCCTCAGATTCCTTTGTACGGTAAGAAAATGTTGCTTTCGCACACGTAGTCCCTGCGCTACGCGACCCTTCAACTGAGTGACTCCTTGTTGAGCCAATGCCAATGCTTTGTCGCCGATTACTTGTCGCCGAAGGTTAGTGAGTTCCTTTTTTTTTTTGAGAAAGACCACCGTCCAAATAATGAACAGAATTGGTAGAGGTTACCAGCTTCTTCAGCTCCCTCTCGACGATCGGGCGCGCAATGTCCACAGCGTAGGATGTATAGGCATATTGGACAGTAAGGAAAACTGTTCCAAGGACGTCTACTCGAACCCGTGGGCGGTCGAGAATTGGATTGGAGATGTCGGATTGCCGATGGCGCGCAGTGGCCTCGTACCCTTCCCGTTTCAGAAAAGGTTACAGGTCTTTAATGCCCATGGTGAAGCTGTGAGAAAGGAGATAGGATGAAGAGTGAAAATGGAAGGGTGTGGGAAAAAAATATATCGTTCCATCATGCGCGACTGCTTATTTTTTTATATTTTTCTTCAGTCTCACCCGTGCCGATCCATCCATCCATCACCATTCTTGCTCTCGAACCCTGAACAGCTATCATGGACTCGTTAAAAATCAGGGATATCACTCATTTCTGCCCCAATTTCGACCCATTTACCTCTGCCACTCCATACGACTTCGCGGAACATGGCCTCCCCCTACCTTTTTGCAAGGACTTTTACACTCCCGAAACTTTTCGATCGTTCTGGGAGCAGGAGCGCCTAGCATATCAGTGGATTTATATTTCCGAGAAGCACTCTCGCACGTTTTACAGTAAAGACCCGCCCTTAGATGGGTCTCTGCCTGTAGCTCGCACCAATGCGACTGGCCGCCCACCTCTTTACGACTGGTCGATCAAATACGCGTGTAGACACTCAGGATGTGAAAAAACGCTATCAATTGCTCGCAACTCAGTGCCTCAAGGTTGCCTTGCTTGTATTAGAATCCGGAAGTTGCGTGCCGAAGATAGGGTGCGAATAGAGTACTACTGGGAGCACTCGCACGCGACAAACCTATCCACCCTAGCGACATATCCTCCGGGCCCGAATGAGCGCAACTGGGCCAAGAAAATGGTCAAAGAGGGTGAAGATTGGCACTCCATCAAGAAGAAGCTTACACCTTCCGCTGAACAGCTCGCGCGAGTACGGTTACCTTTTTTTTTTTTTTTTTATTGTCAGGCGCAAGTTTGTACTCTATTCAGCTAACACCTTCGAACTTTAGCTGGAATCCAGCAATGGAACTGCACCTCTAGGCCCTCGTATTACATATGAGAATATCCGTAAATGCATGTATCGGTACAGGACTTTAACAATTGAAGGCACCGAGAGCCGAGGAAGAGGAGGGAAAAAAGAAGCAGTAGCAGGAGAAAATGGCTCGACAGATGGAAAAGTGTGAAGGGGAACTGAAAACCATGTAGATAGACTTTGGAAGGCTGGCTCATAACGACAAAACTCGAAAGTGCGCACTGACTTACTTTCAGTCTGCCCGTCGCTTCTATGAAGGACTCAACGCGCGCGTGATGAAAGAAATAAACGAAGTCAATGCTGGTCACGTTAGGTTATATATCTACGCATAAATTCGCAATCTTTCAGAGTTCATCTCTCGTGCGGGAGCAGGTGTAATTCTAGCAATACTCATTATTGCTATGCACCGTTCCAAGGCAGGCCTTTGGCCCATGCAAACACTTCCCTCCATCATCGCCAACAACACCTACCAGGACAACCATCAAAGCCATTAGGGCACCTAACAGCGCAATGGCCACCATTGGTACCACCACCACCACCACCGGCACCACCACTACTACCGGCACCACCACCACCACCGTCTCAACAAGCATATCAGGAGCTAATATAACACCGACTCTGGAACCTGAGGTGTCGCGACCAAAAACATCGCCTCCTGCCGAAGGCCTCCTTTCACGAGGCCAGGAAGGAACGTCAAAAGATGGCGACAAATTGGCCTCTTCCACTCAAACAGAGAGCAATAGCCAAAGCTCCGAGATACCCGTGGGGGAGCTCATCCATGCTATACGGCAATTGACTGAGGACGAGGCCCTCAAGGAAGATGAGAGAGCAAACGAGAAGATCAGGCAGAAATGGCAACCTCTGTCCAAAATCCACCTTGCCTGTCGAAATGTCACTCGCACTCTCCGTCAAGACGAGTCCACCTCGAACCAGTCCTCTGAAAGTCAGCTCGAAGCAGAAGTCCTATATGGCGACCAAGACGCTCAACCTTCATTACTACGTCAAAACACATCCAGTCCTGCCCTCGATCAATGCTCCTCAGCCGCGAGTATGACCAGCGCAGGAAATGCGGAATCGGCTATTGAAAATACATCCAGCACCCCTTACAAGGCAAAACGGAAGGATAAGAGCTCAAAGAAGGACGCTATGTTGATTGAGATCGAGCCACCTAAACTCGTCGACGCACAATCGGTACCAGGAGACCGACGATTTTTCCAGTGTTCCAAGGATCCGGAACCCGAGGGCGACTTCGTGTACGAATTTTTGTACCAGCATCAGCGGGGGGCTTTCATTTTGGGAACACCCAAGTTCAGCTCGAAATCACTTTTACCAATCGATCCGGACGAGTGGACGGACTCTACTTTTAAGACATCGCCTATGGATACTACGGACTATGTTGTACCAGATCCAAGCTGGGAATGGGTCCACAAGAGCTGGCTAGTCGATATGACAGGAGACGTAGACGAGGATGGATGGGAATATGCTATGACATTTCATGGGTCGCCATGGCATGGCAACAACGAGGCGTTTAGATCATTTGCTCGGAGGCGGCGCTGGCTTCGACTTCGGAGGAGAAAGGTATGATGGATGGCGGAAACTGCTGGCCGTAGCCCTGCTTATTTCTGAAAGCTAAGGGCGTCATCAACTGCAAAGATGCTGTTCGATATCGCATATAGAATCGACAAGGAACAGACCCACTAACAAATCCTTAATCCTATCTTTCCGTTGATAAAATCGTCATTCTGTAGGGCAAATTGCTTAATGCATTGAGTCCACTACCGGAGAGGACATACCCCATCTCGATTAAACCAGCGGCGTGGGCCAAACCCGACATCTCACGGTTGGATGATACTTCGCCTTTCCCACCGGATGACTCGGCTACAACCTCGGAGGGGCACTTGAGGCCGCTCAATGGCATTAAGCCCGTGGATCTCTTTAAGTTCATGAAGAAGGCTCGATCAGATCGCGAAAAACTGGCATATGCAGCGCAGTACGTGGTGCGGTATCCTGGCCATCTGGAGGATCTGGAGCAACAACTGGACCGCTACTTGAACCTTTTGGACTACGAGACCTCACGTCGGGAGTTTTTGTCTGTAGGTGCAGATGCCGATGTTATGACTTTGTCTCCTGCCCGTCCTTATCTAAACGCCTCTAACTGTACTAATCATTAATCTTTTTATATTGATAGCTGCTCGCTGCCTACTCTGGAGCAAAAGAATCTACATTACTGAAGGCGGCGGATCACCTTGAATATTACTCTGATCGCAAACGACTCATTTCGGGCACAGAAGACCAAGACAGTCGGCCGCAGGCTCAATAGTCTGGAGAGCGACTCACCATGACACGTTTATCGCCTGCGCCTGGAGGCTGGAACTGAATCATCGAATAAACAAGCCACGATGTTTGATCCAACACCCTATCATAAATGTTCTTGCACAAAACCAGGCACACCCATAGCAATCAACGAATCAATCACTCTTTTGTCCCGCAACATCACCCAGAATGGAAGCCCTCGACAAACGCATCGCCCAACAGGGCGATCTCGTCCGATCCTTGAAGTCCTCTAATGCCGACAAGACTAAAATCGCCGAGGAGGTTGCTGCGTTGAAGACTCTCAAGGCCGAGCGCGAGGCTCTTGTTCCCAAGGAAGCCGCCACCACCACCCCAGCCTCGGCCTCCACATCAAAGTCTGAGGATAAGAAGGGCAAGAGCGCCTTCACGCTCAAGAACGCAAAGGTATTGCTTATATTAACTGCACTCGCCATTTGATATCGCCTTTGGTTTCTTCGGGCATCCCTATACTTCACCCTTATGTCCACACTAATAAGCCTTGCTTGTCATTTTATCTAATCAATTGCTTCGTATTGGCGTGCATTTTTTTATTATAGGGTACCAAGGATTACACGCCCCAGGAGATGGCTGTACGCGAGAAGATCTTTTCGACCATCGTCCAAGTGTTCAAGAAGCACGGTGGGATCACCATTGACACTCCGGTTTTTGAGCTTAAGGAAATCCTTTCTGGAAAGTATGGCGAGGACAGCAAATTGATTTACGATCTCGAGGACCAAGGAGGCGAGAAATGTTCCCTTCGCTATGACTTGACCGTACCCTTTGCGCGTTTCCTTGCCATGAATGGTAAGGAGTACCAGAACGTCAAGCGCTACCACATCGCCAAAGTCTACCGCCGTGATCAGCCTGCCATGACCAAGGGCCGCATGAGAGAGTTTTATCAATGCGTAAGTCTTTTCCGCTGGTACTTTGTCAATGACTCGTACTGAAGTCGTTTTTCTCTCTAACCGCTATGTTGTTCTTGCCACTGCATTCATACGCTGATCTCTCAGGATTTTGACATCGCCGGCACGTATGACCCTATGATCCCCGACAGCGAATGTTTGAGGATCTTAACCGAATGTTTGACCGCTTTGGACTTGGGAGACTTCACGATTAAGATGAACCATCGCAAAATTTTGGATGGCATCTTCGAAGTCTGCGGGGTTCCCGAGGACAAAATCCGTACCATCTCTTCTGCCGTCGACAAGCTGGACAAGTTGCCTTGGGCTGACGTTCGCAAGGAAATGACAGAAGAGAAGGGATTGGACCCCCAGGCTGCAGACCTCATTGGAGAATACGTTCAACTGAAGGGTATGTTCGCCATATTTCTGGGGACAACTCTGGAGATTATTGATGTCTATCACGTTTTATATCGTATCCCTAATCTCTAATGCATATGTTTGTCTTTGGTTTCTTTGGCTCCAATGTAGGAGGCGAAGAGTTGCTGGAGCGTCTCTACAACGATGCCAAGTTAGGTGCCAATGCTCGTGCGAAGGAGGGCTTGGATGACATGAAGGTGCTATTCAGGTACTTGAACGTGCTCAACGTTACCCGCCACACCTCTTTTGATTTGTCGCTCGCCCGTGGTTTGGACTACTACACTGGCTTGATTTACGAGGCCGTTCTAGAGGGATCTGCCCCACCCAGTAAGTCAAATATTTACCAACTGTACTGTCACAGCCGATAGAGTTCCTGTCCTTACATCTAATCTGTTCGATATTTCAAATTCATGGCTAGCTTTAGCAAATGGTGAAAAGGCACGCGCTACAGTGAAAAAAGGCACAGACGAGCTAGATGAGAGCACCGTGGGTGTTGGATCAGTGGCGGCCGGTGGTCGCTACGACAATTTGGTTGGTATGTTCTCTGGCTTGAACAAGAAGGGGCAGCCCAATCTAGTGATCCCTTGCGTTGGTGTCTCGATTGGAGTGGAGCGTGTGTTTTCGATTTTGATGCAGAAGCAGAAGAAGGAGCAGATCAAGAGCAATGAGGTCGAGGTTTATGTCGTGGGTTTGGGCGGAGTCTCGGTGGAGGAGAGGATGAAGATTTGCACGGAACTGTGGGATGCCGGCATCAAGGCCGAGTTCGCATACAAGTTGAAGCCAAGGACACAGAATCAATGGGATGTGTGCGATCGTGACATGATTCCGTTCGCAGTGATTGTCGGTGGCGACGAAATCGAAAAGGGCTTGGTCAAGATCAAGGACATGCGCACCAAGGACGAGTCTCAGAAAGGTGGTCTGGAGTACCCTCGCTCGGAGATGATCGCGGAGCTACAGAAGCGACTGGCGGAGCTTTAGACACATCTCAACAGGCAATCCACATCAGAATCTTGACTTGTAATAAAACCGCTTTTAATTAACCATAATCGGTATTTGGACATGCAAGCATAACGCTTTTTTTCATTTTAGCAACGAGACAAAACTTGACAAAGGCATTTTCGTTCTATGGTCAGAAGTTTATTAGATTATGTACAAATAGTGATCGCAAGGGTGGGTGAAGAGATGGAGATGATCGACAAACATCCTGACTCTGTTACATCAAACGAGAAAAGGGAAGTCAAAGCTCATTGATAAGAATCCTGAAGTTGGCATTCCAAGATGCTTGTAAAGAAATGTATGAAATACAAGGAGCTGTGCAGAGCAAAAAAGCAAAGAGGACAGATTGAAAAAAAGAGGCGATGTTGTGTCCTGGATCCAATTGATGCTGTTGTTTACATCTCCTGAGAGGGAGCGCCACCCTTCTTGGTCTTCTTGGGCAAGAGAGAGTCGTGAATGTTGGGGAGGACACCACCTTGGGCGATGGTGACGTGTCCGAGCAACTTGTTCAACTCTTCGTCGTTGCGGATGGCAAGCTGGAGATGGCGGGGAATGATACGGGACTTCTTGTTGTCGCGGGCAGCGTTGCCGGCCAACTCGAGAATTTCAGCGGCCAAGTACTCGAGGACGGCAGCAAGGTAGACGGGGGCACCAGCACCGACACGCTGGGCATAGTTACCCTTGCGGAGGTGACGGTGGATACGACCGACGGGGAACTGAAGACCGGCCTTGGACGAGCGCGAGGTCGAGTTCTTAGGAGCCGAAGCAGACTTGCCACCAGATTTGCCGCCAGACATTGTGAATGAGAGTTATAGATGAAGAAAGAAAAGAAGGTGCGTGTAGAGATGCAGACCGAGCAAGAGGAATCAGGCGGACGTATGAAAGTGGATGCAAGTGAAGTAGCAAAAGAGAGGGAGGGAAAGGGAAAAAAAAAAGCAGTGGAGAAGGCTGAAATATTTATATGGGCGAGAGGGAAAGGAGCGGCATGCGAAAGCGAGTGGGGTATATGGGTGCGTGGACTGCTTTTCTAAAATACAAAAACGAAAACGAAAAAGGACGCGTTTTGAATTCAAAAAATTTGAAAATATTAAAAACACTCCAGGACTTAAGGTACGTGTGCAATTAGAGAGCGCCTCCTCCGCTATTTAACTTAACTGACTCCAAAAAATAAAAAATAATTTCTTAATTAGCGTGCGTCCCTTTTTCGCTTTTCGCTTTTTGCTTTTCGCTTTTTTGCTTTTTTCATTTTTTGCCGCACTTCTTTGTTCCCTCTTCCTCTATCCATCCCCCGTTCGCATCAAATTATATAAGAGGCAGCCAGTCTTCTCTTCCCCACTCCTCCTTTTTCTGATCTTTCAACTCTTTCGTCCGTTCTCATACACTCACCCACTCAACCCACACCCACACACCTATTCAATATGCCACCAAAGCCCGTTGCTGAGAAGAAGCCCTCCACCGGAGGCAAGGCCCCCGCCAAGACCGCTGCCTCTTCCGAGAAGAAGGAGCGCAAGACCAAGTCCGAGGGTGGCAAGGGACGCAAGAAGGCCCGCTCCGAGACCTACTCCTCCTACATCTACAAGGTTTTGAAGCAGGTCCACCCCGACACCGGTATCTCCAACAAGGCCATGTCCATCCTCAACTCGTTCGTCAACGACATCTTCGAGCGCATCGCCGGCGAGGCCTCCAAGCTCGCTGCCTACAACAAGCGTTCGACTATCTCCTCGCGCGAGATCCAGACCGCCGTCCGCTTGATCCTCCCTGGTGAGCTCGCCAAGCACGCTGTCTCTGAGGGTACCAAGGCCGTCACCAAGTACACTTCCTCCAAGTAAAGGATTGACCTGTGCTCGGCGTGTTTCATCGACTCTCACCCGCCAACAACCCTCCGGTCCTGTGCGCCCTTGAACGACAACCTGTTTTATAATTCCCGACCATCCAGCTCGCTCGTTTGTTTAATAAGCCAATGTCATCCACTGACGTTCAGGAAGTCCAGACCGCGTATTTCTCTTTGCTTCATCCAATTGTACATCATAGCCAGCTTTCTTTTTGTAGAAACAATAAAACTAAATCCAAAGCATCTGTTGGCCATGGTTATGTAGTTCTGAATGCTCGTTTATTTAAATCTTTTTGTACTGGAGCAATATGGAGGGCTATTAGTGTTGCGAACGAAGAGCCGTGGTGATGTTGATGATCGTAGGGTTGGTGCCAATGGTGATCCGCATGTACACCTGCACTCGGGAGGGAAGTCCAAATAAGATTTCAAATAGCTCGATGTTATCATTTTTCAAAAGGACGGCCCTTTGTTTGATTTGCCATCTTGCATTAACCAATTTTTGGATGGACAGGTCAAACCCAGGCGCCGATGACTCAACGCAGCAGGACTTGTCAATCGAACAGGAGCGTCTTGCCTTGGAGAAGACTATGCAATCACTTAAACATAGCAACGATCACGATCTCAACCCAGACCAACTCGTTGATAGCCACGGTCTTGTTGAACCACTAGGCGATTCAATAGTTACCCATTGGGATTTATCGCAGATACAAGTCGGCAGCATTTCGTCTTTCGCCTTTCCGGATCTGGGTCCTACTCAAACTGGGGACGGCCACACTCCCACCGAGTACATTTCAATGGTAAGGGAAAAAGAAGGACGAAGCAAAAGATACTGAACGCGCTTGCAAATGACGACGACAACTATGACGACGACTACAGCATGGCGGCAACACGTTCGCTATCAATGGACAATGGCGGTGTTCGCCTTGTCGAATGGGTATTCTCTCTAGGCAATAGTTGTCTGATTAGATCCATGAATTCTGCGCACATTTGATAACGCACTTTAACAGGACCAGAGGCAAGCCATACCCAACTCTCAGCCCGAGCCACAGCGACCCCCGGTGGGTGGTCCAACAGAATCGCCACAAGACGCACTGCAGGCGGTGGATAATTACCACACACTGACCTATCCTCCACACGCCTGGGGACAAGGGCGTTACACTCGGAAGGGACAGATGGTTTCTAAACGTCTGATAACATCTATTATCGACCAGGGCCAGAGATCGATAGCAGAGCAGGAAACACGCCTTCTGCGACACCGAAGGGCCCCTAGCGCGAATAAAACCACATACACATCGCCTTCTCCATCGCGCAGCCGGAATACATCGAGATCCAGCACACCCCAGCAACCTGACTCAATTCGAGGAAGGCGCGATAAGGCCGCAGGAAGTGACATCTGCGCCGACGAATACACGCCACATTTGAGTAGTGCCAAGGAGCGTTCACTCACTGTGTCTAATCTTACTCGCCGACATCGTCAGCCACTACGACCTCATGTATTGCGGCCGAACCTTAAGCAGAAGGAAAGATCAGAAGAGCCAGTTCTCGACTCGGATACTCAGTCAAACATCGACCAAATGACCACTAAAGAGCACCATGACCCATCGAAATTAGCCCCTGCCCGCAAAGCAGATAGGACGGTGGAGAGAGCTGAATGCGTTCTCATCCCCGCATGGAACAAGCAGCAGAAATTACAACGGGCAGCGGAGACGAAACCAAGTTCGCTACCCCATCAGGCAGAAACTGAAGTCATGGAAACCTCTACAAGCAAATCCGTACCCAGCGTTGAAAAGAAGCTGCTAGAATCCCCAAGTGCTGCCGAAGCTGCATCACTGCTGTCGTCTTTACCAGCGCCCAAGCGATACAGGGTATTTCATGGATGGTGGATAGAGGCAAAGCCGTATCATCAAAGGGTGAGTGCTCTACATCTCTATTTATGTACAAAAGCTTTGATTGTTTACTATGAAATATGTGGATTAAGCAATATTCGTTTCTACGTCTCTGATGTTGTAGGCCCCCGATCTTCGGATGATATTGCATGGAAACGTCCTTGAGCCAAAGCCCATGGTAAGACCATTCATTACAGTACTGCATATACTATTGACGATTTGTGTGTTGCAGCACACTTATGCTCCCGCTCTTTCGTCTGATCATCTTGGAACGAGTGTATTATTTTCAATGCCTTACTTTGAATAGATGTGGCATTCCTCTTTCATCAAGGGAACTCAAGGGTCCAATATGATTGCTACCATTACGGACTCGTGGTATAAGTTGGAGGGCTCTATCGACAAGGACCGCATGAAAGCCAATGGTAAGATGGACGGAATGAACATCCATTGACCTCTCGTGTTTTCTTGCATGATGCTAATTCGACGGTCTGCGCTCTGCAGGGTTTTCGGACGACATTATCAAGGCATTCGCGAATGGATTCCCTGCTGACTGGAAATCTAGGTTGCTTGCACATCTCGGAGAGGAACTTGATTTACAACAGAAGAGCATGGGCAGGATGGGCGATGGGCAAGCTCCGCCGTATAGCACGCAAAAGCAGGACACAATCCCTCCGACGACAACTTCTGTTTCTCTCAAGCGCAAGGTGCCCGATATGAACATGGCGTATTCGGGTTTAAGAAAACGGCCTGTTCTCAACCACGCAATTGAGAGCGCACCATTATCGAATGTACCCACCACAGCAACGCCCACGCCAAAGAAGAGTGAGGGGACTCCAAAACATCGATCTGGTTCCTCCTATGTTACTTATGTGGAGATCCCGGTTCGCTCCAAGACCCCCAAACGACCCAGCCCTCTTCACGATCCGCAGGTGAACAGCTCGAGCACAAATGGCTCCCGAACACGGACTCGTGATGGAGAGGATTTGCAAGCGGCTATTGTTTCTGACAGTGTTACTGAACGCATCAGCAACAATCGAGCTCGCCAGTCGCAGTCATTATTACGAGGCAAATCGCCCAAAGTTCTTGATTCCAGGACCACGCAAACGACCTCTACGGAGCGTAGCTCAAGGCGATTCATTAGCATGGAGGCCTCACAATCTAAACGCAGCACCACTCAGCAACCCAATCCTAGTCTACATGTCAAGCATCGAAGGCCTATTCTTAGAGATGACAATGATCAACACACAACCCTCACGCGCGAGACGAACGATCACTCTTCACAGTCTCTTCAACCCGGGACAGACCCCTCTCTTGCCGTCAGTATTCAATCCGAATCTACAGATTCTGACATAAGCACGAACTTGGAGCGGACAACAGAATCAACTCCGACCTTGGATAGGAATGGCGCGAAGGACATGTTGATGTCTTCAGGCGATTGCGCACAGCAGGATTTGTTGTTACGTCAAGGCAATTCCATGGACAACATCAGTGATCCAGTTCACAACAGTCTCAGTCGGACATCTCCTTTATTTAAACGAGACACATTTGAGGACACTCAGGACATGAACGGCACTTCAGCTGATGACACCGACGCCCGGGGCCGGCTTCCGAATGTGTCCAGTCACCGAAAGAACGACGCTCAAAGCAAGTGGGATGACGGCGGAGACATCAAAGGCATTTCAACAAGCTCAAGCGAGCACAATCCCACATCGGACCCCATCCCTGAGCAATTTTTCGACACTCTTCCGAGATTGCCCAGCTCTTCTTTCAGGTCGCTCTCCGCCATATCTGCTTCATCTCAGTCTATGGTCCTTGATTTTGAAATGCAGGATTCATCATCTGATATTGCCGGATTACAAACCAATATGGAGCCCGATGCTCCGTACACCAATCAATATGAAGTGGACACTGTGGAGGCTGCTTTGAAGGGCTCATTGACAACGGGTTCGGTTTTTGATCGCGCTTCGGCGACTGCGAAGGAGCCATCCTTACCCATCTTCGAGACCAATCTCACATCCACTGGCACTGCTCATGAAGGGGATGCGGGGCCTACAACAGCAGTATCGGCAGAAGTTATCATGGACAGCATTATGTTGGAGAAAACGCCAATCCAACTTCAAGATACGAGCCCCTCTATCCATATTGGTCGCACTCTGGAACAAAAGGTGGATGTTGAGATCCATGATACCCCTACCGGCGACATGATGATCAGTTTTGAACAAAAATCAGCACGCACGGTCCAATCGGATTGTCGAACCATGCAAGGCGGCTCGATCAGCGATGCAGCCAAGGAGGAGCAAGGGACAGCAATAGGGACGGTCCAGACTAGTACACTGCTAGACCCAACAATGGACGAGGATGCTCACACGAATAATGACAGTCTGGCCATCGCAACGGATGACGCAGGAGAACCGATATTGGACTCAGAATTCGATACTATAGGCGCCGTTGCTCCGGTTACCCTTGCAGGAGCGCATAGCCTAAGCCCAGGCATGGTCTCACCCAGCACTCCGTTGACTCGTGGTTCTGATGACGAAGACCATGAAGCATCAGAGGATAGTTCATATTTTGATCCCTTGGTGACAAGTCTTGTTTTGTCTAGGAGAACAGCTGTAAACGACGTGGCACCGCAACGATTCGCAAGTGTGCGAGATATTAGGGCGCGGAGCAGAATCCATGTCAGTCAGTCAGCGCCACAGCCGATGACTTTAACGCGAAGGACTGAGGATCAGGCGGAGAATGATACTATTAGGTCGTGGCCGGAGAAGGATCACCAGGCAACAAGACTGGCGGACAGTAGTCTTGAATAATACGAGTTGGACTGCAGCACTAACGGACCACCCCCACCCCTTTTGCGCGCTGTTCAGGCGTAACAAAGCAAACATGAGAACATATTATCGAGCCAGAGAATGTTTTTGAAAAGCAAAGTATTTATTTTATTTTACAAGAGCCACCGCAGCAATCAAGTGCGAGGGACGATTAAAAGGATTGATAGGATAATCGGTTGATAGGAAGGTGGAGTGAAAGTGCGAATGGTTCTATACAATGAGCAGGAATACAGAGAAGAGGGCTGGAGACCACTGACGACTCGACCCTGGCCCTCCGGTCACGGCACGGTAGGGGGGACTTGGACCAGGGTGGGGAGATGACATCGACTGCTGCCGGTCGCTTATCCGCCGAAACCATAGAGGGTGCGGCCCTGGCGCTTGAGGGCGTAGACGACATCGAGCGAGGTGACGGTCTTGCGCTTGGCGTGCTCGGTGTAGGTGACGGCATCACGGATGACGTTCTCGAGGAAGACCTTGAGGACAGAGCGGGTCTCCTCATAGATGAGGCCGGAGATACGCTTGACACCACCACGACGGGCGAGACGACGGATGGCGGGCTTGGTGATACCCTGGATGTTGTCACGAAGAATCTTGCGGTGGCGCTTGGCACCGCCCTTTCCGAGACCCTTTCCTCCCTTGCCGCGGCCAGACATGATTGAGTTGTGTGTGTTTTAGAGGTGAGAGAGTGAGAGACGAGTGTCGAAGTGCTTTCCTTGCTCTGAGTGGATGCAGAAGAAGAAAAGAAAAGAAGGGTTGTTGGACAAAAAGAGCAGTTGGAGGAAAGAAGTGCTCTATTTAAATCGAATGAGGGGGATTTAAAGTTTGCCACAGCCAAAAAACAAGTTCAAATTTGACTTCAAAAAATAAAAAATTGGACTCGTAACCCCAATCTCCAAAAAAATTGGGAGACGCGTTCTCATTCAAAAAGATAGCCCATGCAAATTTCGAGTAAGATAACTTAAGTTGATTTTGGAAACGCGCGATGAGCTGGTATAAGCTTTCTGTATATGCACGAGAGAGCGATGGGCTCCTTTAACTGCAAGGGATAGCGACCCCTTGTGCACTTGTGGACAATTTTCACAATTGCATTCAAAAAATAAAAACACACAAGGACGCGATGGTGGAAACCAGGTCCACATCAACTTTTTTTTTAAAAACGTTTCTACTGCTCTGTGGGGCCATCCAACTCAAAACTCAGCTATAAAAGGGTATTCCTTCCCGTGCAGCCCGTCCACCCTTTCCATTCCCTCCTTTTCTGAATCCTCTCATCCTCTCATTCTCGAAACAAACGAATCAAGCAACCCTCATCCCCACCGATAACAACTTCAATATATACAATGGCTCGTACTAAGCAGACTGCCCGCAAGTCCACCGGAGGAAAGGCCCCTCGCAAGCAGCTCGCCACCAAGGCTGCTCGCAAGTCCGCCCCCGCTACTGGAGGCGTCAAGAAGCCCCATCGTTACCGCCCCGGTACCGTCGCCCTCCGTGAGATCCGTCGCTACCAAAAGTCGACCGAGCTCTTGATCCGCAAGTTGCCCTTCCAGCGTCTCGTCCGTGAGATCGCCCAGGACTTCAAGACCGATCTTCGCTTCCAGTCCTCGGCCATTGGTGCCCTCCAGGAGGCTTCGGAGGCCTACCTCGTCTCTCTCTTCGAAGATACCAACTTGGCTGCCATCCACGCCAAGCGTGTCACCATCCAGCCCAAGGATATCCACTTGGCCCGCCGTCTCCGTGGCGAGCGCACCTAAATAACGTCAATCAATTGACTTGTTTTTCTCAACTTGCCCTCCCTTTTTCGCTCCGTGTCTGTAATTCCATTTGCCACATCTCTGTAACATTAATCCCTGCTTCAGTAGCGCTACGTAACTTCATAGAAGGTGCTTTCAATTTTTTTTTTTTTGTCGCTTGAGATTGCTTGTTTCGAACAAAAAGAACCAGGTTCATACCACTTGTACAGCAGACCGAATGAATAAAAGTACAATTTCACGCAATTCAGTAATGAACTGTTATCTATGTTTCTATGTTAATGGTTGGCAGAAGTGCTCAATTATCAATTGGGGGTAGAAAGCTACTTCGAGGGCCATTGCAGTTTAAGTCACGTGGAGCTCATCGCGAGCACGTCTCTAAAAAGAAAAATAACATGTCTTCAAAAGTCCTCATCTACTGAACCCAAGGACACAAAAGTCGAGTCGAATCCAACTCGGCCAACAGCGGAAGCAACAGCAGCAATAGCAGTGGCAGCACTAGTCACGGCCAGCACCGGCAGCAGAAGCAGAAGCAGCAACAAGGACACTCACACCTTGGCCACTCCCCATCTCCTTTTCATCTGAGCTGTTTGCATTTCCTCTTCAGAACTACCGCCAACGCCTTTTCCGTCGTAATCACTCGCTCCTCTTCACCAGGTCCGTTCAGCAGCATATCCATGATGTCAGAAGCAGCCCTGACGAATGGCCCAATGGTCCCCAATGTCGCGTCCTCGCTTCTGCCACATCAGAATTCAACGACAGTGCAAATCGGACCAAACCCGCCCATGACAGATGCGCAACGATCAGAACTGGAAGGATACATGAGACGGGACGCCATCTTTGTCACGGCATTCGAGCAGCAGAGGCAGATGCAAGTGGCCCTCGCTCATGGAAAGCAGCTCGAGATCAGACAAACAGCGCAAGTAGGTGCAGACATCTTCGGGCCTGGATACCACCCTTCGTACGGCAACGGCAGTGGAACCCCCGCCACCAACGGCCCTGCTCCAAACGCGTTTCACATTGTGTATCCAGCTCATCGGAGGCGCGCCAGGAAGTCCAAAGAGTTTGTCTTGTAAGTGCTGATGCCTGGCTGTCTTGATCATTCATAATTCGAGGCCGGCTGATTCTCTCCACCATTAAACCATTAACACGATATTTTCCAACTTTATCGATTTCATTGCGATAGTTCCAAGACTATGATCGAGGAGCAAGCTTCAAAGGAGGATGCACTTGTGCCGATCCGACTCGAAATCGATGTTGACGGGCTTGTCTTGCGGGATACATTTACATGGAACTTACATGGTAATGCAATTGCCTTCTATTCGTGTTTTTTAAACAGCGCGTGAACATGTCTCAGGCTACACTGCTAATCGACATACTTTCTGTCTATGTTGTTAGAGTCTCTCATCACCCCTGAACATTTCGCGGAAGTACTGTGTGAAGACCTGCAGTTCCCTGTCCACCAATTCGCTCCTCAGGTATCAAGGTCGATACGCGATCAGATTCAGGATTACCACCTACCAGCGCTGAGCACAGCAGAACCGCCTACAGGAGACTTGGAATCAGGAGCTCCAGAAGAATCAAAATCTGCCGAACTCCGCATTTTGATCAAGGTATCACTACAGGGCCACCTTCAATGGATAAAATATGTCGCAAGGTCTTTGGCGATCCAGAAATACCGACATCTTCCTTTACTTTGTATATCTGCACATAGATTGATATCACTGTTGCGAACACATCGCTGATCGACCAGTTTGAATGGGACATTTCTTGTCCCAATAACGACCCAGAGCACTTTGCGGAAGTACTCGCATCTGAATTAGGCTTGGGTGGCGAATTTAGGCATGTTATCGGGACCCATATCATATGCATGAGCAAAAAGAAAAAACAAGCGTGTTCGGCCCCCCAGGCTAACTCGATTACCTGTGTTTGTTTGCTCTTTTTAGGACCGCCATTGCCCATTCGATCCGTGAGCAAGTTCAAACGCATACAAAGTGCCTCAATTTGATCGGCTACAACTATGATGGAAGCTCAGTGCACGATGAAGACTTGCGAAGCAGCTTCCTGCCTAAAATCACCAATATTCTGCGCGAGGAAGATGTCGTGGACCAATTCACTCCTATCCTGGAGAAGTTGACCGAACCCGAAATAGACAAGCTGGAGAGGGACCGCGAACGCGATAAAAGGTAAGCTACTTGAATTGGTCTTTGAAAGGATTGAGATTCTGCTTTTGTTACCTTTGACATATCCAATTTGATCTGGTTTAACAGACTATATTCTCAACTCTTAGGCGGAAACGTCGGCAGACGCGTGGTCGAAGAGGCGTTATTCTTCCTGATCGGGAGCCGTCGAAAACAAAGAGAACGCTGTTACACCATGGACATACGTCGGAGGCCGCCGACCCATTACAGGACCTTCAGCAACATGATCCAGCGCTTATCAATCGACTGGGGCCAATGACGAGGAGAACTACAATGGCGCACGATCACTCGCCTGTTGGATCGCTTTCGGCACCGACATCATCTCTGGCAGGCCAGGGAACACCGGCGCATCATCATCGCATGACGCGGAAACTGAGGGGCTCGGGATCTGATTTCTCCATTCATCATCTTGGACTGCCTGGTGTAGGGAGTATCTCGGCATCTCACACCAGAGAGTCTTTGCATGGGTCAAGGGACAAGCTAGGGAGCGGTGGTAGCAGCCGGGAGCACCATGCAAACTCACCCATGCGAGAGACTACACCAGTACAGAGCAGTAAAGAAGGTGAATAATGACCGCCATTCTGCGATAACGAACAAACACAGAGGAATAAAAAACCGAAAAAAAGAAGAAAAAAAAAGAAAACAAAAAAAAGAGTGAAAGGGGAAAAAAAGAGAATGTCCGCGTGTGTTTTTGCATCGTGTTTCTTATGCCACCATCCTTTGTCACCTGTTTTCGTTCCCTGCAATGCGCCCGTTGCGCCGCTAGTCGTTGGACATTCTTCCCCCGTAGAGCCGCGGACCCCACAGCAGATTGGACGATCTACATATGCAACGACCCCCGAGCCCAATGCGCCATTTTCGTCCCCGCCGTCTGGAAGCAGTGCATTCAATCTGCGACCAACGACCGCGATGCCATCCACCATGCCACCAATGCAGTCGAGTTTTGTGCCAGCAGAGGTAAGGCTAGTGGTCTCAAATCGGCTCCAGTCATTTTGCAGTCCTACACTGAGTAATATTGAGAGGTTCAATGCCAAGCACTTTGTACGATACGGAAGATCGGGTCTTTGCTGTAGATGAGACTGACATTCATTCGCTCGGGTGCTATTACAGAACATGCCCAAGAGTCTTGCCCAGGATCAATTTCGGCTTCAGCAAATCTATCCGTCAGATCGTTTCGAGATTCTTGTACGCTCGGGCAGTGGGTTAGAAATCATTGGTGGTAGCAGAAATGGACTCTCGACCGAAGATTATCGTGTGCGGTGCTTGGAATGCCCCCCAGGAAAACTCTACAACTCCGGGCCTGATGGCACACTGCAGAACTTTGAGGTCCATCTCAAGTCGAACCGCGTCCATCGATCATATGTGGAGCAGAAGAAGTTGCGAGTTGGAAATGGATCGCCGCACGCTGCACTAGCCCACTCGCTGCCACAGTCGTACCAGCACCATGCTCTATCTTCTCCATCAAACTCTCAGCAGCCCTATCAGCAAGTTCAGCATCACTCGACACAACACCAGCAGCCGCAGAAAACCCATGGAGTCGGACTTGGGATCGAGGGGTGATTGCATAAGAGAAGTAGCATTTTGAGCTGCTCATAGACATATACATATATACTATATACCTTCGTCGTCTTCCTTGCAGCATCGTCTGTATTTTTGGGCAACAATATATAATGGTTACAATATAGCACGCAGCCTTGCTTTACCTAAATGTTTAACCACGACCCTGATGCTATAATTTCTACAGATCATTTGCTGATCACTGTGTCTACTTGAACACTAGTTTTTTTTTTTTTGCAAGTCTAATTGTATTGAGTCGCGTGAGCGGCTGCAAAAGAGTATCTTCAAGAACCGAGTTCCACATTCCAGCATGTATTTATTGGGTCCCTTTAGGATCTCTCCCCACACAAGCGTAGAGACACACACGCAACCCGCAACCTGCAATTACCCAAGTGGCGTGGTTGTGTATTTCTTTATGCCCTGCCCCCCATGCAAGTTCAAATCGGAACTTTAGGATTATATTTTTTTTTCTTTGGTAGCAGAAGAATGAGGCGATCCATCGCGAAAAGCGTAAATAAAAAAAGGAGTTCAAGGGTAGTGCTAATCGATCTGTTTTCTTTCTTATTTTCAAAACCTTTGCTTTTGCCGATACTCGACGTTCCTCTAGGCTCCTCATCTCGGATCGCAACTCTGAATTACCATTCACACTTCGTTAACAAGTTTTCTGTGTCACTCCTTGGCGCTCTTAATTTTCATACCGCGTTTTTATTTAAAAAAAAAAACACACAGCATTAATATCATGGCTTCATATCCTCATACCAACCACGGCAGTCAGCATCAAAGTCCCATCGCAGGCGGCACGCGACTTTTGTCTATCCCGAGCAGTCCGACAGGTAGTGTACTTCTTCCTCCAGTCGAGATCGAGATCAGCCCTGCTCAGTCAACCCGTTCATCGCATTCCAGCTCGTCCGCGCGAAGACCGAGTCACCGCCGAAGACGAAATTCTGTTGATAAGGATCGCAGAGGAGTCATAAATAGGATCCCTCCACTAAAGGAGAGCAGATTCAGCAGCAGTGAATCCGAAGACGACTTTTTTGAGGATTACAGCGATGCAAAGAAGCAGGACCATGTGTTGAGACGAGCAAGCAGTAACGTCAGCATCTCTCTGCAAAGACATGGATGCTTTGGGCGTCTTCGAAGGTCGCCCAATTTCATCCTCTTTACAGTTTTCCTTGCGCTTTTTGTCGATATGGCCACGGTAAAAAAAAAAAAAATATGCAGATCAAGCTCTTGTGTTGCAGCAATCTATTCATTTCAGGCAGGCGCTAATCGCTATTCGCCTCATTTGAAAAATAGTATGGCATTATCGTACCCATTATACCATTTATTGTCTCGGATAAGGTCCAGGGAGGAGCCACGGACACCGGACTGTTGCTGGCCACCTATGCAATCGGCATTTTGCTATCTTCGCCATTGTTTGGAGTCTTGGGCGACTATTTTGTGTCCCGTCGAGTTCCCATGTTGATCGGACTGGTCGGAATGCTGCTCTCGACCGTCCTTTTCATGTTCGCGACCAATTTCTATATCTTCCTGTTGGCTCGGCTCTTGCAGGGCGTTGCCGGTGGATCGGTGTGGACTCTTGGTCTTGCCTTGATCACAGATGTCTTCCCGGCCCACACGCTGGGCGTGCAGATGGGCAAGGCATTGATCGGTTACACCCTTGGTCTCATGATGGGACCACCTCTTGGCGGAATCCTGTATGAGCGCGGCGGATACCAGGCGCCGTTTATCTTCTGCTGCATTATTACCATGATTGACTTTGGATGCCGTGCATTGATCATTGAGGAGCGTGAGGAGATTGTTAGGACTTTGAGGGAGAAGGGAATGCGGAACGAGGCAAGTGAAGAAGAAGCCGAGGTCGTTGCGATCCGCAGGCAGGAGCGTTTAGAGGAGAGCACCAGCTTTTGGAAACTCGTCAAAAACAAGCGACTCCTCGGATGCATTATCGTGACGGCCTGCAACGCTTTTGTGTTCTCAGGTGCGGAACCGACAGTACCTTTGCACCTGGCCAGTACGTTTAACCTAACCTCAGAGCGCATCGGATTAGTCTTTATGGCGTTTTCTCTTCCGACTCTCACCGCTCCCTTGTCAGGTAAACGACGATAGGTCCAAGCATTAGTTTTATGAAATGAGGTGCTTGAACACTCGCTATAGGTCTAACATTGTACTCTCTTTTATTTGTTCTGGATATCATGCATTAATCAGGCGCCCTGTCAGACAAGATTGGCGCGAAAGTGATCTGCTCAGTATCTTTAATTATCTGTGCATGTTCCATCGCAGCCGCCGGGTTCTACCAGCACTCGCTTTCAATGATTGTCATTTTGTTCGTGGTCATTGGAATGTCAGGAACCGCGGTTTTAACGCCCGTATTAGGCGAGCTCTCGGCCGTTGTGCGAACGACGGGCACTGGGGATGGGTTCGCAAGGGCCTATGCCATGTTCAACATGGCCTTCTCGATCGGTGTGCTGATCGGACCCGTCGTGTCCGGAATTGTGTATGAGCATTTCGGCTTCACTGCACTTTCTTTAACCATGGCTGGAGTGCTCGTTTTGGGCATACCAATCGTGCTCACATGTCTCGGAGGAGCTGAGCAGAAGAAATTGGACCTGGCAAAGTACAAGGAAGATGAAGAGAAGCAGACGAATATACGGCAACAATTGAGACAATGCAAGTACAACATTGAGTTCACGACCGCTGCAGAGGAAGAGCTGGGCATGAGGTTGCCACCAGGTGAAGATGCCTTAGTGGAGAAGCATTTGAGTGAGGACAAGGGCGCCAGAGGAGGATGTGAGTTGGTCGATATGAGTCGAGGTGAAGTTAGGAATGACCGCTCTAAAGTCGCTCATATGGAAGAGGGACTATAGCGGGAATTTTTTGCTTGATCTGTATCATAAACGAAAAATAATAGCGACGCGTCGTACAATATTCGTGCTGCGCCCGCACAGCCACACTCAAATCATCACTGCGCGCACGGATCATATGGACCAGCAGAATGCAGGCGTCACCATCTTATGCGCGATCATATTGCTTGAACACCACATTGCATGTGCAACGTGCAGATTATTTTTTTATTTTTTGGAGTGATGCAAAAATGGAAAAATGAAAGCTGTGGACGAATGAAAGAAGTGTAAGAGAAAGCGGGAACCGAAGACAATTGGGAATATGTCGCAAGGGTTTAGAACAAGGTGTCTTCCTGGCGAAGGTACTCTCCGATATCAGCCTGGTGGAATACAACGATGGCCGTGGGCTCCATCTTGCGTGTATCCGATGTCGATCGTGCTGTCACTCCGAATCCCAATGGCACATCCGTCATCGAGTAGACAATCACTCCCTGATGCTCTGGCGTGTCCTCCGTGACACGACCGATGTGTGCTTTGACAACATGGTTTCCATATAAGAATGGCATCTCGCCGTTGGGCTTGATCCAGACCTTGTGCTAAGTGGCACAGAAGATATGAACAAGGAGAAGAAACAGAAAAAAAAAAAAAAAGTATGAGTAATTACACGATACAGCTTTTCTGTTTGATTCAGTAGAAGACACCCTTGTATTCCTGTCCGCGCAATTGAAGTCGCATTGCATATCGCATCACACTTCAATCTCTTCGTCTACGACACGCTGTATATCATATATGTCCGATGAGCTGAAGCTGCGGTCCGTTTTTTGTGATGTTGCTTGAGATGTAGTATGATTCATTATCGCGATGGTCTTCAAGGTTAATTTATACGTGCAGAATGGCGTTTCCGAGCCTGAAAATCAAATTGACTGGACTGTCGCAGATTGCTTTATGTGGTGATCCTGCATATATGAAGATATTGCCCTGTTGAATCCTGTTCTTTGACGCTGTCCCTGACTGTAGAGTTATAGTAAATGACGAGTGAGGCATACATACCTTAGCATATTGAGCAATGTAGTCCAGGCAGGTGACATGCATGCGAAACTTTCCAGTCTTTGTGAATTTTCCAAAGCAGATGCCGAGGGAGATCAATTGGTCACGCCCTACGCTGGTTGCTTTGCGCATCACCGACTCGCTATATCGACCGGATACCAATACATAGAAATGATGGTCAATATGCATGCGCCTGTTCCTTAGAAAACAGAAATGTTTCTGCCAATCAAATATCCCCTTACCTGACATAGTAGACGCGATCGCGGTGAAGACGGAAGCAGTATGTTTCGTCACCACGGTCAATCAGATGGGTGATATTGCGTCCAATACTAAAGTTCAATTATTCATGGATGGAGATAAGGCGCATATGTTAGTCTCTTATATTCTCGACCACTCTTTCATATGGGTTTGCACTGTTATTTTCTCTTGTATAGTCGCTCCTGAGCCCAGTGAGCGTGTGCAGATGCCAATAGGTCGCCACTTAGTTGCCACTTAAATCTCAATGCCTGTTATTCGAGTCGAGAGCGCCCTTACTATTTTGCCAGCTTTTCGAAGAACGTCTTGGTTTCCAGTTCTGTGAGAGGCCTCATGGCGTCCGTGAATAAGGCTGAGTTATATAGGGTGAAAAAGAAGAAGAGGATGCTGTCAAAGAGACAGAGGGACGAGGAGATGGGAGAACAAGACAGGGCTGCAAAGGATGCAGCTGATGGAGGCACTTTTTTTTTTTTGAGGCATTGTTGTTTAGAGCGAATCCAGCAAGCCACTTGTGACTGTGTGATACTCGAATTCGCCTTATTCGGATAAAAGTGACCCACTTGCCCCATGGTACACTTTATCTCTCCACTCCACTCCACTCACTTACTCACAATCATGTTGCGCTCTACTCTCTTCACTGCTTCCCGCTCCCTCTTCGCAAAGCCTGCCTTCTCGGTTATCGCCACCCGCTCCTATCACCCAAAGGTAGTGTTTGATACTACTTTATCGTTTCCTATCACCCACTCCTGTGACATACCTGATAACTAACCTTGACCTCGCTACAATAGGTTATTGATCACTATGAGCGTCCCCGCAATGTCGGCTCGCTCAACAAGTCGGATCCTTTTGTCGGAACTGGCCTTGTGGGCGCACCTGCCTGCGGTGATGTCATGAAGTTGCAAATCAAGGTCGACGAGGCATCAGGAAAGATTGTCGATGTCAAATTCAAGACATTCGGCTGTGGTTCGGCCATCGCGTCTTCCAGCTATATGACCGAGCGTGTCCGTGGAATGACTCTCGAGGATGCCAGCGCCATCAAGAATACGGAAGTCGCTAAGGAACTTTGCTTGCCTCCTGTCAAGATGCATTGCTCAAGTATGTCCTCTGGGATCTGTTGGGAGAGGCTCATTCAGTTGCGCAGCCCTTCCATTGACTGCGTTGTCGATGTCACTTTGCACTAGTTTCTAGTTTCTAGTTCACTAACGTTCTCTTTGCTCTTTTGTTTCGCCTTTGTCGATGATAGTGCTCGCCGAGGACGCCATCAAGTCGGCCATCAACGACTACAAGCGTAAGCGTGCTGCTGCCCACAGTGGTGTCGCGGCTTGAGGGACCCAAGACTGACATCATTCACAAAAAAAAAAAAGTGGCTATCTCAACCCACCCAACGTTACCATTCACCACTCGCCATTCATCACTCACCATTCGCTTGCAGCAGGATTCTGGAAGATAACGAGGAACACACCAAATGTTATCGCTGTTTGTTGGCTTTTGTGCAGTGTAAATATATATGTACAGTACAATAAAGGCCATGGTTTTACAACAAACCCTGAACTTGTTGTGTGTCGTAGGTGTTCTTTTTTTTATTCATTTTTCGGCGGGATCGAAAGGATCTTTGCGTTTTTATCACTGCACCCCGCTGCTCGACAGTCCATTATGACGACTTCAAAATGTCTCACCCTGTGGTGCCTGTTTCAGATAAATCAAAAGACAACGTGATACAAACCAAAGAGGGGGACAGAAGGATCGTGAACTTCCATCCGGGGAACTGTGGATCCACTCTGAGGTCTTGCTTGGTGTAGGCGTCCTATGTTCACTGCCAGGCTCCACACCCAAAACTGCCCGGCTGCCCGCGTGTTGCGCCTCATGTGTCTTGGCGTAAAATAATGTGCAGCCGGACTAGCCCGAAAGTTGATCCCGAATCTAAAAAATAAGAACTAGACTCTTAAGCAACGAATACATACATATATACAAGTTTTATTATCGCAGCAGATCTATGTTCTACGCGGTTGTGTGGCGGAATGGTATCGCTTGCCCTTAAACATGTAGACGCTCCTCTGCAACTGCTTCAGGCTTTCTCGCTCCCACTCTTGTTCCTCCAAGGCTTCTTCCTCTTCCTTGCGTCGCTGCCGCTCTGCCGCTTCCTCATGTTCCTGATCAATCGCACATGCACTATCCGTTGTCTCGCAGCGAGCCCTGTCCTTGGCAGCAGGCACCCCTTCCTGACCATACTCCATAAACGAGAACGCCATGGCCATAAACTCTAGCTCTTCTTGCTCTTGGCTCTTTGTTTCCTCCAACTCCTCTGTCTCCCATTTCCGCTGCTGCTCACGATCCGCGATTCGTCGTTCTCGTGCTTCCATCATCGAAACTTCAAGACGACGTTTGAAGTCCCACTCTCTCGAGCACTTGAGCGCGACCTCCTCTAGTCCGAGCTCCCATGCCGTATAGTACGAGATTGGATGACGACGGAAGTACGCTTTGCGCAAATCCTTCATACCGCGCAAACCATCAACAATCGCCTTGTGGCTGGAGAACTCTGAAGCGTTAACCCTTAGGTAATGAAGGTCCTTGAACCACGCCTCCATAAACTGACAAAACAAATCCGCCGTTTCTATCATGATCCAACGGCCCTTGAGAACCAACGATCGAACAGGTGAGCAGAAACCTTCTTGGCTTGACACGAAATCTCGAGCTCTGCTGACTGTCCTTGGAACTGCTCCTAGGTCCAGATGGAGCTTTTGCAGCTTAGGTGCCCCAAGGAGTACACATGGTCGGAAGAGATGTGCTGGCTCACCTCTCAGTACCATCAGACGAAGATTTGGCAAGCTCCAGTTCCTAAAAGCATAAGCAACGATAAACATAGCATAGGAAGCGTTAACGCAATGCAATTCATGGTCATAGCGTTCATCAGCTAAATGGAAACAATTTGGCATACCATGACCAAGAGGGTTGCGAGAGATATTCTTGGTACTCCTCATTGACCTTGCGCACGCCAAAATCGCTGAACGATTTCTCCAGTCGAATAGTGCGAACCTCGGGAGTGTGCATGAATGTCCCGTAGTTGAAGACGTCGCAAATGCTGCCAATGAGTGTGAGCGACTGCAGATTAGGAAGTTGCCATGGATCTTGAAGACGTCCCGTCATATCAGGTTCCCTGGTGGAACTATCCACCAGCCTGAGGATTTTGAGGGAAGGGCAGGATTTCAGGAACGTTGCGCCGACGGTAAAAAGAGCAGTAGGGTTGATGCATACATCCAATGTAGTCAGGTGTGGCATATTGAAAACGATTCCAAGAGGAATATCGCCCTCTGCAGAGCGGAGTCGGACGGTGATGTACTCAAGTGTGTTTTTAAATGCCAGGCAAATGTCCTTTAGAACAGGCGCAACAAAGAGATCGTTTCCCTTATCGAGCGTGATCCTGCGGAGAGGAACTGGATCCGGACCGGCACCAAAGTGTCCGCCATGACTCTTACCCTCGGCAAGACTAACGACAGAGCAGGCAACCCCGTTTTGAAGAAGAGCCTTGTAGGTCGCATGGTCCTTCTGTTCTTTCACTGCCCATGCAAATACTGTGGGGCCACGCAGAGATGAATTGAATCGCTCCAGGCTCCGGCAGCGCTGCAAGAACTTTCCTTGATCCCATCTTACATCGGAAAAGTCACTCCAGAACTGCCCCAGGCGCGTAATGCCATCCACAGGTATGCTCTCCAATAAAGTCGCGAAAGACATCCAGTTGCAAAAGTCGATGTTGGCTGGAGACTTCATAGCCTCCAGAAGGGCAATGTACCTCTTGTCGAAGGTTAGCGCATCGCTGGAGCCAGGGTTGATCCATCGGTATGGCGGCCTGATGTCTAAAAGACCGTATCCACATGGAGGCTGCTTTCGACAGGAGCCTTGGTTCTTGAGCTGGCTCGATCCCTCGGGAATGCGACTTGGGTTAAACAAAGCTCGATGCGCCTTAACAAAGGCCACGGCGCGATGCGTTGGATCAAATGGAGGTTCCGCTGGCGCTTGTTGTGCATTGTCCCCTTCGCCATCCTCCTGACCGCCGTTGTCGCCGTTGTCGCCGTTATTGTTGTTACCGTTATCATTGACGTCGCCGTTATTATTGTTCTCCTGGTTGCCGCCACCTTCATCGCCGTTCTCGTTATTGCCTTGCTCCCCGTCGTGTTGGTTGATGTTCTCTCGGTCGGTGTTGTCCTCATTATTGTTTTGGGCGGCGTTGGCCTCAACGACGTGTTCCTGGACACCGTCGACATCATGGTTGATCTGCTCCTCATTATTCCCATTGACACTCTCTCGAATGGCGTTATCCCCGTTATTGCCTTCGCTCTCGCCCTGCTCGCCAATATTCTCTTGGACGCCGCTATCCGCTTCGGTAATCACGGATATGTCCTGTACGCCTTCGTTATCCCCTGCGCTCTCGTTATTCTCTGCGCCTTCGTGGACTGCATCTTCGTGCTCGGCTCCAACTCCATTGTCGGACACTCCTCCTTCAGGCTGCCGCTCTGCTGGTTCGTTTCTAGCGGCTCCTGCATCCTCAGCATACTCATCAGCACTAATGTTCCCATTCATCCCTGCAATCTCCATTGAATGCACCTCCACTGTTTCTGTACCCGGCACGGAGTTGTTGGCGTCTGAATTATCCTGCAGTGTCGCATATGGGGCTTCCTCCTCTATAACTGCGTTTGGCGCGGCGTTGTTGGTATCTGCATTATTTTCTGCAACCTCGGCATCTGATTCTGGGTTGCTGGTATCTGGATTACCCTCCGCTGTCGCATCTGGGTTCTCCTCTGCCGCCTCTGCATCTGGAATAGGATTGTTAGCATCTGGAGTGTTGTTCTCGTGATTCTCGTGCGCCTCTTCAGGGTCGAGATTTTGAGCTTGGTTCCAGTCCGTGTCTTGGTCCTGAGTACCGTCCAGTTCATCTTCGTAAAATCGGATCCGCTCCAGGTTCTTCAGGTGAGGAACAAGAGCCATATAAGGCTCCAAATGGGTGACGGGGATAGAGAGGTCTCGAACACGCTCCTTCTGATGATCCAAGAACAGGAGTCGAAACTGGCGAATGAGGATAAGCTCCATAGTAGTGTCGAGTTCAGGTGCCAAGAGCTTAAGTGTGTTTATCCATCCATCGTGAAGCAAATCTCCAAGATGATCGATGTAAACCGCCATGAGCGGTCGAACCGAGACGAGGGGCGAGATCGGATCACACCAGTCCGGTGTGAGGAAGGGCGCAAGATCATCTGCTCTACGGCAGGATAGGATGAGCAAGTAAAGCAGCTGCTTGGCTCGCAGTGAAGATGAGAAGGCTGGCCAGGAGCGGTTGCGCATCAAGGCATGCTGTCGTACTTGGTTATGCAATGCTCTATAAGGGTCGCGATAGAGTACGGGGAGAGTAGCTCTGAAGAAGGAGCTGTGAACGGTCAGGAGCTTGAAGAGCGTGAAGATGTCGCCGTCGAGTTTGGAGACGATGCATTGGATGCACTCGAATGGCAGCTGGGGCAATTGAGACATGTTGAATAGGGCCTACAATGGCGCTCTTTCCTTTCTGCCAAAGATACGTGTTGTTCGCTGTCTGTCTTGTCCACAAATAAGTAATGGTTTTAGCGGTGAGGTATAGCGGATGAGGTGGAGTCGTTTTCTTTTGTGTTTACAGACATGGCATTCCAATGTTTTTATATGTACCTGGCCTGGAAGACAAGAGAAGGTCGGTGGCAAAGAAGCGGACGGGATGATCTGGTTGTGTGACACTTCGGGTATGGTGGCAAAGGGAGAGGCGTAGAGAAAACGAGATCAAAGGAGGGCGAGTGGGCGGTGTCTATTTATATTCCTACCCCCTGCGAATGGTGTCGCATGGGGGACCATTAGTATCTGTGTCTGAACGCTGTGTATGCCACCTGTGATATTTTCAGTGGGCGCGGTTCGTTGCAGAGGACTCGGCCATGTCTTTCCTCGGAAAAATATGCTGCGCCATCACTTCTTGGCTGCAAAAGACATCTACTGCGTGTTGGCATGCACAATGCACAGGCGACTGCGGCAGACAAATAAAGCAGCAGACAGGCAGAATCGCTGTCCGCAAAGCCCTCGCGCACATCAGACGCTATGCACAGAGGCAGCATGCGCATAAATCCACATAGGTCTGTATATTGAACAGGATGCTGTCAGCACCAAAAAGGAATAGTGTTCCGACCTCCGTTAAGAAAAGGAGTGCTGGAAAGATAAAAAGATATAAAAGGCCGGCGATTTTTGTGGACAGTTACATTTGGCGAAGCACTCCACTCCACTGCATCCTCCTCGAGTACCGCTGCTGCTCGCTACTGATAACAATTAGCCATCTCTCGCTATTGCCGCCTCAAGACAGCGTGCAAGGCCTCACCTTCGTGTACAGCTCATTACATAGCAGCTTGGCTTTTATGATCATCGCCATAAAGAGAAATTCAAGAAACGATTGAAGGATACAATTAGGTTTTTTAAATAAGGAGTTGATATTTTAGCATCAGATAACCGGTAGACTACGGTGCCTGGGACCAGAAACATCTCGGTTCGGCGCAGCAAAATTTGTCGAACCTTCGATTTTGCCACTATCCTGTCTTGTCTTGTTCCTGGCCAACAAGCTGCAACGCGAAATGAACCCATTGAAATTTTATTAAAAAAAAAAAAGAAACGACATCCGCTTTAGAAAAGTGAGCGTATTACTATACAATATTCGAACCCAAAGCTCCACGTAACCAAGGCTATTATTTTTCTTTTTAAGACGAGGTCCTGAGTTGTAAAGCGGACCTCGCTATTTTTGGGAGAAGGGTCCAATGTACTGAATTTCTTGATCTGACCGTTTCATGAAAGTAGTAACCATTACTGATCGATTAACGATTTTCCTGAATAAAGCATCGTTGCTTCTGCACCATGGCACCAACGTTATATGCCATCCGAAGCGTGAAGCAATGTGCCCATTGAAACCTAGTACGTTGGTTTCCCATAACCTCGCTAGAAGAGCATGGGCCATTGAAGCGTACTATGCCGCACTAACGCGCTGAGATAAAAAAAAGTTTAGGAAGGAGGCTAAAAACGAAGGTGGAAGAGGTTAAAGTCAAAAGGGCATCACGGTGTCTCGGCAAGGGTCCGTTTGTTACATGCCTTGCAACGCGAGGACAATTTGCTCTGTGGCCCATGCGTAGAGGGCTTGGCGTTTTTTCCGTTTCAGGTGACGGCTGCAGCCTGGAGATTAATTCATTCTTTTTCTCGTTCGTCATTTTTTTCTTTTTTTCTTTATCTTTCCCTTATTCCCTCCTTGTCATTCCTTCGCAAGAACCACTCGGCGCACTTCAATTACATTCCAATCCATCTCCAATGTCTCAGCGCCCAAAAGCCGTTCGTATGGGAACCTCCGAGCTCGAGGCGCCACCAGCAACCCTGACAAAGAAGCAGTTCCAGCAGGTACCTTGGCCCCTTCAGTCCACGGCTACAGATCTGTCGTTGTTGCTCCATGTTGAGCTTCTCTATTCTCTCGTCTCTCTGCCCATGGACCAAGCGCGTGAAATCGCTAACAGCTTCTTCCACCATGCCGCGTTGGATACGTCTTCGATAGGTCAAGAATCTCACGAGGGATGATGGACACTTCAACTTGGTCAGGTATGTCGACTGATGCTTGCTTCGCACTCAAGCACCGCACTTGCACATGTCTTTATGTCCTTGTTCCAAAGAGCCAACTCTAACCAGTCTTGAATGTCATGATGGATGAACATCGCTGATCACAATGAACAGGAACTTCAATCTCGCGGATGTGATCACTCTGGGCAATGGAGTGTGTGGCTCTTTGTCCATTTTTTCCAGCCTGCGTTATGTCATAACCCAAGATCCTTATTACCTGAGAATGGCCATGTGGTGCATCCCCTTGGGCTTCACCTTCGACGTCTTTGATGGTCGAGTCGCCCGCTGGCGCGACACGAACTCGATTCTTGGCCAGGAGCTAGACTCGCTTGCCGATGCGGTAAGTAGTAATAGCCCTACGTCGAGTGATCTTGGCAGCGCCATTGTGATCCGGAGGGTCTGGAGACTGGCATTGCACTTGTGCTTTCAATACCCACATCGCCAATTCTCACACATACACACCTCCAATGACTCGATCTCGACAAAACTTGCGCAACGTCATGTGTACCGGGCATTCATCGGACCAAAGCTGGCTCCCAAGCAATGGGCGCCATTCTGGAAAAACAATAGCTTTATAGGAGGACCAGGCCAATACGCAGTGAAATCATCAGCGGAGCCGACCTATTCATTATTTTAAGAAGCCAAGCGCTATTGACGTCATGCTCACATATGCAATGAAAATGCGATGTGCAGTTGACAATGTTGTCCAGCTGGACTTATGACATGTACTGAAATCGGTACTCATATGCTAACTCCATCTTTTTCGTCCTTACCTGTCTTCATTGTGGCGATCTTAGATCTCCTTTGGGGTGGCCCCAGCTGTCCTAGGATTCGTGCTTGGAATGCAGAGCTTTCTAGATACAGTGGTGTTGGTTTGCTTTATCTGCTGCGGAATTGCTCGTTTGGCACGGTACAATGCTACAATTGCCATCTTGCCCCATGACAAATCTGGTAAAGTCGAGTATTTTGAAGGAACGCCTATTCCAACGTCACTTGCGTTAGTTGCTGTGCTCGCTTATTTGACACATCTGGGCAAGGTGGGCGACCAATTGCCTGGAGGACTGATCGAGGTTATACCTGGGTATTCCTTCCACGCCATGGTGGCCATGTTTGGCATCAGCGGGACTTTAATGGTCAGGTAAGTGCCTTTAATCCCGAGTTCTTCCCTCTTCAAGCGCGTTATGGTTTGTTTCTTAAAAATGTTTTCCGTGGCCAAACACTGACTATTCCTACCACTTACTCCGCCACTAGCAAATCGCTTAAGATTCCAAAGCTATAGGCCATTGCACGCTGACAGCGACGAGCCGCACCAGGAGGAGCAACGTACACGCAAAGATGAGTGAGATAGCTACTTATTATAAATAAAAGAGATATCAGCTTCAGAACATGAGAGGGCAGTGTAGAGCGTGCCAAGACGCGCAGGCGTACCATTGCTGGGGTACCAAGCTTAAAAAACGTCAGGTGACGGAGGGTGTAAGGGCACAAACACAGCGCGCATGGTCGCATTCCTTGTCTTTGGTTACTTCTCGCCATCTCTAGCCCGCACTTCATTCCTACTCGATTATAGCAGCGCTGTCAACAGGAAAACAGACGCATATTCGTCAACTTCGGACAGGAATCGGAGGAAGCAACCTTTGCATTTATACGCGTGAGCATAGAGCTGACAGGACCGATGCACGACGCATTCAAGGTCTACACGGTCATCGAGAAATTACCTCACAAGATCGAGTCTATTTTCGCGCAAGGTATATCTTCAGAAGGAGGAGAAGGAGAGCATGAGGGCTTCTTGCTTGCCTTATCCGGAGGAAATCGTCATTAACACCGGACTTTCATGGCGGATTCCCTTTGTCCGTTATCCTTAGGTGACAAACTCTATGTGGGCACATTTTACGGGACTTTGCTCGTTTACTCTGTGAGGGAGCCTCTCGGTAAGTCAAATCAGTATAGTAATTGTCAGAATGACAGGACTTATTATGCCGTTCGAACTGCATTAAAGGATGCCATATTGACACTTAAAATGATTATTTTGTAGGCCAAGATGAAGCCATCTCAGTAACGCTCGTGGAGACACTGAAAACATTCTCCAAGAAGGCGATCGAGCAGATTGATGTCCTTAGTATCATTGGTGTCCTAGTTACCTTGTCAGGTGAGTGAGCAGCTCGGGAGGACGTCAAGTTCTTACATATCGCCACTCGGATGGATACTATGAACAACCAAAAGCAGACGACTAACACTCGACTATATTCTAGATGGCTACGTCAACCTTCATGACCTCGAGACATTCGCCCTTCGAACGCAACTTGGGAAAACGAGAGGTGCCAACTTGTTTTCGGTGATTTCAGAAATCGAGATTCAGGATGGTTTTGCCCCTCAGGTTATCACTCGGCTCGCCGTGGCTGTGAGGCGCAAAATTGTTGTCTTTTCGTGGCAGGACAGTGAGTTCATGGACACAAAGGTACGGAAACGCTGATTGCTTTGAAGCATTGCGTTCACATCGCTTTCTTGGAGGCCAAGTTGTGGGTCTAATGAATCTTTACATATCTCAATAGGAATTTTCGATCCCAGACAGAGTTAGGACGATGGAGTGGGTCGGGACGCATAATCTTTGCATGGGATTCGATAACGAGTATGCGCTGATGGACTGCAGAACAAGTGTTTTGACGCCTCTGTTTTCGCCCAGCCCGCAGACCAATCAAGGTGCACTCGGTTCAACCCTGGAGAGCACACTGAATACACTGAACAGCTTTAGTTCCCTGGCAACCGGCGGCCTGATGGGATTCGGATCCAAGCCCGGAAAGCCCCTTATTACGCGGCTACCAAATGACGAAATCCTTTTAGGAAAAGAACGTAAGTCACCTAGATGGTGATCAGGTTCATGGTATTCCCGTCAACAGTATCGTGTTAACAAGCTGGTGTTCTATGAACGACCTTGTGCCCTTTAAATTATAGATTCGAGTATATCTGTAGGTGTTGATGGCATGCCAAGACGGAAAACAGGCATCGAATGGTCAGGGACGCCAGAGGAACTGGGCTACTCGCATCCATACGCTGTTGCGATTTTGTCACGACATGTTGAGATCCGGAATATCGAGACTAGGGCCTTGGTCCAAAGCGCAGAAATGCCCCATGCGCGCCTCCTTACACAAGGAAAACTTTTATATATCGCAAGTACCAACGAGGTCTGGCGCCTCAAGCCCAATACTTTTCCACAGCAGGTATGAGATATTATCTCCAAAGAGAATTACGAAGCCGAGCATGCCTCGTGCAATCTTGTCCTTGGGTTTGACCGCATCATTTTTCTATCTTTTATTTATTTTTATTTTTGTTTTTATTTTTATTTTTGTTTTTTAATTAGATTGAAGAGCTGGTGCAGAAAGAAGAATACCAAGAGGCCATTAGTCTTATCAACCAAATCGACCCAGTCCTGCTGGATGAAACTGTAGGTACCCAGCAGTATTTAGCCTTGCCGCAATAGCGCTGTGCAGGCGTTTCTGACAGAATTGTGTTTTGCTTCGCGTGAATGACTCTGCTAGGTTGATACGTTGGGCCGCATCAAAGATCTGTACGCACACCATCTCTTCCGCACTCATCATTACGAAGAGGCTCTTTCGCTCTTTCTCGACCTGGATGTGCCTGCCGTCGAAGTTATTGCGTTATACCCAGCTGTCATCTCAGGCCATCTACCTCCCAAAGAGATTGAGGCGGTATCATCACCCCAATCTACCGATACTGAGAAGACAACCGAGACGAGTGCCAAACATACTCCGCCTATTATCATGAGTAAGTGAATGAACTGAAAGATGTCCGTGCACAGGACCCTTTATTACTGTCAGTTTAAAACTGAGTCTAACGCTGTCTTAAACTATGGATGCAGGCACAAAGGAGCTAGAGGAGGCCGTTGGATGCCTAATTCGCTTTTTGGCTGACAAACGTCAGAAGCTTCAAAAGTCAATCCAGATGTTACAGCAAAGCAATGAATCCTTTTCGTACAACCGCCGCGATCAAGAGGATGAGGTCCAGGAGAAGCTGCATACTCTAGAAATTGTGGATACAGCGCTATTGAAATCATACATGATGACTAATGAGCGATTGGTGGGCTCGCTTCTGAGGGTCAGCAACCACTGCAATCTGGAAGAGACGGAGAGTTTACTGTTGAAGCACAAGGTTCGTTATTGACCCCTCTCTGATGCGTTATCGTATAAAGATCTACAGGCAGCCCCTAATCACAGGTTTTATCTTCAATAGAAATACAAGGAACTGGTTGATTTCTACAGAGGTAAAGGACAGCACCGCAAGGCGCTTGAGCTGCTTAAGTCTGTCCACACCGTTCCTGGAGATATGCGCGGTGTTCTTCCTACGGTTAACTATCTTCAACGCCTTGGAGCGGATCATCTTGATCTCATCCTCGAGTTCGGAACCTGGATTCTCGAGTCGGAGCCTGAGGTTGCCATGAAGGTATGCACGATAGCGCTTCGTATTGCTGATTTAAGCACTTGGTCGTAAATATTAGCTTCTCTATAAATACAGGACAACTAATCTGGTTATTTGTATGTTGTGCTTTCTTAGATATTTATCGACGATGAGCCAGAGGTCGACACTTTGCCGAGATACAAAGTCATCCCATACCTGCAAAAGCAATCCCTCGACCTCTGTATCATGTATCTAGAGCACGTTATTCACGAACTCGGGGATCAAACATCGGATTTCCATAACAAACTCATAACGTCCTATCTTGCCCAAATACAACGAGACTCTTCAGTCGCCGGAAAGGAAGGTACGTGGTAGCAAGTAACGCGTAGACCCGTTCAAGAACGCTTATATGCATTACAGGTTCCAATGAGCTGACCAATTCTGCTTCTTTGCTAATAGGTGCTCTGGAGAGAACGAGAGCCAAGTTATTACAATTTTTGGACGAGTCCAAGTTTTACAAAGCGGAGCTGATCCTTAGCCGTTTGCCTGTGGATGGTACGTACCCGCTTTAGCACTATTCTCTTCTATAAGAGATCAACAGCGATACTCACACCTGATCTTTATTACATTCATATATAGGTTGCTATGAGGAAAGAGCCATTCTTCTTAGTCGCATTGGGCAGCACGACCAAGCGCTGAATATTTATGTGCACAAGTTGAAAAACTTTCAGGCTGCAGAAGAGTATGATACTCTTGAAGGAACTGGTTCAGTGGCAATAAGGTCTAGTCAGCCTCTAATTTCTCGTCGTTGTCTTCCTACTTTTTTTCTTTTTTCTTTTTTTCTCTATACATTAGATATTGCATCAAATATTATGACAGTAATGATCCATCCAGGAATGTATTTCTCATGCTCCTCAAAGTGTACTTGAAGCCACCAAACCGGGAGAAGCCAATGCTGGAGCCTGCTCTGGATATTCTCACTCGGCATGGCACTCGTATCGACCCCGCAGCTGTAGGTTTCCTAAAGGAGATGGACTGCGCCTACATATTTGCTTGGTTGTTCACAGTAGGCTCAATTTTTTGCATTCTTCTCATAGGTACTGGAGCTGCTGCCAGCATCGACCAGAATTGACCAGCTGTTCAAGTTTTTCGAGAAGTCGATTCGGGAGAGCAACAAAACAAAGCACATGGATATGGTCGTGAAAAACCTTCTCAAAGCGGAGCGATTGCAGGTAATAATCAAGACCTCGCTCCGACTATGTCGACGCGAGCGCTCTACGGGTTTTTTTTATCTCGGAGTAATGATCTGGAAGTTAACAACAAACTGTTGTTTATATACTTGCAAACCTGCATAGACTCAAGAGCAGTTGACGTTTTATCGATCCCGGCGAGTGAAGATTACCGAGGACAGGATGTGTCCAAAATGTAACAAACGTATTGGAAACAGGTAAGATGCTGCGAGTTAATTTTTGGCTCCTTGTTTTGCTGTGATTTTGATACAGCCGTAACGAGATCATTTCATCGTGCTCTTTTAGTGTCTTTGCCGTCTTCCCGGATGGAGTTGTGGTGCATTACTCTTGCAAGGAAACTATGGCCGCTATTGGTCACTGGCGGACAGGCTAGAAATGAAATTGATCTTTTGAAAATATACACACGCATTTATGAAGTCCATCTTGACCGTGCAGAATACTAAATGTAAAGGACAGCGGAGCGAAACTATTCCGCAATGATAGGGCTAATTAAAGCGATGCCTCTGCCTCCTTCCTTGCTCATATTGTCTCTCCATGCTGGACATCTGTTGCTGTCGTCTTGCCGCTTCTCGTGACTAAATGTGATTTTCAGTGAAGACGCTGTTGTTGTAAACACTATACACGCAACCAAATCGATAAGAAATCCTCGCAATCATAGCACTCACTGCCTCTTCTGGGCTCTCGGGCTTGCTGGTAATCGTACCCGTTTTCCCTAGGCCCACTAAATTGACAAGCATGAGGATCATTAGAACAAAATGTACTTGAAAGAGCATGTTCAGCTTGGGCCAAAATCATTATTGTGTTACTTAGTCTTAGAAATTTCATCCTCTTTGCCCCGCTCGCGTCGCCTACGAAGGCAGTGTCTTCCCATTGATTGGCAGTGAGAGGTGCTTTTGATTTTGACGACGAGGGCGAAGATGAAGCTGATATCGTTTTATCCGATGCTGGGTCACGAAGTGCCTTTGCAGAAGAGGAGGAAGTTACATCCGATCTACTGGCTCTGTGCTGATGTGCTGCTCCTGAGCCAATATCTGCTGATGTTTTCCCTTGAGCAGATCCAGGCGGAGGGTCTTGGGCAGAGGGCGAAAAGCGCCGTTTCCTGCGCGGTCGATTTGACTCCGATGATCCAATAGAACAGGAAGCCACGTTATCGGATGGAAATTTCAGAGACTGGGATGCTGATTCCAACGCTCTCGTATCTTTACTATCTGGAAGAGGCGGTGGATGTGAGGATGGCTCGACAGACGGAGGCGGAGGCGGAGGCACTTCGTCGACACTATTCTCTTGCGGCGGTGGAGGCGGTTGGCCCGGAAGCATGATCGGTTCAATTATTCCTGCTGCTGGCTATTGTATATATTGTCGTTGCCGACGTTATCCTTGTCCTTGATCCTGTCCTTGCAACCTACATCACCTTTACCTTCGCATCTCCATGGACGATCGTTTTCTCAAACGACAGAGAGCCCCTTAATGTCTTTTAGCACTGGCTTCCTCTGTGTTGATGCGAACGAGCATTCTCTCGTCATTCTATGTTCTCAGTCCACGATTCCCATAACAGTAATTCATGGAGCAGACCAAAGTACGGCGACACCAAGGCGGGGCTTTTTAGGTCAGGGATATTCTTTTGATGGGGTGGACTGCAAAGTCGACTAACATCACTGACCTCCCGACGCGTTCTCCGCCACTTGTGGCTCTCAGGGCATTATCACTGTCGTTGACTCGTCTACGGAGCAGGAGGACGAGGCATTGGTCGCGCTCAGGCAGTTACCCAAGGTACAGGAAATTTTGCGATATTCTTCAGCTCTGCAAAAGAAAAAAATGGCAGTGGCACTCATCAAGAGCTTGCGTTGACAGTTCGAACCATTAGTCGTGCCTGAACAGGCCTCACATTTCTCGCTATCGAGTGTCTTTAGCTCTTTCTCCGCTTCTAGCGACTCAGACCATGGTATGGAAACGCACTGGGTTCGAATGCAATGTATGGGCCCAGTGGTTCTCTTTTGCATAGGCACCAGGGCGCTAACCGTGCAATAACCTTCTACACAGGCACGTCCGAAGTGGCCTTCAGCCCTAATGTTTTGATTGATATGTTGATCCAAATGAATGCCCACAACAAAAAATGCGCACAAGATATCCAGGATTACCAACGATCGCTCGGCCATAAAGTGAGGGCGCTGGACGGATATGCAACGGGAGCTGTCCACGAACTCGTCAGCACCCATCAGCAGGCTAAAAATTACTCTGACCATCTCTTGTCAGGTCAGAAATGACATGTTCAGACGCTCATCAAAATGGTCAATCAGAACTTTATCGAAAACTGACCTTATGAACGATTTACCTATTTTCTGCATCTCCTAGTTCATGCAATAACGAAACAGGCGCAGACAACAACAACATTGCTACATGGGATCATTGACAAGCTAACTTTGATATCGAACTATCTACCTGCGGAAGCTGGAGCAGATAGCCTTTCGAAAGAAAAGTACCCGAACCTTTACCGGTACCTGAACGAGGAATCCCATTATTCGTATCATCACCATCCAGGACATGAGCGGAGTACTTCAGCTGGAGAGGGCAGTGACATGCAGGGATCAAGTTCGACCCCTTCAGGTCTGGCTCTCTTAGGCCATGTTAGTCCTGGAGGCAAGGCAAGGCGACCTTCGGCGCAAGTACAGCAACAGAACCCAGTGCGGATAGGAGCATTGGCTATACCAAAAGCACGGGCCAGTATGGCGCTTGCGTCCAGCTCAATGTCGTATCTACCCGTCTCTGATAGTGCTTCTGGTCAGGAAGGGGGCGGCCACTATGCCAGTCGTTCATTTGAGGGACCGTCATTGCTTCTGCGTCCGAGGATACAGCATGGCACAAGTGTGGGTAGTCTGCAGGATCAGACAGCCAAGAATCTTCAAGTGCAATCGCTGCCTCGTTCACGCACACCTCAACCGACGACTTTGAGGGCATCGGATAACCTGCGCCGACTGACCAGCAAAGCGCCTCCAAACGTCGATGAACCCTAACGGCTTCCACTTGAGCGTGTGACCGATCTACAGCTCAGTTACACTAAGAAATAAACTTTTGTAGTTTTCAGGCACTCGCTTCTCTTCTCTGACCTGATTTCTATCGTTGTACCCTCGGACCACAGAAAAGAACAACATCAGGACACCACACTCATGATTGCCCGGCCGCTACTCCTCATCGTCTGGATTCTGACCGGCATTGCGACCATCGCAACACTTTTTCTCCAAAACTATGCTCGCATCTCTTGTCACTGGAAATGGCCGTCAGATTCCTTTCTGCGGATGGTCGTTTTTGCAGATCCACAGATGGAGGGAGATGCCAAAATTGCACGACTTGGGAAAAGAGGTACGCCATGTGTCCCTTGTACGAGGCGGGAAAATTTAACAATACTTTCTGTTCAGCCAAGGGCTACTCAGTATTTGATCAAAAAAAAGATATATCTGTTTCTTTGACATAGCTGTCGTGGACCTGGCATTCAACGATGCCTACATGCGGCATATTTACAAATCAATGACAAAACCGTCCTGGACTTCCCCACTCCAATCGATCTCAGCATACTCTGCCCCCAGTGACGACAACGGAAGCGAGGACCCGTCGACGAAGCATGTACCCACAGGACTGACGCATATCAGCATCCTAGGTGACCTCTTTTCGAGTCAGTGGATCGACGATGACGAGTTTCAGGTTCGACTTGGTCGATACCGTTCCATCTTTATTGACCCCGCACTGATGAAAGGATCTGGATCGAGGACCTCCAACCATGTGGAGTATATCCCTGAGCTTATCAATGTAACAGGAAACCATGATATCGGATACGGATACGATATTTCACAATCTCGACTGGATCGGTGGGAGGAGGCATTCGGGAAGAGTAATTTTGTCAGCTCAGTGTTTATCCCAAGTACGAAGGGCAGCCCCAGGGACCCTCCGTCGACGGCCACGTCGTCTGCACGGAAACTTCATTTCGTGGTTCTTAATACCATGCTACTGGATGGACCTTCATCAGACGAGGTATACTGTGAACTGAGGGCTCATGTTCTTTTCTTTGTCTTTATTGAAATATACCCTAAAATAAGATTTTATTTTATTTTTTTCTACGCAGAATCTTCGGAGTCAAACATGGCAGTTTATGCAGGAGGCGGCAGAGATCAAGACACTCCGCCCTAACGACAAGATCGTCCTCTTGACCCACATCCCCTTCCACAAGGAAGCAGGGATCTGTGTGGATGCACCAGATATTCGCCTTCATTGGTATAAGCATCTTCTTGCTACCCGTTCCTTCCTTGTTTGGATCCTGCTTACGTTTGGGACACGATTGGCTGACCAGTACCCCCCCCCAATGACATGTGTATTATTAGGGATAACACAATTATCGAGCAAACAATGTTAACTCTCAACACCACCCAATGGATCCTGGATCATCTCAAGCCTGACCTTATTCTCAACGGCCATGACCACTTTGGATGTGATGTGACCCACACCAAGGACATCCACGATGATCTACAGCAACAGCAACAGCAACAGCAACACGCGCTTTCTTCATGGACAGCGTATGCAACATCAAGTCTTTCTGTGAAATCCTCCGTCAAAAACAGGATCTCCGTACGAGAGATCACTCAGAGATCCATGATGGCCGAATATGGCGGGTACTCTGGCTTGTTCGAGGTCAGAGTCATCCCTCAAGCTGCTGCTGCTGCTGTTGCGCTAGAAGACCATATTCCTGATCTCGAGTTTCATTACACAGCATGTGGATTCTTTACGGACATGCAGGTCTGGATCGTTATAATCATAGACCTCATAGTAGCATGTATCTGGATCCTACTTGCACTCTTCATCATCCTCAAAAACATTTGCGGTCGTACTTTTCATCCCAAGCATACATATCCCATAGACAAGAAGCAGAAGCTCATGTGAATATCTCATCAATAAATCGTAATGTAATTAGAAATACAGTACATAGTAGCAAAACAAACAGAGCAAAGAAACCAACTTGAGGTCTGACTGAGAAACTACAAACTATGGTATGCGACAGGGAAATAAAAGAACAAAACAAGCAAAATGGGGACACAACGAGACAAGCAAGAAGGACAGCGTCGATTGTGCAAGGAAATAGAGCAAGGGTCCTCTTATTGGACTGCAGCGGGACCTGCTGGTGCCGCTGTTGCTACTGCTGCTGCTGCAGGGACTCCATTGCCGCCTGCTCCCGCTCCCGCTGCTGCTGCTGCATTCGCAGCGTCTGCTCCAATGCCAGCAGCCGGACCAGCTCGAGGTACTGCTGTGTCTGGAGCATCGTCAACAGGCAAAGACGGGGCATTCTCCAATGGCTCTTCAATCCCGTAGACACCATAGTCTAGAACCTATTCAAGCCAGGAAAAAAAAAATACAAAAAGCGTCAGCGATCAGTTGATTGCAGCAATCAAAAGATGGATTGAGAAAAGCGGTAGTGACATGTTACCTCAAAGTAAGTGGCGCCGTTTCCACCATTCGCTGCAGCGCGCTGTACGGCAGCAACACAGCGTCGCTCATCAAACTTGACTTGCCAGACACTTCCGAGCCCTGTCAGCAAATTGCGGATGAACTTGCCAGACTTGAAGTCCCACATCTTCAGATTGCCGGCCGAGCCTGAGATCACCTTGTTGCCATCGTGCTGGAAACAGGTGATCGCTGCAGCGTGAGCAGCAAGGACGCGCAAGCAGACGCCTCGCGCAGGGTCCCAGATTCGAACAGTGCAGTCCGCTGCTGCTGAGACAAGATGGTTGGCGTTCAGACCCAGCAGCCCCACGAGAGATCCATGGCCTGCAGGTTTGATCCAAAGACAGACACTGTTAGCTTATTCCGTATAAATGTATCATCCGAACAACCATGACATACAGCCGATGTGAACAAATCGCTATTTACCTTCAAGAACATGAAGACAGGAGCCGTCCTCAAGAGACCAAATTCGAACAAATGCGTCCATGCTTCCACTCATGCATTGATTGCGTGCTGTATCCAGAACCACGGAGTAAACCTTCTGGGTATGGCCTTGAAGGCGATGCACCAACGCTCCTGTGCAAATGTTCCATACCCGAACGGTGCAGTCGTACGACCCCGAGACTAGAGTGCTGCCTTCTGCTGCCAAAGCACGGACAGACTGCGTATGGCCAACTAGAGTGTGCAGCAACCATGAGCTATCCGTTGGTGGGATATGGCCATTCAGTTCCGGGTCAGGCAGTCGCCACACTAACAAGGTCGAGTCTCTCGAGCCGGTAACAATCACTGGGAATTCGGGCTCGTATTTGGGGATGCCGTGAGGGTCCTTATTCACATTGACGGGCATGACGATTTGAAGGCAGCGCACAGTCGACGTATGGCCACGGAACGTGTGCGTGCAAATGCCCTTCTCAATATCCCACACTCGCACAGTCCTGTCCGTTGCTCCAGAAACCAACGTGTTACCACGATATTGGAGGGCCCAGACGCCACCTTCATGTCCATCCAACTTCTTCAGGCGGTTGCCAGTGACGGTGTCGTAGACGTGAATGGATTCGTCCTCATATCCAGAGATAATCTTTTCAGAATCGAACTGCAGACAGGTCACCACGCGGTCGCTGTGTCCGGAGAACTGGATGTACTTGGCCCTACCTTTGGTCCAGTTCTGTCGGATGATCCAGTGTCTACGGAACAGGGCCTTGTAAGGATGGGCTGTCGATGGAGACATGGGACCAAAGGGCTCCTCGACGAAATCATGCTCCATGGTCTCATCCTCAGAGTCCGCATCATTAAAGCGACCAGTGTGGCTGGTCGTGGGTGACGGTGGTGCTGCATCTGGAGTCATGAAAGCCTCCTCCTTTTCATCGCCATCCTCCTCGGCTGTATCACTGTCCCAACCGTGGCCCTTGCTTGATGCTGCATGATGGACTGTGATCGATTCCATCGGATTCTCCACCTCATCTTCACCGAGCATCGTCACATCGTTAGGGTAGAGTGGAGATTCGGGTAAATCTGCCTGGCGGATGACAGCCTGCGCTGGACGTCCCTTGCCCTTAGTCAGTCGTCTCTTGGCCGTCAACTTTCTCTCCTGATAACTCGGACGAACTCCGTAGTGACCATCGATTCCCAACCGTTGCGTAAAAGCTTCCTCTTCTTCGCGGTCTTCGAGAGCAAACCCCTCCTTTTGGAACTGATGCATCCAGATATGAGCATCCGAGTCTACGACGACCCTCCATTGCTTGCTGACCTGGGCAGCCTTGCAGAGACTACGCCCATCCAAGAAGCGAAGGATGTTGCGGCTCAGTTCTACAGGCAAAAGTGCCAAAAAGTCTTGCTTCATGGTTGCCAGAATCACAGAGCTGACAAACTGCAGAGTCGGGGCAGGGCTGCGTCGGAGGAGGTGGAAAAGCATATATGACTGAAGGCTGGAGGGCAGAGCATCAAAAGTTGCGATTAGATTTGGAAGATCTAGTAGCGTTGGGGTATGGCGAACGCCTGCTTGCTGAAGTGACCGTTCAATCTCCATCTCTTCCTGTCGATTTTCGTCCTCATCACTCATATACTCTTCTTCCTCGCCCGCCAGAATATCTCCAGCGCCTGTGCTTTGATCAGCGTCCCCATGATCATGATGAAACGTGGTCGGTGCTGTCTTGAATCGTCTTCGTGTGATCATTCCATCTGATGTACCCGAGGAGCTCGAGGCAATCGACAATCCCTGCGTAGTAGCTGTCGGCGAAAGAGAAGGCGAGGGAAGGCTGGATGGGTCGACGATTCCAGTCAATCGAGTGGCCTGAGCATGGTGTTCCCTGGCACGATCTGCAATGCTGGAGCGATGCGGCAATGCTGGAGTGGCAAATTCAGCCAAAGAGGGAGCGGAAGCTGAGGACGACATTTTTTTGGATGATGAAGCTCCTGCTGCGGCTTCTGGAGCATCGCTGTTGAAGGTATGGGAAGCTGCATTTGCCCACGGCCGTTTCGATTTCTTGTGTGGAGGCGAAGATCGGTCGAGGAACGAGGCGTCAGCGTGTTCAGCACTCTTTTGGGCAGAATGAACAGATGCATGGCTAGGTTGAGAGGGCATTGAAGATGAGGATTGGGGCATTGACACATCAACAGAGCCCACAGGCGTGATGGGTGATGCGGGGCGCTTCTTGGCACGACAGCCCTCACGAGAGCGCCAAGCGACATGAGGGGCCAACCCACGCTGGGGATGTTCAACGGATTGTCGTGTGATGGTCGTTGTGGTCGATTGGTCGTGTCCGTTGCCATGGACGACTTTTTGGATCACAGAGAAGTTGTCTTGATCATGAACCTCCGATGTCCGGCTTCCATGGGATTTTCTGTGCGAACTATGTTCTGAAGCAGTTTTCAGAGCTCTTTGATGTGCAGAGGCGCTGAGATTGAATAGTGCGTCTTCGAGCTATGAACGCAAAATCGGGATGACAAATTTGATATTAGGACGGTGAGTACTGATGTCGACAGCATAGGAAGGAAATAGAGTTATCAGCAGTCTTTTTCCCAAGTGCTCGTACCTGACCCATGGTCTGTTCATTCTCCTGATTCTCTCTGAAAAAGGTCGGCTGCCCATTGAGGTCAAAGCAAAACTTCTTCAGGGCAGGCGGTGTGGGGGTATCTGCAAGGGGAAAGATCTTGGGATCCAGATGAGCGGGTATAGGAGGCGGTTTGAAGTAGAGTGGAGGGTATTCGGTCGAGGTTGTTGTGGTCGTGGTGACAACTGTTGTCGTTGTCATAGGCGCCAAAGAGAAGGTTGTCGAAATGGACTGTCGACGGTGCGATGGTGCAGTTGATGAGGATGATGCAGACGATGCTCGGCGACTCGATTCGCTGCCTCCGTGCTCCGTGACATGTTTGCTTCCGGTCATCTCTGTGTCAGTGAAATCTATAAAAAATAAGTCAGGGGACTGGTCATGAGTGTTTGGAATGTGCACACATGGTAGGAAGGGGGAAGAGAAAGAGGGAGATGGACACGCATATGTTTAAGCGTGAATGCATACGAGTGCGTGCATATGTGCAGACAAAACGTAATAGAGTAGAACATGTGTATTATGCTGTTGCTCTGTTGGGGTCCCACGACTCTGCCTCTACTACTGCTTGCAATATTGTGTTACTGGGTAGCTGGTAGCTGGATGTTCAGGGAAAATTGGAGAAGGGACAAAGGGAGGCGAGGAGTGGAGGAGGAAGAAAGGAGACAGAGGGGAGCAGTACGTAGACAGAACATACAAGAGTGTAGAGTAGCGGACCATTTGGTTCGTTCGTATACGGTTCCAAGGGTCAGGAAAGCCTCTTATTCCTTCAAAGGCGAGTACTGCGCACAAAAACAATAAGCAGACAATCTTCCGTTCATGTCGACCCTCAAGGCTTTGTCAAAAAGCCAATTGCTCGAGGCAGAAAGAACGAAGACTTATGGTGGCGTATGGGGCACTGGGGGGCGCCGGCTCTCCATCCTCGTTCTCCTGTGGTATTCATCACCTAAACTGCCTTTTATCAATACTCTCAAGGCCCCCCCCCCCAACACACACACACATATATATCGACAGCAAACAAACAAAGGGAAAAGGGAACTGCAAACGGGAAATACACAGAAGGAAAAGGAGCAAATCAAAGAAAAGGTGGGACCGCAACATAGGTCTGCACCATGTTATGGCATTCGAATGATGCTGTGTCGAGAGTGCACCCAAACGAAGACAGCGGGCTCTAAAAGGGTCCCAAAGGACTCAGTCCATACTGCGAGGGAAAGGGAATGGGATATAACATGGAGTGTATGTGTATGTATACCTTGACTAATATGTATGTTTATTCCTTCGTTAGTCAGCTAGGCCGCACAAAGACATACAAGAGAAGTCGGATGTGTCTTTAGGGATGAGCAGGGACAGATGGGAATGTGGTTTGGAGCAAAGGATGCAGAAGCAGAAGGATGAGAGGATTGTTGAAGGAAAGAAGAGAGGAGGGAGGATCAGAATTGGTATAAAAAAGAAAAGAAAGAAGTGATGAAGGGATGGAAAGGATGGAGTGAATGAAGGGGCGGAGGAAAGACGAGAGAAAAAAAAAAGTGTGAAAAAGAAAGACAGCAAGGACGAATCTTTGCCGTGACCAAGCCACTTGAGATCAAAAATGAAAAAGGTGATGGATATATTCAATTGCTTATTGTGATGGCACTGGCACACGGACAGACATAACTGCTGCTCATTTTACGGCGCTTCTCCTCCGCTTCCTCCTCTTCCACTTTGTTTTTATTATCTTTTGGTTGCATCTATATCGAAATAGTATTGGCGCTCTTCTTTGAAACGACCCACACCAGTGAACCTGTGAACCTGTGATCGGGCTCCATTAAATCAACTCAACATAACTTGCAGGAAACTGAGCTGTTGCACCCCGCAATGTACCTAGTCGTTATAATGAGGAATAGTGAGGATCCAAAAAATAAAATAAAAAAAGCACAGGCCAATCTAGACATACGCACTTCGTTGCACTACAAAATCAATGTGTCCTTACCTTCCCACCATCCTTCGGAGCAATCCGTGCTAGTGAGGACAATAATGTCCCCTTCCCGAATCGTTAGCTCCAAATCAGATTGCGCATCGTAGTCGTACAGTGCGCGGACTATCAACCCATTTTGAATGGTTCGCAAACGTTTTTCATGTTAGTGGTACAAGGCATGGTACAGGTATATAAAGATACAGAAAATAGATTCATGGATACAGCTGCAAGTTACTGTACCTTGCTGAATTGGAGCTGCTTCGCTTTGTGCCTCGTGGAATTGCTCGATCTCGATGTAAGATGCAGGGATCAGACCCGGAGCCGATCCGTTCAATTGGCATGTTACCCATCCAGACCCATCTAGATATCAAATTATCAGAACAGATAATGAATTTGACGGTCGTAACTAGGGACGTCGTGATCGTAGAACAAGCCTGAGGAAATACAAAAAAAAAAAAAAAAAAAAACATACCATCTCCTTCGATGACCGTTACGACATCTCCAGTTTTTACAGAGAGCTCTGCGGGACTCGTTGCATCATAGTCGTAAATGACATGAGCCTGGACTTGATCAAGCGAGGCGTTGGATCCAGACTCGCGGAAAGAGGTCGATGCCTGCTTTGAGAGCTCCGAGATAGGCGTAGCCGATGGAGTGTACTCTGGAGACAAGGAGGACACCGTATTCATGGTCGACGATGGTATAATAATAGAGTTGCGCTGCGCCTTGGCGCCACCTTTGACATTGCTACAGTTGGGCGGTACCTTCATCTCGCACTTGGAATGGCAGTTGTATCCGCAGTCGCGGCAGGTAAATCCCTGCTTGGCAATGCCCCAGATGGTCGATTGGCAGTAATCGCAAGATGTTGGAATCGTGAAAGAGGCTGCTTTAAAGTCATGGGGCTGATTCTGCACTCCGGTCTCTGTTATACACATTGCAGCAAAACACTGTCAGGGTTAGTTCACGCATGTAGCCACAATCACTTTGCTACTTCGAATTGCAGTCGTATAACTGGTGCTACCTCCAACCGCTTGAACGATGGTGTTGATTTCCGCTTCATAAAGAGCACTCATGGTCTGCAGAAGAGTGATGGACCGCGATGTCTCGAGAATATTCTCGTTCACTTCCTCCGGGTCTCCAAGGCTGCTATTCCCAGTGTACGCCTCTTTGAGATTCTGAAGTCCCTCCATATCCTTGAGTCGAGTATTGATGTCTACAATAGTCTGCGCTTGCTTTCTCCTCAACTTCATCAGCTTGTTACTCAAAAATACGCGGGCGTTATCATCAACAACGAGTTCCTCCTATCAATATCAAAGGTCGATCGACATTAGCGATCAGTACCAGCAAGGGATCCATAGATATATCGTAACATCGATGCCGATCAACCGAACGTACTGTGTCATTGAAGGTAGGCGAGGATTCAAAGACCTGATCCACAGGAGCAATCCACGGCGCCTTGTGGGAACGGATAAAAACGGCAGAATCGGCAGAGGCATCGATTGCGCGCACTGCATTGACCATCGAACTCAGGTGTGCTTGAGCTTCCGCTGTCAGGTTGGACTCTAAACCAATATATCCCTCCCAAATCTCCTTAAGACCCTCGATTCGACTTTCGTCCAGATATTGCATATTCTATGAGTACAGCGCCAAATATGCAACACTGCTATCAGTATACAAAGTACGTTCAAGGCCAAGGTCAAGTATGTCGAAATTGCACCTATGACAGGTAGCTTTACGTCGGATAGCTCTGGAACATCTTGTTCATAATACTTTCTGCGATGAGTGTTGAGCACTTGCAATGCTAGGACATACGAATTCTAACAGAGGTAGCAGCAAATAGATAAAAAGGAGAAATATTAACGTCAGGATCAAGTGCATGCTGCGCGGCATGGTTGAATGCATGAGCGCATGGTAAAATCTTGTGATCACCCCTACTTTGTTGTTGTTCATGTCCAAGATATCCTGGTAATACGAGCGCTTCAATTTTTCCTGGTTCTTTTCATCATAAGCGCGCTCTTGCTTCTGCTTCGAGCTCTCAACCTCCTCGCAACTGGCATCATATTTCGACTTTGCCTTATCACGCTCCTGTGCTGACCTGTCTCGTTCTGAGAGTAGCTTTTGGGCGAATTGGATATGCTACATAACGATTGCGATAAGTTAGTCAAAATGTGAAGGAACTAGAAGAGAGAATGCCCTGTAAACTTAATTATGACAAAAAAAGCGGATACCTTTTTGCGAGCTTCGTCCTTTTTGGCGGCCAGTACTTTAAGAGGATCATGCACTTTGGAAATCAAGGCCTCTGAGAAAAGCTGTCTATCCCTGGACATTGCCTCTGTATCGTTCAAAATGGAGGTCCACGCTCTGGATGCTGTCCTGTTATGGATCGATTGTTGAAGTATAACATTAGATTCAGCATATTGGCAGTGGCATGACAGTATCGGCACAAAAATCCGGTGGGTACATACGTTCCGTCGCTGATGCTTGGGTCGAAATCCGGTTCGATTGGTGAAGCAGGCATTCCACTCTGATTGAGCTTCTTTTCCTTCTTGTGCTGGTACTTGCGCACGAGCGTCTCAATTCTGTGAGCATAGTCGCGCTCGATGTTTGCTCTCTCCTTGCAGAAGTCCCGAAACTCGTTTAGGAAGGCGATGCCATCGACCAGGTGTTGATTGATAGTAGGTATTTGATCCTAAATGATGAAAAATACATTTAAACGTTGTTAAGTAGGCGGCCTTGCCGCTAATGCTGTGTGCATGCGCGCGTGTGCCTCCGATTAAAGGCGAGTGGCCGCAGTCCTTAGCGATGCGAAGCAATGAGCAAGCGTGCCTTAAGTTCGGCGCCAAAGGAGACGGGCTGGCCCTGCACCTGCTGAGCCTGGGTTGTAGTGTCCATTGGAGAAGCAGAATGAGATTGATTGTTGAAGGTGCGTTGATGCAAAAAGGAAGGAAGCAGGGCATATTAAGGTTTACCAGATGACAAAACCATATGGGCGCGTGCTGTAGCCCTTCCTTCCTGTCAATTCAGAGTCGAGTCATTCACTCAGGAACGCCGGAATGCCGAAGTTGGCTCGGCAGCATGCAGTCTTGCTTTTACTCACCTTCTCACCTGCAATGGGAAGCAACGTAGCCCTCAATTGATGCGATGGCTACTTTGCACGCGGTCTTCAGGAGCGCTTTTTTTTATTTCATAAAATCTACGTCAACCGCAGGGCTCGAACCTACACCCTGCGCGAGGAAATATATCTAGCGGCACTGAACGCCTCCCGAATGGTACTTGCCAAAAGCGATGGCACTGTTCAAACAGGGTCATCAAGGAGAGCATCGCCGTTTTCATCACTACATCCTCACTTAGCCTGCATACTACAGCCCTGAAACCCCCGCATTCGCCGAAAGCACACCGCTCCCCTTCAATACACATCACGCTTCACCTCAGCAGCCCTTCCTTTCGCTCTCATTCTATTTACTCTATTCACCCTATCCCCATTTTTCTTTTTTCTTTCTCCGGCTCCCTCAATCAGCGCACCTGTCTTCACTGCAAAAGAAAGACCCTTGTCTCGTCGCTTCATGGAACAACAGCAACAGCCGCAGCAGCCGCAGCAGCCGCATGAACCGGTGCATTGCTTTTGGGCCTTGATGACCTATGGCGACCTTCGGTTCATCTACCTATCCTCCTCTGTCCAGCGCGCAGTCTCAGCAAAGTACAAGCAGCTCCTCGGTCAGTCTTTCTTTGACTACATCCATCCAGACGAGGCTAAGCTGGCACGCAAGGACCTGAATGCCTTTATGGATGTCCATAATCTATACGGCAGCGTCACTCGGTATGCACACCTCATTCTTTTTTGCTTGTGCTTGCTTGATGCCAGGTTTTCTGCTCGTTGGACTTCATATTACTCATTCCAAGCGTGTTGCCGTTCTGCACTAGGTGTCGATTTCGGAATGTATGTCCAGAGTGGCAGCTGAAAAAGTTCTCTCGACAAACAGGGTCTGTCGCCGCTGCTTCAGCCTCGGCAGCAGCCTCGGCAGCAGCCCTGAATGCCGCTGCTAAAGAGGGTGGGCTCTCCTCGAGAGGCCTGGGTCGAGCAGGACTGGATACAACTGGCATTAATAACGGCGGCGGCAGCAGCAACAGCAGCACTATTCACAATAACAGCGATGATAATAAAAACGACATTGGGAACGCTCCGATACTCTCGGCTGAAGGTCAGCCTATAGATCAGGAAACACCGGACGAGGAATGCTGCAAAGACTACGAAGATATTTTTCAGAACGGGGAGGAGGACGACTTTATGATTCTGGACGTCGTTATGAACGTTGTGAGTGATGAAGTCGTCCTTGGCTTCTTTCACATTGATGGTCGTAAGTTCCTTTCTATGCACCGTCGATCCTTGTGATAGCTTCAATTTCGTCCGCGCTTTCCTGACATCTGTTTGCGATTCAACCACCTTCCTATAGAGGGTCTTTACAAGGGCTTTTGGTCAAACGGCATCTGCGGTGAATCCAAGGAGTCTTTGGCGGTAAGTGCTCAATTGTGAGCGAGCATGGGCCCTTGATTCATCAGCGAATAATCCCGTATGGACTATACTAACCAAAAGAACCCCTTCACCCCCCTCAGAGCCTTGCCCCAGAAATCATGCGCCATTTACAGGACTCTGTCGATGCTAAAAACATCTCTACAGGATCAGATCATCGACTGGACTCTAATTTATCATCGACATCGAGTCCTCGGCGGCAGACCGACAATCGGACGAAACGAATCTTCCAAATCTACGATTCCCAAAACCGGAACCTACTACTGACGTGGCCAGACCCAGGAAATAAGACAGGAAGCTCTGGCGCCGGGAACGGCACAGTCTCCTACAACCCAGATCTCTATACCCAAATCGTCAAATCGCACCACATTCCAGCGGATGCACTCGGAAACACGACCTGTTTAAAGCGCTTTTGTTCAAAGCACGCCCTTCCCAATTTAAATCCTTCAAGCCAGGAGCCCTCGTATCAAGTCGAATCCGTCTTCATCCCTTACGGCTACATCATCTTCGCGTGCTTTCAGACCTCCCCCGCGACACCTGTGAACACTTGGTCTACGATATCTTCTACGGCAATATCTGCTCCTACCACACACGGATCACATGTTGCTTCACCATCACCAGGTTCGCGCTCATTTGGTTCGAATTATGAAGCAGGTTCACCCAACGATCATCTTTCAGGACTTGGTTTGTTATCATCGCCAGGTGGAACGGGATCGAATCTATTTGGAGTTGGAGGCGCTAACTCCCACGGATCGCCATCGTCGACGCTCAATTCGCCCCTTGTCATTCCCTCTTTACCGTCTCTTTCGCCGTTCTTGAAGCACGCAGTTGTAGGCCAAATGACAATGTCATCGGCACAAGTCCCGAGTCCATCGCCAACTGGACCCATAAGGAACACCGGCAATAGCAATCACTCATCGGCATACCACCCATATTCTAGGAGCTCGGCTCTTTCCAGCGCATCGTCCGCGGGATCGTCTCCATCAAACCTGCCACTACCAGAGTCTATGCAGGAGTCTCTCAGTTTCCTGAATGATTACAAACCAGGGGACATAGACGGCAGAGGAGGGACTTTACCGAGCGAAAGACGGGGAACGGGTGACCTTCTAGCACATTCGATGTGGCATGCCTCTACTCCACATCCGGCCATCGCTGCCATGGTCGGACATGCACTCGCACCATCTTCGCTCTCCTTCCAGCGGACGGTTACCGTAGATGTCCGTCCGTCACATGGTCGCCAAAAGTCATCATCGCCACCATCATCAACATTGGCGGCGCCAGTCGAACTGCACTCCTCCGGAAATGACAAGGATACAAAATCTCGCAAGATGCCTCCCTCGCCTCGGCACCCTGCGCATGACGCTGCTATCAGGAAAAAGCCATCGTCCTCCGCATCGTCTTCGTCTCCTCCCGCGACTCTGCAAGAGCTCGACTCAAATGGTAGCGCAGGCCATGTAACACACGTTCTGCGGGTACAGGAGGAAAAGGCGTGTGAGAGTTGTGGAACGACCAACTCTCCGGAATGGCGTAGGGGTCAGTCTGGGAAGAAGGATTTATGTAACGCCTGTGGTCTGCGGTATTCTCGGAGTGTAGCCCGACAGAACCGTCAGGCACAGAAGCAGCTGGAAGGCAAGGTCCCAAAGACAAAGGTTGCCAAGGCTGGCAAGGCCACAAAAGCAACCCCAAAGAAAGCGGGGGGCGCGACGGACATAGCAGACCACGGCGCCCAGACGAATCGAATGCAGCAACAACCACAACAGCCTCAGCCTCAGCAGCAGCAATCGCAACAGCAGCAGCCTCACTTTGGTCAAGGATACACTTCTTCATCGTATGCAAACACAGGTGTGGTTCCGACCTATTCTATACCTGTTTCGCAGCCATCCTTTTATCATGGACCGTGATAAAGATAAGGGTGGACATTTGGAGCAGTTTCCTGCTACTCTTGCCTGTTTCCGTTTCATTAATTCCTGCACAATAAAGTCATGTAAACTAGAATCAGTATTACTCCGCGTTCACTGTTCAAAAGGTGAAAAAGAGGGATATGGCCAACCATTTCGGCAGCTGTTTGCGACTATTGCAGCCCTTTTTGGCTACGAGACAAGACTTGAGACTCGTCAAGGTCATAAGGACGTGCCTACTAGAGTAAGCAGTTGACTGCGGCGTTCATACAGCAACATTAGATGGTCCATGTGCTGGTGGATTGGCTGTCAAAAGGCGTTAACGAATGGAGAACGTCATCGTCGGCTTTATCGTGCAAGTAACTGCATCCCCGCTTGTCCTACCGGCACTTCGACAGATGCTCAAGAATGCTGGTCGATAAGTCGATGAGCCATGGATGAATGTGATTCAGCGTAAAACTGATGATTTTGCTTCCTTTATGGCGAAAAGAGTATTACAGTTCGCGTGAACGAACGCATCGCAGCGACCAGCATGGTGGGACAGATATCCACAGTCGTTGCCCCAGGGACGAAAAAATCGAGCTCGGCAATCTGATAGGACAGAAATTAACAAGCCAGGAACGCGGAAAGGGCAGTAGGAGCTGTCCCGTTCTTTTTATTGGCCAGAGGCAGGCTCCATCTGCAGGATGGACTCTTCCACGGATTCTATGCTGTAAAATCAGTTTTAGACGTGGTACATGGCCATGGGTCGTGGCCAACAACTGGCCGTTTTGGAGTGGTATTTTCCAGGCGGGCAGCAGGACTTACACAAGGACCCAGAACGCGAGCTATTTTTTATTTATTTTTTACCAGGGAAATGGATGGAATTCCGAGAAAGTAAGAAAAATGCACGAGTGGATGGGTGGTCCAAACGCGTGCGCCCACGCGATTTTACATTTACTCCTAGAACGTGCACGCCTGCAGCCAATCAGAACGCGGTCCTAGGTACTACAGAGACAGTCTACCAACCTGCTGAGTCTCTTTCTTCAGTTCCACTTTCGCCCTCGAGGGAATTACGACCAACCCAGTATGCGTTGGTGTGTCCATCCTTGCGCTCATCTTCCGCCTGGTGTCCGCTTTTGGACGGCGTAGAAACATAACCTAGGGAGGAGCACGTTGGTGCTCCTGCCATCGTTGTTCGCTCGCTCGCTAAGTGTTTTACACCATGGGTGCATTCATTTCACGCTTCCACACTGTCCTTCCAGACCCTATCGAATCCGTCTCAGTCAATGGTATTTCTGTTATAAAATGGCATCCTTCTGCCTCTCGACCAGGGATTCTTGTCTCCTCAGTCTTGACAACTCATCCTTCAATCCATCTCCCCCTTCAACTTCCACCTGCTCTTTGCAAGTCGATCCTTTTCTTCGCAATGGCAAGCCCTTTTGCTGACTTTACCCCGCTCGAGCGCCGTAACCTCATCATCTACATGGTCGGCATCATGCTCTACAAATTTGGTCTGGTAAATACTTTCCTGTCCCTCTTCTTCCTCTTCGACAAACCATCATGCCTGGACTTCTTCGTCTTTCTTCCTACACCGATAAATAGCACCACCATCTCACTTAACCTAAAGTTGGCCCATCACGCCTCCTACGCATTTTGCTGCGCAACTCTATTCGATATTAAGGCGTATCCCATCGCCACACATCTCCACCGCGCAGAGCATCCCCATCTGTGCATGATGAACATCAGCTCCAGGCTATACACCACCCCTTGTCCCCCTCGACCCCTCCTTCTCTCTCTCTCGCTCTGCTTCTTCCTGAGGTGCACTAACATTGATATCATTGTGCTTATACGAATAACAGGAAGCCTTCACTGGTTCCATTACTTTGCTGGCTACCGATCGCTTTAACGAGGCACGGACCTTTACCAACCTGGCCATCCTTCAGGGTCTCAACCAGGCATTCCAGTGTGTTGGATCCATTGCTATCGCTCCCCTGATCAAGCGCTTCCCCACCCGTTCGGTTCTCGCGACCTCAATAGCCTTCTTCGGTCTCCTCTCTGCCCTCATCATCATTATTGATGTCTCCACCGGAGGCAAGATCCCTCTTGAGGGCAAGCAACGCTATGGTCAATGGAGCTCACTCATACTCTTCCCAATCTACAGCATCATTGGTATCTGCCACGGAATGGTCGAGCTCATCCGTCGTGTCATCCCCAAAGACATTGTCGGTGGCGATATCGTTAAGCTGAAGAAGATGGATGCCACCGTCCATGTCTTCTACGAGATCGCCGGCACCGCTGGAGCCTTCTTTGCCACCTTCCTGGTTCTCAACCTTGGCAATGCCCTTGCTCCTTCGATGACGCCCTTCCTCTTTATCCTCGCCGCCGTCGCCTGGTCTTTCATTGGTCTCTTGAGCTCTGACCACGAGAACCGCAAGGCCCTTGCCTCGTTAGAGGATCACTCGCTGATGTCGCAGATCGGACATGGCTTCACTCACTTTGCCATGTCCATGTACCGCGGCGCTCAGATCGTCTTCTCGTCCCGCAGGTTTATCTGGCTCATTCCTGGCTACTCTATCCCTCTGTTCACCCACCGCTATCTCGAGTCTCAGCTGTCGCCTGCCTTTGCTAAGCGCATCCTGAAGCAGGGTGCTTATGCTCAGATCATGGTCGGAGGATCCAACTTTGGTGAATTGCTCGGAGCACTTTTTGTGCTGTTCTTCGCAAAGAAGATCAAGACACCCCTGCCCTGGTTGCGCCTTGACGCTTTGGGCCTCTTGCTCGTCTGGGTCCTGCCGTATTCTTATCCCGATCCCGCAAATTCTCTCTCTTTCGCCTGGACTTTAGCCGCGATTTGGATCCCCGTCTCGTTCGGCTGGGCTGCCGGCGATGTCTCTCTGGCCGCGTATATCCAGTCGGCCCTAGCCAAGATCGAGCGCCCTGATGACAGGGTGTCGCCCCTGGGTGCCGTGATGGCGTTCTTATACGTCTTCTACATTGTCCTCTATGCAGTTCTTGGAGTTGTCCTGGGACGCGTCGTTGATAATTACAATGCGAGGGGCGATATCCGCCCTGCTCTAGTCTATGTCGGAGGTGTCATGTACACAGTTGTGTGTGTCATTCTCTTGCTTGCGACCTTCATTCCCAAGGGTTCCTTTGCTCTGAACCCTGACATCATTGACGACGTCGAGATCCGCGAGGAGGACGAGTTTATTGCAGATGAGACTGCCGCCTATGAGGTCAAGGGAGCCTACACTGACGAGATCAAGAAGACGAAGACCCAGGAGCTGCCCGTCGATCCTAAGACTGCCTTCTAAACAGTATCATAATGAAGCTTAATATCAATCAATATGCATGTAGCTCTACATTTTTTTTTTTTTTATTGCCACCAACTGTCTGGTATAAAAAGCCACACCTATTTCAAGGGTCCAGGCAAGGATGCTGGATACCCTTTGCATCCCTCCATCACTCTCATCGGATTCGTCAGTTTGGTCATCGGCAACATTCACGCGCACCAAGAGGCAGTGCTGCGTAGTCGTATACCTTTCCATCTATCATATAACCCACTCTACACCTTCCTGCTTAGCCAGAAAATCCACATTATCCGGGTCTTCCATTCTCGAAAGGCGATATCATGTCTGACCGCTCCTCCCCAGAGACAAGCCCTGCCAGTCCCATTGACGCTACAGTGGCCGCACGCGCTGCTGATACTGAGGAGCCCGAGATAGAGTTCCTGCACACTCCCTCGCCTTCTATCCTCTGTCCAGTGTAAATGAGCGCCTCAACAAGTCGTACTTACTCTTTTTGCATTCATATTTGTCAATGCTTTCTCACATCTACATTTTACTCTCTACACACACAGCTGCCACGACGTATGTCGAGACCCGTTGATCACGAATGGCTGCAATCACTCCTACTGCGCATCCTGCATCTACCACAGTTTAGAGATCGAACCCTTTTGTCCGCTATGCCGAGCACGCATCAAGCTGGAAGGTGAGAAGAGACTATTTCCGCAATCAAGGTCCGATCGGATGAATGATTATCTACTCATTCACTCTGATAGACATGCAGTGACTAACTGGCAGTTTCGTCGGTTTCTCAATGTTAGACCTGCACCCGAACCTGGCATTGTCCGGTCTGATCTCTGAACTCCTTGTATATTGCACCAACAAGGCCTATGGATGCCCACAGATTGTTCGGCAGGACGCACTTCATGGGCACGTTCTTTACTGCTCCTATGCACCCTCAGTCTGCCCCAACAAGAACCTGGGATGTCCTTACAAAGGTGTGGGATCTTCCTGGTCCATTCCTAGCTATATTCTGTATCCACATTTATGACCAGCTAGCTAACAACGACGTCCTTTGATATATCTTCAACCTATAGGAACTATGCGAGACGCTAAGGAACATCTCCATAACTGCGTCTATGAGCGATTCAAAGGCTACATTGACTTCACCAACAAGCGGTTCGAAAAACTGGAGTCTCTTTTGGCTGTACGTGGATCGTTCGGTGACGTTTGTAATGCCTTGTACTTCAGAGAAAAACTGTGATATTCATCGTCTTGTATATATATAACCTCTTTTAGGATCAATCTAGAGAAATTGAAAAGCTTCAACGGATTCTCAGAGCAGGAAAGGGCGTGGTGTACACTACAGAGGCGGATGGAAGCGACTCTACATCAAAATCGAATAATGAGCCAGATGGATCCCAGCGTGGCGACTCATCACCGTCCTCTGGAACAAGGCGGACGGTTGTCTCGACTTTTCCTCACGATGAGATTACATGCCATCGAACCATTGCCATTCACCCATGTGGCGTAACCAGTGTGGCCGTGAATCAGGATAGAGTGTTTGCAGGAGCGCACGATGGTAGTACCAAGGTATTCGATATCAACACTGGGGAGCTTCTAAAGGACTCGAAGGGACATACGATGTCTGTCTGGGGACTGGCTGTTGTTCCCTCGGGCGATCGCTATTTCAGCGCTGGATCAGATGGAACGATTAAAGTCTGGGATTGGCTCAAAGAGGACGAAGAAAGCTGTCTGGTCAAATCAATACCGGACCATAATGCGAAGGTCTATGGTCTTGTTGTGGACCAAGGGCGACTGTACTCGGCATCTTCGGACAAAACTGTCAAGGTCTGGGATATTGAGACACTGGAATGCCTTGCGACCTTCCAGGGCCACACAGGAGGCGTCAACAGTTTGGCAGCACTCCCGGATGCCAGCTCACGCCAGCTGGTGACAGGATCCTCTGACAAAACGATCAAGCTTTGGGATGTCACTACGGGAACCTGTCTAAAGACCGTCCGTCGAGGCACCAGCGAGGTTTTGGATGTCGCAGTTGGCGATGGTATGATTTTTGGAAGTACCTATGATGCCGTCATTCACGTCTATGACCTGAACGAGACGCGGGAGTTGGGAACACTCAGCGGACACAACTGGGAAGTCTGGCAGCTCGAGTACGGACAAGGCCACCTGTTCAGTGCCAGTTTTGATCATACCATCAAGCGATGGGATCCACGGCGGTTCCAGTGCGATCTTACGCTAAAGGGTCACAAGAGTAAGCAGCAAAAATCCTCATACTATTTTCCAGAATCGGTCAAGAAGGATCTTCGTATGAAGGTTTGTGGTTTGTTTTATGCTCAATGTCTTTTTATCTTTACATTCACATCTCGTACTAGGTTTTGTCCATGGAATGGCGCTGGCGGACAATTATCTTGTCACGGGATGTGCCGATCGCACGATCAAGGTGGGTTCGGCTGAGTAAATTGGACAAAGGTTGCTGAAGACAACAAATCCATATTAATCCTAACATCTATACGTGCTCCTTTTTTCTTTTTCTTTTTTTTTTTTGGCATAGATCTGGCGATAAATTTAAAAGCTAGAGGATCGCTGTAACCAACAACATTCAAATAAACCAGGCGTATCAGCGTGAATATTGCCCTTGCACATGAACGTAGTCTGCTTTCGTTTTCAGCTCATTACAATGTTCGCTTGGGCACCCTTTATTTATTATATTATGTGATCCAGAGCATTACTTGCGTTTCTGGTCTGATGCCGTTGTGGTTTCGGTCGCAGGGGTTGGTTTGCTCTTGTCATCACTGTCTTCATTCCTGGAGGCAACGAGCTTCAGTTTTGTATCGTATCCATGTTTTTGAAGATCCTTCCATGTCTCCTCTGGTTCGCTCGAGGTCTGGAGATTGTACATCTGCAAGAACCCTTTCAGGGTCAATTGACCCCTTTCGTCCAGGTCCAGGAATTCACTGATCTCGGCACGTGTGTCCTCGTCGAACTGTCGTATATATCAAATCCACAGCAAGGAGGGGAAAAAAAAAAGGGATTAGTTGTTGAAAAAAATCCCGCTTGTGCCTTTGGTTCAGGGTGTCCTCGGACATTGGAGTGCAACAAAAGGTCGTGGGTCACTTTACCACGTCGCCGTTGGTGTCCTTCGCAAACGCGTCCAGTTCCGAGGTGCTCAACGCGCCATCTGGTAGAAGAAAAAGAGGTACCATTGTTAGTCAAGTACATAAGACATCGATCCGTTCTCTTCTCTCTGCCTGGGCAGCGTACGAATATCTCAACTATCTCAATTAATCCATGCTAGGGAGACCGCTCGTCCCGGCCGTACCTTTATCAACATCGTAACGCTTGAAAATGGCCTATTGATAACCAATTACACACCAAAGGGCAAGAGACATGCGAAACCATGAGACATTTTGCGCTTTGCAATCGACATACGAATGCAGCGGATCTCTTGAAAATGGCAGCCAGGAACATACCACCAAGGCGTTCTCGCACTCTTGGGTGAGCGCACCGTCTTCGTCAACGAGTGTAGGAGGGGTGACCAGAGGCATGTGGAGATGGATGGCAACGTAAGAAGCTGATGTGAAAAAAAAAAAAAAAAAAAGGCGAGAGATGCAAACTGAATACGAACACAGGGCATGCATGTTAGAATGTTATAAGCGGCAAAATTTAATATAAAATACTAGAGCGTTGAAACAACCCTTTCATATTCATTTCCATTTTGCCGTAGTTCTTTTGGGGGAGGAGAGGAAGCGTAGCATGACTCCAATGCTTGCTGACTGGCAGTGATAGTAGCACTAGCAGCACTAAAGCGGAAAATAGTTTAGGAAGAGTACGCGAGATGGGCGCGGTTGGGCACACTGAAGGCTGAGATCTCTGCGATAGCGGTGTGCGAGTCCACGTTTAAACGATGGGCAGTGCACTATATTGATCTATGTAGCATATGGGTGGAGAAGTGCTGTAATATCGAGAAAGAAACATTTTTTTTTTTGGTTCCCAATCGATACGGATATCGTCCATTGATACTCATAGGAATCCAGCCGTGATCATGGCATATTTAATACCAGACTGAGAGCAGCTATCCTTTTTTTTTTATTGGCGCCAGACCCCTTCCCCCCCAGACGCTCCCCCAGTATTCATGTATTCACACCGATCCCCAAACTCGCACAGAGTATCCATCACGTGGTAGTTATTCGGAACAGCTTTCGCGTTTCTAACAATCGAATCGTCTCATGAGATGACCAAGACGATTCTACGATATTAAAGATAGGATCTTTTACTCATAGGCACCAATAGACTCTGCTTGTTGAGCAATCCATTTGGCGCGTCTTCTGTCTCCGTCTTCTGTCTTCTGAACCGAAAGGGTCCAACGAAGGGGGACAAAGGGATGGGTCGCTTCAAGATAGCCGCCATTGCCAGCCAGTCCAAAAAGAAAAACACAGCGGACAAAGGGCAGGGTGCATTTAGTTTGAAGAGTTTGCTGGATTCCAACTCTAGGTTTTTAAGATAGGAAAGGGCCATTTTTTAAATATTGCAGTCATCAAACTCCTTGAGAGTCTCGAGAAGATGGAGATTTCTAGTACTTTTCCATGATATGACGATGTTCTGGCGTGCTCATGGTCGGAGCGTGCTTTTTCCTGCTGCCCTTTATGCCTGCCTTTTATATCTGCAGCAGCGTCTCGTATCCGTTCTTGACCACCCCCTATTCTCGTCGACTGCCTGCTCAATGATCGTGGTGGAATAATACGTCTGCGTCTGGCGGAATGTAGCCTGGTTGATTGACAGGGACACTCTCAGCTTGAGTTTGACTTGAATTCCTCGATGTCTGCTTTCCCATTCACATCATTCTTGTAATAGCGTCTCAGAAAACCAGCAAAAGCACCAGGCGTCTCTTTTAGTGCCGCAATCGATTTTAATCCCTCGAGAAATTGAAAAACATTCCTTGTGTTCGCGTGTATCGAAAGTTGGAGAGGCTGCCAGTCTCTTGGATGATTCTCTTTGAAGAATTCGTGGACATGCTTCGAAACGTTGACAGCTGCTGCACTATACTCTCCTAAGAGATGGGAACCATCTCTGGGAGGAACGCGGATATGGTTCAACTGGAAGAGGAGCAGGAACAGTGGAGAATTCAAATAAGGTTTCATTGGGATGGCTTTGCCACTGAACTGAAGGCGACGCCACTTAAAAGCCATCCCCCTGAGCCTGAACCTGCGTACATCTCGACAACACTCAGCGATATCAAATGAAAGATAGTATTGTTCCATGTCTCCATGTCGTCTGGACTTATTTTTAAGGATGCTTCGTCGACAGTTGTCTTTAATACCATGCCCTTGCTGAATGTGCCCATACCCACCGTTATTTTTTTTATACAATTCGTGTTTGGAGAAAGGGCCAGATCCTTCGTGCATATCCAGCGAGGATATTTAGCGGTCCATACACGCGGCCCTTTGTATAGTGTTTGCACTGGGTCGAAGGTAGAGTACCCCAGTTGAGCCAGTGTCGGCAAGATTGGGTAGCCCTTTTTATACCTTTCCTTTATCGCTACCTTTTGAGAAGAATATCAGTGAAGAGAGATGTGGGTCCACGCCTCCGCATTTAGAGAATACACTTAGACTACTAGATACTTATGATCTGAACATGGCACTGACTCCGATAAATATAAATCAGCGCTTTTGAAGTTAATGATCTCTTTCTTCCTTTTTTTTTTTTAGGTACGCTTGGAAATTTGATCGAGGTTGTAGTCGTTTAGAGGCGTTTTTATTATTTGCAGCCTGTTTAGCATAGTACTCTATTCAGTACTCAGTGATGTAGCGACACTCAATAAATTCAAATTCCTGCTTAGATGATACTGTCCCGATAGCCAAGACTCCTTCAACCTCATATATGTCAGTCTCTTCAAAATCAGCCAGCATAAGTTTGAGTTGAAATGCTATATAGTTGGCATCCACGTAGATTTCCTTTTTTATTTGGAAGGAAACCCCATTCACAGTGGAGCAACGGTCCGCGGTTGCTTCCACAGTTTCAGGCTAAGCAACGCTGCTATCCCGGCCATGATACCACCAATCCGAAGCATCACGCCAATGGTCTCCGGGTTACCTGGCTGGTCTAACTCTCCTTCTGTAGCTCCATCTGCCCTGGGTTCGATAGCCGCAAACACCAGGCTGCTCAGAAAGCTGACCAGGAACTGAGGCAGCACAATGTAAATGTTGTGGATACCAAGCAACGCGCCCGCTGAAGTGACCTCAACTGTCGACTGTGCAGATATGGACGGTGGTTCCGAGTGACTAGTTCGTGAAGATGTGCGGCCAGCGCCACCAGTACCACGGCCATGTCCGTTAGCGTTGCGCTGCTCACGACGATGTTCATGAGAGTATGTCCTGGAACGCCGCGTGTCCGTGGTAGAACCATTGTGGGAATGCGAAGAATGAGAGGAGCACCGTGAAGAGCGAGAATGATTACTGCGCTTCTGGACCAACCTTCGATCATCATCCCCGCTCTCATAGTTGTCGTCGCTCGTAGCATCCGTCTCAGAATTTGTGTCCAAACGTGCCTCGGGCTTATCCTGATCTGAAGATACTGTCCATCCTAAGGCACCCACGGCGAACGATTGTCCCTCGACAGCTGCGGGCGATGGTGTACTCGTCCGGTTTCGGAAAGAGTCCGCGTTCGATACCCCCGGCCGACTACTCTTGTATTTCGATTCTGCAACGGTAACCGGCTCGTCTAGACTCTCGCGTGCCCGTACGGGCTGGTACTGCCTTCCGCGACCACTCTCGCTCATCCTGATCTCCTCGCCTTCGTCTTCACCCTCGCCCTCGTCATCTTTTTGATATAGCACTTCCGCCATCTCTCCTCGCTGAGATTGGCCTGTCCCACGGAGACGATCCTGATGCTGCTCTTCCTGCATCTGTTGTGAAATGACTTCGCCCAAAATCGAGAATGGTGCCCACATTGTAATGGCCCATGCGACACCGCAGCAAGCGAACAGGATGGTGGATCCCTGCAAATCATGTATATACCAAGTGCTCACTAAGGCAAATGAGACCAACGCCAACGACATCGTATACATTTTGGGTAGAGTCAGCCCAGGAATAGGAAGGCTCAGCCATCTTGGCAACCGCAACCTACGCCATCTAGATAATCGCTTCATGCTCCCGAGTTCATTTTCTGATGCACTGGTCGACCTCGAGTTTGAGAACGGTCCATGAGATCCAGTGGAAATTTGGTCCGCGGAACTGACAAAAAGTGGCAGTATGATGGACCCTCCGAGCGACACGATCGAGTAGATAAGCAAGCAGAACGATCCGGCTCGCACTGCTGCATCCTGAACGCCATTCACTGGATCCTGACCAGCCGGTAAATCGGGTTCGACGGGGTTCCCGTTCTCTGTCTGTTCGCGGGTATAGATTTCAGCGATATAAGTCGAAGAGTAGAACAAAAACGGGAACCATCCCATCCAAGCAAAGAACTGAACATTGCACAGCTGCTGAATCCTGGTTGGTAGATAGCGAATTGCTCGAAGCACTAGTTTGAATCCCTGCAAAGTCTCATCGAGCGATGATCCTGAAGTCCTACATTAATGTGAAAGGGACACCATGTCAGTTGCAAATCATCTAAAAAAAATATAAAAAAAAACCTAGATTAATGCTATGCATTGAAGAATTATAGCCCTACTTACTTTGCCGCTCGAACCATGACTCGCTCAGTGACAGTTAAACATGTCAATCCAACTGTGAGGATCAAAAACAGGCAAGCAATGATACAGAGTCCCTTGATCTGCGTGTCACCAAAGGCTGGGATGAATTGCGGGAGATTAACGTTGCCCATGAAGTATCCAAAGATACCGCCAATTCCCATCAATCGACTCGCCCATGATGCTGCTGCTTCCTGCTGTGAAGACGGTAGACTATCCACGATCAATGTCCTACAGCTTGCTTGCACTGAATGCCATATCCAAAGAGCCATCGAAATGCGTTAGACATCTGTAAGATACATTGGATTGACATCATGATAACGGCGATCGTATGCATATAGGAACACATACCGCAGTTGATCGCAAAATCCAGAATGTATATCGCTCCTACTGCCATAAGAATTGTTGCATTCTCCAACTAGGAATAAAGAAAGAGAAAGGGGTTAGCAAGATGACTCCTAATAGAATTGTAGCAGTACATCGACCTTATTGACATACGTTATCGTAGTCGGCGCCAAAGATTCCTCTTATGATATCTCTACACCATCCAAGGCAGAGGAAGGATACGACTACGGCGGCGACTCCAACTATGAGAAACGGCCGCCGCCTTCCAAGCTTGGATGTGCATCGATCCGATAGCACGCCGACGACAGGCTGCATCACCAGTCCTATGATCCATGCCCGAAAGCGAATATTACAGCAAGGTGAGCAGTGATATATCATTCATTCCACATGTGTCTTGTCGATAGCGCTTCTCATGGCATGCAAAAAAAAAAAAAAAAAAAAAAAAGATACCGTACCGGAGAGTGGCCCAGCCAGCCAGACTAGTGACATGAGTGATTTGGAGAGGCCGAGCTGGAGCAGGAAAGGTGTTCCGTAGGCCATCTCGATAGACCCTATAAGATTGCAACATTCGCCAGGTGAGCGCACTGACATACCAACTATTGAGCACAAGAGCATAAACCAACTCAATTTCCACGCCGGGCTGATGTAGCTGATGTTCAGAAATGATATCATCGATTGTGGAAGCAGGTTATTCCTGGTATTTGGGAGGCACAGCCCTGGCCTGGTACCTACAAGTGAACTGGAGACTATATGCCCATAATACCGAGGATGCCAATGTGCCAATCAATACAAGGGCAGCGGACAAAAGAAGGATTAGGATAAGGTCGTTTCTTGTACATAAAAGATACATGGTCGCAGCTTCATTTTCTATGGAAATGGAAGAAAACGAACGACCTTACATACCCCATAAGAGCTGTGGTCAAGAAAATCATCCGCATGGTCCTGTTAGGTCCCCATATACGCGCCCGCCCATGGAGACCAAGTTTGCGCAAAGAATGTGAATCTGCAGTGTTGTCGATGTCCTCAAGATCAATAGCCAAGTTCAAACTGGCCCCGTCTTCTATGTCGTCGCTATGCTGTGTCTCGGCACTGTTGGGCCGATATGGAGTATGCATCCCAACCATGACGGCAATTTATAACGCGGCGGCCGTCGAAGTCGAGAGAGGAGTGTGCTTGTTAAGCAGGAACGGCTGCTGTCTGCGTGAGAAGAAAATATAAAAAAAAGTAAGATAACGAAGGAAGAAACGAGGGAGAAATGGAGGCGAAAAGAGAATGCCGAGGAATGTAGCTAGTCCAGTCAGAAGAAAGAATCCGCAGGTGAATGAGAGTATAGTGCAATGGAACTAGTGGGATGGCATGAGTGAGGAAGGAGCTAATGGAGGCAAACACTGGTCTTGTCTCCATGGAGACACAGTTGGTCTGGTTTCGTGCGCACTGGTTTCTATTTGAAACTTTATTTTTACAACGCGCGCATGTAGCAGTGTTCGATAATAATAATATACACTTCGTCTTATGATTTGGCTCCGGCGCCCTTTCCGGCGCCTGCTAGGACCATTAGCTCTTCTAGACCCGTCGGCATCCACACTCCCGTCTCCTCCGACTTCACAAACGCAATCTCGTCCGTCATGTGCACTAAAATGCCCCCTGCTGTGCCCGTCGAGTTGCCGCCCAGTCGATACAGCGGCTTGCCTGACCGCTCATGCGTCTGCTTCGTCATCACAAACAAAAGCGAGTTCTGCGTCGCATAGTCCTGCATCAGATCCTTGAACGATACTGATGCCACTAAATGCTTCTTCGTCTGCAGCCGTCCCAAGGGATCTGAAAACGAACCTCCATTGGACCCGGTTCCGTTGCTTTGCGCTCGTGCCTGTGCAAGATCCGCCGGCGCCATAATCTGAAGTCCCGCCATGAACTGGTTAATCATATCCAGACCCTGTCGGAACCCCGTCGCGACGCCTGTCTCCTGCAGCAGCGCTGCGGGGAACAACGACTTCCACCACTGATACCATTGCGAGATCTGGTCCAAGTCCTTTGTCGAAGGGTGTGTGAGCCAAAGGTACAGCACTTGATGCCATTTTGGGAAAAACTCATTCACCAGCAGCGAACTGAACGTGGTGCTGGGGAAAAAATGGTGCCATGGCAACACCGCCTGAAGGATCTCGACCGTTTGGTTCCGTGGGTTAATCTCAAACATCTGTAGCCCCTCCACAAGCTTGGGCAGTACCGACTTGAGAAGGAGCAGTTCCATATCAGCAGCATCAAAGACGCCCCGCCAAGGCTCCAGCACGCGAAGTGCACTTGGATCGAGGACATTCCAGGCTGTGAGTCCTGAAGCCAGCTTCCGGCGGATATCGCCAAATAACTCCTGATTCAATCGAGCCTCGCCAATGACAAGCAGCCAAGGGTGAATCCAAGTATGCAGCATGAGCGAATCGCGTGGGCTCCATTGCTCGACTTCTTTTTGAAGTTTGGGCAGTATGAGCTGCGTGATGATGTTGTCCCGAATAAATGCCGGCAAGAGCGGAGGCGCCCATGCCTCCAAAAGCTCAATGACGGGGTCGCAGTCGCGTGGATTCCACTCGTTGTTGATCGCAGATCGAACCTTGGGAAGCCAATAGTGATTGAGAAGACTCTCATAGGCTGTCATCTGCTCGGGATGGGCTGGTTTGCTGCCGTAAAAACCGCCTGTACTCCGATCGTCATCATAGATCACCTTGCTTGTCCTGAGTAGCTTTTGCCATCGTTGGAACAGTCCAGCGCCTAGCGTGGGATTCTTGAGAACCTCCCAATCCTTCAGTAACCTCTTGAAGCTCTCTTGAATTGCGGCAATGACGACCTGATCCAATTGATATACTTCATACTCGTCGTAATACAGACCTGAAAAAAGGTCGAACGGTTCCTTGAAGGCCATGGCAATGTAGTCCTCCTTGAGATCAATTACCATTGCGCCAGTTGTGTCGCTTGTAGCCTGTCGAATCTCATTTGCAATCTGTGAACATTGGTCCGTAATGACCATCACCTTCGTCAGTCGCTCGAGTCTGATCTCGTCCTGTACAAGCAGTTTTTGCATCCTGTCCTCCTCTGCCTCCAGAACAGCCTGTCGGACGTGGTCTGCCTTCTGTGTTCTCGCTTGTTGTTCCAGGTCTGTTGTTGAAATATCGGCCATGAGCTGCAGATTATGGCGCAGCTCTGGGAAGCGCTCGTGCTCGAAGGAAACTGAAGAGCTAATCTGACTTAGTGATGAAAGCTCACGCACCTAATATCACGAGCAAAGAAAGGATGTCGATTAGTACAAAAACAGGTTTCTGTTTGATACAATTCAGGTATAGCATGCCTGCATGGCACTTACAGTCTTTCCCGTCAGATCCAGGATCTTTTGCGGCTGTGCCTGGAACATGGGCAGATCCCCAGACTCTATGTCGTGCTGGATCTCCTCGGCAGTCTTGTACTCGACCTTGACCCCCTTCCGTGATCCTCGACTACTTGACTTTCTCCAGCCATCCGCCCTGGGCTCCTGCTCCTTCTTATCACGGCCCTTAGATTTTTGTTTACTGGATGTTTCGTCCTCATCAGAACTCACAGCGACGCCCCGTCTCTTTTCCTCGGCACGCGTCTGCTCTGTTTTTTCCTTAAAGCCCTTGAAACCAATACCCATCTTAACGGGTCGCAACTTTGTCTGAATGGGTTCGACAATACCAGCGCCACCTGCTCCTAACCCGTATCCTTTCTTCCATCCCATTTTCTCCAACATCTTGAGACCGAATCCGCTACCCTTCGCCGAGAAAGCGCCATAGTCTTTGGCAACTGTGACTGGTGCGATCGCGGGTATATCTGGCTTAGGACTGGATGCGGAGGCTGGTGAGGCAGGGCGTGGTGATGGACTGCTTGGGCTTGATCCTTCTCCGCCAAGTCCAGCTCTGTTTCTGAAAAAGCTGAGGCTACTGTAGTTGCTGTTCCTGCTTCGTGGTTGACCCCTAGGGCTGCCATCGATTGGCGTTGACGATCCAGCATCGCTGGATAACCCAAGACCAGCCCTTATAGATGCAGCCATCGCCTTGTTCTTGCTTGGTGTACTATTAGAAGGTGAGGGGCTATCGACCACTGATTCCTGTCCTAGAGATGGCGTGCTGAATCCGATTCCGATGCCTAGTCTGGATCCAATCTGTGGTCGCCCTGCTCTATCCTCATATGCATCGACTTCCTCTTGGTCCCGTGCTCGCTGTGCTTTGTATGCAGCCTCTCTTTCACTCCGTGCTATCCTCTCGTCCTCGTCCTCGTCGTCACTCTTGTCATCGTCTTTATCGTCCATGTCCATGTCCTCCCTGCTATCGTCAGAACCGCGAGCGCGCCCATCCTGATCACTGTCGCCAGCCATGAGTTCGTCGCCCGTGTCTGAAGAGCCTCCGTCAGCCACGTTGGATGCACGCGTGTCTGGTTTGCTGCCCGATGATGAAGCAGGGACAAACGCAAACCCTTCCCGCCTGCGAGTCCTAGAGCGGCCCCCAGTCGAGTGAGATGCTGCGCCTTCGTCCTCCTCCCAATCGTCCCCATAGATCGCCTGCTCTTTCGTCCGTTTACGCCTTTCCCTATGCATAGGATCTATAATACAGACAGAGACATATATAGAGAATATAGATTTAGTTCTTTGCATTCGTGCGTATGGCAATGGGAGTAGGCTTCACACAATCAGCGCGTGGACAAAGAAATCGACTCGAGGGCCTACACCCGTACCTCTGAATTGGTTCATCTCGTCCTGGAGATCTCTCTGAGTTATCCCGCGATCCTGTGGCTCGTCATCGGAGCTGGAGTATGCATCGTCGAGAGCATGCTTTTTCCTGGCCATGTTGGATTGTAGGGTCCGCTTCTGTTACTGTTCAGAGTGGTGGATAGCTTGAGCTGAGCAACTGGCTTGCTTTTTGCTGTGTTGGGGATATGATCGCAGCACAGAGCACGTCACATCGCATCGCATCTTTTTTTTTTCCCACTTTACGCTTCGTCCCACCGTTGCTCCATCAGCTTTGCACCCTTTCCCTTCTTGTCTCCATCAGTCAACCGGGGCGAATCAACCACCGGAAAACAACTTCAACCACGAAGGAACAGAAGAAACAACAGTAGCGACGACAGAAACACAATCGACACACGTATTATCATTAAAGACATGCTGAAGAATACCAGCTACCAGAAGTCGTCCGCTGGTTCAACAGTGGGTACCCCGACCATGCGACGCACAACCGTCTCTTCGCCCTCCAATAACAGCACCCTCAATAACTCTGAGGGCCTGTCTGCCTCGGAGATTGCGCGCAAAAGACAGACACGAAAGGATGATGCTATCCGCAAGAAGCTTGATCAGGAACTCGGCAAGAAGAATCCTTCGACTAGGGCCCATGGCTCTACTCGGCCTGTCCAGGGCACGGTTGGGTCGCTTCGGTAAAAACAGGATTAATTCGTTGTTGTCGTCAGCTGCACTGACAACATAAATGACAGCAGAATCAGGGGCTAAACGAAGGCTGCATTTTCTCGTGATGGTGATCGTATAGACCATCGCCGGCTCTGACCCTGCCCGACACTGCTATGGTTGTGGATGCTGCAAGGTAATGTAGCGAACATTTTTGCTGAATCGCTGGGGACAAGAATGCTGGGACCTCATGATGACAGGTGCTTTCACTTCAAAGTTCGGCCTGCTGACCCTTTCGGGAACCTGCTCATTTTCTTCTCAATTTAGAATCATGGCCGCGAAGAGGTAAATCCACTGAGGACCAAGCAGGGACGATTTTTTGGGATCGTGCTCGCTCTATTCGCTCTCAACCTAACCCATAGCTCGGCGACATTGCACGCTTACATATAGAGCGGATGCTGTTCTTGTCATCGATGCACAGGAGCAGACACTTGTCGGTAAGCAACGGATTTCCCCAATGCAGGCCTCTCACCGAGCGTCTTTCACATGGCCAATCCCGTGGCTGACTCGACTTTCTACTGCACTTCTTAGGTATCATGACTGATAAGGATCTAGCATTCCGTGTCGTCGCCGAGGGACTAGACATCCATACACCCATCTCGCAAGTGATGACAAAGGTAGCTCCTCTTGCTTGGAAGGAAAACAACGGTACTGAAAGTATTACTGTCACTGAAGTAGCGTTCTAACGTCTGTCGATACACTGGACACTCTAGAACCCTTACTGCGTCACAACGGATACCAATGCTACGGAGGCACTCAACAAGATGGTGAACGGCGGATTCCGTCATTTGCCCTGCTTGAACTCTGATGGTGAGTATGGGAGCCCATCACTGTATGGAGTCGTATCGTATGCCCCACGCCTGTTATCAACAGAAATCCATACTGTCCTGCTGATACTACTTTTTATTTCAATTCTCCTATAGGCGATGTGGTTGGATTGTTGGACATCACAAGATGCTTGTATGAGGCGCTTGAAAAGTTGGAGAAGGCTCACAAGTCGTCGAAGCAGCTGGCGGACGCACTTCAGGGCATGCAATCCGAATGGGCACAGCCTGCCAACCCAGAATTGCAGAACTATGTTGATATCGTGAGTGATTGTCGAAAACTGCGGCTGGGTATCTGGAACTGAAACAGGCTGTATCCAAAGTACAGGGCTAACACGGATTTTTCTATTATTTTCATTACAGATGAAAGAAAAAATGTCCTCGCCAGATTTGAACACGATTCTCGATGAGCAACATGGCGTCGCTGAGATCCAGGCCAGGACATCTGTCCGTGAGGCCTCTAGGGTGATGAAGCAGTGGCATACGACGGCCAGTCTTATTATGGAGGATGGGCGTATCACTGGAATCTTTACAACCAAGGTGCATACTCAATTTGACTCTGATGTTGAAAGGGATAACCTGTTGGAGGAAATACAAAGATAATACTAACACTCTGCATATTGGACTTATTGCAGGATATTGTCGTAAGAGTGTTGGCGGCTGGATTGGAACCTGACAGGACCTCGGTGATCAGAGTCATGACACCTCATCCAGATACTGTGCGGTCAACCATGACGATCCTGGATGCCTTGAAGAAGATGCACGATAACCGCTACCTCCATCTCCCTGTTGTGGATGATCACGGCCAGATGGCTGGGCTTGTCGATGTGCTGCAGGTTTCGTTTGCGATGCTGAACCAGATGAACTCGATTCAGGGCGACGGCGTTGCGTCTGAAGGACAGGGACCCGTTTGGAACAAATTCTGGGAGTCGACATTCGCGAGGGATGAGACTGGATCTGAAATCTCAGATGTGCGATCGGGCTTTATTCCGCCACTCTCGGACACGAACTACGGCGGTGGAAGTGTGATGGACTCGTCTATACGACTCGAGTCGCCGGTGATGCCTCTTGGTGGACTGGAAGAGGTCGGATCCGAATTTACGTTCAAGTTCAAGGAGAGCAGTGGACAGGTGCATCGATTCGGATCCAGCACACGCTCGTTCGCAGAGCTGCGTGACAAGATTGTGGAGAAGATGGGAGGAATAGAGCCCGACATGGAGGTGGTGCTGAGCTATTGCGATGAGGAGAATGACCAGGTGCTGATCCTGCAGGATGCAGATATTGCGGAGGCAGTGCAGATGGCGTACAGGAACCAGTGGCCATTGATCCGGCTCTCAGTGACGGTGTCGTCCAAGGGACAGAAGAAGGCTGGAGGGGCTGAGGCCGCCGCTGCCCCTATCATCACCCCTACCACCGCCCCTACCACCACCACTATCAGTAGCGGCAGCAGCAGTAGCAGCAACGCCCAGGGTGCAGGACCAGCAGCTGGCCTGAATCCTATTGTGGTCTCTGGCGCCATTGGCCTTGGTGTGGGCGTCATTCTTGCTCTTGCGTTTGGGTTTATGAGAAAGTAGAAAGTACGCAGCGAGGGACCTTCCCTTCCTGTCCCTTAAATCCTCCTCGATAGCCATTACTTCCAAGCTTCATTCATGCGGACAGCACTGGCCTCAGCTCAGTAATAAGGTTTTCTTTGAAACCTTCTTCGCCTCCCACTCCCTCGCGCTTTCTCTTCTCTGCCCTCATTCCGTTTTTTTTCTTCTCATCATCATTCTGCTTCCTTCATCACTGCACCCCTCCCCTTGCACTGCTCGGGAACATACGACCCGCCCTTTTTTTTTATTTCACGACAGATATTGAAATAAATATATTAGAGACGCATTTTATGCATCAATAGGACACATTGTTTGCTGCCTCCTTTTTTTTCCTTTTTTCCCTCTTCTCGACTCGCGTCCATACTCTTCCACCGACTCTTTACGAGAAGCAAGAGTCATAATTGCTTTACAAGGGGGCTTCGAAGGTAAATTGCGGGTGGTATGATGGTATGGTGGTATGACGGGGATGGGTTTCTTATCTCCATGTCGCTTGGAAAAGAAAAGAGAAAAAATAAAAATAAAAAACGGCCAAGGGTGTGGTCTAAAAAGAAAAAGAGATGTCGATATCCTTGTCATGGAGGTGTCATTTTTTTGCAGACCACTTCCGTTTCTTATGCGCGAGTGCTCAAACGTCCGTTGCGAAATACCATCGGACTCAACCATTGTCTGCCTCTTTTTATCTTTGAATCAGCATTACGCCGTTTGACCTCCTCGGTGGATCTTGTATACCGCACAGCACAAGAGAAGGCGCTTCCCAGCGAATACGATTGTCCCACCAGCAACCTGATCAACACCACAACGACAAAGAAGCGGCCTCTCTTTTCCCCCTCCTCTTCCTCTTCCGATCACATGCTGGGGCCTACACCATCCTCGACAACATCCTTGCCCAAGGCCGCAGCTGTCGATTTCTCTCGAGAGAGCGGTGAGGACGTGCGCTCTTCCAACACTGACCCCTCCCAAGCATTCCTAAACACCTTCGACAACAGTCGGCCAACCTCGCCTGCCCCGCCAACGACTGTCGCAGCTCCAGCTCTCCACTCCTCCTTCTGCTCTCCACCACGCGTGCTCTCACCAAAGATCACGCTGGACGTCTGCTCCCAGGCAGAGTCTCAAGTCCCTCCGCTTTTGAGAACACCCCCAGAGTCTCCGGTAAAGAGCAACAGGCGTGACTCCTTCAACCGTCAGTCCGTACTTCTGCCCCCACACCAACGCGAGCTATTGACACGCACGAACGGGCTCGCAGGCCTCTCCTCTCCACCTTCGTCACCCACACAATCGTCTGCTGGTGCGACCCTTCCACCGAAGCTCTCACAGTCCTTGGCAGAGCATCCACTGTTTCGGGGCTGCACTCCCGCAGGAATCCATCAGCTCGCATCTAGAATGCACATTCGACACTATCATCCACAGGACCATATCATCCGCCGTTCTGAGCAATCAAGCGCCATGTTCTACTTGCTTCGAGGAGCGGTCAAGGTGGTGTCGCATGATAACGAGGCCACGTATTATGAAATCAAGGAAAACAATTTTTTCGGAGATGTTGGCGTTTTGTACAGAGTCCCACGGTCGATGGATGTCCTGGCCAAAAACCGTTGCACGATTGCCATCCTCTCTGGAGATGATCTTGTCAAGGCAATGGAGCAGTCCCCAGAGATGGCAAAGGCGATCGGATATCAGACGCAGGAGCGTTACCAGATGTATCTCAAGAGGCGCAAGTCCATCTCGGCAAGACGGACCCTGGATGGAGGCTCGGGTACCCCTGATGAATGCCAGGACGATTCGAGGTCGGACAGCTTTGCTAAAAGTGATGTACACAGCGCTATCCGCAAGGTGAGTGAGTCATCCAATGGGACATGAGGGATGGTGGGATCGTGCGTATGTGTCATTTTGTTGGCTGACTTCTGTTTTACCTCGTGTGACCCTGCATGCCGTAGGTGCCACTATTTCAAAGTTGCTCCACAGAAGTGATCCACTTACTCTCGCTGAAGGTCGAGCCACGAACGTACAACCTGGGCGAGTCTATCATCCGCCGTGGGGAGATCGGTCGGGAAATGTTCTTTATCGCCTCAGGAGTGGTCGAGATCCTGTCGGACGACAACCTGCGGGTACTAGCACGATTCCATGACGGACAGTTCTTTGGGGAGATCGCAGTGCTACTGGATGTGCCTCGCATTGCGAATGTCAAGGCTGTCTCGCAGGTTGAGGTTTTTGTGCTGACGAAGGACAATCTGGAGGCTGTCTTTGAGGCCGTCCCCGGTGCGGCCGAGACCATCACGGCAGAAGGCCATCGCCTGTACCAAAACTGGTTAATCAAAAACAGCCAGCAGAAGCGTGAGCAAGCGACGGATGACGATGAGTCGCTCCAGGGTATGGAGGCTGAGCTGAACTACGAATCGCTGAATGTGCCCCGGAGACTGTCAGTCCCTATTTTGCAGAGCAAAGAGGGCAATGTCGCAGCTGTATCAGCAATGCAAGGCACGGACCAGCAGGGCTCTCCTCCCAGACTGTCACCTAAGCTGTCACCTATGTCGATCCATCCAATCGAAGCCGGCCATCCTGCAGGTAAGACGGGCTTTATTCATCGGAAGGTTCAATCGCAGCTGGTTTGGAGACCCAAAACAAAAACGCCATCGTTTTATTAACGGCCATTCTCTGTATAACGTACCTTATAGCTATCAGCGTGCTTCCAATGGCTCCCATGGACGAATACCTTCTGGGGAATCGTATCACAGCCTCGCCACCTGCGACGACATCGCCTCCAACAGATCTGGAAGGAGGCCCATTCAATGAACACGCATTAGCACCAGCGCATGCACAGGAATCTCAGCCAGTCTCAAAAGAGTCGTTCTTCGATCAGGACATGGGCACCGCACCCACTCTGGAGAATCAACAAGAACCGCCCACGAGTCGCAACCCAACAATCAGGGGACTTCAACAGAGCAATCCAAAGAGACGCCGTGCCAGTGTGGCTGTGTGGACGCAACAGGACCTTTTGAAACTTGCAGAGTCCGCCGAAGCCAAGGCATCCATCAGTACGACACATGCCCCAGCAACAGCCAGTGCCATGGCCACCTCACTCCTGCCAACCGCAGCAACAGACGATACTCAAAAGAAGGATGCTGCCGAGAAATCAGCACAGGCGAAGCGTTCGTCGCGCATCCCCTTCGTCAACAAGTCACCTATCAAAAAACTGACTGGACCGGCGACGTTCCAGGACCTTGATGAGTCCATTGTCATCCAGATTTTGAACGGACTTCCGCTAAACCGCCTCTTGAGGGTCAGGAGCGTCTGCAAGAGCTGGAACAAGCTGATTCTCGAGCACAATAGCATCCTGCGGGACGTCGACCTGTCCAAGCACAAAAAGATTGTCACGGATACACTGCTGAAGGAACTTTGCGACACAATTTTGAGCCGAAACCCCACACGCACCACTCGAATCTCCCTTCGCGACTGCTTCTTGATATCGGACAAGGGCCTTGCTATGCTGGCAACCCATATGCCGGCAGTACAGGATCTGGATCTCCACAGCTGCTGGAATGTCACAGATGCTGGCTTTCGCTTATTAGGTGTGCATTGCTCACAACTTCGGTCGATCGACTTCTCGAACTGCAGAAAACTTGGAGACGAGACCATTTTTGGGCTTTATCCCAAAGAAGCAATGACAGTCGCCAATGTTCTCCCGAAGGAGGGACTCGTTGATGCTGTTCTTGGGCCTCAGGCTGTAGCACATCCCGAACTGAAGGACATGGTTGAACAGGACCCTTTATCTGCTGACACATCCATGGATGAGGCCCAGGTTCAATTGAAGCATCGACCATCGATCGAAACGGAATCTGCGCAGGAGACACAGACGACAATGGATATTGAGCCCCCCAACCACACTGCCGAATTACCATCGAAACAGCCCGCCACCACAGCTTCACAAGCAGCTGCACCTGGACCGAAGGGTTGCCCACTGCTCGCGCGCCTGAATCTATCCTACTGCAAGAACCTGACGGACAGGAGTTTCATTCATCTGTCGCTGTATGGCTCCAAGCAACTCGAGTACCTGAACCTTCAACGCTGCACCACCATTACATCTGAGGCGTTCATGTCCCTGGATCTGGAGAGCAAAGGGGCCGTTCATGAGGACATCATGACCAACGGCCATGGCAATGACGTCGAGATCCCAACTCATGAAGGATACAATCCTCTGGTGGAGCCCTGTTTCCCACAACTGCGTGAGCTGCACCTCTCGGACTGTACCTTCCTGACAGACGATGCCATTATAGCGCTTGCACCAAACATGCCACGCATCGAGGTCGTTTCGCTCTCATTCTGCTGTGCACTCACGGACGTGGCGGTCGAGGCGATGTGTGGAAGCTGTTCATTTTTGAAGAAGTTGGACCTGTCATTTTGCGGATCGGCTGTCTCGGATGCGAGTTTGTACCAGCTGGCTCGGTTCGATGCCCTTGAGCCCGGTAGACATTCTCTTCGTGAACTCGAAATTCGTGGATGTGTGCGAGTGACGGAGCGCGGAGTACGAGAGGTTTTGAATGGCTGTGCCAATATGACGAAATTGAACATTAGCAGTTGCTCCGGTATCGGCACAGGCGATTTGAGTGCACCCGTCCCAGAGCAGACTTTGGTTTCTGGCGATCAGGCTGGTCCTGGGGAGGATGTTTCAATGTCGCCTGCACTTCAATCAGCGCCCCAAGCAGAGGCGCAGGAGCAGTCGGATACGGCGGAGAACACGAACGTCATTGGTGGATCGACGAAATCTTGGGAATCGCTTCCCAACCCCACTCAGTCGGGCGAGCTGGCAAGAAAGATGGATGCACTTAAGAAGGGCAAGGAGTGGGCATTGGCGCAACAACGGCCTGGGTTGAAGATCATTGTGTAGTACTTTGTTTTCTGTTTTTATTCCCATTTTTTTCTATTTGTCTTTTTCTTTTTCATTTTCATTTTTTTTTTTCCCCCTTGCAATTGTACATATACGCTCCTCTCAAAAGCAATGTGCGTTGAATAAACAGAATTGTTCACCTCAGATCGATAGGGTGTAAAGCATCCTACAGTCCTTTTTGTGAAATAGCCGAACTTTCATAGTAAAAGTTGGGCTATTTCGACTGAATTGAAATATATACACGAGGCTATTCATTTTTTTGTGATGGCTGAAATACATTATTTCCCTGCAATCTTTACGCTCATGACTACATCAAAAATGCGTGTCATTCTCACTCTCACTTTTTTCCCATATGCCAAAAAACAAACGACATCCCACTCGTTCGCGAGGCCTTGCTCCATAACGGGGCCTCCACACAAACGGATGAAGCGCGTGCGCTGCAGTATCATGCGCTGTTGGCTGCAGCACGGGCTCGAACCAACAAATCCATCGCAAACCAACCTCAGCAACCCCAACATCCTCAACAACCTCCACAACCTACCTATTCAAAACTCCATAGGGGCGAAGGATACACTTTGAGGCATCGGATGGAGCTGGTTGAGATCTTTCGTTACCTCAAGGAAACTATCAACGTCGATAAACCCCAGAAGAGAGTTACAGCAAACAATTTTCATAGGTCTGTGGGGCTGCCAATCCCAGGAAAGTCGATCGCAAAATGGAACATGGATTTCGACAAAATCCAGTTTGATGTGGCGCATGGTCGAGGCGACAAATGTACGCTATCCAGCAATCCAGTCGACTTGGTACAAAACATCTTGGACAAGACTGTCTATGAGTGGTTGTTGGAGGCTCGAAAGAGCAACGGCATTGTCAGTGGCCGTCAACTCCAGGCTGCAGCCAACTCCATTTTTCACATTCTCATGGACGACATTTGTGAACCCGATGATATTCCTCTCGGTCGAACAGTCTCGTTTACGGCAGCGTGGCGCTCGAGAATGACGCAGGAGTATAGTGTCGCCTACTGCAGCCTCAAAGGAGAAGCGGGATCTGTCGACAAAGACGCGATTGCGGGAAGGATGGACGAAATCTGCAAGATATGCTCTGACTTCGAGCCCGACGACATCTACAACTGCGATGAGACTGGCATGTACCTTAGGGAGTTCTCCACTCACTCGTTCACTACGGAGGAGCTTACGAGCGGTGTCAAACAAGAGCGGGGAGCCGGGAATCGAGTGTCGATTCTCTTCTGTGTCAACGCCACTGGATCTTCGCTTGCCCGAGCAGCAACGATAGTGACTTTGAGACCGCTAGTCATAGGTAGGTGCTCGAACGTGCCGCATTATTATTCTAAGAGAAAAAAATAAATTAGAAACTAATTATCCCATCCCTTTGCTTATTATTTTAGGCGCGCATCTTGCTCGACGTATCCAGCCATGCCCTGAGCTCCCTATTACCTCAATAAGACATGGAAATGGATACATGACCATGGATCTTTTCAAAGCATGGCTTCACGCTCTAGATGACAGCCTTACCAATAGGAGACTTCTACTTATCGACTCATGTGGAGCACACGGCAACCCTAGACGCGGCAACTCTAGTGGCAACGATCCACTTGCAGGAGAGACATGGAGACATCTTCAGATCGAGCGCCTGCCACCCAATTCAACATCCGTTACCCAACCTTTGGACCAAGGCATAATCAGTGTATTCAAACGACAATACCTCGAGATGCTCAGCAACAAAGCAATCACAAAGGAGTACGCCATCGGAGAGAAGATTACTAACGGCGAGGCATGGTCACTTATTCCGTACGTGTGGTCGCATATCAAGGCCGCAACTGTGAGGCATTGTTTTTGCAAAGCGGGGGTCCTCTCAAAGGCGCAAAATGACAAGCTAGAGCAGGAAGCAATAGATGTGGAGGAGCAAACACCACTGTATCCGCCCGTGGTGGACACGGATACAAGTCAAATCCAGGGGCATTATGTACGATTGATTGCTTCAGTTATGGACGGGGACAGGATTCACTTCTCCCTCGATAAGGACCAAAAGGACACACAAGATATAGCAGAGGAGATTAGGCAGAAAGTGCGCAACAAGATCGCCAAGAGGTGCGGCCTGCGAGAGAGGAGTTCTTCCGTCGAGGCAGAGGCTGTCGAATCGTTCAAGTTCAGGCATGAATCGGATTTGGCGACGATGGTGGTTGAGTTGCTTGGAGATGAGAACGCGAGCTACCGAAAAACAGCACGGTACTTGATCCGTAAATCTTACCAGAAATAAACTCATCATGTGATCCCTTAAATCCTTGCAAAAAATGAATAGCCTCGTGTATATATTTCAATTCAGTCGAAATAGCCCAACTTTTACTATGAAAGTTCGGCTACTTCACAAAAAGGACTGTAGGTGTCCGCTTTAAATTCGCAGGTCCTTATCACTGGAACTGGGCTAATAGCCAGTCATAGAATTCTGCAATCAAACTCGGCCAAAATGAGACGGTTGCTTGAGGAGGAGAAAAGCAGCCTCGATCGAAACAAGAGCGCTGCTTAAGCGACAGGGAGGGGTAGCATCGACCGAATCGAGGGAGTTGTTGAAGGTGCGTAATGGTCCGAACGTGAGACGCAATAGACCGGACAAGAAAGGCGATTGATTGATCCTGCAGGGAGTCCATCTGGAGTGCCTCCAGGGAACTCTGGACAGAGATGTCAAATAGGACAATGATAGAAGGCGCAACCCTTTTTTTTTTTTTTTTTTAACGCGTTTTCCGCAACTCTACATATCGACGAGTCTAACCATGACACTCTCTGCTAAGGACAGATAGGTTCCTCGGTCGGTTCACGTGGTACCTGAAGTAGCTCCAGCACCCCCCAAGTGCCTCCTCTGAAGTACTCAAGGAGAACACTTTTCACAATGAATGACCATATTAAACTGCGGCTACCCGCCTGGTCCGTAGCCCTAAAACATCGTCGACGCTGTTATTTGGATGTCTGAGGATCATGAGGACAAAGTGCCTAGCCCTTGTTGCTCTTCACGTTAGTCTTGTTTCTGCTACATGGAATGGGGGTTGTAATGGGGACAGTATGCCGTCACATCTTACTTGAAGAGACCGCTAGAATGAGTGCTTGTACTTATCGTCAGCGGCTCAGGCGCGCTTTTGGCATGGAGGAGGAGGAGGCGTAGAGTTATGCAGGTGGTTTTGAAACAGAAGATAGTGCATAGGAATGGAGCATGCGTGTATAAGGTAAGGAAGTGTGGCTAATTGCAAAAGACTCGTTGGGCGCAGCACCAAGACCCCTCGGTACCATTATCATGATACAAGATGTGGGCGTTGTGTGTGTGACCCAAAGAACGATCAAGGCCGATCGATGCCTTCGTAATTTGATATGACCTATTTCGTGAAACTCAAGCACGTCTTCACGCTGATAAGGACAGAGCCAGGAGCGTTGACATGGGGTGTAAATGGAGACAGATGCGTCCGCATTTTATGAACAGATTGGCCTCGTCTTGGCACGCCCGTGGATGGAGGCATTGGCCATAACGATGCTAGGGGACGTTGTCGGTTTGAGTCAAGGCCACTGACATCCGACGCAACGCTTCCTTCTTTTCCGGTATCGGCCAGCATAGACAGGCTCAGCGCGTTGGCGTTGGGTAGCCTGCACACTTTTCACTCGTCTCCTTAGGAAGAGCTCGTCTGAAACGACGAGTGGGATGGGAATTTGGAGCATGAACCTGGTATGATGTAATGCTATGAACCCGATACTTGGCTGTCACTAGTTTTTAACATTGCACAAATGTCGCTCCCTCGCTTTCACCCCTATTCATCGTCTTCACCATGTCTGATAGTAGCGCCACCGACGACCACAGCGCCAGTTCCCCCGACGGGCACCCCTGCCATCGAGACCACCCTCACAAGGTGGACCAGACCCAGGACCCGCCTCCTCTAGCCGTTACCCTCAACCTAGCTCCACACCCAGAGGGTGGCTGGTTCCGCGAAACCTGGACCGCCTCACAAAAACTCCATCCAAAGGGGTACTCGGGTACGCGGGCAACAGCCAGCGCCATCTACTTTGTCCTCGCGCCCAACGAGAAGTCAAAATGGCACATTGTACGCTCCGACGAGCTCTGGCTCTGGCATCGCGGCGATCCTTTGGAGCTACTCCTCGGTGGCAGCAATGAGCAGCCTGACATCAACCCATCCATAATCCGTCTTGGTCCGTCACTGGAGGATGGCGAAGTACCACAGGCCATTGTACCGGGCGGGGTGTGGCAAGCTGCCCAAAGCGTCGGTGGCGAGACTCTCGTCAGCTGCGTTGTTACACCGGCCTTTGCCCAAGAAGACTTCCATGTCCTGGACCACTGATACCCCCCCTGGTTTAAAACACACTTGAATAAAGGCTGACATCACTGCATAATTATCTTTCGCGACCTTTGCTTTTGCGGAATATCGGAAATAAGTTTTTTTGACGCCCCAAGAGAAGTGGGAGCAAGGCTGATAACTTTGACTATTTGGGCCTAGCTTGTGGAGTTCGTGGACAAGAAACGCCAAATGAAACGTATTCAGATGTGGGGGATTACACTACATTACATCTCTAGGGGTGTGTGTAAAAAGCAATGGCCCATCTGACGTCGGCAACACCACTTTCTCTCCTTTTCGCTTTTTTTCTTTTTTTTTTCCGACGATATCCTCTCTTGCCCGCAAGCGTCTGCAATCTTCGCACCAAAGTCTCGTCCTCTCTCTCTCACTCTTGTCCTCTCTTTCTTTTCTGTTGCCATGGGTCCATCAGGCGCATCTTCTCAGTCGTCGACGGCTATCGATGAACGCGACCGCGACACGCCTGACGACTGGATCACCCGCGATCACCGCTTGATACGTCTTACAGGCCGCCACCCCTTCAATGCAGAGCCTACGACTCATGAGCTCATGGAACATGGATTCTTCACCCCAACATCGCTACACTACGTACGCAACCATGGCGCAGTGCCCAAGCTGGACTGGAAAACACACAAACTGGAGATATCAGGGTAAGGAACCCTCCATAGATACGCCCCGCCATACAGGGTCCAACCGATGTCAAGTCTAACGCCTTCTTTTGTCTCTTGCACTGCACTGTAGTCTTGTCGAAACGCCCATGACTTTATCCATGGACGAGATTGCTGCAATGCCTTCTATTGAGCTACCTGTTACAATTGCATGCTCAGGAAATCGCCGAAAGGAACAAAACATGATTTCCAAGGGCAAGGGCTTTCACTGGGGCTCTGGGGCCATATCAACCAGCACTTGGCGTGGCGTACGACTGGCAGATGTGCTGCACAAATGCGGAATTAAATCTTCATCTGATGGCAAACAGGCACGATATGTCTGTTTCGAAGGCGCCGACCACCTCTCTTCTGATTATTATGGCACAAGCATCCCCATCGAACGTGCGACGAACGAATATTTTGACGTTCTCTTGGCCTACGAGATGAACGGAGAGCGACTTCCCCCCGATCATGGATATCCCCTTCGATCGGTAAGTGATTATAGCCGCATAGTCCTTGAAAATGCCCCCCCCCCCCCCCCCCCCATTTGAGCTGTAACTGAATCTTCCTGCCCCGTTTATATGTTTAGATCATACCGGGATGTATTGGCGGTCGAACTGTCAAGTGGCTGCGTCGCATTATTGTTTCCGAGAATGAGGTAACGTTGACTTGAACCCATGGAGCAGCCCATTTTTTTTTTTTTTTTTCTGGGGGAGAGGAGCTATTCACTAGTCTTGGTTAACTTGGCTAATTGGCCCCGTTTTTTTATGTGGTCGCATAGTCCGATAACTATTACCATTCCCACGACAATCATGTCCTACCGCCCAATATCAACGATTTCGTAGCCGCAGAAGCACTGAATGCCTGGAACAACCCAGACGACATTATTTACGATTATAATATCCAGAGTGTCATTACCCATCCTGCTCATGATGAGTGCCTGGATCTCGATACGGACGCCACATACGCGGTTCGCGGTTACGCCTATTCGGGTTCCGGTCTCAAGGTCAAACGTGTCCAGGTATCGTTGGATGGTGGCAAATCCTGGCGCATGGCTCAGCTGGACCATCCGGAAGAGAAGATGAAGACAGTGGGTGGGAACCGTTACTGGTGCTGGTGTCTATGGACTCTTGATGTTCCGATCGGCGACTTTATCGACTGTAAGGAGCTCACATGTCGTGCCTGGGATATCAATAACAATACTCAACCGCAAGCTACGACATGGAACCTTACAGGAATGATGCACAATGCCTGGTACATCATCAAGACGCACATTGAACGGACGCCTGTGCAGAGTCAAGGTGGAGGCAACAACGACGCATCGTCATCATCGCATGATGAGGTCTTGATGCGATTTCAGCACCCCACTGTCATCAGCGATAAAGATGATAAAAACGCCGAGGGCTGGATGAAGCCTCCTCGGCGCGATCCCAGTGAAGTGACGACGCTCACCAATAAGGTTTTGGTGGATCCGTGTATCGCCCGACTGACCAGGCAAGAGGTAGCCAAGCACACGGGGCCGAGCGATGCTTGGGTGATTGTGCATAACAAAGTATACGACTGTTCAGCCTTTCTCGATGAACACCCTGGAGGTGCAGCCAGCATCTTGAGCGCAACCGGTACCGATGCCACAAAGGTCTTCAAAGAGATCCATTCCGTCTTCACGCACGAACTCTTTGGGAATTATCTTTTAGGCGAGCTTGATGAACACAAATCGTCCCAGTCATCGGACGACCCCAGTCCTCATATGTTTCTAAAGCCTGACTGGCAACCCATCCGTCTCGTTGAGAAGAAGAGTATTTCGCACGACACACGCCTCTTTCGGTTTGCGCTGTCGAACGAGCAGATCGAACTTGGTCTGCCGGTCGGGAAGCATGTCGTTTTGCGTGGCATCGCCAAGGACGATCGACACTTTGTTCGTGCGTATACACCCGTCAGTGATAACCATCTCCAGGGCTACGTAGAATTCGTTGTCAAGATCTACGAGCCGAACGAGAAGTTCCCAGAGGGCGGCCACCTATCACAATTGCTCGATTCTCTCGAGATCGGGAAGACAGTGGATGTTCGGGGCCCATTGGGCTCGTTTTCGTACGTCGGTCGTGGACGCTGGCAATATGGTTATCTATTTGGACAAGCCCATCGGATCGTCATGATGGCGGGCGGAACGGGTATCACGCCTATTTACCAAGTGTTGCGAGCGATTGCTCAGGATCCCGCGGATCCGACTGATGTGCGGCTGATTTACGCCAATCGAACCGAGAACGACATTCTTTTGCGGGAAGAGCTCACTGAGCTGGAAAAGGGAAGCAATGGTCGTATTAAAATATGGTAAGTCGTCTTCCCTTCCAGATGAAAAAGAAAAAGAAAAAAAAAAAGGCACAGCTGCGTAACCGACTTTTTTTTTTTTTTTTTTATTCTTTATGAATTGACACCTCGTTTACCTAAACTGTTCTCGATAGCCTGACGCTTAGCGAACCTTCCAAAGACTGGAAGGGGTGTAAGGGCCATATAGACGAGCGGATGATCCGAGAATATGCGACCTTTGATAACCATGATCATCTGGATCATGCAGCGGATGCGATCGGCGTGCTCTGCGGACCCCCAGGGTTGATTGAAAAGGCTTGTCTGCCCAACATCATCAAAGTCTATGGTCCAGAAATGATGCGCGTCCGTACTTTCCACTTTTGATGGGATAGCCCCCTCAACTCCCCTTACGAGTGAAGGGTTCTATCTTTTTTTTTTTTACTGAATAAAAAAGTGTTGCTACCCCTCTTTTTTTTTTCTCAACATACAGAAACCCGTTTTGAAAAGAAAATTCCTTTGACATGGTCAGATCGATCGAGGAGCGAGACGAACCGCTTTTTCTCGAGCTTGTGTATCGTTGAATAGGTCCAGACAAAAAAAAAAAAAAAAGAGGGGCCATTGCAGCCCCTGAATATCTTAGGCTCCTTCGATGCATGCAAGCACAAGATACATCTTGCGGTTTGCCACGTTCATTATAAATAAAGGGTATGCATGACTTTCAGGACAGGACTTGTAGAACTGCCCGTGGCACACGCCACGGGTCCGAGAAAAAAAAAAAAAAAGCTTTATTGGACGTTCAGCAGATTTCTACAGACGGACGATATTTCGGGTTTAAACGCCCTCCTTTCTATCTTTGGCACCATTTTCATTTTCGACCAGAACCTTGAGGTTGTCTCGGTGTTTGGCAACGCGAGAAGCCGACATACACGATTTCTCACAAATATTCGATATCCGCCATTCGATTCGCATTCGATTCGATTTTTCGAATACGAATAGTGCAGTCATTCGATTCGCCCCGTGTCGAATATAAGACTTATTCGATTCGCAATTATTCGATTCGCAATTATTCCTTCAATAACAAACGTATATGCCTGAATATGAATAATCAAATAAGGTCGAATCGAATCGAATATTTGCGAATCGAATAATTACGAATCGAATAATTACGAATCGAATAAGTCTTTTATTCGACATGGGGCGAATCGAATATATTCGAATCGAATACGAATGAGGCTCATATTCGATTCGATTCGCCAGTTGAGAAACCGTGATAATGAAGATACTGCTGCATATTCAGCCGAGTCCAGTGTACTTTATTACTGTAGAGTTGATTAATAAATATCGTGTAGATGCGTGTTTGGAGACACATCTTGTCAGAGATTTGTATCTCTGTGATTGGACGGTGGTCACATGCACAAGACCAGAGGGCTTCAGGCTCTTCTAGAAAAGCCTAGGAGTCCCGTTAGCCTAGGTGGATACCCACCTACAGCCAGATCCATCCAGAACATTCTCTTTATTAGTAAGACCCAGCTTAGTAATACTTAGCTGTAGACAACTATAAAAGGACGCGCCTAGTCTAGCTAGTTAGTGAGTCTTGTCTAGTCTTGTCTAGTCTTGTCTAGTCTTGTCTAGTGAGATATTTTTGGGATTCAGAATAAGTGAGAAAGAGATGTGGCTCCACACACCACACCGATTAGGTATTTATTTTTATTAAATATAATAGTGAGCTGAAGATACACTTGTTAAACTAAATATACAGTGAACTCTAGTGAAATATGCGACATCTAGTCCTAGTCCCTGTCATAAAGTTCCTTGTCTCCAGTATCCTCTTGTCCCAAGACTCACCTTGTCAGCTCTTCCACACAAAACTCTTACACATCTCTTTCTCACTGACTTCAAGATACTATTTATACTGCTAGATCATGTGCTTAACAGTCGCGGAATGTGGCATCGACTGCTTCAAAGATATGTCGGTGGTGCATCGGTGCCTCATCCCAAAAGATGGCTTCTGCCTCTCGGATCCTCCTTGCCAGTCCTGACTCCACAGGAATATTGCACGTTGAGTTTTCCATGATCTGGAGAGGGGGGATTTTGAAAGTCGAGTGAGCTGTGTGAGCGACCTCCTGTCAAGACCTGAGCAGCAATTCCAGATGAGGCAACTACGATCACGTCCTTCTCGAGTCTTCCTCGGATGTGGGCAATCAAAGTGTTGTACAAAAAAGACTTGCCCGTTCCTCCTGGTCTATCAATAAAGAACACCTTTGCCGCACCTTCGTCCTTGTTATCCAGCGCTGCTGTGATTGCAGCGTACAGTGCTTTTTTGATCGTCGTTGCAGAGATCCAAGTACACGAGCTGCCTTAGCTGCAAGTGCCTCAGTGTCGAGCTCTGCATGCTGTCCGAGTTCGTCGTTGTTGGGTTGACGATTGATGAGGTTACGAAAGTCTTGAGGCATCTCTTCATAGACCGCCAGACTGGTCCCCAACTCCTTTCAAAATCTCGTTGACGTGGAACAGTGCAGTGCTCCTGGCATCCTCTTCGGCATTCGGGCGATCTCCATCGACATACAGGAAGTCCTGAGATAGCTCATCAGCGGACGCTTACCATAATTCGAGGGGATTAGATGGGTTGTATAGATGTAGAATCATGGCGAAAAGATGGCGCAAGGCCGCAGGACTTTGGTGACCTGCAGCCTCGGTGCTGAGATATTTTGGAGAAATTGAATGAGTGAGAAAGAGATGTGGCTCCATTATTTGTATAAAGATATAATAGTGAGCTGGAGGTACACTTATTAAACTAAATATACAGTGAACTGGGTTCGTGCGGAGATATTCAAAGCTGGTCGCTCCTCTGACATGCAGGAGCAAAAGGCGCAAACAGTAACGATCACGATCCACGCTGCTCGCAAAGTTTGGGACCGCGTACTGCAGTGCAGTCGGCCGATGGTGTCGGAGGGGTCCTCGCCGTCGGGCTCTCCAGCGGTGCGTACGCTGGCTCCATGTGTAGTGCTTGGGGGATCTCGGAATACAGGTACTGTCGGTCCTCACTATTCAGCCTGAACCGCCCCCATGAGGTTGGTGGCAAAGTCCTTTTCCGCCAGTATCACCGCTGGGGTCCCCTGGTCACTAAAAATGACATTGTGTCCGTCCTCGACATGAACCTGCAATCGCACGATGTTTGGTGCGTGACCGTGGAGTGGGAAGGAGAATATCCTCCAGAGGGGCCTCACAGGCAGATACGTATCTGGAATCGCGGAATTCATTGGTTTCGTTCACATCTTGTGGAGCATCGCCATTATCAAGAGCAACAGTCATGTTGGCTCTCTCAGGGCCTTTGGTCACATATTTATAGAGATACTTGACGGCAGACATGGACGTGAAGATCTCCACATTGATGTGGACGTCGTATTTTGGTGCAAAGCCATTTGTTATATGGCACTACCCATCGATTGTCGACTGTGCGCCGAGGCTGTTCATACGTTGGACCCTGTCGTCGACGATAATGAGGATAGCCTTTCTATTCTTGGACGTTTCGTTCGAGAACGCGCGGGGATAGCCCTTGTTACACGTCGAAGGTCGCTCCTCGAGAGGGTTCCTCGTTATGGACAGGATGGAACAGATGGTTATGGATAAGGACCCTTTCAATAAAATGTTTCTTTTTTGAGATGCAGTGGACGCAGCTCCTAGCGGGGGAAGATAACCTTGCACAAAAAATCCAACGCACTCCAAGGCGAGGAAGGATACCAAGATCCGTACAGCATGTTCTGATTTTTTTTTTTTTTTTAATCATTATTATTACATCGCCAAACGACTTTTTTTTTTTTTTCTTAACGCCCTCAAGAGGATGAGTAGGTGTCCAGCAGCGACATCATCTCCTCAGGGATCAACGGCACAAACACGCGCTCGACTCCATTTTCACGCTCCGACATGTTCTCCGGAATCACAAACGGCAACCACGCCTTACTGTTCCTTGCCTCCGACAGCAACGCCGCCTCCTCCTCCTGGTCGCGCTGACGCTGCTTCGCCCTCGCCTTTTCTGACTCGGTCAACAAGACAGGTGGTGCTGGTGGCGGCGGAGGTGATGTCGGTCCCGATACGCTCGTCCTCGATTTCGATCCAGAACCGTCCTCGCCCGAGGGTCTACTCATGGACTTTTTGCTGGCCGTCTCTGGATCGACCAAAGACATCATCGTCAATGGCCGCTCCCGTTTCCGGTCCATCATCTGCCGCCTGACCATCTTCTCTGTGTCCGAGGCCACCTGAAGCACATACTGTGTGATCTCCTCGTTCAACCTGGGTTCATTCACTTCGAATCGGTATGCGCTCACCACACGCTTGACCTGTATTGGGTTCAAGAGCTCCAGCTTCTTGAGAGTCTCGATCCATGTAGCAAAGTCCTCCTGCAGCGACAGGACCTGCAGCAGCTGCAGCAACTGGATCAATGGCTCAAACTGGTCCATCAGCTTGGCTGGCAAGTGGTTCATGCGGATCCAGTCCTCGAGGATCGAGAGATTCAGTCGGGTCTGAAGAGCCTTGGACCGGGACAGCATCTTCTTGTTGGCCATCATACGGTTGAAGACCTCGTTCGAGACATAATGCAGAAGCTGAGCAATCACGTAATGGATGATATCTGGGTGGATATCATAGGTCTGCATCACAAACAGCAGAGACGACAGCATCGTGGTGATCGTCCTTGGCGAGATGCGACGCTGGCGTGGGGATGGTGGCCGCTTGGTAAGAGGGAGCATGGATTGTGAAGAGGTCCTGGTCAATGGTCGGGGCTTTGCTGAGGGCGAAGTCGAGTTGGGGTTCGAGGTCGAATCCCCAAACGTGGCGGCGGATCCTGGGTTGGGCGAGAGCGATGAGCTCGATCTCTTGCTGACAGTGTTGTTGTTGCTGTTGCCGTTGCCCTTTGTCGATGCTTTGCTCATGCTACCCCTCCAGAGGAACGCCCAGTCTGACTGGAACTTGACCTCGTCCATGCCCACGATCGTGTCATGGTCCAGCATGGCTGGCTCCAGGATCCGCTCAATACGTCTCTCGGCATCCAAGACAATCATCTGGATCATGTCCAGCAACATCGCCTCGATCTTCAGCTGATGGAGTGCAGACGCCTGGCTGAGTCCAGGATCCTTGCGCAAGAAGTGAAGCAGGACACTGGTGTTGGAGATCCAGTAAGCTGTCAATGTCATGTCCTCAGGTTTGTTCTATTTTGGAATTTAGGCTAACGCTGTTAGCTTCGCGTGATCGGCGAGTTCCCAAAACAAAATAGAAAGTAATCTAGATTGCTCCTTTGTGTGTGGATGTGTGTACCTTCGTGACAGTATGAATGCTTGCTGAAGTAGCCTCGAGCAGCTCATCCAGCAATTCCTGTGAGCTGAAGTAGTGAGCGAATCTTGCAGCGAGGAAGAGTACATATGCGGGGATGGGTCTATGGGCACGCGAGCGTCCAGGCTCCATGGCCGTGACAGTGGTCTCGATGATATGTTTGATATCCTTGCTCGAGAAGACGAACATCTGATCGGGCAGACAGCGCTCCCAGTCGAACTCTCCTTCGTCGTCCAGTTCCGGCTGTTGTCATTGCCACATGGGATATAAGAACGGAAGGAATGGTTAGCACTCATCCGTGGGCGTAAATAAAAAATAAAATAAAAAAAAATAAAAAAAGGAGTGCATGCTGAACATGTGTGCATTTCGAGGATACGGCAGACAATGGACAATTGCCCTGCAATGCCGCGCTCCCCTCCCTGGCTCTTCTGCTCTTAAACAGCCTCTACTCCACCTCCCCTTTCCGCACTCTCGTTTCTTTTCAAAAATAGAGAACAGCGCCCACGCTTCTTTTGATTCGGATCTTGACTGTTGTTGTCCTGCCACAGAAATGAGTCGAACCTCATCCAGGGGTTCCTCAAAAAAGTATTGCCGAGCCAGTCAATAAAATAAACAATACAATAAAATAAAGTAAAGCAAAATAAAATATAATAACATAACAGGAACACATGCATCCATGCATCACAGAAAAAAAAAAAAAGAGGGGGCTGCGGGCATAGAACAACTGACACCGCCCAATGTCGCACAGCACTTGTGCGTGAAGAAAGAAAGACAACAAAAAAGAAACAGTTTCCCAACGATAAAGATTTGCAGCACCAATACGCACCTGATCAGCCAAAGATAGATCCGCCATGTCGACTTCAAACGCATTGGCACTCTCCATCGCCATGCGGTATCGCCGCTCGTTCTCCGCCATGATCTCCTCAAACCCTTCAATGCCGCTCTGGTAAAAAAGGTCGTCGCCCAGGGACGAGTTGTTGGTGCGGAAGAGGGATCCATTGCTCGAAACACTGTCTCGTCTGCCAGGTTCCTGGAAAATTTGTACAATTTTCGTATTGTCGTTGGGGTCATGGCGCAAAAAGTCGACGATGGTGTGACCCTTGGCGGTTTGTGCAGATGTAGATGCGCCCATTTCCAGAAGGAGCCGAACAATGTTCTCGTGCTTATTGTTCGTGGCCCAAACCAGCGCTGTCCACCCAAACTTGTCTCGGGCATCGACCTGGGCGCCGGCTTCAAGTAGCATGAATGCAATCTCGGTGTGGCCAAAGCAGGCAGCATAGATGAGTGGAGTGGTGCCGTCTTCGTCCTGTGCTTCGAGGTCGATCCAGTCGCGAAAGTTGTCGAGCATGTCTGCGACCCTGTTCATGTCTCCGTTTGACGAGGCTCGCGAAAAAAGCTTGGACATCTTTATCTTTTTCTCCTTGTCTGGGATTGACCGTTCTATGATCCCACGGGGATCGTCCAGTTGTTCTCTGTCAAAGTCGAAAGCGAGGGGGTTGGATGCAGTCGTAATCTGAATTGCCTGACCCTTAGTCAACATTTCGAACTCATGATCGAGACGTGCAAGCGTATCGGTACCAATTCCTGCACCTGTGCCTGCGGCAAGTGATGATAGGGATGCAGTGGGCGCTGTGCTGCTGCTGGGGGTGGTCAATGCCAAGCCAGTGACGCTATCATGCATCGGGCCATCATCCTCGTCACTGTCGGATCTTTTGAAGCGCAGTGTGCTGGCGAGGTCCTCCTGGTCGTATGGATTTGATCCCCAAGGGTCGAGTTGCTCTCCTTGTGAAATACGCAATAGTGGGCTGGATGTTGCTGTGTCTGTTTTTGCAACTGTTACTGCTGGTATTGGTGTTGCTGTTGTTGCTGTAGTTGGCGACTTGTAGTTTGAGTGTGGTTCGGTTGCCTCTGTGACAACAGAGTAAAGCGAGTCGGACCCGGAATTGCTACGACGGTGGTGTTCCCTCAGACGACGATCGTCCTCGTCGTCGTCAAACTCGGTCGTGGCCACAGAGTCTGCAGAGACGTGGGAGAGGTGTTTGTTCTTGACGAGAGAGTCGTCGTGGCTGTGTGGGTCGTTGTCGTGGAGGGTCTCTGCAGAGGAGACGACGGTCTCTGTGTCGTCCGAATGCATGTTGTGGTGGTCCTCGTGGTGGGCAAGCATGCCTTTGTCTGTATGGGAGTTGTTGCTGTTGCTATTCAGGACGGTGTCATAAACCAATTCCATCAACGGGCCAGTCCCCTGTTGCGGTGCGTCAAGCAAGTGTGGAAGTGTGTAGGCGGGAGGGAAGGAAGGAGGCGAGCAAGAGTAGGAGTGAGAGAGGAAGCGTCAGTTGGGGACTGAAGGAAAAGTAAAGGAGGGAAGTGAGAGTGAAAGTGGAAGTGGAAGTGGAAGTGGGAGCAAAGCAAGAGGAAGCGGAGGAAGCGAAGCAAAGGAGGGAAAAGTGCCCGATCCAAGTAAAGGAACGTGCCCTACGGCGAGGGTGTGAGAGTCAGAGGGATGCGTGTTTGTGTGTGTGTGTGTGTGTGCGTGCGTGTGTGTGTATGTATGTGTGTGTGGATGGGTCTGTGTGCTGTGTAAAGAGTGCCTATGCTGAGTGTGTATGTGTGTATGCGTGTTTGTGGAAGTGGAAGTGAAAGTGGAGTGAACTAAAGTGGATGTGATGGGGAAACGTGGGATGAGAGGTGATGAAGAGCGGGATGAAGAAGAGAAGGAGGTGGGGGGAAGAGGGAGGGGGGAGCCAGATGGGCGGAAGGGGGAGTATGGGGCGTAATAATAATAACAATAAGGTGTGGTGTGTGTAGTGTGTTGCGTGCGATAAGACTGAGGAAAGAATGCTTATGAACCAAGAAAGTTTGATTCACAATAATTATCGATCCAGTCCTCTGACTCTGACTCTCGCAGTAGCACCGTGTAAGAAACCAAAGAAAGTGCTCACCGCCTTCGGGCATTGTAATTTCAATTTGTTTTCTCGCTGGACATCCACACCTGCTCTTCAACAGAAGATGTTGCAGACGGGTCGTGTCAATGTAGGTACGTGTACGTGTCTGTCTGGCATGCAGCGGTGAGATATTTATACATCTCGTGAAATCATGATGATGGGGCATGGCCAAGGGTCACCACGGGCTACATACTCAGATAGCCCCCCCCCCGTGTAAAAGCGATGTATATTTGAATTATGAATCTGTAGACCAAAAGAGTCATCTCCATTGCTGTAATAAAAATATCATTCGTTTCTCCTGCTCATCTCATTCCTGTACAAGAGTAGACTGGGTAGGGCTCTCTCCACAAAACACAAGGGCAAGAGGGCAAGACAAAGACCACGACAACGACAACGACAAGGACAAGGACAAAGACAAAGACAAGGCATGACAATTCAAAGGAGGAACAGGGTCAGTCTGGGTACTTAGACCATGCGCCGAAGCAAACCCTTGCAAGCAATTAAATACGCAGCAATGCCATTAATATGTCGTGCCGTTTGTTCTTGTTTTCTCCAAAGTCTCATCTTAGCCTGCGCCTACATCTAAATACCTTGTAACGTGGTCCCTTACACAGACGGAGAAGACCATAGCAGATGGACAAAAAAAAAAAAAAAAAAAAACGGAGCACTATCTCCCATCTGTGGACAAAAAAGCAGATATAATATATGGATAGCTCAAGTTAGGCATAGTCTAGGAGAAGAACATCAGGAGCGCATGCTGCGAGAGCGTGAAGGAGAAAACGCTCTCTCTTCTCATCCTTGCAGGTTTGCATACTTGCATGCTTGCATGCTTGTTTGGTTCCTTGTGTCGCTTCATGGTGTACACCTCTGGTGGACAAGCTTGCTGTAGTCTAACGGTTGGGGTAGATAAATACACTAGTGGAAGGATTATAGAGTCGAAGCAAGCATCGAAGTGAAGAACGAATAATGAGATTGCACAGGAGGCTAATTGCATGGAGTAGAATGGGAGTAGGATCGGTCCAAGTGCGAAACCAGGGCCGTGCGTGGCAAAGTTCGTTCAGGAACTCGGAGCATAAACGACAATCTGACTATCGGGGGTGCAGGGGTCAACAATGTCTCGGGGCAATATGATAATCTCCTAGTGTCGACTGCAGCGATTACATACACGCACCCACTGTCTATCGAAGGCATGGGTATAAAACGATGTCCATGTGTCGATGTGTATCCGGTATGTATATCCGATGGAATAGTCCTGCACAACGCACACCATCCATGTCATCACCCGTTCCCGCTGTGCACATGTGTGAATTGCATCCCCCTACTGGCAGATCAGCACGTGATGTTACTTAGTGCCTGAGAAAAAAAAAAAAAAAAGAGTCCCCACCCGACCGGCTCCCCGCCCGGTTCTCCACTGCCGTTCCCCCCGCGCGGTCCCCGCGGTCGGGGCGGGTTGGCTGACGGGCTTGAAGTCTGGCCAAAGTGTATCGTGTGCCCTCCACGGAGGGACGGGGACAGGAGGAGGAGGAGCTGTACCAGCCAACCAGACATAGTTTTGTCCCCTGCCTGCTGAAGTGAACAAACACAGGCTGAGATTCTACTTCTTGGTCATCACCTTACCCACCGCTCCTCCTCAACAAATCCCACTCTCATCACCCATCGCCCATCCCCCTCTCTCTCCCTTCCCCTCCCCCTCCCCTCCCCGCCGTCCACACCAACAAACATGTCAAGAGAACTGTCGGCGCTTACAACCATAATCGACTCCCTGGGCCCTCCCCGAAAGATCAAATCTCGGGGCCCCAAGTACCGCCGTGCCTCCGTCGCGATCATCATCCGTGTCCGCCCAGACCACAACCGATACCCCCAATACAACGCCTCCCACCACCCCCCTACCATCCAGCCCTCCAAACAGCATCAGCAACATAGCCAACAGCAACAGCTTCGCCCGATCCAGGCCATCGAGAACCCTGAATCGCTTGACGAGTTCTTTGACCAGGACTGGGTCCGTACAGGAGTCCCCGAGGTCCTCTTTATCGAACGAGCGACCCGCAAGACAGATCGGTGGAGTGGCCATGTGGCCCTGCCGGGAGGCAAGCGTGAGGAGGCGGACGAGGATGACCAAGAGACCGCCGCTAGGGAGACACTCGAGGAGATTGGTCTCGATCTGTCGGATCTGACTCAGTTCCGGTGCTTGGGCGCATTGGACGATCGGGAGCTTTGGACATCCTTCGGAAGGGTCTTCTTGATGGTTCTTTCGCCCTTCGGTACGTTTTGTTGGTGGTTTTTCAATCAATTGATCCCTCGACTCTCTTTTTCCTCTGCGACCTGTATCCGGCACGGATGTCTGCGTGTGTATGTCTGTCTGTCTGTCTGTCTATCCACCAGCCGAAGATGGAGCTTTTTTTTTTTTTTTTTTTTTCATGTTCTGCCTTGGCTGCAGGGAGGGGATGAATTATTTGCCAACATAAGGTTCTCTGCGTTCCGGGGTCTTGCACATGAAATCCTCTGACTAAAGCCCTTCCTTCAACTCCAGTCTACATCCAGCTGTCGCCCTCAACGCCCCCATTGAAGCCCCAGCCGGATGAAGTCGCCTCTGTGCACTGGCAGCCGCTCTCGCTCTTCCTCGACCGTCTCGAGAAGCCCCAATGGACCCCCATGACCATCAACCTCTCCAGCAAGCTCACCCCGCGTCTCTCCCGCACCTTCCTCCGTGGTCTCTTCGGAACCATGTCCCTGCACTCCATCGAGATGCCCTATAAACCCGAGTTTGTTCTCCGGACACATCAGGATACCAACAGAGCGACGGATATTCCCAAACACGGGTCAGGATCAGGGTCAGGACCGTCCTCACCAACAGCGACAAGCAAAACCATCATTGATTTCGAACCAGAGTGGGATCCAGATCATCGCCCACTCAAGCTATGGGGATTGACATTGCAGATGATGGCGGATCTGTTGGAATTGAAGGACGGGCCGATTCAGGTCGATATCCGGCAAAAGGTCTGGGATTCGAGGAGGATGAGAAAGCGCTTGGATGCCGGATTCCTGCCGGGGTTCTCACAGGCGGATATGCATTTCTGGGTCCGGGCCTTGTTGAAGTTTCATTCGTGGCAAGGAACTGAAAAGTAAGATGAGATCCCTTTTTTTTTTTTTTTTTTTTTTTGTAGTAATTGATGCTTGGATCTTTCACATGCATGACTATCAAATAGCTTACAATGCTTTTTTTTTTTCTTTTTCTTTTGTATAGGAAAAACACACAGGCGAACAGGGTGGGTTCATGGGAAAGCTACTACCGTCTGGTCAAACAGGCCTTCTTGTTCGTGATCCTCGGTCGTGTTGCTGCGTTCGCATTCCTGGTCAAGTTCTTGAAGGCGCCCGTGACCAGGATGTTGCAGGGTGCCTCTGCAGCAGCAAGATCATGATGTAACGATAGACCAGACCACTCACTCCTGCCCATAATAAATTCACCCAGCAGGATCACAAAAAAAATTACAAGTAGACTGTGAGGGGGGACATTTTGCAGCATAATAAACTGAACGATCCTTTTTGGTGTTTGGGCGAAAACCACATCAGAGCAAATTTTTTTTCTTTTTGAACAATTGCAAGTTATTATTTTATTATTGCAGTTGAAGAAGGGGGAGCATCCTACACGACCCAATGAGAGAATCCCCCTGAAGAATGTTGCATTGGAGTAAACCTCAGGAGCAGCGCTGTCAAAGTCGTGGATATGGACCGCCAGCTGGCCGTAGCCGATGCCCAGGATGTCGACGATCCCATTAATGCTTCTGTTGCGTCTGTGGAGCTCAACGTGCTGTTCTCTTCCGGTGCCAACCTTGCAATCGATCCGCGCCGCAGGTTGTTCCTGTTCCTGTTCCTGTTCCTGGACAGAGACACGCTGACGGTTTTGGAAGGTCCGAAGGAGGCTGTGGTGTTTAGACTCTGGGCATGGGCAAGGGCGCGGGATAGTTCTTGGGACGATGACGGTGGCAATAATGCACAGGTGTACACGGGCGAGGGCGTAGGCGTCGTAGGCTGAGCCGAACAGGAAAATCGATCGGACTCGATCCTTTTTTTCTCCTTGGGAAGACAGTCGTCGCTGTGGTCAAGGTTTCCAAACTCCGAGCGAGGCTCAACCTCTGCCTCCCATGGACAATGACGCGCTGGTGCTACCTCCCTTGCCACCATTGTCAACATCGTTGGCACGAGCGAGGGCTCAGGTTCGGGCTCGTCTTGCTGCTGCTGCTGCTGCTGCGGTTGCTGGTGTTGCTCAGGATGATCGATGGCCGCGGGATGCTGGAATTCGTACTTGGCCGCAGTTTGTGTCTCCGCCTCGGCCTGCCTAATACCACATGTCTCATCCTCGGGCTGTGACAGGTCCTCGTCATCGATAGGCTCGTGGTCGTGAACCTGAACCTGGACCTGAGCCTGAACCTGTGCCTGAGAAGTCGAACCTTCTATCGACTCCCGGATCGCGTGCCTGAACCTCTCCGAGGTGAAGCTGAAGTTAAATCGAGCTCCACTGCTACTGCTGTTACTACTGCTCGTTCCTTCTTCCGCGTGCTCACGCTCACTGCTCTCATTGCTCGCAGACGACATGGGGGTCTCGACCGCAGCAGCTGCACTCGCACTGCTCTTGATCCGGAAGCCTGGTGATCGACAGCTAGGGTCGAGAATCTCCTGTGGGATCAAGAAACTTGCCGGTGTGGTCGCGCATCTCCTCATGATCGGCTTCCTCCTGGGCTCCTCCTCCTCCCTCTCAACAGCCGTCTCGCTCATCCAATACTGCTGTGGTGGTACAACGACCTGATCCAACCATCTTCTCACCCTCGCCTCCGCGACTGAATGCCTCAGCGAAGCACCTCCTTGCTCATGCCACCTCCGTCCATCGACCCTATAGGCCTCCATGGTCTCCTCATCCTGACAGTACACCTGTTCTGCATACCACTCTCCACAGATATAACATGGTGCCATCCCCGAATGGTCCTCGACCCCCTCAGGCGAGCAGAAGCATCCCTGGACGAGGTCACATCCACAGGGTTCGGATTGGAGTGATTGGAGGATATCGATTAAGAAGGACATGGCTTGTGTTCGAGTCGAGAATTGGAGGATACTGCTGCTTGTGTCCAAGGAAGGGCTGTAGAGATGACGGGCGATCAGATGGTGTTGTCGCTGTTGTTGATTAAAGGTAGAGCAGGAAGAGAATGAAGATGACGAGGAAGAGGAGGATATTGAAGACCATGAGGATGAGGTGTATGAGGGAGGGTAGCTGGATGTGGCAGGTGGAGAGGGGTATGTTTCTGAAGTTGCTGGCGATGAGGATGAGTAGGATGTGAGGATGTGGGGGAGGCTGTCGAGCGCGTAGGCCAGATCCTGACGGTTGCGCCAGGTTGGCAAGTGTGGGAAGTATGGGTTCCTTGACATCTTCTGGAAATATTATTATATTAGGGATATTAGGGTGGTTGTATTAAGGAATGTAATGGATGTATGTATGTAAGAAAAGAGGAGTAACTGAAGACGCGACTAGTGATATTTAAGTATGTTCTACAATTACAGGGTATCCAGAGCGAACTGAAGGAATGAGGGGGGAGGGGCAAAAAAGAGAAAGAACACTTTTCTAGCGGTTGGAACGAGATCGAAGGAAAAGAAAAGAAGAAAAAAAAAAAGAAAGAAGTAGGACGGAGTGGAATGTTTAAATACAGGATCAAAGGCGGATGGATGGATTGCAGTTCTTTATACATGAGGTGCGCATACCTCAGGGTGTCGACATGTTGGACTACGGCAGTCTGTTTGCATGTCATGTCATGCCATGCATGGGCTGGACAGGGGGCAGGGCAGGAGTTTTTTTCTTGCAGGGATAAACAAACTTTATTCGAACAAAAGTTCAGGTGGAGCAATTGGGCTCGGCAGGACCAATGGCGGACGTCTATGCATTTTCTGATGGCTGAGTGTTTTCTCCTTTAACAAGGCAGCGGTATGGTTATACAAAGTCCACCAGGAAAAGTGGCGAACCCTTTTCTTATGGGACCTCCTTAGTCTCCGTTCCTTTTACATGTACTTTATCTTTTCGCGACGGGAAAAGAGATAGTGAATTGAACTGAAAACAAAACGGCAAAACAAAGGAAAGATGAGCCCGAGGGAGAAAAAAAAAAGACTGGATGATGCGCATGCGCGTTTTTTTTTTCTTCCCCCCTTCCCCCTTGCTGCTCCCCCCCGCGGGGCGGAAATGTGGTTGTTCCAATGGTCAATGGTCAATGGTCAATGGCCAAATAAGTCGGGGTTAGTCCAACGTCTTTAAACTCAAGGTTACTTACTGGGATCTCATCTTTTTCGCGCTCTTCTCTCTTAGTGCGAATTTGGTCCGCACAAAACTATACATTCTTATGAGCATCATCCTCATGAACCATATCGAACCACGGATGGTGGTACAGGTACCCTGACCCCCTTCCCTCCATTCCAATGGACCTTGATCTGACCACCTTTAAGTTTCTCCACATAGCCATGACCATGGTCATGGTCATGATCATGGTACGGGCCACTATAGGCTACACAAATATTCCTCCCCTTCAATGGTACGCGTTGCCGGAGAATCAACAGTTCGGGTCCCATTCTCTGTGCTCCCGTCGTACGAATAAAGCTTGTCTAATATTAAAAAAAGTACAGTCTATCTATTAGCGCGCTGACCCTGCGCTGCGCTGCATGTGTATCGTGTCCATGTGCCTCATTCAGCATACGTCTGCAAACATACATGTTAACAGATACCGCGACTGTACAGACGAGTTGCCGGTATCGAGCACATCCACATCCACATCCACATCCACCCACCCACCTACACACACACATGCATACACACACACACCTACACACACATGCACACACACACACACACACACACACACACACACACACACACACACACACACACATGCACACACACACACAGCTGATCAGCTTTTCTCTCGCAACTGGCGTTTTGGACTTTTTTTTTCCCTGCATCCAAGCAAGCACTCAACAACAACAACATCAATGCGTGCACACTGCCACCCTGTCTGACTCTTTTCTGCATATGTATGCAGTTCCTTCCTTCTCTATCTCGCACCGCCACAACTATGCAAATAATGCGCCCATGGATGCATTGGGTACTGACTACCGCGGTATATCGGCTATGACACTTGCCTTGTGAGTCTTTTTCTAACACTTTCGATCATGCGTGTATTTATTTACCTGTCATCTTTGAACGCGTCTTGGCGCGGGTTTGTTTACATAACCTATTACCGCCTCCTCTGTATGGCCTCTTCATATCGTGTGACAAAAGGCATAGCCACAGCATAGTCGATCCTCGTTTTCTTGTATTGAATTTAATCTTCAAAACAACCCAAAGGACTTGGATTTTATTTCATACAAACCGATTGTACCGGTTTACAAATAAGGGGGAGAGAAGAGAGAAGGAGAGGGCTAACACCGCAAGCATTAATAAAATATGCAAAAGAAAAGATAACAGGTAAGCAAGAGAATAAAGGAAATGATAATATGCAATAGGAATAATAATGTGCCGTAAAAAATAATGATGTGAGAAACACAGGCGAAGTAACAACCGCGTTTAGAAGAGAGCCCTCTGGAGCAACGACGGCAGCTTGGGTCGAACCTCATCCCCGAGAGCCCCCACCCATTCTCGCACCTTCGTCAACCGCGACGCTCGGCCATTGCTCATCACCACCACCGCCAGGGCCGCTTCCGCCTGATGATCCGTCTTGGCGTCAGAATCCAAGATCGCCTCCAAGAATTTCTGGATGGACGTCGTGTTAACCGCTGCCGCATCTGCAGAGTCGAAGCGTGTTTCACGTGCAACAGCCGCCACCAACGGCAGAGCAATCCTGTAACGCTCCCCGTCGATCATCATCTTGAAAAGATCTGTTCTCAAGAACTCGTTGTAGAACTCGGACCAGCCGTATCCTTGCACAAAGAGCAACTCGAGACCCTTTCGGAGTGAAAATTCGTAGCCAGGCTTTGTCCGGCATAATTCAGCAAAGTTTGGCGCGCGAACAGCATCCATTAACTCCTTCACGACTTCGTCCACATAAGGTGCACTCTCCAGGCTTGGCCATCCACATTTTTGTGTAAACGTCGCGAAGCCAAAAGGGATCTAATAAGCATGAATAAAAAAAAAAAAAAAAAAAAAAAAAAAAAAAAAGGGAAGAAAAGTAGATTAGATGAATATACTTGATTGTCGCAGAATAATTATATCCGCAAAGATCTGTAGCCACCAAACCCACCTGCTCTGTCCTGGTCGCCTCTTGGTGAGTGGAAAGAATCGCTTGGATGCACTTGGCCAGGAACAAACCAGAGTCTATTAAAGATATATCGTATATTTAGACTACAGGTCAATGACTCTCGAGCCAAATGAACATGCTGCCTCACATCCAGCAACTTACCCTCAGGTTTCATCTCAGAATCGACAGCGAAAACAGCGGGCCATACGCTTGTAATGGCTTCGCAGAGAATAAGAGACGATTTCGCGTTCGAGATTTCTCGCAACAAGTCGTACGCGAGGACGCGCGGCCTCTGAGCATCGTCTTGACATCTGTAGACACCTGTGAGGACTCGGATCAGCACGCTATAATAAAACAGGACGGAAAATTCCCATAGTTTTAAATATAAGCGTGAATCGATGAGTATGCGGATATGCCTGACCACGTAACACCGCTTCAAGGCCTCTTGACGTACCTCGTAATCCTCAAATCACCACCAAAGAACGCGTCCTTCAAGATTTTCTCGTGCAAGACCTCAAACAGTCTGCCGATTATGTTCATCTATGGCAGCGCAGATAAGATAAAAAAATAAAAAAATACAATATTCGATATTAGTACAATCATTCAGGCATTTCACCGTTGCCCCGAAATGTCAATGGTCACGTTCGTCGATGCCTTACTTCAGGGAATCGTTCATGGAGGACGCACAACGTTTGGACCATAAACCTTTCGCCAGGGCAGAGAGACTTGGATATCGCTATTGATGCGTAACCCGGAAGGGCCCACGTCTCAGTATCATCTTCAAGGATATTGCGCTGATTTCGGAAGGCAGGCACCTTGGGGGCAATCTCACGCGCTTCCATCTGCACAGCCTCGAACAGGTCGCACATCCTAGTAGGCAGGACCGTTGCAACAGTGTCGAGCTTGATAGACGCCTGCTTGTCGTTTGCGAGGGCAGAGCTCATCATGCACGTGAAATCTAAAAAGATATTACGCAAACGACAGTTAATGAACAAAGAACCAATAAAATGGTCATCAATACAGACATTAGAGCCGTGCTATGCTTACATTGGACAGGGTTCGAGATCGATGGTATAATGGGATTGAGAGAAATGTTTCTGATCTCGATACGTGACAGGTCGATGGTTGAGGCTTTTGTAGTTTTCTTGGTAACTCTTAGCTTCCTCACTGTTGTTGGTGACTTTGGCGTACATGGCTTCTTCGTCGGTGTCGGATCAGTCTGTTGAAGTTCGAGATCAACCTTTCTCTTTCTTCCCCTCTTCTTCGGACCATCCACATTGACAACAGTATCCGCCGCTGTTGGAGCTGAGATTGTCAAAGTGCTAGCCCGGGATGAGGTCGCCGGTGTGTTGGTCAACGCGGTGGTTTTTGGAACGTTTACTGGGGCTGATGTGGCCATAGCATTGGCCTGCGTTAGATGATCCTGCATCTTCTGTTTTTGCGTGTTACGCTTGAGCTGTGGTTGCTTTTTAACACTTGAAGCACTCGCAGCCGTGGGGGTGATCGGTGCATAGTCGTCGTGCATGGAATTCCACGGGTCGAACTCCGTTGTAATTGCATCGGCTGGTTGTTGGACTTGAATCAAGGTCGGCTTCTCCACGAGGCGACGAGTGAGTTCATTTTGCAAAGCCTCCTTCTCTTTGGTCAAGGTCTTAATTTGCTCTGATAAAGCTGCTATCCTTTTCTTGTCGTTAGTACTGCCGGAGACGAGACGATGAAGGTGCAGCAGATCCTTCAAACCCTCGATCGAACTAAGGGCTCTGTCAAGCCGATCGCCTGTAAGCTCAATATCCGAATCGCTCTGCTTTGCCGGTGGGGTATGTGTCCGTTGTGGATGTACCGGTCTGGATGGAGCGTCCAGCGTCTTCTCAGGATCAAATTCCTCGAAAATCTCCATGTTTGTGCTGTGGGAGGTTCCAGCGCTGAGTTTATGTTCGAGGACATCGTTCTTGATTCGGAGTTCCGTAACGCTATCATTGAGCGATTTGATCGTGTTATTGGCGACCTCCAACATCTGGCTGGCTGTTTTCAGCTTCTCCTCGGTATTCTTTTGCTCTTCCTTTGCCAGCTCCATCTCGAGGTACCGCTCGGTGTTGGCGTCCTCCAGTTGGTGCTCCAGTTCATCGAGCTTGTCCTGCAGCTCCTTTGTTCGACTTTTGTACCGTTCCTCCTCATCCTGCTCCCATGTTTTCTTTTGTTGCTCTAGCCACGCCGCTCTGCCCGAGTTATTTGCCTTTGCCTTCATAAGTTTTTCGCGCAGATCGGACACTTCCTGCTTTCTATTTCAATATCAGGATATCAGAGAACAGCGATACAAGCATGCCGTTAGTATACGTGCATTTTTGCACATAAGGTACATTGTATCGTACACGTATTTTTCTATGGCATTACCCTCGGCGGCCAGCTTGTTCAGCTTCTTTTTGTGCAGCAATCAGCTTCTTGTTCAGTTCGTTCACCTGGTCCTGGAATTTGTCTTGTCCTGCTAATCTCGCTTCCAATTGTGTCTTCAGCATCTCGGCAGACTTGTTTAACGTTATCTGCCTCTTCAGGGAATTTTCAGCAGTGACGAGTTTCGCCTTTGCCTCCTCTGCCTCTGCTCGTGCATGCTCGGCCTCTTTTGCCAGTGCTTCCGCACGCGCCTTCAGCTGACTGTCTTGTGCTGCAGATGGTGCTCCCTTCTTCAACTGTTCCTCCAACTGGGCGATACGTTGTCGAGACTCGTTCAACTCATTTGTCAGGTTCGCAGTTTCTATTTCGAGACAAGGACATGGCGCACCATGGAGAGACAGTGTGAGTTTTTTTTATTGGGAGGGGGTCGAGTTAAAACTGCTCTGTTCAATTCAACTTGCGTTTGCAACTTACCTGTCTCTTTGTTCCCAAAGATTTCCATGAGTTTGCCAACGCTGATCACTTTGCGCTTGATGTTCTTGACGTTTTCCTGGACGACTTGTGGGTCGAAAGCCATGGCCGACTCAGGATTGGGAGCCGAATCATGCTGGGCTTGTTGCGGAATGTTTGAGGTCGGTATGGCCATGGCTGAAGGATCGAGAGTCTCCATACGAGGAGGAGACACTCACGGGTGCGCGATAGGTGTGAAGGGACGTGCGGACCTGAGCACGGGGAGTAAGGTGTTCAGTGGTTGGACGAGAAGGCGCAAAGACGAGATAGTATTAATGATATGAATAAATATGACGCTTGAAGGGCAGTACCGCCGGAGTTGTCAGAGGGGTGCAGCCAATAAGGTGAGCGTGCGAGTGCGAATGCGTGCGATGGAGAGGGAAGAGGAGTAGGCAGGGAGTGAAGAATGGTGGCAAAACAACCTAAAAGGAAAAAAAAAAAAAAAAAAAAAAAAAAAAGGACTGCCTCAACCTGGGGTTTGGTTCGGGGTTGGGTGTTTGCGCTTTGTAGCATGTGCGACTGGGACTGCCAAATGCGCGGCCTGGAGCGTGGCTTGGTTTGTTGAAAATTTTTATGAGGAGGAGGACGAAGCAGGAAAAGCGGGACGGCGACGGAGGGACGCAGAGGAATCTCAGGGGAAATAAATACGACGGCTGGCCGCAACGTCGTTTGTTCCTTCTCTTCCCTCCTCTCTCCCCACTCTTCATAAACATGTCGACCCAGGTCAAGCCAAAGAAGGACGCCAAGGCTTTCGCCGCCGATTTCCTCATGGTGAGTGATATGTTACATACCCTCTTTCCCTGGATTTGTTCTCTCCCTCTTCTTGCTGATCAAGCGCACCAGCAAGAGCAAGATTGGGCTCGGCCATCATCTTTCTGTACCTACCTCGCACCCGATCCGGCTCTCGATCCTCGATCTCGTTCCCGGAGAGGAAGGGAGGCGCCAACTAAAGCCTCTCAGGACATGGGATTATGGATACACTTCAGTTCCTTCTCACCTTTCCTTCGTTTCTGCTCGACTCTCTCCCCCTCACTCATCATCATCGTCATCATCTCGACCTTGACCAGATCTTCATCCGGTTTCCCCTGACTTGATCTGGCCTGGCCTGATCTCGACCTCGGCTCCTTTTATAGCTCCATTTTAATGGCAATCGATTGTACTGACATCTCTGAATGATATATTTTATTCAATAGGGAGGTGTTTCCGCCGCCGTCTCCAAGACTGCTGCTGCCCCCATTGAGCGTATCAAGCTTCTCCTCCAGAACCAGGATGAGATGCTCAAGACCGGCCGTCTCTCCCACCCCTACAAGGGCATCACCGACTGCTTCCGTCGTGTCATTGCCGATGAGGGTATCAAGCCTCTCTGGAGAGGAAACACCGCCAACGTCATCCGTTACTTCCCCACCCAGGCTTTGAACTTCGCCTTCAAGGATTACTTCAAGGCCATGTTCAACTTCAAGAAGGAGAAGGACGGTTACGCCAAGTGGTTCGCTGGTAACATTGCTTCCGGTGGTGCTGCTGGTGCCTGCTCCCTCCTCTTCGTCTACTCTTTGGACTATGCCCGTACCCGTCTCGCCAACGATGCCAAGGGCAAGAACGGTGGTTCCCGCCAGTTCAACGGTCTCATTGATGTTTACAAGAAGACCATCGCCACCGACGGTGTTGCTGGTCTCTACCGTGGTTTCCCTCTCTCTGCTTTCGGTATTATCATTTACCGTGGTCTGTACTTCGGTCTCTATGATTCCGTCAAGCCTTTGTTGCCCGCCAACCTCCAGGGTTCGTTCATTGCCTCCTTCATTCTCGGATTCGGTGTTACCAACTTGGCTGGTCTTGCTTCCTACCCCGTCGATACCGTCCGCAGAAGAATGATGATGACCTCTGGTGAGGCCGTCAAGTACAACTCCTCGTTCGATGCCTTCAAGCAGATCGTCACCAAGGAGGGTTACAAGTCCCTCTTCAAGGGTGCTGGTGCCAACGTCCTCCGTGCCATCGCTGGTGCTGGTGTCTTGTCTGGTTACGATCAGCTCCAGGTCATCTTCTTCGGCAAGGCCTACTCCGGTGGCTCCGGATAAACGATCTGTCCCTTCTCCAACTGAAGAGCACAAGATTAGTCGTCTGAGAGTATTTAGATATTGGACGCCGAAAGACATTCGATATGAAGATGTAATAAACAGTTTTTTTACGCATACTTGTTTCTTTTGTCCGTCATTTGGTAATGTGCATGCCATTCTAAGGAATGGGCAGGGTTTGCCCTGCCTGTAAGGATGGCCTTGTTTATAGGTGTATGTTTCATTCGTTTCGTGGGTATTAAGGTTTGGTTGCATTTCCCAGGCACATGTATCAGTTGTCAAGTGCATCAAAGACCAGCTTGGAATTTTATTGTCGCCGGTTACTGTTGTAATCCCTGCATAGCGCATGGTCTATCTTATCGCCTCATACGCTTCTTGAAACGCTCCATTACAAGATCATCCGTAGCCATGCCTCGGCCAGCACCGCCCCTGTTGTTTTGTCCGCTATTGTTTCCGTACGTGTTTTGAAAGCGGTGATTGGGCCCTTGTCCAGATTCCGAGTTCTGGTTGCTGTTGTTATTATTGTTGCTGTTATTGTTCCGGCGGTTGTTTTGCTGATGGTGTGAGATGCGCTCCCGATCTGAGGGCACATATGCTGGTTGCGAAAACTAATTGGTAAATAGATCAAACATGCACAACATTGGGTGATCTTATTGATTAGTTTACTCATAGATCGCAACCGAATACAACAAGAATAAAAGAGTTGGAGCGGGTACAGAATAAAATGAAATCATTACCCTTCCAGGATTGATAGAGGTGGTTGTACGCTCTTCAATTAGCTTGCGCTTCGCTTTTTCGGTTTCCTCGATGTTCTTCAGTCTTGCGCTATTCAAAGATGACGCAAATAGTATGGGATAGTCATGTCAGGAACGTAGCCTATAAACAAGCAGCAACGCTCTTGATTCTCAGGAGGTATTGATCAATGGCACATACTCCATGCCGAGGTCTACTTCTGGGATCGCCGTCAACATAGTCGTAGACAGCTGCACATTTCCCTCCTGCTCTGGTTTAGGAGCCGTTCTCTATCAAAGTCATAAATAAGACGAGTGTCAAATAAGTCAGAGCTCGTTCAAACCGGAACATGCGCTGGTCCATCGATTCGCGCCTGCCAAGTCTCAGTACCTTGATACCGAGCTCGTCTAGGATGTCCGTGTCCCCATTGTATCCTTGGGGCGCCCCTTCCGTGTTTTCTTCAGATGCTGAAGTCTCGCCTCTGCGTTTCTTCATCTCTTCTTCGATATATTTCATCATGTGCTTGTCAACATCCAGTACGTTCGTCTGCTTCGTGAAAGAGTTGAGAACTCCTGATGACTTGCCCTCACTAGCACAAAGCATGGACATGATACATAATGTCAGGATTGAGCCCATGCAAAATCACGGAGTCCAGCATATGCCAACCGTGCGTGGGGTGTACTGCTTACCTATCTTCCTGGCGCCTCATTTCGTCCAGATCAACTAATCCGCCTCCAGAAGAAAGTCCCCATGGATCCGCGGCGATGACCTTATCTTTCTTCTTTTTCTTTCCTGATGTGTCTCCAACGAGCAAATCTGTAGCTGCGATTCCTGAAGGGCGCTGTCGAAGCTTGCGAAGCTCCATCAATTCGTCGAGGCTATTTACATACAATAAAATCAAAGACGTAATGATACGCAAGTCGAGGATCATTGGGTTGAGTACCGCAGAGCGCTTGACGATCCCGCTAGCAGGGGTAGTTCCATGACATTGAAGTGAAAGCTGATACACAAGACTCAAGACCGTGCACCTACGTGAGTCCCTCCGGTTCATGTTCATCCCCTGTCTGCTGTGCTGTTGCGCCGTCTTCTACTCCTGGTGCCTCGGGTGTGACCTCGCGCTTACGGTAGTTTCTCCTCTTAGTGTTGCCGCTCATTGCTGTTGTGAATGTGAGTATAAAGAGTCCAAGTTGAACACTCAAGTAATGGTCCTGATCCTTGCTGTCGTTCCTGTCTGGTTCTCAAAGATGTGAGTGAGATGTCGTTCTGGAGCAGGGCCCGTCTTTCCCAGCAACGAGTGCGTTTGTTGTGGCTTTGTGCTCAAAAAGCGATTCATTCGTCTCATTCCTTTACCCCCTTCTCTCCTTGACTTCACCCCAAAGCAAGAATCCGCACAGACTCGAAGTCTAGTCAGCATTATTATAGCCCATGTCGGACTCAGGAAGCGCGCAGGGCCCAGGCGGGGGAAGACGGCCTCCAAAAGTGGGTGTCTATGTCCCTCGTCACCGTCGAAATAACGACGAAACCTCCGCCGTAGCCGAGTCAAGCGACTCAAGACAAAGCTCCACAGCATCCTCCCCACGTCAGCAGCACAGTAGCAAGAACCAAAGAGACAACAATATGCCTAAAGAAGACTCCACAGAAGAGGGCAACTCATCCAGATCCGGACACTCTTCCGGTGGCGAGGTTCAACGGCGGGGTCGCGGAAAATTCATGGGACCAGGAGGAAGCGGATCGACAAGTAGCGGCGGACACGGCGGTGGAAACACAAGGGGCCATCGCGACAATAGAAACGGTGGTACCGGGACAAGCAGCAATAGCAACAACGGCAGCAACTCATCAACAGCATCTCCCTCACAGCAGCCAGTGCCCTCCGTACCAAGACACCCAAGGGGACGGGATTTCGATGCAACGGTGCTGAGGCGGTACAGCGATGACGAGAACAAGCCGGGGTCGAGCTTTTCCCGATCCAGCAGCTATAGCTCCAATCGATCCAATAACAGCAGCAACAATAATGGCGGCGTATTATCGCCAATGCATTCCTCGAGTACAAGACCTGCAGGGCGGAGCCATGATTCATCCAACACGAAAAGATCAGATCGCGCAGACGAGGGGGCCTGGAGACGAGACGATCCAAAAAAGGCAGAAGATCAGGATCGGGAGCAGAGGTCGAGCAGTAGAACCGATGTCGAATCAGAGTCCGACCTATCAAACCAATTGAATCGGATACAATTGAGTGAGGATAGCGACAAGAAGGACGAGACAGAGAGTGTAGAAGAACTGGAAGAATGGGAGCTTGCGCTCCAAGATTCAGACGAGGATGCGATACCACGGATAGAGAACTCAACGGCCTCAAAGTCGGCCAAGCCGCACCCGGCAGAGCATTTGCTCAGTTCTTCAGCGTCCAAGGCTCCCAAGACCGGAAACTGGTCCGAAGGTAAGATACCTAATTTGCATGTCAGTACTTTATCTCTGTCACGACTGTCGCTTATCGCTACTCTTCTTCTCATACCTATCCATGGCAGTTGCGAATGAAGAAATGTACATCCTCGAGCTCTATGACTTTTCGCCAGCGATCAAGACAATGCACCTAACAGATATGTTTGCGCCATACGAGAACCGCTCTGGAGGATTCAGGATAAAGTGGATCGATGACACAAAAGCCCTGGTGATATTCGAATCCGCTGCCGTTGGTATGTAGTCTGCGATCGTTGACACAAGTCCATCTCTAGCCGATCCGTACTTTTAACCATCTTCTCGACTTTATCGTGCCTACCGCAGCCAAGCAAGCATATATTGCTAATCTCACAAATCAGATCGCGAAGATCAAGCCTTATAATGGTGCAGATAAGGACATTGTTCGGAGCGCAGGAAACCCTTCCAGTGGGGCATATAATGGCGTCAGACCCGCAAAGACGGATTCTGTTGCTCGGAGACTAGTCCAGGGAGCGCTCGGCTTGCGTGTGAGGAGGACTCCAGAGCAGATTGCAGAGGAAAAGGCACTTGTGCAGGCAGCTAAAGGTTCGCGAAGAATCAGTTGGGGGGTTTTTTTCGGGGCTCCAATGAGGTTTGCGTTGACATTGATTGACATGGCTTCTGTTGTTTGTTATGCTTTACAGAAGCTCGTGAGGCTCAGCGACAAGAACAACAGCGACAACGACAAGAGATGGACGCAGTATTTGACTCTTAAGCAAGCTGGTACAATTTCTCATTCGTACAACCGGCCGATAGATCGCTTCACAGCGTCATGTTGCATTTCTCTCGTAATACGGAATTGTTCTTCATACCGGTTCTATTAATCTATCAATAAAGACACGCTGCCATTTCTTTTCCATTTGCTTGTTTATATTACATGCGCAGCTTAGCCGATGTTGGTGAATATATGTTCTGCTTCCTTCACCCCGATCATTTCGAATTCGTTGGCGAAATTGACGGGCCCAGTTGAGTAAGCAACTCGGAGGACGGACAGGTTGCAGAAAAGGTTGCCTAAAGCGACGCCGTGGTCAGGTCAGTGGGTAAAGATAATTTGATCCGCAAAGATATTCACCTGCGCACTGTAATATAACATACCGTGGCAATGTGTCTGAAGCCATAAGAGCCCTCCTTTGCGTCCCAGACAAGCGTCCATCCTTTCGGTATCGCAGACTGTTCAATTCGATTCATGTACTCCAGCATCTCTCCAACCACTCCTCCATATGGCGGCATAAGAACAGGGTTACCTGCCTCCTCATCATCCTCATCTCCACCCAGGTCCGTGTCCACGTCCATGCCGCTATCACTTCCATCCTGGCCGTCGATATTCTTCTTGATCGCGTCCTGTTGAGCCAAGGCCTGAGCTCTCTCCTCACCCAAGAAATATGCAGGCTTCATTCCACCTTGTTCCCAATCTAATATGCGGATCGCAAACTCTATCAGGTGCTTCTCAATATCCTTTTGATTGATCAGGGGACTCGACAGAAGCGAAAGCTGGTGCATCCGACTGTATACTGAATGCACGCTTTGCGCTTGCTGCCATTGAGAATCTGATGGTGAGCTATCCCCGGCGAAGTGACCAGGGCCTTCAGATGGCAGGAGTGGGAGAGTACACCCTTGGGCGGTGAGAGGTGACGAAGGTCGCGGTGGTGGGCGAGATTGCTCCTTGGTAGTCAAAGGTATCGCGTCGATGGCGGCGAGGAATCCATCGAATATATGTTGTTGCTCGCTTGTAAGCACTACCGTAGGAGTCGCCAAAATCGTCGCTGGTAGATCCGTACTCGCACTATCTCCCACAATTACCTCAGTGATCATTGAGCCGCCATCCAGATCCATAGCTATCGGTCTACTCGATTCGCTTGTATCCTGCGACTCTTCTTGAGGTTTCAATTGAGTGGAAACCGTTGCTGGAGAGGAGTTCGATGTAGGATCAACTGTCGCTGCAAAGCTCTGGAGGTCCTTGAGCGCTGCAGAGACAAACTCGTCTCCTTCATTGCATCTGTCCAGTGGTGTGGAGACGGTATCACCATCGCGACCTGGCTTATTGGTATTTACTGGGCTGCTGTCCTGCTGCTGACTGGGAGCTGGTTGTTGGTGAGTCTGGTCTGTAGAAGAGCCGATTACTGGCGACGAAGGCGCAGAAGGTTGTTTAGAGATTGCAATGAGGGATGGTCCGCTTGATTCGCATTCGGATTCAGAGTCGCTTGCATAGTTGACAAGGCTGTTCATGAGTGTTATACTGGACAACTGCCGTGATCAGCTGAGGGAAGAGCCGTGTCAGTATTTCGAAAAGACAGAAAATTGGTGGCAAAAATATTTTCTGTGCTGCACAGGAGACCTTCCAACGCAAGACGGCATAGTGAGTGGGACTCTAACGCGAGATGAATGTCGTTTTACTAAATGAATCCGATCTTTCTAAATCGACTGGTGCTGTTGGTTTTGTTGGCTGCGAATCTCGAGTTATTCGACCAAGCTTCTGAGGAAATGCAAAGTCGTTTTTCGAGCCGCAAGTCGATGGTTAAAAAAATGCGTTGGTCTATGGGTTTTGTGCGGGTTGGGGCCAGTTCAGGTCACGTCCTCGATGAGAGGAAATGCTTTGCTGCCAAATTAAAGACGCATAGACACATACACGCATTGACACAAGACACATAGACACATAGACGAGCACACAGAGAGACAAGGCAACAAGAAGAATTGTTATACAGTTTTCTGATGGATATGATGGATATGATTTATTTTTGAATATGTTTCTGTCTCCCGGCCCACTCATCCTCCTCCACCACTCGCGATCCTGTTGTCTTGTTGCGCCTGTTGTGCCCGCTGCTGTCTTGTTGCGCCCGTTGCGCCCGTTGCGCCCGTTGCGCCCGTTGCGCCCGTTGTGCCCACTGTCGCCACGGTCGTCTGTGCTGGTCGAGAGGGGTCTAAGGAAGAAAGAAAAGACACTGGGGAGAAAGGATGATGGTTAGTACCAGCTGCCTTTGTCGTTGCCATTCTAAAAAAAGATAGAAAAAAAAGAACATTTCGGTGCGCAGACCCGCTTGGCCACCAGGATCCAAAGGCCTCTATGTGATAGGCATATCAAACAGAGACTACTTGAACCCCTGAAGGGCTCCAGGACCCTTCCAAAAACAACACCACCCGAGCCCGAAAGAGAGAACACAAAGACCAGAGGCAGAGGAGGCCATCCTTTAAACCTATACTCACCCCAGACTGCAAGACCACTAGAGCACAGAAGGGGACCCCACAAGCCATGTCCCAAATGAACACGAGGCGCTTTGCAAGGGCTTTTTTGACAACACCAAGCAAACCAGAAAAGAAGAAGTCAGCCAAGAGGGCCGCCCACGAAAAGTAATACAAAAGATTGAGAGAACAAAGTGCTGGCGGATGCGCTGGGGATGCAAACAAAACCCCCATTGTGCACACCGCGCCCCACTACTGGTACCACCTCTTCAACGGACTGGTCCAGCCACCACCACAACAAAAGAAAAAAAAAAAAAAAAAAAGAACAACGTGGGGGCTCTATTGAGGGAATAATATACACTGCCCACCACATGCCGAACACTACAGCAAAGTTGGTCAGAACCCGGTAGTGTCAGCGAACCAACAAGAAATAAAAAAAAAAGAACAACGCGGAAGCCTGTGTCCCTATCACAGGCCCCACCCCTGACTACTACCTCTATAGTGGTCCCGAGAACACAAGGACCCGGTAGTGGCCAGCAACAACAGCAAGAAAAAGTAAAAAGAGAACAAAGCGGGGGAGATCTATAATCAAAACCCCCCACTGCTGGCTATTGCCAGTGATGATTTACAAACATGTTTTCAAGTGGAGGAGAACAATTGGACCACCAGCAACAGGAATGCGGACAAAAATCCTGTGCATGGATAGTCCCAGGATGACCAGCAGAGCTAGGCAAGCCTAGACAAAATTCCACTGGTACGCTGGAATCAACGAAAGAGAGATGGAAAAGAGAACAACGTGGTCCCTCTAAATGGGAATACTGTACATTGGGACCACATGCCGAACACTACAGCAAGGTTGGTCAGAACCCGGTAGTGCCAGCGATTCAACGAAAAACTACAGAAAAGAGAACAACGTGGAGAGCCGTGTCCCAGGCACGGTCTCCACCCCTGGCTACTACCTCTATACTGGTCCCGAGAACACAAGGACCCGATAGTAGCCAGCAACAACAGCAAGAACAAAAAAAGAGAACAAGTGGGGGTCGAGTGCATGAGAATACGGACAAAAACCCCATGCACCGGTCCCCAGACTAAACCCCCCGGTGTCTACTCTCTCCCAGTTCACCTGACCAATGTTGTCAAAAAAGGCCTCACAAAGAACCCCGGTTTCGTTTGAACATGACTTGGAGTGCCTCACCCGACTGTACCCTGTGGCTCACAGCTAGAGTGGTATAGGGGATGGCGTCCCTACCCGCAGCTTTGTGCTGTCCCTTAGGAGCTGGAGCAGTGTGTTTTGAAAAGGTAGCCGTCCCCACTCCAAGAATCCAAGAGGCCCTGCCCAGCACACCGACCGCACAGGTGCCTCCAGAAAACTGACAACCGCCCAGATTCACGTCACCAAGAATGCCCAGCAGAAATAAAAAGGGTAAGGGAAGAAGAGGTGGGGTGAAGGAGGAGAGCTCAAATAAACTTATCTTTGGTTACTTGCGGCCGCGGTCGTTCGTCGTCAATAGTCTTGGCTACGGTTGGTGATGGTGGGCGAGTGTGGGCCCGTGGGAGAATGGGTGAAAAGTCAGTAAAGTGGGTTCTGCGGTGTGGTATGATGTGCTGGATGGTGGAGTATGAAGGATGTACCTGAGAGTGTGGGGTGGAAGTGTGAAAGTGTGGGGAAAGGAGAGAGAATAAAAAAGAAATGAAAAGAAAAAAAAAGAAATGAAAAGAAAAAAAAGAAAAAAAAAAAATGGTCCACGTGCTGACGTCAGTAGCGTGCGAACCTGGATGGTGGCAAAGGAGGGGAAGAGAGAAGGAAGCAGGGCTAGGTCAACGAGTGAGTGAAGGTGAAGGCGAATGAAGGAGTGAGCACCCGTTGGGTCCTTCGAGTAACCGGACCGGTCCCCCCTCATTCCCACTGGAGGCCTCCACTCGCCTCGCCCTGGTGTTTGATTATGAATGCGTATGAAAGGGCAGACAGGATGTATGCGCTGTATTCGCTGTATTCGCTGTATGCGTGTATGTGTGTATGTGTGTATGTGTGTATGCGCGTATGCGGGTCGTATATATGCCAGTGCGCGTATGCCCAAGCAGTCTTTTTTGTTGACGTCAATTTTTTTCGTCGTCCCAACCTAAATAGAGTAATCGAGTGCTGTGCCTCTGTACCTGAGCGCTGGGCGCAGTCCGCTCCTCTTTGGTCTAAAAAATAAATAAATCTGCACGCACTGGACACTAAACAGTGGACAAACGTCGGCCACATACTGCGCGAGGCATGGAAGTCCTCCATGATGTGTTCTCAGTTCTCATCACCCGGTAGCCATTTAAGCGTCAAACCATGTACTGCAAAATTTTCTGTATCAAAGGATAGTGACACAGCTCTTTTCATCCCCCACCGTGTCTATGCTGCCACCCCACACGGCGCTTAGTGCTGTTGTTGTTGTTGTTGTTGTCGTTGCTGGCGCTTCAGATCCGGGGTCACTCTTGACGCTCTACAAGATATAGGGCGGCGCGAGCCATATTATGGCTAGCCTGATGGTCTCGGTTCCTTTCCTGGCTGCATTGTTGGCACTTGATGGCCCAATCCTCAAACTTTCCTAGGGCACCGCTTTAGCCCATGTACTTTCATGACGCTCGGTTGTTAACCCTGGAGCGCAATTTGAAATCCGACTCTTCTCTTTGCCCTCTGAAGCCTCAGCCATGTATGCCTTTATGGTGTAGGTGTGCGACCCTTGTGAAACCGAGATGTTTTTCGCCAACAACCAATCCACCGTGGTGAGAACGACCGCTGTAACGGTCCTCTTAGCCCCTGAATCAATCCCGATATCATTAAACCTCAGAAAGCTCTAGAGACTGTAGTCAGCCTCAATAACCAAACGGGATCTCCCGCACTGTTGCTGAGGAACGCCAAACCATCATCTTCTCATGGTACTTCAGATATCAGAGAATTACGGCACTTGACCCGGCGCATCACAACAGTGACAGATACTAGATCGATTACATGAGTCGGGTAGTGCATTGATGCATATGAGGCACGCGGCTTTTTGTTTGTGCCAATTCTGACGGACGATGAAAGAGCGTCTCACTGAGAGAGTAATTGACTAAATTGTGCAGTATCCGAAGAACGGAGAGGCGGCGTCCACAAAGCAGTACATTGTCTAGGCTACTAACATTAAGCGAAGGCTCATTTTGTAAACTTGGGGAGCAGGTCCTGAACATCATGGGCTTATTTCTGGATACCAGAGTCGGTTCTGAATACCACCAAGGTACAGATCAATGCGACATTCAAGGACAAATATTTCATGAGTATAGAAGTGCAGTTATTTCTTTATGATTTTTAACCAAATCTAATAAATTGGTCCCATACATGACTGGAAGCGGAGGAAGGGATAGAATTTTCAATTGACATGGATCCCTTATGATAGATACACTGCCCCTACTGCTATACGAGATTGTCAGATAGAGTCTTCGGATTCTGAACGCCAGGGAGCACCCTCGGTCAAGATAGCAGCCGTCGCTGCATTCGCGCTTTCTGTTGCCGTCTGATCTTCCCCTGTCTTCTCCATCAGCTTCACGGACACAATAGGCGAGGCTTGGCCATCCCTGATCTTAGGACTCGTTTCACCGTACATGTCCAAACCCATCTCGCGCGCAAATCCACTGTGCTCGCTCACATCGACGCTACGTGAAGGCAGCATCAATATTGATGCTGACACGTCCGTAGTAGTTGGTGGTGGTTCGCGGCGACTACTATCGTCACCATCGCCGATATTCTCAAGACCGCCTGCACCTTCAAACACACCATGGATCACTCCCGCTCCTTGCAGGTCCTTATCGAGTAAGGGTGAGGACTGTTTTGAGACCTGCCTAGAGCCTTCCTCACGCTCCCGAATGGCACTCAGCATCAGCTCCACCTCGGATCCAACCTCGGATACCGTATCTGACATAATGGAGTCAGTGCTGTTTTGGCTGCTTCCGCCTCCAGAGGTATTCCCGGCCCCTAGTCCGCTCATTCCTTCAGCTCCATCCACGATTTCCTTGTCAGCATAGATGTGACTCCGGTTCTCGGCACGCATCATACTCTTCTCCGTGAGCGGGGCTGAATGCTCGAGCTTAGGTCCATCGCTGCTAACGCCATTGCTCTGTTCAAGTTCGTGTTCGGCATATGACATATTTCCATGGCTCGATGGCTTCTTCTCAATATCAGGATAGTCGGCAAGATCCTCTTCCCCATAGCCAAACTGAACAGGAGTGACCGTCTCTCCATCACTGTTGACCTCCAAAGGCGGACCTTCATATCGATACTCCTCGCTGCTTTCGTCTTGATCTACTCCCTTGAGCCATGGGTCACGAAGCAGCTCCACAGCTGATGGACGCTCCTTGCTATTTCGGGTGAAGCATCTCTTGAGGAAAGCAATTCCCTTAGCACTCATCTGAGATGGATCGGGTAGCGGTGGGTGAGAGGTGGCAACGTGGAACATAACAGCCCATTCATTGTCCAAATGGGCCCAAGGTCGGCGACCGGTTGCCATCTCAAGCACACAGCATCCCATTGACCAGATATCCATGCTTCCCTTGCGACCCTTCTCTCCGTTCTTGATCACCTCCGGGGCCATGTACATCGGCGTTCCATTCAGAGAGTTGGCACCAACACCGTCGTGGAGACTTTTTGCGGCTGTTCGTGTTCTCTGGTTTTTGGCCAGGATCTTGGCTGCACCGAAATCTACAAATTTGATGTTGCCATTATGATCCAAAAGGACATCTAAACACATAAGAATGAATATGATCAGCACTCTGGATCCGATTATCCTGGAAGGACTAAATTTGGAGCCACATCAATTCTCACAGCGGGCACCTACTGTCCGGCTTGACATCTCGATGAACCACGTCCATGTCATGGAGGTAGGCAAGTCCCTTCAACATCTGCAGAGTATAAAACTTGATAACTTTTTCGTCCTCGATCCTGCCATGCTCCAGTAAATCCGCCAAACTGCCCCCTTGACAATACTCCATGAAGATGAATACTCGATGTCGATGGACCTCAATGTTATCATATCGTACAATGTTGGGGTGATGCAGCATCTTCATGACCTTCATCTCGTCGCGGATCGACTTAACAAGAGTCATGGATGCGTTTGCGAACCGAATCTCCTTCACGGCAATCAGTTCTCCTGTATCAGAATTGGTGCCAAGGTGGACTGTGCCGAATGTACCAGAACCGATATATTTGACTAGCTGCCATCGAATTGCCACCGAATCTGTCAGTGCAGCCAAGAATACCAGAGATCGGTCTTCAGGCTTTTGATCATCCAGGACTTTGCCGATGACTTTGATTTCCTGCTCCCTCTCATTCCTTTTGTTCTCAATCTTCGCCAATTTCTCTACTTGTGACTTATGGTTCTGTATTGCCTCTGGTGAAAGCGGACTCTCGTTCGATGTCGCAAGCTTGAGGATGGCGCTGATCTCCTCCAAAAGACGTGTCTGATCCAAGGGCTTTTGTGTTTGTCTTCCGTCGTGCTCGTTTCGAAGTGTCTCGCTCTGTGTCCTGGCCCCGTGAATATCAAAGTGAGAGATCAAAAGCGTCATGCAGCCGGCAATCTTAGATCGTAGCCACGAAAACTCCGAGTCGCTGAGCGCAAGAATGTTGTTGCCTTTCGTCATCTTCATAGCGAAGTTGAGTGCCGCCATTGCCCAACGAAATGTTTGTCGTTCCGTTTGATCGCAGTCGTCGCACACAAAGCTGACCCAGTCAATGGAAAGACGCAATAGCTTCAGATTGAACTGGGTCCTCGGAAGACCCTCCATGGAACTGAGTGAGGTAAGTCCATAGTCTGAGGCGAAACGGAAGAATGGCTGGACGAGGTCCTGGCAGTTGGGAACCTTAATCGTAGCCTTGCGGAGGACTGCAACCGACTGTACAATCGTATCCGCCAACTTGTATGCCGACTTCTTAGCCTTATTGAGCTCCTTATTCAGTGCGGTGACATTCGCTCGACTCTCCGTAATGATTGACAGTCCAAAGGGCTCTGCGAACTTGCCGAACCGCTTCTTACAGGCATCCAGAAGGCTGCCTCGCTCCGAAATCAGGCGTGCACGTCCAGGCTTGACATCGAGATCAAAGTCAGGCAATACGTCCAGGTGAAGAATCGAACCAGACCAGATAAACCGTTCGCGAGGTGTAAAGATGAGGATATAGCCAGATCCTGGTTGTTCAAAGCACGACTTCAGTGTACGTGGAAGGTAGAGTGCGTTCTCGGCAACCTTGTGCTCCACAATCATGTACACGCCCATACTTTCGATGGTGTTCGTGAACACCATGACGTGGTCCGTCTCCGCCAACCTGTTCATCAATGCTCCGAAGCTGTCTCCTTTCTTCTTGTCGAGCTGGTATTCGGCTGTGTTCTCGAAAGTGTCGGTCAATGTTCTAGGAGGCGGCAAAATGAGATACGTCAAAAACACGGGTGAGCTGCCGGAAATCTTCAGTGTCCTTATATTTCACTAAATTCCCATTCAACATACCTTGCGAATCGCCTCAGCCTGTTAGCTCTAAATCGGACATTTTCCAACACCTTTCCGTAAAACTTGGTCACTTCTCCGGCGGTCTGGAGCACGTCAGGGTGCTCCTTAATTTGCTCTTGTAAGTGCCTGTACAGGAAGGTAGTCGATTTGCTCGTAAGGAAACTAGATCCACGGACGAGAAGTGAAGTAGGATGTTAGATCGACATGCCTGCATTTGTTGGAAGGTAGCTTTAGCATGATAGGTTCAAGATGGTAATGCGTACCAAAGTTGCTCCGCAGTGTCAAGACCGATACCGTCAATGGCTTGGCCCAATTCACTGAGACTCTCCCATTCGAGGTCCAGAACCGAGTCCATGTACTTTTTGGATTGACCCCAGTACTCGACCTTCCATGACAACAGCTTGAAATAGAACTGCAGGGACGCCTTGAGAGTCTTCTCGTACTCTGAATCTATACAAGGCTCCAGGTACCACCCATCCTGATCGCTGCTCTCCAACTCCTCGTACTCATATTTGATCCTGCAAGCCAAGAACAGGGATTTTTTAAAATCATCCAGCATCTGATCCACATTTGGCAGGGTTGGCACTGTAACTCGATCGGCGTATTCAAGACGTAGACGTAAACACTCCTGCATGAGTGTGGTTGGGAATCGAATGAGCTGTTGCAACTCGCTCATGGTAGGTACAAGACCCATACTGGCGAAAGCGACTGCGTTATCGATCATCGTCGCCTTGATTTGCTTCATCGCCTGATGCAGTGAGCTTAGCGTACTCTTTTCGAACGTCCTCTCCAGTCCGTTCTCACTAAGCAGTCTATCAACGAATGAAACCTCGGCCTGACCGGCGTCCTTTGATCGTGAAACCTCCAGCGTCTCGCTTCCTGTCCAGTTTCTGAGAATTTTTGTCTGAATCTTTATCTTTTTCATTACACTCGCATATGCATTGAGCGCATCCAGACGATACTGGAATTTGGCGGAGTTGTATAGTGGTTTATCGGCACCGACCGCTGACAACTTTGGGTAGAGGCCCTCGACGATGTCGACCTTGTGGAGTACGTCTAGAACTTGATCAAGTGGAGATAGGGGGCTGTTCGGATCCATCTTGAAGTCCATGACCTCTTGAAGGAATGCGTCCACCTGCATTCTCGCCGTTTCTACGAACCGTTTCTCGTCACTGATAGGTCGTGAGTGGATGCGTGCTCTAAGACCCTGCCAAATCTGTTGCTTGATAGCCGGTTGCATCTCGTACTGGGGATCCTCCAAGCGCCTGTTCTCAATACTAAAGACGTCTCCAGTGAGGACAGACTGCAACATGCTCTGCCAGTCAATGCGCTCTCGATTGAGCTCCAGAACGCCTTCGTCCGAATTGGATGTCGGCTGCATGAATCGGTCTAGACGCTCCTGGTCCTTGTTGCTCGCGCCATTCGTCTGCTCCTCTACATCCGCCTGCTCCTCGACATTGTAATCCCCGTCCTCGCCGTGGTTATCGTAATATTCATCGATCGGATCCGCCTCGCCGCCGGCGGATGAGTCGTGTAGGTCGAGGTCATGCAGTGCTAGTTGGAGGGATTCTGAATTGTTGAGCATAACCCCATCTTCTGCTTCAACCTCAGCCTGAGTCTCGGCATCAGGATCGTCATAAACCTCCTCTTCGTCCAGGGCTGCGCCGTCGTCGTGGTCCATGTCGTCGTCCGAATTGTCCAAGTTCTCGTTAGCTGGCTCGTCTTCCTCTGCAAAGAAAAACCGGACGCCCTTTTTCCGCTCCAGGACGACCTCTGGCTCGATACGCTGAGGTAAGAACGATGCTACCCCTATACCACGGCCCAATCCTGCTATCGTATGTGAGGCAATAGTCTGGTTGGCACTGGAGGTACCAGGTCCACGCGTTTTAAGAGAGGCGTTAGACACTTTGCTGTACCCTGCCGGCCATGACTATCCCTCTGTCTTTGCATATCCTTACCTGAAAGGCGTAGGATTGGGCATATCATTTGCTCGATGTTCGTCCACATTAGCCCGCAGGGGCCAGGTCATGTTGAGCGGGCTCCTGGCTGATGACCGATCAGTCTTGCGCTTGAAGCTGGATGGACGGGCTACGGAGATGGCGTCCTCGTCCTCGCCTTCTTGTAGACGTAGGCCTGACATTGAGTGGAATCAGTTCAATAGAATGGGGGAAAGTGCGTAGACAGAAATGAAAAGGATGATACAGTGGTGTTCAATCGAGGAGATGAGCAGGGAGGAGGTGGGGAAGAGGGCGATGGAGTGGAGTAGAGAGGGAACAGCGCTACTTGGCAACAACGGCAAAATCGAAATTATGCGTCCTTCTCGACACACACACGTTTTATGTGTGCTCCGTGCAGCGTCAAACCGACAGCAACAAGGGATCTGCTGCACCTGGCATGAAAAACTCCCCACAGGAACCATTACCACGATTTCAGAAGCAACTTTGTTCACACTCGTATTATTTTGGTACTTGTTCATTCTAGAAAAGATGCCTTGCATGGGTCCCGGTACTTTGATATCAGCTGGACTTGTGTGTGTACACATGTGCTTGGTCTAATCGTCCTCTTCCATCGTGGGCAGGTCAGACGGCTTGACAAGACCTGGGATACGCAGTGCAGCCTCCCTTTCCAGCTTGCGCCTCGCCTCCACCTCGGCCTCCCTCTCATCCAGGAACAGTTCGTTCTGCTCCGTCTCCGAGGCTCCAAACTCTGTTAGCTGGATCAGGAAATCGCGCAGCACTAGCTTGAACCTGTTGGCATCCCGGTTAGTCTCGAATAGCGCCAGGGTAAACGTGCTGATTTGAGACCTACAGAGAACAAAAATCACGCACTTGGTAAGAATACTGTAACCATTGATACATTTCAGCAGTCCAGGGAGGGGTAGGCTCGTTTGGAGGGATAGCTTACGGTTGCAAATGAGGGAAGGCATTCTGAAGTAGGTTCATCATGTACTCCTTCAAAAACCTCTCGTTTGTCATAGTTGGATCAGACACTTGTCCTGGCGTGAACAAGGGTGCCTGAACCGCGCCAGAGTCGACCAGGTAGAACATGCGAGTAAGGACTTGACTCTGAAGTTTGAACCCTATATTTGCACAGGAGGATGAATAAATGTCAGCTTCTGCTATACTCGCTGCCGTATATGAGGGCACAATGAGCGTTTCATAGCCTCTGTTCTTACCGCTCTTGTGATTGTTGTCGGTCAGGACGAAAAAGATATCGTTCAGCAGGTTCAGGAAATACGTCTGATAGAACTGATTGGCAACAGCAGGATCGCTGCTCGCAAAGTTGTTGATGATGTCCACACAGATCGACAGACCCATATCGGCAATATCACGCATCGTGTGCTTGAATGCCCACACCACGCTGTCCATGATAAGCTGCAGCTGCGCCGGTGGAAGCTTCAGGAGAGCTATACAGAGGGGGAGGAGAAAGACATATATACGCTTTAACACGATCCTCGACACAGAGCGCATTCATATCGTACAGATTATCCTTCCGAGCTCGCTACCTGGGAAGCAGAACTGAGTGATGGCCTTGACCATCTTGAAGAAACCCACACGATGATCTGGGTATTCTGCAAAATCTTTGTTGATCATGTTCAGGGTCACGTCAAACACGGACTCGAGAATGACCGGGATTTGATCGTTCAGCAACGGCTATCGGTCATAAGAGCAGAAACAAAGCAACATCGATGGTTAGCAACAACGCAAGTCCTTTCTATGTGCTCCATAGCAAGGCGTCGATCATAATAAAAAGCGATTTTACCCCAAGCTTGATAATAATTGTGCTCATGACGCTCAACACCTCGGGTTCGCGTGCAGGTTCGACATTGCGTTGGTAATCACCTAGAACGGCTTCAAGAACACCTGGAATGACGTTCTGTGTCACCTCCACCAAGTCGTCCGCCTTGTTGACATATGTCTCGATTAGGCGCAGGACCTCCTTCTTGACAGTGCGCATTTGGCGGACACGCGGGGTGCGCAATGCAACCGGGCCTTGTTTCACAACGCTCTCCGAGATAAGCTGACTAATAGCTTTGTAAACCGCCAGCAGGTCCAGATAGATTCGCCCCAGCTGAGAAAGGAACCCTGGTCCGATCGATCCACACGCAGACACATTTGTTTTGAGGACGCTAGCTAGGATTTTCAGGTTTTCAGTGTTGTCCAGATTACTGACGTCTAACTTTGCTTGCTCCATGATGTTGTCCCAGTATTGATTGGGAGTCTGCATGGCTTTGGCAATCAAACGCTCCTGAGCTGGGCGGTTTGGCTGAGCTGAGATCATATAGCCGATAGCCTCATAGAACGTGTGAATCTGTGCCGGAGAGAGGTCGCTCGTTATCCGGTCAAGTGTGCCCAGGATCTCATCGATAAAGGGCATAACTTCCTGCGATTGCTGCAATACGAAATGACGCCTGCACTTCTGAGAGATCTTGATGAACGTGTCACATGCCATATCTTGTACTCCGTCGTGCGACTCATGCATGAACTCAAAGAGCTTGTTGACGACGGTCTTTAGGAATTTCCAATGCGCCTTGAGGAATCGGGGATACTGCCCAACAATGTACATGATGTTCGATGCAACAACGGCCTTGTTGTCTTTTCCTGACTTGACTGCGCATAGTTCCAGCAGCTCCTTGATAACTGTGACCAAGAATCGTTTTTCCGTCTCCTCATCTGGTTATAATGAGTTCACGTTTTTCGTCGGTCAGATATGTGATCTAGGCAAGTCTCGAAAATCCATTCAACGACTATACGAACAGCTACACTTACTCATGGCTCCCGAAATCGATCCAATGGCCCAGCAGAGCTGGTTCAGTTTTGTCCAGCTCCACTCGGTTCCATCCATCTGCGCCATCAGCTTGTCGGTCATGATTTGCTCGGTATTCACGCAATCCAAGTGTGTCAGATAGACGAGAACCTCACGCATGCTCTTGTATAGAGTAATGGTGTCGCTTTCCTTCAGGACCTCACGGACAATTTCTCCTTCTTCGTTCTCGACGATCAGAACCTAAGCGAATAAACTACATCTTAGTCTCATAGAAAGATGCGATTGGGATAGCATGGACTTGTTGAAACGAGAAATACGTGAGATACTTACCTCCTCAGGCTTAACCATGTGTTCGATCATCACTACACGCAGACGCGACAAAACCGCACTGTAATATGCACGGCTGCGGTTCCCGCCTTTAAGACTCGATGATGCATAACCTGGCCGTCCGTGACTCAACAATGGTGTGTCCATTACGGGTAGCTGCTGAAGTTCTTCGTAAAGCTCGGCCACAAGCTTGGCCCAGTACTCAAGGCAGATCTTAAAAATTTCGCGCTCGTCTACTTCGGAGATCTTGAGGAGGTATTGGTGGGCGGCCAGAAGGGCTTCCTTGTTTTGTGGGTTCTCGACCAACTACACGAGATACCGATGCTTGATATTAGCGTAGTATCTATATACGGTTCAGTGGATATCATATTCGAACTAAACTCATATCCGTACCTTCAGATGAACGCCAAGGAATCCGGTCAAGAACAAGGCGACGTTCAGAATGTATCGCTGCTCATCGTCGTTTGCATTTTCGTACATTCCGGCAATATCTATGGGCGCAGAACAAGAGATATGTTCCGGTTAATGATTATTCATCCAAACCGAGCACGTGCACCACCTCAATCATTGTCCTCCAGAGCTTACTTCCGGAGATAGGGATGGTCTTTGCAATCGATTCCATCACAATGTTGAAAAGGATTACGAACTTTGGGTTGTATTCTTCAGACACGGAGAGGCTGCCGATCTCTGTCAGACAGCGCAGCGTCACATTTCGAAACTGAGGAACGTCCAAGAACTAACGTTGACCGAAGCAAATATAAAGAGTGAACTGTTATTAAGAACAGCAAGCACGTACACTAAAACCGAAGGATGCGCTAGCGTCCCGCTCCGCGGCACAACGAGATCGCCACTTACTCGCGCTCGAAGGTTTTCGACAAGGTTAGTCTCAAAGATGTATCCAAGTGGAATCCAATTGAGGAATCGAAGCAAGGTGTCAAGTGTTGCCTTAATCAGACTGGGCTTGTTGGCCTTCTCCAGAACTTCGCTGCACAACTGAAAGATCTCTGAAAACTCGCCGCACATGGAGTTTTTGAGGTTCTTGGTTTTGACCTGCGTCATTTGCTCCGCAGAGTAATCGAAGATCTCCTCGCTAATTGCATTCATTCCACGAAATAAAATACATGCTATGAGATGCTGTTCACAAGCCTTACCACCAAAGCATACATAGATTAATAGAGAATGTCAGACATACCTCAGTAGCTTGAGGATCACCATGTTGTTTTCGCACAGCGATAGATTTGATTTGCTGGAGCTCACAATTTCGGGAATGAAACCAGGCCATGCGTGTGGCCATTCCTGCTTGATAATCTATGAGTGTATGAACATCAAAAGTAAGAACGGCTGACTAATTTACGACCAAGCATCGGCTTTACTATCCATCCAAAGCCTTGCTGCTGCATACCTGGACCAGGACCAGGTTGAGTTTGTTGAGCAGCGTCTTTTCACGGATCAGAGTCGTCTCATCCGACGACAACTTGACAATCAGCCCGACGGTGTAGTTACGGATTCCTGAACAACAGTCAGCGGGATGTTTATTAGTACCTTGAGTGTTCAAGCAATGACAGAGGTCTACAAGGCCACTTCCATACCTTGGCATTGTTCAGGAGGAAGGAGCTTCCACCGCGTCTGAACCAGTTTTTCCAGAATTGCGAGCGCCAAGAACTAGTGTCGAGAATGGGATTCAAATATATGATCTACTGTAAGTGTCCATGTCCCCTATGATCCCATGCTCCTGAATCCTTTCGAGGAAATGCTTCGATGCTTGCCTTTGTCTGGGAGACCTTTGATTTGTCGAGGATGGTATCCACGCGCCTCCAAGCGTCTGGATTCTCCTGGAATTGTGTCAAGATCTGTTGAGCGAGCTTATGCTATTGTTGAGAATAAACAAGTGGAAGCGATAGAAAGCGACGTTCAGCGACCGTCCTTCTGGGGCAAGATGAAGTTTCAGCGCCAAAGGCATACTAAATAGGTAGTCACTTACGTCAGGTCCGGTGCCGCTGAAGAAGACCTGAACGACCCTATCCAACTGGTCCACGTTGAGGTCGCGGTTAAAGTCAAGGACAGTCTAGACGGTGCGACGGCGCCATGGCAAATGATGGTATGATAAGTAATGTTAATAAAGCAAGGCGACGTGTATGCCATAAGAGCAGCTGAAGTATGGTCGGCTGCTTCCTTGTTCACTTCCAATGAGAAAGACATGAGCTGAATGGCAACAGAAGAATGGGCCTTACCTCCATTACAATGGGATCCGCTGTTGTGTGGATGTTGGGAAGCGAGGAAGAGAGATCTTTTGCCGGTACAAAGCGCGCGCGTGGTTGATAGGTCCTGGAGCTCCTGCTTTTTGTCCTTTTCTCTTTCGGATGGGGTTTTGCTGGTTGCTACAGCAGCTCTGGCGGAGGCTTGGGAGCGAGGGGAGTATGGGGCGAGGCGTCGAGTTGGATGGGGGCGACGAGAGGTGGACTGATATGTCGAAATGACGACGGAGGAGGAAGAGAGAGGGAAAGATGGAAACCTTCTGGAAACCGAAAACAGCGGGTAAAAAAAATCCGTTGACGAGCAAAGAGGCAGGCAGCAGCACACAATCTAATTGGCCAAGCGCAATGGCTACGGGCTTCTGCTGCAGCCAGGCTTGTCCTTCCTTGTAGTTAGTTTTCTGGTTTCTCTGGAGACCAGAGCAGACAGCCAAGAGCGCAGCGTTGCAAGCGAGTGGGTGGCAGGGCAAGAGAGAGCGAGACAAAAATGAGCAAGCGGGGGACAAACTGGCGGGTTTGAACAAGAAGAGAAAGGCAAAAAAAAAAAAAGAGAAGAAGTAGCAGAAAGCATTCGAAGTAGCTCCTCGTCCGCGAGACTATGACCACGGAGTGCCGATGCCAATGTGATCACAGCGACAGCAGGTGGGAATCCTGCCACAGCAAGGCTGCTTATGAATCAATCTCAAGGAAAATGATCTGGGACCTCGGTCTGCGCCCTTGGTTGTCTGAATCTCATGTTTTCATTTCCATGCCTCGTCTCCTCACCTCAAGGACGATTCCCCGCCACAGACCAAACGCCATGATGTTTTTGTCGCGAACCTGTCTTTCTTTACGACTCCAGGCTGGCCTCCTCCAATGCACAGACATATCTTTACAGAAAAACAGGCGTCCTCCTGCACCCACACCGCCACGCTTGAAAACGTACAAGCGCCCACACGCATTGACCGATGGCCCGCCCGCTTGCACCGAACGTCCCCTGTTTTTGGATTCCCGAGCGGCGTGCTTGAAGGACAGAGGACGACTCATGTGGACCGTCGCCTGCCCTTCCGATCCGACGATAAAAACGCAATGACGCCAGAAATGGAAACCATTTTTCTGCAACAGATCGGGGTCACCTTGTTGATTGGTGCAAGCATAGCCTCCTCTTGCCAGTTGGTGGCGGCGACTTCGCCACACACTTCGTGATCACCTTTTTGGGTCACTCCCACGCTGATCGACGGGCGTATTTCTTTCCCTTACATTGCCCGTTTGGATGATCGCAGCTACAAACAGACTGCAGGGTACCATGCGTGGCCGTCTACCGGAAAACAGCCTCCACGGCATTCAAAATTCATCCGATCCTAGCGACATTTATTCCTGCACTAGGTCGCCGCATATCGCCACTGCTCCCGTTGGTCTCTCGGTAGAAGAGGCAGATATCCACGAACAGTTTAGAGACGTCAAGAATGAATTGCGTGCATGCTCATTAGAGCCTACTATCGCCGTTACGCCTTATACGATCAGTCCTCGGGAACGTGCTGCCTTGATGGGGGTTGCCCGCATTGTTCAGCAGGATATGCGAGTGCTTCAGGACGGACTATGTAAGCAACTGTGCTCTGCTCGATGTATGATATACAAGACGCGCTCTTGCAGAGATGGATGGCGTACTAATTGGCGTTGCCATGTTTTCTTCCCTGTTATACGTAGCACGAGCAGGTCGTCCGCCACATCGGCATGATGGCGAATACGTGCCTGCACCGGACTGGGATAGCGAGTACCTATCTGCCCTCATCGATGACTGGAATGAACCTGTGCTGCTTGAATCCGATTACTATCTGTTACGATCCATGTGCCTTTATGATCTGGGAATCTCCATTCAAGTGAAAGTCCTTACTCCAGATCGGGTCAGGAAGTACCTTGAAATGGCTATGACATTGGCACAGAAAGGATATCAAATAATGCGAGTAACTTTGGGGAAAGACGATAGTGCCATGGACAAGTACTGGAGATATCCGACCATGATCAGCTGCATCCTGCAGATTCAGGTGCGCCTGAGTGCGCGATAAAGCTGCATTGTCGACCACCTATGCCTCGCGTCTGACATGGCCATGCACTCTAATTTCTTACGCTACTAGGCCATGAGGACGATCAATGAGATCAAGGAACGAGAAAGAATAGTTGAGTTGGCTCCCCCCGACGCACTTTACGAGATGGCTCGCCAGCAGGTTACTCAGGCCCTGCGGTCATTCGAGTGCGGTATGCGGTACTACCCAACTTTATGTCGATCGACCGCTGAGCCCTTCAAGGATCAAGAGTGGAGCAAGATGGCTGCTTTGACTGAAGCCTATACGCAACTTACGAACGAAATTCTTGCGCGACAAATCTGGACACAGCACACCGTTCGACTTTTGAAAGGTGCTTGGCGGGAGAACCGGAAAAACTGCGCTCAATTCGTATATGGAATCTCAAAGGCACACCTGCAGTTTGCGCTGTGGATCCATGAGCAGCCCGGAAAGCCTTTGCTACTCATCCCAAAAGTCAGCCCCATGTTCTTTGAAATGCGACGCGCGGCAATTACAGGTACATCAAGTGCTATCCGACATGATGCGATTACTGCAAGACAGCTCTAATCAAACCAATATGCTGATAGCTTTGATATATGGGAAGACGGCCATTGATACTGCGCGCGATGAAGAGAAACGTCCTGAGCATTATTGCCAGGTATTGGATCTAATGCTGTTGGCCATGGTATCATATCGCGGCAGCGACTCTAACATCAACACTTCTGTGTCCAATGTTTGTATATTTGCATACGTATATTACTATATAGATAATCGACAGCCTTTACATGATGTCGCTAGTCTGCGTATCCCCTCATCTAATTCACTCGTACAGTCGCAAGGCTGCATATTGGATCGATCAGCTTCGACTCAAGTTCCCGAATTTCCAGATCGAACCTTCCTATGTCCACTCTGCAGACCTTATGGCTGCAAAGGACAAGGCAATGCAGGCAATTGTACAACAGCGTCAAGCACAGCAGCATTAAGATCCAGTCTTATTTTATTAATGTTCTTTTGTTCTTTCTGCTATTCTTAAATGATATGGATCGATAATGGAAGGGGAAGGAGTACAAGCGCTCAGAATTATAAAGTTGTGCATCCATCCGACATCGCACGATGGCGGCCGGGTATTCAGTGCTTGACTCTATTGTAATCATCATAGCTTGCTTGTAGAGTGAGGAGGGAAGGGGAAGGGACTATACGATACATACAGCCATCAATTCATATTTTATGACAAAGCACACGAAGGGATATAATAGAATTTATTGGCATATTTGAATAAAACCACAGTCGGTAAAGTATACTTATGTTAGAAACGAGGCAATGATACGGAGGATAAAAGTGGAATGGAAGGAGTGAAGGAAGAGAAGGGGGAAGAGGTGGAGGAAGAGGAACAGAGAGAGAAGGGGCAAGAAGTTTTTTTTTTATTATTCAGTTTTATGGTGAGCCGATCCAGCCACAAACGTAAACATTTCAGGAGAGAAAAAATGTACTGAGATTCTCCACGTACGTAAACAGAAGTTGCCACCAAACGCGAACAACTATCATCACTTCAGCCTGGGTTCCTGCATCTTCATCCCGTCTTGCGACAAGGAACAGAACGGACAGGAAAGCAAGCGTCTGCAACCATGTCAGCAAACTTTGAACTAGATGAGGAGCTCAACAATGTCCAGCAGGACTCTGTCCACATCTCGCAGGAAATCTCTATTGAGGGAGAGAACCAAAAGACCCTGGAGCGAATACTGAACGGTACATGAATGAACTGTTCTCGCGATGCTAAGAATCGTGCAATACCAGTAGCAGCGGCGGAATAATGAGCATTATCGTAATGGCTTTTATGTATTTCTTTCATTAGAAATCGTGGACACACTGCAGGAGGCTTCAGGCAACATCACTGACAGCACTACATTCGACCAAATCAGGAGTTTCATCAAGTATGACACCGGCGAGATTCATTGAATTTGGTCATGTTTGACAGCCGTTCAACTCACTTATATCGACTCCGTCTTGTTCGACGCTAGACATTTTAACACGCTTAAGAAGACTACCGCAACAAAAGTCTGGGACATTATTCTTTCAGGTACCGAGTCCGTGAGCCGCGTTCAGCCCTTTCTTCGACTGGCCATTGATTGCTAACGCGCATTTCTCTGTATTTCGGATTCAGGATTCAACTCTGAAATCGTATCGACAGCACAAGACCTGGACATCAATGACCAAGACATGTATATGCAGCACCGAGAACCGCTGGAGATGTATGGCTTCTTGATGTTTTGGGTCATTGGCATTACAGAGCAAAAGGCCACCTCCCGAGCAGCAGCAGCAGAAAAATCTGGAAAGGCCACGGTAAACCCTTGAGCCTTCGTTTATCGATTTATCACAAGTATTTGCGTGGACTTTTCTCTGATGCCTATTCTTTGTATCCATTGACTCGATTTGTTTGAATAGCGTGGTAAAGGGGCACGGTCGGCAAAGGATAATGATGATTCAGAGCAAGGAACTTCCACTTGGACGACCGAGAAACAAAAGGCGATGGACTTGATGAGCAAGTGCCTGGAGCTGCAACTTTCCAAAATTTGGACCGCGACGCACGAAAAGGAGACATTTATCAGCTTATTCTTCAAACCCGCATACCAAATTCTGGAGAACAAGGAGAATGTCAAGATCTCGGCGCTTAAGCAGCGCGTCTACAACGTCCTCTGTATCTGTATCAAGCGTCACAACCATGAATTCGGTATGGTTCGTTCCTTGGATGCATCGATATGCCGCTCTATTCTGGGATTTAGTGTTAATGAACCCCATATACTCTGACTTATTTCGTTTTAGGCGCAAAAACGACCATCTTGCAAAACCTTCAGTACTGGGAACATACACCGGAACCTATGGCGGAACTGTTGGTGATGTTAATCAACGACTACGACTATTCACAACTGGCAGACAGTATTTTGCGGGAGGTCAGCGCAAAAGAATTCGGCGAGACAAATAAGGATGTCAGCGTCCCACGGGCGTTCTCCAAGTTCTTGGTGAAATTATCGGAGCTTGCGCCAAAGTTGGTTCTGAAGCAGATGGGACTTTTGATTGACCACCTTGATGGAGAGGTAAGCGAACTAAGCTTGTTCTGAAGCGGCTATCGTATATTAACCTTCAGCGCACTCATACACCTATTTTTTTTCTTTTTCTCTTTCTTTTAAAGTCCTATATCATGCGCCAAGCTATTGTCGAGGTTATCGGAAACTTAATCGCCTATCTGTCTGAGATCGAGCAAACAGAGCAAGTTAAGAATCAGATTGATGGATTCTTCGATATTTTGGAAGAGCGCTTCATGGACAACAATTCCTACGTGCGTACAAAACTGCTTCAGATCGCCGGACAGCTGTGTGACCTGCGTGTCAAGTTCCCTAAGCGCCGACAGCGATTGACGGAGCTCGTTATTGGACGGCTCTCAGACAAGAGTTTCTGGTCGCGAAAGCAGGCCATCAAGACTTTGGTGCGTATGATTGAAACTCACCCTTACTCGATGCATGGTGGAGAACTTGACTTGGAAGAGTGGGAAATCCAGTACACCGAAGTCACGGACGAATTGAAGGCGATGATTACTAAGCCTTCAAAGAGGAGAGCGGCTCTCAGGAGCGCGGATGAAAATGCAGGCAGCATGGAGGTGGATGGAGTAGACCCCGGTGCTGAAGCCGATGACGACGATGACAAAGACATTGCTCTCCCTACAGACGAAGAGCTGCTGGAACTGCAGTCATCCAAGGAGTACGTGACCAAGACTCTTCAGCAGCGATACTACGCAGACGCGATCCGATTTATTCACCTGATCCACCGCGCGGTGCCTGTCATGTGTGAGCTGTTGGCGTCCACCATGAAGCTGGAAGTCGTAGAGGCGATGGAGTTCTTCGTTACCATTCATCGATATAAAGTCCGCGCTGCTAACGTAAGTTCTGGATGTCTCGTACGGCAACATCAAAAGGCGAGAGCAACTCTGAAGTGATATAATTGTAGTTACTCACTCCTATATGCCTTTTATAGGACGGAATCCGCAAAATGGTGCACCTTGTATGGATGAAAGACAGCGGTGATGAGGCCAAAAGCGTTCGCAGTCGTCTCATGGAGTGCTACTGGCAGATCTATCTCGCTCCGGACGACAGCCTGACGGAGAAAGAGAATACCGCCCTGATTGCAAGAAACCTGGTCAGGTACGAAGCGGAGCTATGCAATGATATCATAAATTTTATTAGCGACCACCAAAGGTCCGATATTAACGTTATACAATTATGTGCTACAATCAGCCTTACATATGGCAGTACCTTGGCAGAGTTGACGTCGTTAGAACAGTTACTGAGCACCATCGTTGCGGATTCGATAGCGCATGCGAGTGATATCACCATTTCGGATGAGGTGGTTGAAAAACTGTGGCAGGTCTACAGCCATCATAAGGACATTCCGAACCCACAGCGTCGGGGGGCCATCATTATCCTGGGCATGCTGGCTAAAGCCAAGCCTGACATTGTGGCACAAAAGATTGAGACGATTCTCAAGATCGGCCTCGGCAAACATGGCAAGGCGGACCTCGCTCTAGCTCGCTATTCCTGTATTGCCCTGCAGCGCATCGCCGGAGAGAAGAAGAAGCAGAAAGGTGTTATCGGACAAGATACTGTACGGCTACCAATGGATCATCCGATATTTATCAAGCTCAGCAATCTGATCGACTACCCCACTACGTCCAAGAATTGGTGAGTTTAGCGCTGGCAATATATCAGATTGACAACCATGTTGCTATATGGATCAAGGTTCAATGACTAACATGATATCTATAACAAATAGGTTTGCTGTGTCGGAACAGGCATTGAACACGATATACTTACTTGGTGAACACCCTGATATTCTCTGCGGCGATATCATTAAGAAGAGGTGCAAAGCCATCTTCAGCTTGCAGGATCCGGGCGATTCGCCTCTTGATCATATGTCGATCGATGCACCCATGAACTCTTTGGGTGAGGATACAACTATGAACATGAATACGGAAACTGCATTTGTGATCGATTCCTGGCAGCTTAGTCAACTTCTCTTCATTGTGGGCCATGTGGCGATCAAGCATATTGTCCATATGGAGGTGATTGAGGAAGAGTTCAAACGACGAAAGGCCGCTGCTGGGAACGACAAGAAGAAGGGCAAGGATAGTGCTGTGGATGATGAGCTGGATCAGGTCGTTGGGACTACCGAGGACGAGTTTGGCGATGCGATGGCGCATATTCGAGAGAGGGAGCTGTTGTTTGGCGAGAGTAGTTTGCTGCAAGTATTTGGACCACTGATTGTCACCATCTGCGGCAACAATACGCTGTATGCGGTAAGTATATTTATGTTCCTGTTTGCCATTTTTTATGAGATTAGGACTGATACCGAAAGTTAACGCGATTTTCCTACGTTCGGGACCACCTATAGGACAAGACGCTCCAGAGTTCCGCCGCGTTGGCGCTGTGCAAGCTGATGTGTATCTCGGCTGAATTCTGCGAACACAACTTGCAACTCTTGTTCACGATCCTGGAGAAATCCACAGAGCCGACAATTCGATCCAACATCATCATTGCACTCGGAGACATGGCTGTCTGCTTCAACAACCTTATCGATGCCAATATCGCCTATCTCTACAAGCGACTATCAGACTCGGATGCAGCGGTGAAGAAAAACACGTTGATGGTGCTCACACATTTGATTCTGAACGGCATGGTTAAGGTCAAAGGTCAGCTCGGAGAGATGGCTATCTGCCTCGTTGACGAGGATGCGCGTATCAGCGATCTGGCCCGTCTGTTCTTTACGGAGCTGACCAGCAAGGACAACGCCGTGTACAACAATATGCCCGATATCATCAGCCATATGTCGAACGCCAGCATCGACGAGGAGTCGTACCGGAAGATTATGAGGTTTCTGTTCGAATTGATTAAGGAGAAGAACATGGAGTCGATGACGGAGAAGTTGTGCCAACGATTCAAGAATACGGATGAGCCCCGAGGATGGAGAGATATCGCGTTCTGTCTGTCCATGCTGCCATTCAAGACTGAGAAAAGCTTCAAGAGACTGCTTGAGGGATTTCCAAACTACCAGGATAAGGTTCACGAAGAGCAAGTGTTCAAGTATCTCACAGACATCATAGCCAAGGTATTAGTGCCTACATGGCATACACACTTGGGTTGCTCGTGTTGCGTGCTTTTCAAACTTTCAATCGCTCTCTTTTACTTAACGCTCTATATGCACTTCCTATCTTTGTGCTTAATGCCAATAGGGAAGAGCCATCAAACCACCTAAGCCAGAGATGAAGCCAGTGATAGATGAGTTTGAGGCTAAACTCAAGGAGGCTAAGGCTAAGGGCGACGAGGTTCAGGAGACGGAGGCGAAGGCGATCACAGCGGTCAAGAAGGGTACGCGTAAGGGTGGCCGCAAAGCCGGTAGCACGTTGGCTGGGTTGAAGGTCAAGGGTGTTCCAGAGGCATCCATGGCTCCTGCATCTGACAAGAGGACGCGACAATCCAGGAGAGACACACGTGGTGAAGGCTATGACGAAGATGAGATGGAAGAAGACGAAGCTTTTGACGATAAGGAGGCAGAAGTGGAGGAAGGCATGGAGAAGTTGGCTGTACAGGACACGGAACCCAAAGTGCGATCATCCCGAAGGCAGCAGCAGGTTAAACCAAAGCAGGGACGCTTGGATGCAGATGGAGATGCTCACATGGATGACAACAATGCGGTGGTCTCTGGTGCCGATGAGGAGGGTCTTGAAGAGGAACGTGTCGAGGTTTCTATCAAGCAAAGCAAGCGAACGTTAGCACCGACCGCCGTCTCCAAGGCTTCCACAGCCAAAAGTAAACCAGCCTCGCGCAAGAAGAGTAGCAAGAAGAAAAAATGGTCAGATAATGAAGACGATACAGAGGAGGAGGAAGCAGAGGAGCCGGAGTACGTGGAGGAAGATGAAGAGGAGGAAAAAGAGGCCCTGATGCGCAAACCAGCTAAAAAGACGTCAAGAGGGGCATCGAGCAAAGAAGTAGCGGCCGTACCCCCTACACGGTCAAAACGGGCTGCAGCATCGCGGGCGCGTCGCATCATTGAGTCGGACGAGGATGGAGACAGCGGTGAGGATGACGGCTAGTAGAGGCACCATAGCCGCCATGCGTCCCCCATTATACATGTCAATGCGACCTCCACGTGTATTTCTTAATTAAATATCTAAAAAGAAAACCTGTATTGAAGGTTGTAAGTTGATGTTCTTAACTTTTAGTGGTCAGTAGACAAATAGACGCGCAGCAGCAAATGCAGCTTCCACATTGCCCACAAGCAGTTCATGATTCAGCATTAAATCGCAGGTAAGGTGGTAATACAGCATTTATGCTTTAATGATTCGGATGTGCTGCCTGTTAACTGCTTGTGAAGTAGGGGCGTGATGAGCATAAGCTTATATATATCTGGCAGTAACAAACATTACAATCGAGAATAATTAAAGACTAGCACGCAATAAGCAACGAAGTCAAGACAATATGAGTGAGGCTGGAATGAAAATTGACCTGGCTGGATATGCGAAGGGGTCGGTCTTGGTGCATGTCTACCATTTGGCCGTTACGATAGAATGGTACAGCAAACCACAACCGAAAGGCGCTACAATGTCAAGTGCAGCATGCATGTGGGCTAAGCATGCGTCGACGGTTCGAGTCCAGGCGCGACTCAAAGGGCAAAAAGGGGGTCCCTGGCCCTTTGGTGCACCAGGATTGAGAACAAAAAACATGTATTCACGTTTCGGCAAGTAAACCACCCTTGTTCCCTCGCACTTTTCCATTTTGTTTTTTTCTGTCAACTACATAAGTATGCAGCCTTCTCTTGCCATGAAAAGCATTGCAACGCAGCAACAAGTTCGCTTCACCTTCTTATTTCACAACATTTGATAGCGCAACAGTGTTACCTCCACTCCTTTTTTTCTCTACATCACTATCATCCACCACATCCAGCATTGAACCATACCGCTCCTTGGCGTCTTCAGTACCCGATCATTCTCAACATATATCCCATGGATTATTCATCCACCGCTACCATATCACCTAGCAGCAGTCTCAACTCAATACATGTATTAATTGCAGGAGCTGGTCTAGGCGGGATCATGATGGGTGTCATGCTCGAACAGGCTGGCATCTCTTACCAGATCCTCGAGCGGAGTGAAGCCATCCGCTCTGCAGGCTGTGCCATCTCCATCGGTCCAACAGTCATGCGGGTGATAGAGCAGCTTGGGTTCAAGGAGGAGTTCGTCCGAGAGAGCGTGCCTATTCGTCAACTGCGGTATTTCAATCAGATGGATGGCGAACTGAATATGGACCAGTGCCATGGGATTGCCGACATGATATTTTGCGAGACGCGGTATGTTGTTGCGAGAGGACAATTGACTTAAAATACCTGCTCTTGTTTTTTTTTTTTTTTTTGGTTCCTTCCGGAGGGCTTCTCTTACACGATTGTTGATTGTTTGGCTGCCCCTTGTAATAGATATGGAAGTGCCATCCGTGTGATCCCACGGCCAACGTTTTACAGCATTCTCTATTCTCGGATTCCTTCTCATAAGCTACTCTTCGGCAAACGCGTGATCCGCACACAGGAACACGACCCCGATGGCGATGGAGGAGTGAACGGCTATGTAAGCTGCTTCTGTGACGATGGGACTGAATACCGGGGCTCAATTCTCATCGGTGCCGATGGTGCTTACAGCACTATCCGTCAGCAAATGTATCATGTCCTTGAAAAAACAGGAGAGATGGACAAAGACGAGACCGCGCCGTTGATGCCACACCAGCACTGCATTGCCGGCATGACTGAATCCTTGGATCCTAAAGAGTTCGAAATCCTGCAACGAGAGTATGGCGAATTCCAAGTCATGCGTGGGAAGGAGCAAAAGCACTCGGTGAGTTGCTGCAAAAGCAAGCACTAGCAGAAGCGTTTGTCTTCCTCGTTTGGTGAAGAGTGCATACCTAATTCACATTTTCTTTTCCTAATCCAATCTCTAAAGGTTTGGTTAATGCCCCTAACAAAATACCGAATCGCATGGACCCTATTCTGCCACTTTCCCGAGGATCTTCATCAAGAATATAAAGATATACAGTTAGCCTTGCGTCAGATCTCAACCTCACTCTCAGCATCATCTAACGACAACAACAACAGTAACAATAACAGCAACGACAATGGCGACTTCACCAGCGCGAACGCGTCTCACCATGAGCGCCTACGATATTGTCTCACCAAAAAGGTCCAAGAGCATGCTCAAGCAATCCTCGAGAGTTTGCGTGGCATGCGTAACCCACTGAGCAGTGCCAGTGGTGTATTTGGTGACCTTCTCGACAGGACTAACCCGGACCTAATCTCCAAGGTCACGATTGAGCAGGGCGTTTACAGCCGTTGGTACCACAACCGCACAGTCCTGATTGGAGATGCCTGCCATAAGAGCTTACCCTACGGCGGCCAAGGCGCCAATCAAGCAATCCTCGATAGCATCTTTCTCGTCACGCAACTGCAGAAATTGGTTTGTTCCTCATACGGCGATCATGTAACGGAAGTGACTGGTCCGAGGTCGTCACTACAGCCACCTACTCGATCAGAGATCACTGCCATCTTTGAGGAATACTACCGTGAGCGATCAGTCATAGCCAAGGTGGCGACAATGGGGTCCAGCTGGTTCGATCACATCTTTGGCGGGCAAGGGTACTGGTCCCGTTTTTTTCGGTACCTCTATTTCCGCGTCTTGCCCCAGAAATGGTTCTATGTGCTTTCCGATTCATACTTCCGTGTGCGACCGTTGTTACCATTCCTGCCGAGCGTAGACGACTCAGGTACAATTGCGCCGGCACTCTTCCCTTAGTACTGAAATCTTTGGTATCCTTTGAACTTGATGGATTCTCGGAAATAGTAAAAGACGAGTATGTTGTGGCAACCGAGGGCTGAAGGTATGAAAAAGTACATCCCAAAAGGGCAGAATAGCTGGCCAAAAAAGGAAGGCCTTTGTCTATAAAAAGAGATATAAAAAGAGGGGCTATGAAGAAACGAATGCAGTCTGTGCGCGCCCATGGCAACAATATGCATTTCCTTACCTTTGGGCCTGGAATAGACTATCGTTATAGCCTTCTTGCCTCGCTCGCTCTTTTATTCTTTCCTTTTCGCTTTGCACCTTTGAAGCTCCATCTCTTTCTTCAGATCTTCGCCTTGCAGTTTACTTTCTCTTGCACTCCATCATCTCCCTGTATCTCTCCCTGTATCTCTCCCTGTATCTCTCCCTGTGAGCTGAATGTGCCTCATCTGGCTGTATATTATTCATGTGGGGCTGGTTCCTTCGTGGTGAATATATCCGATGGTTTATTGTGAAGAAAAAAGAGAAAAAGAAAAGACAAAAAAGGGTTGCTTGCCAGCCTCTGGCAGTGGACAGCACACCGGAGATGAAATGACACCACTGCGCCACCGATCGAACACGTTAATTGCTGAGAGTGAGACACAGCAAACGACATCCCGATTGAGCTTATTGAGCAGTGTGCCAAAGAGGTGTACCTCGTCTCCCTTTTCCATCTTTCTTTTCCCCTCAGTCCACAGCAGCCTGAAAAACACACCTCATCACCATGGATGCCGATAACGATACCGTATTCCTCATCGACATCCCCGCATGTGAATTATTCACCTCGCCCTTCGTATTGCAATCCGGGCCTTGGATCTGTTCCATATCCATATCATCCCTGGGCGCCGGATACGGCCCGGACCTCGCAGTCCAGATCTCGCACCAGCCCATCGCAGCCTATCCCCATTACGAACGCACCATTCCCACTCGACTCTGCATCTTTGCACCCTGTACTGAGGGTTCTGACTCTCTTGTCCTAGAAACGCCTATTCGAGATCCACAGTCGCTGCTTCATGGCATACAAGGTAATTTCTCAGAAATAGATTGCTCAATAGTCCCACGCTCGTTATACACATTCCATTAATGCAGCAGATTGTTCTTGTGCATGTAGTCGAAATAGATCCATGCATGGTCAGGTCGTTCAATCGGTACATCTTCCGCGCTATCCTCGTTAACGACAATGAACGCTCACACCAACACCAACACCAACACCACGCTTCTCCGTGCGGACATTTTTGGACTCCTTGCGTCGCTTCCTGCCTTGCTTCGAGTCATGTCTCTCTGGAAGCCCAACATCGGTTAGTTGAATTTCTCGAAAGGGCGACCAACTCCGATATCCGTCTCTCGTTCTGCGCTCGAAAGGTGCCCTCATTCCCTCAGCGACAGGCACTCAAGAATCTCCCCAATTGCGAGACCTCGGATAACCTTGCTCTATATGCACACTCATGTATCCTCAAGGCTGCTGGAACCCAGCCCATGGAGCGCCTTTTGAACACATATTCGCCAGACTACCCTTTTTTCGGATGCACCGGTCGATCGAACGACCATCAGCATAACCTTCGTTCAAGTCCGATACGTGAAATCCGTTTCGAGGATTCGCCGCCAGCAGCTGTCGAGGCTGTACTTTCCTACATTTATTTTGGACAATGCCCAGTATTAGAACCGATGTGTGGATACACGGTCAAGGATTTGATGGAGTTGGCGACATACCTCGAGGTCGAGTGCCTGCAGAATTATTGTGTGGATTTGGTTCTGGGTAGGGCCTGCGGAATGAAAGCAACGGGAACGACAGCAGTGAGGACACGGCTCTCTCATGGAGCAGAGGACCGTTACGACCATAATAGGATCATATTTTCACGCGCCAATCTCAACAAGGCTGGATTTCACCCATATGGCCCCCCTGGCGGAACACATCAACAAAATAGACAATACGCATCAGAGCGAGCATCGCCGTGCTTGGGCCCGCGACCGATGAAGAGCAGGTTAACAAAGAGACGACATACTGGACGCGGTGGTCTGATCGCCCCCGAGAGCGCTGTCCAGGTGCTGTTTGGGTGGGGGTACAGATTCCCGAAGCTACGGAGGGAGCTCGTGCGGACGTTGATCGACGTCGGATACGATGGGTCGGTCTTTGTTGCGGATGCAGCTATGAATATGCTGCAACGGTTTCGGGGCCACGCTGCATTCGATGGCGTTGCGTATGAGCTGGTTGCGGAGCAACTGAAGGCTCAAGGTTGAGGTGCGAGAGCGCGGATTATTTGTTTTTGCCGGGTGTTTTGTTGTTTTTGTGTAAGCGTAAAAATCGATATCCTCCTGTTCACAGTGGAATTAAAGTCTTTTGCGTTGATGCTCGTTTTGATTTTGATGTTGACTGGTGAAAAAGTGAGGGGGTACACAGACAGGTGTACGTACCCGTTCGTGATGTTGTTTACATGCTTATATGCTCAACTATGAACGACCAACAACAATATGGTTGTTCCTTTGCATTAGGCAGAGTTTCCATTCATGCTGACGAACTATATCTATTTTCCTGAGGAACCTTAGTCTTTTAGAGGGCCTAGGCGGCCCACGACACTGCACCATCTGTAAGCAATTATATGGGTGCCGAGATGGATACACAATTTTGTAGACCGTTGCACGTTAGAGATATACACATTCATACCTTACAAGGGATACCTTCGGTGGCGTATATGGTAAAGAGGAAGAGCATAGTCTATGAAGAAGGCGGCGATCCGGGACTAAAGCAGCTCCGGGGAACGAGAGCAGATCCACAGTCAACATTAAAAAAAGACCGGTAATTGCGATCGACCCATTGGGCCATTGAACCATTAGCCGATCGATACACCTAGACTATGAGACAAATGTTGACCAAAAAGTGCATGCACCATGCGCCATGGCATATTTTTTTACATGTCCAGGAGACTACAGAAGTGTGTTATTGAGCGAACGAATGGACGAAGGATTAAGGAACAACAAACATTTACCCGTTATCCTAATTACTCATGCAGCCATCCATGCAGTAGTGACCATGTAAAACGGGAATAAAAAAGGAAGTAATGAGATAGGCTAGAACGCATTGCATTGCATCCGCATTGCACACCTTGTCCTGTTTCTGTCCTATCATATCACGATCGTACATCGTATGCGTACCTGTATCGCATCGTTGTGGTTGTTGTTGTTGCTCTTTCTCTCAGCGGATCTCTCCTTTTATTTTATTCTCCTCTCTCTTAGTGTCACCAACCGTTTACTCCTCCCATTCTCATCTCTTTTTCTCATCAACATCAGCATTAGCATTCCCTTTGCATGTCACTCGACACCCTCTCATTGCATCTGCATCCGCATTGCTCCACTCCCTAATCTGATCGCCTTTTTTTTTTTTTTTTTTTTTTTTTTTTTGCCATTCGTTCTTTTATCAGAGGTTGGCACAGATTTTCAGGAACGGCTTTTAAAAAAAATTCAGGCACAAACTTTCCTATTCCAACGGTCGTGCACTGCACATCTCTTTCTCTTTAATTGAACGCCTTCCTTCTTCTCCCCTCCCACCAGCGATCATCAGCTTCGTCTTCATTTTCTTGCATTGTTCTCTCCACTCTCCTCCCTTTGATAGTTCGTTATTAATCTCAACAGCAGGAGCAGTATCAACTTTCTGCAACAACGCGCGCTAATCGTTATATTTTAAAGAAAAATGGCACCCCCACAATTCAAGGTCATCATTGCTGGCGGTGGTATTGTTGGTCTCTCCCTTGGAGTGATGCTTGAGCGTGCAGGGATCGATTACCTGATTCTCGAGGCCACCTCAGACGTTCGTCCCCTGGGCGGTGTGGTCATGCTGGGACCGCCAGTGCTTCGAGCCTTTGAGCAATTGGGTTTACTGGAGGACCTGGTTCGCCAGTCCAATATCATGACTGGGGTCACTGTTCTCGACAGCAAGCTCAACCAGATCTGCCGCATCAACGCCGACTACGCCAGAGACAGGTAAATTCAAAAGGTTCAATCTCAGCTCGTTTCTTGTCTTCCCAAGTAACCGGAACAAAGGTCTACAAAAAGGAGAGGTCTACGCTTGCTTTACTAGGCGGAGGGATATAACTGTACATCCACGTGAGTATGGTGCGGCAAAGACATTCTCAGATTGGCCGTCAAAAGTGAGAAAAGATAGGACGGAATGTCGACCGCCATGGTTTGATTACCATGCCGATGCCGATGGCCAACGATCAAAAGGGCTGTCGATGTTGTCGCTCCTTTTTCGCTCCCTTCGCTCCCTTCACCAACCATAAACAAATAGCGCAGGTTTTTTTTTTCTTATGCCTTGTTGTTTCTATTCGATACCTTTTTACTTTTGTTTGCGATGCATATTACCTGTTGCTTTGTTGCCTCCTGTCATCTGTTTCTTGTGTGTTGTTCCACCGGGCTCTCTCAATTTTTTCCCCTCTCCTTTCTGCTGGATACATGCCATGCATGCCATGCGTGCTATATGTATCGTTTATATACTCTGCATACTATTATTCTAATCTGCTTGGTCTGTTGAACTGAATTTGCACATACCGATGCCATGCAATCTATCCCGTTTTCCAGCGCTCTCTTATTCAGTCTTGTTCTACAACCAATAACGGTCATCGCATCCTATCCCCTCATTACTCTCTTTAACCTCCAACCAAAACAGAACTCGTCCGCCATTGGCTAATTTCTCTTCTCTCTCTGTCCTGTCTATCCTGGTGCACATTCATACAAACCAGATATGGCTACGATAGTCTCACTATTGTGCGCCCAAAGCTCTATGCTATCCTCCTCTCCCGCATTCCTGCCTACAAGATCCTGTTTGCGAAGCGCGTCATCTCCACAGCGCAAAACAGCGAAGGAGTCAAGGTTCGTTGTCAGGACGGGTCCACCTACAGCGGGGACATCCTCGTCGCATCCGATGGCGGTGCCTCACCAATCAGAGGCGCCATCTATCGAGAAATCAAGCGGCGGTCCAAGAAGACACCCTACCCAGGAGATTATGCACAACCCAAGATGGACCAACGATGCATCGTCGGGGTGTCTGAACCGCTGTCGACGAAGCAATATCCTATCTTGGCGTCCAAGAATTGTGAGCTGCTACTGCTCATGCCTAAAGAGACGAACTGCATGGTAATCAAAGAGACAGATGCATGCTCCTTTTTGTTTGTGAAATGTGTGCGCCGACTCTGATTCCCATCGCTTCCCACCAATCGTGGGTATGGAAAAAAAAAAAAGCTCGTAATCCCTTTGGGTCAATGCGTCCTAGAAAAAAAAACCCAGGAAAATGAGCAATATAGCAATGCATCAATACCCCTACGGCTCATTTATTACAGTCTAAATATGACTTTTTTATTGCTGGTAACCCCTGCCACTGGTGCAGACAATCGTGCTGACAACACTATTTATCGTTCTAGATTTGGTTTATACCTATGGCAGAGAGACGTTTTGGCTGGGGCATCACCTCGCCCCTGCCCTCAAGTGCAGCAGACTCCAAAATATACGAAAACCAGGCATCATTCGCAGGAGCACGCGACAGTGGCGAGTCAGGGATCGAGTTACCTGGATCACCTGCTTCTATCCATGGCATGACACAGTCCTTCTCAGCCATCTCAACCGCATCCCAAAGCCCTTCCTCATCCGCCTCATCGTCATCTCCAGGAGGTGACATGTCTGACTACATTGGTAAATACTATCCACCGAACAATACCAGCAATAGCGCTCCTTTTACCCCGTCCCATTCCATCAAGAAGAGGCAATCGTTTAGCAAGCTATCGAAGCACTCGGCTACATCGACTGGATCATCCCAAAAGACATTCCAGCAATACCCCACAGTTCTCCAGCTCAACGAGTCGAGCAGTCTGGATTTGAAGGAGCTCCCGAACGACAGGGTGTGGGACAAGTTAGATGAGAAATTCCATATTGACGAGTTTATCAAGGAGCAGCCCTGCCCCTACGGTGGCACATTCGGCGATATCATCGAGCAGACAACGCGAAAGATGATCACTACGGTCGTGGTCGAGGAGAAGTTCTACCACATGTGGCACTTTGGCCGTACCGTGCTCCTGGGCGATGGTAAGCAACAGACAAACAAGAATTAGGATAATGGCATCATTCCTCGTGGTTTTGGTGTTTTGGATATCTGAGTAATTGTTGACTGACTATGCCATGTTCTTTGCCTCCTCTTGTGCTATGCAATTGCATCGCACTCCGCTTATCTCGTTTCGTCACCGTACCACAGCGTGCCACAAGGTATGTATGAAAAAAATAATAAGACAGAGGCGATCGTAATCTGCCGCCAAATAAGCTATCGGCGGCTGTGTGCGATGCACGGACATTCCAGTCTCCGCTCTATCAATGTTACTAAAACAAGGCGTCCGTCCTATCTCTTCTGTTTACACCCTTGCTATCTCTCCTTGCTCTTTCATAATTCATCATCATCGCAACACTCCTATAGCTCCTCCCATCCTCTGGTCATGGTACGACGCAGGCCATCCTAGATGCCATCAGCCTGGCTTCGCTCCTGGCGGAGCTGCCCTCGAATTCTCCGAGCGATATCGAAGCCCTCTTCCGTGTACACTACGGTCGACGCGCACCCGGCGCAAAGGCCGCGGTGATTGTCTCGAAGAAGCAAGACCAGTTACTCTTCAATCGAGTAAGTGTCCCTGCTGTTGCCACATGTCTTGCAGATAACCATATTGACATGTCATTCGTAATGAATACCGTCAACTAACAAATGAACGAACGAATGAATCTCCTACTTATCTCATTCATATTTTTTTCGTATATCTTTTTGCCCCATGTATTCATAGAAAATGACAGGCAAGATTATGCGCAAGCTAGCCTCGAGCTGGGTGTCAGAGTGGATGAATATCACGATGTGTGATCGATTGTTCGAGTCCCGTCCGACGCTGCCGTTCCTCAAGCCCGTGCCGGATAGGGGCACGTCCAAGAACAAGGACAAGAGCGTGCCTCTGCTGCAAGATAAGCGGTACGAGATGGCACGGAGAAAATCTGTCTCTTCCGGATACAGCAGCGGAGGATCCGGAGGCAAACACCATGACCTGTGGAGCCCAGACTTGGATTTCGAGGCCCATAACTTCTCATTATCGATGCCGTCGATTTTGATGTTGCCTGCAGTGCCATCGCTGCCGACGACGAGGGCCATGGACCTGGAAGGCATGGTGCCGCCGAGGGTGTCGTCAAGGCCAGGCGAACGCCAGTATGATGGGCCAGGAATGCCCTGGAATCCGTACATGGACTCGCCCTATGTGTAAGAAGAAAGGAAGCAAGCAAGAGACAGAAGCGCAGGGCGCCTGAGTTTTTGCCACGAACAAATCATCCACCCGACCCTCCAACCGATACAACATAAGTAATTCTGCGGCATATACACTACTGCTCTACTCAACATAGTCTACATACATATACATTACGCAATTCTCATAAACGAATCCTCTGCCGCACCTGGAGTGCCGGTGCATCCACCAAACAAGAGTTGTTCTTCGTTGAGATCGTCTGAACTGTGCTAGGAGGGAGCGATATGCATCCATGGGGATTATCTAGGACCGATGCAATCTTGCCGAGGCGAAGGAGGGTGCTCCTTAACGCCGAATCGAAGAGACCTCGCCTATAAATACACAAGCACGACCCACGGGTGCATTTTTTAAGCAAGCCATCTCACGTATCCCCTCCTCTCTTCCCACTACTTTTCCTCACCGTTACTCCTTACCCTCCAATCCAATCCTCGTTCACCCTCGTTGCCCGTCTCCCACTTGCGCTCAAAGACAGCTATGCAGACACAAGCAACAGTCCTGCCCTCGCCCGCTTGGGAACACCAGGCTAACTCCTCCGTGGCCTGTCCGATTATGAACGCCGCCAACTTTTGTTCGACCTCAACGCTCAGCTCCCGCTCACACTCACACTCCTTCCGCTCTTTCCCAATGATGCCTCTTTTCACTGCCCCTACATCCCCTGTACTTCTACCGGAGATCATCTCCATCGTCTGCGCCTATCTCGACGCACCCTCGCTGGCTGTGGCCACAAGGATTAACAGGACCTGGTCTGCCATCAGTCTGCCGCTGCTCTACCGCGAGATCACCCTTGCCTGGCGGGGATTTAAGATCGATAGCCTGGAGCTGGGTGTTCGGCGGAATGGGCACCATTGTCGGAAACTGGCCGCTGCTCGAGAAGTGGTACGTTCGATGGTCTCATACCCCACGATGCATAGCATCACTGGAGAAGAAAAGTGTACTCATTTCTACACCAACCTTATTTTTTTATTTTTTTTCTGTAATTTTAAATTATAGAATCACTGGTGTTCTAGGATCATGGCGTTGCTGCGCGGCATGCCAAACCTTCTTGACCTCGACGCCACTTGGATGGACGCCGATCTACTCGCATCCCTGGTCTATCTCCAAAAACTCGAGCGGCTCTCGATCTCACGCCTCCAGGGCTCACAGTCCGAAGAAAACGAGTTCTTTGAGCCGTCCTTTCAGGGGTCCAGGCGAATTGTCGAACTCAACATGGCGGACTCGAGCCAGATGACGGATTCGGCTCTCGTCAGTATCACCAGGACCTGCCCTCAGATCCGCGTGTTGATTGTCTCGGGTAATAAGGGTCTCACTCACGAGGGGTTGATCCAATGGTGCGAACAGATCGCTACGTCCTCTTCGTCTTCCTCTTCGTCCTCGGCCAGTCTGCACCACCACCCCAACTATAGCTTTACCAACAGCAGGCTATATCTGTCAAAGGCACCAGTAGTTGGGATGACAGAGTTGACGACTATTAATTTCGCAAACTGCAACCAGATCCAGTCCACAGGGTTCCAGGCACTCTTTGAATGCTCCAGGAACCTCCAGCATGTGAACCTGATGTCAACACGCGTGGAGGATGCAGCCCTTCAAGTTTTAGCCTCCCAGAATAAGAGTCTAAAAAGCCTCGTTCTCAACTGCTGTGCCGCGATTTCGAATCTGGGCTTACAAACCTTGTTGAGACAATGCCGCCAACTTCGGGCGGTCTCGTTCCTGTACTGCCATCGGATCACCATCAGAGTATTCTTTCAGAACCTTTGGAAGTGTTTGGGTCTTCAAGAGCTGCGATTCTCGCTGAACGGTCGACATATGGACCTAATCGAACATGGACTCACAGGAGGAGCTCCAGCCCCAGTGATGGAAGTGAACCCGAGCGCGGTGACTACAGACACGGAGACTGAGACGGAGACGGGAATTCAGGGAGATGCCTCGTCTGTATTCTATGAGCCCCAGCTCGAATACTTGGTCTATGGCGGGCCCGAGTTGGATGATACCCCCATGAACTCAAATCAACTCTCAGCCTCGGTCAACAACATCAACACAACGCCAATGTCATCGCTTGCAGACCACTTCCATCGAGATGAAGACAATTCGTTCTCCTCGGTTCAAGAATATCGTCAGCACTTGATCCTTACTCAAGTCTACCGCCAGATCGAGCAGCTCACGCAGCTTTCGGTGCTGGACATGCGTGATATCCATCTGCCGCTGGATCTTGCTAAGGGTTTCTCACGACTGGGTCATTTGGAGAAGCTGCAAGTCCTTGAGCTAACTGGTCTTGGACAGCCCCTGGGTCAACCGGAGGTCGATTGGCTGTTGGGTGCGATGAATCAAGATACCTTGGTTGTTGAGGAACAGTCGAGAAGAGAGAAGACACCTTTGCCTTCATTGCATCAGTTGGTGTTTAAGGGAGGATATAGCATGTCGACAAAGCTACTTCAGAAACTGAAGGATCATAGACCGTGCCTGGAGGTGCAATTGACACAAGTCAAAGACCTCGCATAACCATTTCGCGAACATGCCAACATAGAGAATGAGCATTATTGTTTGCAAATAAAATATTTTTTTTTACAAAAAAAAAAAAAAAAAAAAAAAAGGACGCATGGTAAGTATAGAGAGAAGGAAGGTGAGGACGCTTATGGCAGGATGGACATGTAAGATGGTGTCAGCTCAACATGGTTGTTCCTGCTGATGGTCCTCTTGCCCTCCAGAGCGCCTCTTCTGCAAAGGTCTCTCACGATCAGGTGCCAAGAATCTCTCGTCAACAGGACCCTCCGTCCATAATTCCAGACCCTCTCTCGCTTCTGCTGATACTCCCTCTCAGGAATCGCTCTCAGAATCGCGTCCATCCGGTGAGCATCATTGCGCCGGATACGGATACTGAAACTGCTCCAGTCCACATCGTCCTCATAAGGCTCGACGATTCCGTCCGCGATGATCACAGGTACTACTCCGAATGCCAAATACTCCCAGATTCTTGTCGTGTCGAGCGTATGACCCATAGGGGCGAGTCCAAAGCGAGCTCTCGAAAGCAGCTTCATATACTTTTCGGTCTCCCATCCGGGCCCGATCACGTAATCCGGCTGCCGATCAAACCCGTTCAGAAGCAAAGACCGGACCCCTGCAGAATAGACATCATCCGGTTGGACATCACTGTAGCGTCCGCCGAACAACAGAAAGACGTCCCGATGTTTGTTACGTGGATGTCCAGCGCTGGTGAGGTACTGCATCGGATCGACTCTGACCAGGTCCAGAAGTGTCGTTGCTGAGGGAATCACGATATTCTTATACCGCCTGTAGCCCACGGCCGAAGCCCCGATCGGACGCAGATCTCCGATCGTCGTCAAGTAGGTCGCGTTCTCGAAGATATCCCTTTGCTGATAGTATTGTGACGACCGATCCATCGGATGCGCCATCAGATGGTCCTGTCCCCAGGTCCGGTTCCAATACGGCAGTTCCTGCTGCACATGCCGCATCATCGGTAGCACATACTTCTCATCGACGTCGCAATCGCTGCCCTTCTGGCCCAGAATAAACCAGCAGTGATTCAGGTACCGGGCTCCCAGGAATGGGATGTAAAAAAAATCAGCTTCTTCTGGATCCGTCGTCACATAGTTCTTGTATACACTTGATTCCGGGTCCCGGAGTTGTTCCAACAGAATGCGTTCAGAGATATAGGGGGTATGGACGGGCGGTACTTTGGCGTAGACCTCCTGAATTGCGGGTGGATCTGGGTAGACATAGATCTTTGGGCGACACAGCATCTTGTCGATGCTGGGCGGCCAGGAGAGCTGGGATTCGAGAGGCGCGACCGGGCTGGCGAGGATGGGGGTATAGCGAGTTGGGTTTTTGTTTATCCCTGCGTGTAAAGAGGATTTGTGAGTCCTTGCGCCCGCTAGTCTCCTCTCCAGGTCTGACTCCAGATCTGTGAAATAAATAAACGGACTTGGTTAATAAACAATCTTGCAATACCGCGTCGTAGAGACAAACCCAATGCGCATTGGCGTGTTACCATAGGGCGAAGGATTGAAAAACGTGAGGCGGATCAGGGTATAGAACCATGCGAATAAGACTCCACCGATGATGTATATCATCTATTTGCATGCGCAGAATGATTATCAGATCTTTCACTATGAACACTCGCATTTTTTTCGGTCCCCTTCCACTGCTCCGCCGAGCAGCTAGCATGGCAAAAAAGACAGGCTCAATGGATACGTACACCTCTCCGTGACAGCATTATTCGCTTGATGGTCTGGACAACGCCCTGGCGATGATACTTGTCATCTGGTGGCCAGAACTGGCCCTTGTAATAGTAGTTTGGCATAACGAGATCCGGTGCTGGAAAATATGAGAGGATCTTCTGTAAAGGGTGACAAGAGACAGGAAGAAGGAGAAAACCGGAATGAGAAAGGAGATGAGGATGAGGATAAGGATGAGGATGAGATCGAGGACGAAGAGGAAGAGGAAGACGATGATGATGATGAAGGCGAAGACCTTTCAGATGGGGTGTGATGTGTAGGGCGGTAGTTTAGGTTGGCATTCCCTTGATCACAAACCTTAAAGTTTTACTCGGCTGAGAACTACCGCTCCGTTGGCTCCCTGCTGCTCTTGTCAAACTCCCAGAGGCATGATTCTTTTTCGTATAACAATATATGATATGATGCGAGTCGACGTGAGAGGATATGATCGTGTTTATTAGTTGTGATGTCGATGAAAATAAATTACCAAGATTGATTGTCTACAAAAGAAAAAAAAAAAAAGCGTTCCTGTCGATAATATTTACAATGCCGTAGGAGGAGGAGACGATGTCCGCGGCCCGCCTATTCCTGCCCCTACAGCCATCCCAGCTCCAGCTCCTGCCCTTGTCCTTACTGCTGTATTCGTCCCTGAACCTGCTCCTGTCGCTGCGATAGCGTCCTGCTGCTTTACCTTGCTCATGAACCCTGCTACCCGCGACAAGTCCAGACTAGCTCCGTCGCTCTCTACCGCCAACGTCAAGGGCACCAGCATTTCATCGACCTTGTCCAGCGGGATATTGCAGCAGACTGAAATTACCTTCCGGCACTGCAGCTCCTTATCCATCGACTGGCCTGTAATCTCAACCAGTTCCTGCGCCAACTCCTTCTCATTCTGCTCGTACGCAAGAATACGTGACCGCAACAACAACACCTCCTTCCGTAGCTGCATCTCTCTCTCCCTCTCCATATCATTTGATCCGTCCTCCACACCATCGGTACCACCCATACCATTGGTGCTCTCGACAACATATAATGGCGGTCGGGGAGCAACATAGAACAGTCGATCAATGTCGTCATTAGTACTGTCCTTTTGCCGCAGTGCTCCAGAATAGCCCTTCTGACTCCGTGTCTTTTGTGATTCTTCCTCCAGAGACTGCTCCAGGTTCTTAATCTTGTGCTGCGCCTCCACAAGCCGTAATACTTTGTTGCGGCATAGTTTGATTATCCGCCGGGTGTCTGAAAGCTCGCTGGTTGCGTGGCGAAGCAAGGCTTGTGTATCCTGAAGCTGTCCTTGTCGTGCCATAATCTCGTGCGAGAACTCCAGATCGAGCTCATCCACCATCTTTTGAACAACTGAAATGGCACATACAAGGAAATAGGCACACCAGCGGTCAGTTTAATGGTGCCTTTTATAGTCATCATGAATAACAGAACAACAGCGTGGCAGAGAGCACCTACCATTCATCAGATCTTTGCCCCTGTGTGCAAAAGGCTTCGATTGAGCCGACTCGACATTGGATGCTGGCTTGACAGGACGTGACGGAGGAGGAGCTCCTGATGAACCAGCCTAGTAGGAAAAAAAAATGTCAGCAACAGATACTTAGCTTCAGAAGTCTCAGCATCGGCACATGGGATCATTGCAGACCACGTACCAGGAAATCGTCCAGACCAAAGTCTTCAGCCTTCAGACCGACCTTGTTCTCAATCTCACGATTCGCTCCAACGTCCATCAACATCTTTGCCAGGTACCGATCCCCAACCCTCGCCGCAATCGTCAGCGCCGTGTCTCCATTCTTATCCTGTACATCCACAATCGATGCGAAATCGCCTCCATGTCGTGCGATCCACTCAAACAAACATTCCATATAATACCGGGAGCTCGTTTCTCGCCCACGGATTCCTGCGGTGACAGCAATATGGTGGAGCAACGTCCGGTTCTTCCGATCCACCAAAGGAACCGCCGAATGAAGTAGACTCAGCACATGCGGGAACGATTGCTTGTCAAAGTTGTTGGTCACCAGCACCGCTCGCACCAGTGCCGACTCGCCATTATAGTTGACCCGTCGAATATCCGCCTGCTTCTGCACCAGCAAGTCCAATACCGATATCCTCGCCAGCGCTGCCGCCCAATGCAAAGCCGTATGGCCCTGGTCATCGATTACAAGGTTGATGTCCAGATCAGGCGGCGGTATCGGGTTTGTCAATAGATCTGGGATCTGTTCCTGGTCGTCGTTCAAGAAGATGCTCATGAGGATTGTCCTGTACTTCTCGGTCCCCTCCAACGGTGGTTCCTCTAGCTGTTGATCTGGGTGATATCCGGGTCCACGTCCATGACCATAATCTCTTTCATCATATGGATCGCGGTGATCAGGGTGCGACGAGCGTGGATGATATGAGTGCTGACCACGATGATGATGATCCAAGGACGGGAAATGGCTCAAGTGCGGTCGGGATGGACCGTCGTCGTCGAATTCATGTAGCGGTGGCGGTGAGTTATTAGTCCTTATTCTCTTCCTGGGCGGGTGTTCCGTGTGCCATTGGGGTGAAGGTGGGATCGAGGGCGAAGATGCGTTGAAGGACGGGTGGAGTGGAGATGGTGTCATGGAAGAGGCGTGGTGGAAAGATTGTGAGCCTGACGCATTGGGCATGGCTGAGCTGCTTCGGCCTCGCTTCATTGCCGGACTCATCCTAGGCGAACCAGACAGTTTCTTGGGTTTGGGTCCATCCCTGGCCTTGATGGCCGCCTGAACCATCTCCTTCGTAGGCGTAACCGTATCAGATTCTCCTGCTGGGATCTCGTACTCGAAGAGCGTGCGCAGATACGGCTCCACTTTGTATTGCTTCGCCAAGTTCTTTCCGCGTTGAAACGGAACCCTGTTCCATGCCACAAGGCAGTACGTCAGTGGTTCTGTCATTGATACCATCAAAGACCTAGTTTGTAGCAACAATTGAATTCTCACCAGGTTCCTTGGTATTTGCCATAGCCTCCCTGGACTTTCTCATGCTCGCCGGACAAGACCTCGCGTTCGAGTATTTTTGTGCGCTTTCCCTTTTCGATGCCTGCAACCTTGAGAATCTGAGTGGCATTCAGATACGAGTCGTGCTTGCGTCGCATTACGGCGATGCCGCGACACATAAGCTCATAAACGGGCACGCCCGAGTACACAGCCGTGTAGATGTGGTGGCCTGCGTCGGTCATCCCCAGAGTGTGCGATGTGGGCGGTATGTGTGTGGATGGTAAGAATCGAGCGATGGGAGAGAAGGGAAGACAGCTGGGTGGACGATGAGCGTAGGTGAATGTGTCGGATGGGAACCCATGCCTTTTTTTGCCGCTGGACCACCTGGGCTCGGCATGAGCGTGGCGTGTCTCAAAAGAAAAATGTTTCTGCGTATATAGCGCGTTCGCGCGTACGTGTCTTCGTGACAGTTGGACGTCCATGCGCGAGAAAATGCGTCTACGCCTACCTGACAGACGCGTGTCAATGGTATATCATCTCGTGCGCGAGGTTATTCCTTCCCCTTTGTTATTAATGCTGTATCTATTATATTTGCTTTGACCTGGCTTGCTAAACCACCTCCCTTTCAAAGTCTATCTCCTTTACAGGATTCCGTTCGAGTAGTATTGGAAGGTATCATAAAGTCGCGTAAAGACGTTGCAGCAGCTGCTCATAATCAGCTTCTCCACAAACTCCTCCGCCTGGACCTCTGTCAAATTGAGCGCTAACCGATCCCGAACAGCCTGCGCTGCGTTGTCACCGTACTGGAAACACGGCAGCTTTGAGTCCTTGGACATCATGTCGATCAACAGCACAATGTTTTCGGTATGTTTTCGCACCGCCATGAAGGCCTTCTTCAAAAGCTGCTTGAACTCTGCAAACTTCTCGCTGTTAACTCCTCCAAGCACATCCAGATATTCCTGCGGCAGCTTGAACGGCGCAAGCTCGAATCCAACAGAGCCCGGAGAGTTCGACAGCATGAATCCAAAATCAATGTGGATGATGTGGCCCTCTGTATCCAGCAGGATGTTGCCGTTGTGCCGGTCGCGGATCTGAAGAACATATGTGATTACAGAATAGGCAGCCAAGGACCGCATAAAGTTGTCCTGCGCCTTAATATACTTTTCGCTTGCTGGATCGCCGAATTTCTAAAGATTCATAGCGCGAACATATCAGCAAGGAGTGTCTACAGACACGATCAACTCCACCGCAGAATACAGCGTCCATGTCATATTACCTGCTGGAAGTAGTCGTAGAGGGTAAAGACGACTCCGACTTCGTTCAATCGACGAGCATAAGCATCCTTCTTGATAGAGTGGATCGAGATGGTGTTGCGAACGGTCTCGATCAAGCCAGAGTTATCTGAAGTAACAAGGATACGCATACTGTAGAGCAGAGAAAGTAAGCGGTACATTAGCAATGTCAGCTAACACAATCCTGATAAGCCATTGTCGCCAGTCAATAGAATTCAAAGTCTTACTAAGTGATCCAAACATCGATCTTGGCACGCTCCCAGATCCATCCCATTTCACGGATCAATTGGCAGGCCAGCTGCTCTTGCCTCAGGTCCGCACCTTGCTTCACAATCACAGAGAGCAGCTGCCAGGACGGCAAATGACCATAGGGTGAATTCTCTCTGATACGGCTCATCTTGGTATCCCAGTCTTCAGAGAATACAGCAGCTATTTCATACCAAAAAAAAAAAAAAAAAAAAAAAAAGTATAAGAGACGGGTCAGTTTTCAGTGTTCGACATTATATGCCATGCGAGTGTGGAAACAGGGCAATAGTGCGTGTTCCTACCACTTGGATCATCAGTGGTAACGTTGGCCATGATCTTGCGCTCGTCCTCCAGCATCTCGCTTCCAGCACCTTCGCCGCCGCCACCTCCAATTCCACTGCTTACACCCTCGTCCTTCATTCTCTGCATTCTCTGCTCCTCCAAGGCCATCATCTCCTTTATGATCTTGGCCCGAATATCTTCGACTGATGTCGCCTTTGCCTTGATGCTCGAGCGCGATTGTGCACTCGTTCTCGAGTTACTACTTGCGCCTGCGCCTACCTGCTGAGCAGCTTGTTGTTGGCTCAGCTGGGCTAGCATCACAGCTGCCGTCCTCATCTTCTCTGCAAAATCATCCGCGCTGTTGGATGCCCGACGCTTCAAAACCGTCTGAAGGTATGCCTCATTTGAGCGAGATTGAGTTGGTGGTCGAAAGGAGCCTCCTGCAGAAGGTGAGAGTGGTGCGGGGCTCTTCATCCGTCCAGTGAGATCCACGGAAACGACAGGGCTAGCCGGTGAGGGCGATCCTGGGGGTGAAATTGTTAGATCGGCCAGTGAGCCTACAGGTGGTCGAGGCGCCCCATCAACCGAACGGCCTCCATTCTCGACACCGTTGGGTGAAATAGAGTCGTCTGCTTTTGCTGACAGTGTCTCGTCGGTATCATAGTCATTCTGTTCGCTGTTTTCATGCGAGGCAATTGCGTGCTCGAGTTGAATGGTTCCATCCTCGTTCATCTGCACCTCCTTTGTATGGTATTCATGCCCATGGTGGCTGCCGTCCTCAGACTCATGAAGGTCCCTGCGTTGCGCCCGAATCTCTTCAACGCTCATATCCGTTTCGAGAACTTCAACTTGAAGTAAATAAGGCACCTATGCAATTATAAAGTTAAACGTTAGAAACCAAACGAAGCCGTGTTCAAAAATAAGACAGCGTTCTGCGATATAGCGAGTAACGCAATGAATCTGAACTTACGCGATCTGCAGAATTCAAGACGACGGCATCTTGAGGTGGTATACGCACAACGCGGTGGTGCGAAGGATGCTCAACTGTGGCCTTGCACCAAAGCGGCACACAGATCTCGGCTGGCAAGTTGTGGTTTAGCAATGTGAGCTCAGCACGGAGTGCACTCAAACGTGCTGGTTTGGGTACAATCACGAGCCTGGTCGCAATATCGACCAGGGCCAACAGGAACTGCATCTCTGAGTGGAAATATGAGCGCCTTGCCAACTCCAGAGAGGCAGCTGAAGATCGTCCATCCATTGAGTCCCGATCCGAGAACCGTAGGCTGATAGGCGACGATGGAGCGGTATCGTGACTGTATCGCGGGCTGGCGTAACGGTCGCGTCGCAGCTTGAAAGCTTGGCCTCCTCGAAGGTCTTCCAGTGATGGCGACGTGACAACGTGATTCCGTTGGATATTGTGGACAGTCGACACACTCATTCCTGCAACGGTCGCATGAGGCGAGCCCGGTTCTCCTGTAGCGGATCGAGGGGTGGTAGTTCCTTCGGCATCGTGCTTAGTCATGCTTCCCGCTGGCGTGGACCGGCCACTTTCTTGTGGAGACGCGTGACTGACATGACCGGGCTGTTGCGATTCTGTTTGATTGGTGTGCTGCTGCTGCTGATGATGAGATTGTTGCTGTTGCGGCTGTTGCTGGGTTTCGGCTTGTTGTGATTGCGTCTCCCCTGCAGCACTCTCCTCGGCATTATCCGCAGTTACGCTGAACGCCCTGGGCCGTCGACCTTGAGCAAGGGCTAATTGACCCGGACTCTTGGTCATTAGGGGCTGACCGAACGCTGCGAGCATGACGCCCATGCCGACCATGGCTGAAAACGCATTCTCCCTAACTTTTGGAACGCCGTTTTTAACATAGATGTCCTCATATTCTCCTGGCGTCTCTGTTGCAAAGACAATTGCCTGGCACTTGTTGAACACGCGTTTGCACAGTTTGAACGAAGGTGTGTTGGGTGAAGCAGCGAGATCTGACGTGTAAGCCTGCAGGTACCATAATGTCTACACGAGAAATCAAGTGTAAAACAATCAGTATGCATGCATCAATTGTGGTCACCATATTCTGCCTCATGAACCTCGTGCTGTCCGTAGTATGGTGCCGTCACTTCCAATCTGAAGCCCAATGGCTGCTCTCTGAACGATGAAGAGAGATCTCTGGTTCCTGACACTTTCTAGGTTCGATGAACCAAAGTCCTGTCGCTGCTGGGTTCCTTTATTCCTGCGACACAAAAACGTTATCCTAGGATGAACAATTGGTTCGCTTACCAGGATGGCCATATGCGACGATATCTGGCACCGGTCCAGAATGAAGTTCTCAAGCGCCACGGACTCTGAAGGCCGGCTGATCAGCAAATGTCTATCGGGTTAACAAACAGCAAACAGGGTGCACAGGGCATGCGTGTTAAGAACGCGTCCAGGGCTGGAGCAAGCAGCGTCCTTTGTATTCATTACACCTTCTACGTCCTGGTTTCTTACACAAGCTGGGGGAGAAAGAACTCAATCTCGTCGAGAGGGAACTTCTTCAGTTCATTACACAGATAGTGCTGGATGCCAACGGCATCTGGGTATTTGAACAAATAAGAGACCGCGATCCAGGCGTTGAAGAATTCCGACTTGAACAGCCGGAGCAGCATCGAGTTCCCCGAATTCATCATATTGACGTGAAAGGGAAGATGAGGAAATGGAGGGATCGGCTGGAGGAAGGGCGGTAGCGCTTCTTGTTTAGATGATGAGGGATGATGACAAAGGAGCAAGAGTGATCGTGTAAAAAAACTCAACGTACCAGAGGCGATAACTTTAAACATGATCTCGTGTCAGTGGGGAAGTGGGCAGGGCCAAGTGAGCAAGTAAGAAGCAGTGAGCAAAAGGACGGACCCACGCCCAACATCCCATCCAGACATACTGTACGCAGCCGATTGCGCACCATGGGACATTTGCATATATATTATGCTCTGAGACTAAGATACATGATCTCCAGTTCGACACTGAAGGGTAGCCGATAACACCGTTTTTGAATAAGGGATCTGGTTGTCAACACTTTTTATTACGCTTTATACTTTTTTTTTTTTTTTTTTTGCTGTGGATTACTGGATCCTGTATGCTAGGATGATACGTCGAAACAAGATGCTACGATTAGTATCCGGTCATTCAGACAGTTCAATGGGGTCCATTTGCATCGATGTAGATGTAGGTGGAGGAAGACCATCAGATAAGATCAAGTTAAAAAAGCTTCATTGCAATGACGCCTCCTGACTAGGAGAATGGATACTCAGTTTTCAAGTGCAACCCCAAAATAAAGAAACTCTCCAGGTACAACGGGTCGAAGAGGGCCAACCATCGCCAAACCACTCGAGCAAGGAGATCTTGAGATGACCCCATATCACACACACACACCCTAGGTCTCGCAAGCCTTGGCACATAGCTCCTCATGGCACTCTCCTGGTTCTCTGTCTCCTCTCGGTTAGGCAAGTGTTTCCAATTGAAAAAAAAAAAAAAAAAAAAAAAAACAGGCCGTAACCATCGCGAGATTCGAGGGAACACAAGGAGTCCAACAGCGCCTGGATTCACCATATCGCTGGCATTGTTGAACACGAAGGGGAGGTTTTGCCCTGTGATATGGGGTAGTTAACAAGAAAAGCCCAAGGTAGTCGAAAGCATTGTCTGCCGATCGACCCAGTAAGCATCCTGAAGGAATCATCTCGAGGAGCGAAAACATCCTGATCCATATACGCACTTATTGCTCTGTTCCGCTTTATCATCATGTGGTCTCTCATTCCTGTGCTTTGGTCTTGTTGTCTTGTCGAGTGTTAACTTACTTTCGCGGTGGTTGCTGGACAAGAAGAACAAAATGGACGAGATCCTCAGTTGATGTCTAGTAGCCCGCATAAGCCATCACCTGACACCTGACCGATGGAAACACATTAAAGAGCACACCATGGCACAAGAAAGGTACTACTGAATTTCTTCATTCTCTACTCTTTTTATATATGGATGGATTCTGTGATAAAGCGGTGGTGTTGATAGTAGCGAGTCAAGAATTATAAAAAAAATCGCATCGTCGTAATCCTCCTCCTTAGGTTCTGCGCTTCAAGTTGTTCGACAACCACTCAAGACCCTCATAAAGACCATCTCCAGAGGTGGCGCAGGTGGCCTGGATGTACCACTGGCGCTGGCGAAGAGAGTGAAGACCGAGTTTATCGGTGATCTCAGCAGCGTTCATGGCGTTAGGAAGATCCTGCTTGTTGGCAAAGACAAGGAGAAGAGCCTCGCGGAGCTCGTCCTCGTTCAACATGCGCTGGAGCTCCTCACGGGCCTCAGTGATACGATCGCGATCGTTTGAATCGACAACGAAAATGATACCCTGGGTGTTTTGGAAGTCTAAATGGACGAACAAAGATCAAAGAGATATATGTTAATCAAAGTGAACATATATGAAGATCATCTGCTTCAAAGGTCCAACTCAAATTCTTTTATCGCAGACTAGTACGATAGAACAGCATGAAGCTTCAAGCTACTCAATATGCTGCCATTGTAATCGCAGACAGCATATTGGCCATGCTGTATAATCGAGCAGACACAAAAAAGGGTAATTGCTCACGTACAATGGCGCCACAGAGGACGGATCTTATCCTGTCCGCCGACATCCCAGACGGTGAAAGAAATGTTCTTGTACTCGACGGTCTCGACGTTGAATCCTAAGACAAGAGCATGGAAACAGTTATTAGAAACACAGCTCGAGGTAAGAGAGACCGGGGAACACAGGATTGGTTGTTTGTTTGTTCATATCCAGCGCAACAAGGCAAGAATGTCGTATCATTCAGGCACATGAAGATAAAAGCACAAACAGGCATATCTCGTGACCCAGCCAAGCACCTATAATACACCAAAGGCACTGGATCAAGGACGAAAGAAAGAGGCAGGGATGAAGAAGGAGATGGACTTCCTAAGTCGATCACACCTTTCATTCCTGCCGTCTAAAAGTCCCTAGAATCAGCTCCGATCACTCCAGATGACCACAACAAAAAAAAAGCGAGATGAAAAAAATAAACACAGTAAAAGTGACGCAGGGGCTCTACTGAGGGAGATGATTACAAGTTGTGTTCGTCTTACGCCGCAAAGGTCGTATGGCGATGAAGGGTGGAGTAGATGAGAGGCGAAAGCTGGATGATGCCGAGTGTACATCAAAAGTGCAGTGAAAGTGTACTCCACATCAGGGCCGATATCAGGTCTAACTAGGCATTTTTTTTTATTTTTATGAGAGTTGGGTCCTTACCGATGGTGGGGATGGTCGTGACGATCTCGCCCAGCTTGAGCTTGTAGAGGATGGTGGTTTTACCAGCGGCATCCAATCCGACCATCAGGATGCGCATCTCCTTCTTACTGAAGAGGCCCGAAAGCAGCTTTGAAATAGACAGACCCATGATGTTAAGTGCTGATTGGTGAAGTGAGAGAGAGGGATGATGAAAAAGGATGATGGAAACCAGAGAAAAAAAAGGTTCGCTTCATTTCATAGGGCACGAACGCCATCCACACGCAGGGGAGGAAGATTTTCTGTCGCTTGAGCTGTGTCCTCTCAATTGGATGCTGCCCATGATCCATATCGGACCCGATTCACATCGCAGTCGACAGTCTCAAGACGAACAACTACGACTTTCTGCAATTCAACTACTATTCATGACATCTTTTTTATTTTTATTTTTGCGGCTCGTTATTTGCCAAAAGGACGCTGGAGCTTTATTGTATGTGCGTTCGCGAAGCAATTGGATGACTATTTGTTCTATCAGTAGGTATCCCATCATGCCCATTGTCCCATCGTCAGACTGTGGTAGAGTCTTGATGAAAAGTGAAAAGAAGTTGTTCGAATGAGAGAAGAGAGGTGAAGGTAGGTGGACAACAACAAGGTTTCGGAGAGATGAAATAACAAAATGCTGACTGAAAAGCATCTAAGCATCCTCCTCCTTCTCGGCAGGGGCCTTGGGTGAGGGACCCTTAGCAGCCCATTGGAACTGGCGCTAGTATGTCAAGATAGGCAAGCCAAGAACATCAAGCGTGTTAGTCGAATATATGATGTCTCAATGTCTTTTTTCCTTGAGCTAGATACCCCTACGCCGCTGTACCAATCATTGGTGCCACTGGTCATCCTGCATAATATCCGTTGAATTCCTATAATCGTTTTTAGCACCATGTAAAACTATCTTCCCGATAGTTGCATCGGTCGACATCCTGATGGTACAACGACGAACTTTTGAAGTATGCCTCCACCTGAGATAGATAGTCTTGTTTCCAAAACCAAATCGGTAGCTCCGTGAAAGATAGTTGAAACCTCCTGATGTTATCCTGAGCTACCAGTCCGTGAATGAGTATTGTTGATGTTGCCTCGGGAGATGCAGGTTGGGGGCCAGCTTACATCGTATTTTTCAGCAACGAACAAGATTCCGGCAGGGATCACGAGTCCGAGGAGGGCGACGGAACGGACATTACGTGCGCTCCAGCGGAAGTAAGGCGCGGTCGACTCGCGCATGCGGACCCACTTTTCAATGGCGGGATCGGGAGTCAAGTATCCACCCATGGTTGTCTGTTGAATATGGCGAGTAAAGGAAAGAGTGTTGGTGAAAGGAGGCGAGAGGGTGGATCCGATGGTTTGATGAATAGAAAGTAGCTAGCTCGTTTCTTGCCGAAAATACGTCACCGAAGACGCTCTTCCCGCCAGGACGTGCCACCTCTAAACTAAAAGTGTGCTTGCTAACTAACACACAAATGAAAATAAAGCTAGACTAGCTAAACTGTTTGGCACGTCCACCACCAACTCGCCCTTGCCCTGGCTCCACCGCGCTACTTCTGCCGCTGCTCCTGCTGATGTTGCTGCTAACGGCTTCTGTATGCAATCTTGCATTCTGCATCCAAGGGTAGTGCTTATTTTTATCCACCGGTTGAAGGTAGAGAGGTCGTTGTTGATTGACCAAATGACCACGAATCGCATTGGCAATGTTGTGTCCCGTCATGATATCGCGGTGCATTTAAGACTTGCAGGTCGAGCAGTACAGCCTACGGATCTCGACCTGCCCGACAAACTTCTCGTATGTCGGGCACTTCTTGGACGTAGAGTATTCATTTACACCAACCATGATGTAGCCGCCTATGTGACACCAAGACGAAGTCAGCAAAATATACAAAACGATTTTACACGACATGGAATCTTTAGTGATAGTACCCTTACCTATTGAACAAAGTATGACTGGAAAGATCCATGTAGCGAGAAAAGTCTCGTCTTGGTTGAAAACTTGCCCAAACCGACTCCAATAACCATCTTGTTAGCTTCATCCCTCTTTCCGCCGATCGACCCGCCAACCAACTTGAGTAGGCGATCCGTTATGAGTCTTTACTCTGCATCTCTGGCCCTTCCTGCATCCCGCTTGTGCTTCTTGAAATGGTTGTTGCCGTTGTAAAACCCATCGAGTTGTCCCTTTACTATCCCGAGCTCCGTAACATGACTCGCAAAGCTGGTGCACTTGAGCGGGTCTCTTTTCTTCTGAGGAGCCGCCATCCAGGTAAAGAACCAGGTTCGCCTGGGTCCCAAGCTTCCGTACTTCTCGCTCAATAGCGCAGTGAGCATCCTCCATGGGGTATGAGGAGTAGGTGTAGCGGACGGTGACATAAAACGATCCAAGGATGTCGACTCGAATCATCGAATTGTGGTCAAAAGAGTTGGGAGGTTCAACAAGCGGGAAGACTGATGGCGAAGAAACAGGTTCGTGCTCTTTCTTCCGTATAAAGGGCCACAGGCCCTCAATGCCTATGGTTGTCTACGCGATAAGAAGATATGGAAACTTTTTCGAACAATGACAATGAAGGAAGATGAGAGTGTGGGAAAAGTGAAGGAGCGTGAGAGTGTATGAACAGGAAAGATCTGGCAAGCCAGAGAAAAAAAAGTGTAAATGCAAAAGACGCACAGATCCTTAAGCTCAAAAGGAAATTGACATTAAGCAGGGGGATTCTCACATACGATCGCCAGGAACCTGACTACAGTACTCAGCTTTTCATGCTGTGTAACATGCCCTAAGAGTCTGCTTCTAAATCTCTCTTGCTCTCTCGGCACTTTTTTTTATCTATCTGTCTGTGTCTCTGTTGCTGCTTTCTTTTCTCCCTTCAACAGATTATGAATGAGAATAGGCTGATAAGACTGTTGAATCTCTGAGGCCTATCGAGGACGAGCCACCTGGAAACCCTCCCGTACACACGTCCACATATCTGTTTAGGAATGCCTATTGCATATATGATTACCAACTCTGAATCTACTGTAGATTTATTGCTCGTTCAGCAGATTTCTACAGGCGATATTTCGGATATAAACCCCCTCCCTTCCATTATGGCGCCATTTTCGACCAGAGCCTTGAGGTTATCTCGATGTTTGTAACGCGAGAAGCTGACATGCAGCTGCCCTGCACCAAAGACGTGCTGAGGAAGGTAAACACCAACGTGGTCAAGTGTTTGTCCTTGCGCCTTATTAATGGTCATGGCAAACGCAGGCTTGACAGGAGACCGGCGCCTAGTGGACTTGATTGGCGTAGATGCGTCATCCAGGGTCGTGAGAGGTATGCGTGGAATAAGCACCGTTCGTCTCCTGAAGTCACCGTTAAGAACCTCGGCACTGATGTATCTCCGATGGAGTGCTCGGACAATCAGACGGGTACCATTGCAGAGGCCGGATTTCCCGTCCATGTTTCGAAGGAGAATGATGGGCTGGCCCATCTTCAGCAGCAACTCATAGGGAGGCATACCTGGAGGATTGAGAGGATTCAGGTACTCTACAGGATACGTGCAACAGGAGTACCACTCAGTTACCAAGCTGCACGGTTACGACACGCAGAACCAGGATGGAGCCCGGCACCATGGCGACACCGTTACGACACTGTACAATAGGCCACAAACATGTATATATAGACCTCGCTTATGATCATTAAACAGCATTCATTTCTACGCATTCATACTTGACCACTGCCCTTGACCCCTTGGCTCTGCTGCTGTTGCAAGAACTTCCGCTTTCTCTTACCTTGATGGTTTTAACCTCCATCTCAATTTTTCGGAGACGGGTGTGAATTACCGTGAAGAGTGTAATAAAAGGAATCGCGATGATGCTCCTCTTTTTTTCGTAAAAGTCACTGTAGCCAACATTACGGATGTTCATAGTTCGCCGGAATAATCCAAGTACCTAATTGATATCCCCGGTTGAAACAATGTTCTGAAAAGCAAGGTCGACGTCTCGAGGATCAGGTTGAGACGATCCAGAGTAGCTTTGCCCAACGCGTACTGCGGCGCTGTGGTTGAACGCCAACCCACCAATATGAAGCATGTAGCTCAGCCACGCTGGTTTGCTGGCTTCAATGTCGCCGGCTTAAAAGAGTATACATGAAGCAAGCTACGACTGTTAGCGAAGATAATCATGTATAAACACAAAGTACGATAACCGTTTAACGCACCAACTGGGTAAGGCAGAGTGATTCTTGAAGCTTGTCTACATAAATCGGATGGTTCCCTGATGGTAATGCCTGATTCCTAAGACTCCCGGAAGTGATACTGCTTGCCACAGGCAAGGCTGCAAGCATTTGGAGTGCGGGTTCAGGAACTTCTGAGTTGCTAACAGCCTGTCGTGAACCTATGCTTATTCAGAGTCAAGATGACCTTTTTCTAAGTAAGGCAGATACGGACAAATAGTGGCAAGTATTCAGGACTCCAAGCAATCTTTAGAGCGGAGGAGCGGTCAACCGCAGAAAAATCAAAAGGCACTGGCCAGATGATACTTTCCCGCTTTTCGCACCTCGGTCGACGTCAAGACTCTTCAACAAATTAGAAGAATAGGTCAATAGCGGACTACACTGAAAAAAAAAAAGTATTGTCACATACCTGGAAGAGAGCCTCATAGTCTTGCCTGTGCTCTACGCCATGAAAATGAGCCAAAGTTCTGAGAAATAGAGACTTGCCGAATCGACGTGGCTTCAGGAAGAGCAGCACATATTCAAGAATGCAGATATGTAGCTGGTACGATCGAAGTAGGCGTATAAGTGGGTTCGCGCGGATTGACTCAAAGTTGCTCTTGTCATTGAAAGGGGGGGGGGAAGCCTTTGAACTTCTCCTTTCTTAAAACTAGCGAGGCTTCCCTGTAGTTGCAAGGCTCAATTGTCAACTTTGCCCTAACAGTTTGTTATTTCACATCCGCGGAATTCCACTTTTTCTTTCCAAGTGAAGTAGCTGCAGTCAATTCTGTATTAGTAGAAATAGTGGGAAGAGAAACTCTCATTTAGTGGGGGTTTCCTATCGTTGTCAAGGCTCAGTATTCAGCACAAGTACAGCACAGAAAAGACAGCGGGTAAGTCCAGGCGCTGAGGGCAGTATCTCCTAATTCATCGATATATTATCATGTAGCACTGCTTGCATAGAAGTGTATGATAATGAACCGCGCGAAACCTTGTTCACATCATTAGGTGAAGGAACGCGATGAGATGCCACCTTTGCTGAACAAGGTTCACGCTTCAGAGTCCAAGGAGAAACTACTCGATCTATGGGACGAGCTCAAGGGGCCAACATGCACAAAAAGCCGGCTTAATCCGGTATATCGAGAAGAACTGGATTAACGATGAATCAATGCCAACGTGGGTGAATTTTACCAGGGGCAGAAGTTCAATAAGGTTCGCGCCTTTTTTTTTTTTTTTTGGCATTGAACTTGGGCGAAGTTGCCCAGATTCAACCCAAGTTCTATGCGCAATGCCATTGGCTCATATCCTCTTTTTTTTTTTGGTGGCAACAAACGATGAAAAAAAAATCCCCCCCGAATGCGCTCATGAACTGGTATTTGCCTTTTTGCTTTCTTCATCGCTCTACCATCTACCCGCTTCTCCCGTCCATGCTTCACCCCATGAGCCCCATGCAGATATACTACACTTCGACAGGCTGACATCACTGTCAACGTCGTCGCTGTAGGTGTCGGTGTGGCTGTCATTTTAAGTAGTGTGGGTTGCCAAAAATATCGCTGTCGTTGCTCATTGTCAATGCGGGGTATGCGGAGTGGCATATTTTTAAGAGAAATAGAAAAGTGAGATGTCCCTCCCCTCGGTGTGCAGTCGAATCTGGTTTATCGGCACCCCTTTTCGCAATGAAAGATTATCGAAGTTGAAACTTTATTTCACTTTGGAAAATGGTTTCGCAAACTGGTTAATTAAAAAATCCTGGCAGGCTCGTTCCCAGCCTGAGAGGGGAAAGATTGTGCAATAAGCGGTGCGCATTGCGCAATCTTTCTCCCTCAGGCTGGGAACGAGCCTAAATCCTGGCACGTTTGACACGGTTTAAGTTAGCCGTCATCTCGCCTCCCAGTCGTTTGACTTGATTCAGCACTGCGACGTATTCCTTTGCGAATAGCTGGCGTATGTTGTTGTTGTCGATTGTTAATGGAATCTCGAAGTCGTCCTCGCCGTGTTTCATAATGAGAGGCTCGTTTTTGAAATACTTGGCGACCTCTGCAGGATATGAGACAATAGGGCTAATGTAGTGTTTGTGGGGCTTGCAATACTTGCCGAGGTCGATACCATGGTTGTTGATCTTTGTTGGCTGGACCGTCTCACGGGCTTTTTCTGCATCGGACCGGCCAAGTTCGGCGCGAAGCTTCAGCTGAACAAACACTGGGCAGGTGATGTCCGTCTTATCCGCAGCCGCATCCCTGAATCGGACGACAAAAGCAATATCGGGGCCTGACTCATGAGCCTTGGGAAAGAAGAAAGGCGGTACGGGATCCCCCTTGTGCTCAGAGTCATGGTAAAAGTGGGCATCCAGAAAATCTGTTAGAGTCATGGTCTCGTGGCAGGTCGTCTGCATCGCAGTCGTCCGTCCAACAATCTCTGCCCGGCGTTGGAACATCCCATGAGGGGGCTCAGCGCCGTTGAACAGGTCCCTTGAAATGACCTTGTTGTGGAATATCCCTTCCAGATTCGTCGGCACTATGCATTCCCAGTACTCCCCACGCTTTGCCTCACTGGTGCATGTCGCCAATAGATCGGCTTGATGCTGAAAGTATCCTGGATCCGTCTTCCGAAAATAATTGTTTGCTGCTCGGAACACGAATGGCTCGTCGATCACCGTGTATCGTTCCCCATTGTATCGTCGGATTCGGCCAAACGCGATTTCCACCAACTCAGGGAGCTCCCCTTTGTATGCCATGAACCCGCCTTGTGTGTTGAATGCGGCTGTGGCAACCCTCAATGTCAATTCAACGCTTTGGAACCGGGCAAACGTCATCGGCTCGGCCTTCACCCGGTTCAGCACGCGACTCAATTCGGAACACAGGTTACCGTGGAAGAGCTCCTTCTCGACAACGTTGGTGGAAACATCTGCCGTCGTCAAGCGGTACATGAATTCGTCGACGCTCTCTCTCCACGTTGTTGGATCGTTCTTCATGATAATGTCCTCGATAATGGACACAATGGGGCGGAATCGACCGCGGAAGTCACGAAAGAGCCTCTTGATAACATCGTCTGGAAACAGATCGGCTAGTCGTGTTCTCGCCTCAACATCTAGTGCTTGGCCCAATCGCCCGAGATAAGATGAAACCGAATCCACGTTGGTCCAACCGGCAAAGTCCACGACGATACTAGCATCTTTTGCCGCCTGAAATTCGTCTGCCGAGAGTTTGGCACCTGATGAAGAGCCACCGGACCATTCCAGCTCATAATAGCTCAAGCCCGTTCCGCAAGGTATGACGCAAACCTTGTCCTCGTCCTGCATCTTTGCAACTCGCCGGAATGCGTGGAGCATTGGCGCCAGAACTGGCCGACTGGTTTTGCGGTCGCTGTCGAGAAACGCACCATCGGCGAGCCTACTTAGCACTTGCGCCTCGTCCAAAACCAGGAGAAATTTGAAGTGGGCTGGAAAAGCTGCCCGTCCAATAAGTTGCTTCTGCACTTTGTCGTATAAGTCTTGTACGAGGTCGATAATGTTGAGATTCGATGAACCGCGATTGTGGAACACTAGGCTGATATCCTGGAACAAGCTCTCGAACACATCCTGGAAAGCAGGCGTGGCAGCTTGCAGGAGCATCCATCTCTGGCACGTGAACGAGGTGTTACTTTCGGGGATACCCAAACAGTAGTCCAGGATCAAAAGCCGCGTATACAGGAGGCCAAAGGTCAAATATCGCACTCTGTCAGTATTTTGTTCCTTGCTATCCGTTAAATAGATATTTGGACGGTCCGATAGTGCGTGGATAATGGCGCGCACGTCGTTCGAACCAAGGTCCTTTTCACCGGCGTTGAAGTAGAGCCCCCATGTTCTCGACAGTAGTTCCAAAGTTGTCCGTGTTTTGCCGCATCCGCTGACTCCAAAAAGAGGCAGGTGACGCACCCATGGATACTTGGTCAGAATTTCTTCCGCACCACTAATGGGTGTGCTGGAATGTTCAGGGCCTGGCAAGTCGAAAAACAATAGCGTCGGAGCCTCTCGAACCGTCACCTGTCCCCGCTTCCCAACTCTTGGTAAACCCGGCACCCCACCTCGCGTTACAGGCAAAGTGTGTGAGCCCATCACAAACTCTTTCAGGAACTTGGCGTGTTCGGATCCGGGCCTAAAAAATCTACTCGCGATCGTGGCCAATGCAACTATTTTGAAAAGTTTAAAAGAGATACCAAAACAGGCTATGTCTATTGAAGTGCGGGGTAATGTGCATAGATATCGAGCTCACCAGACACATCGAGGCCAAAAAGCGGAGAAGCGGGACGAGATCTCTGCAATAGATGGTCCGGAACGTTGATAGAAGTAGCTAGGTAACAGAGAAGCGTATGAGAAGGAGAAAGTGGCGCGCAAGATTTAGTACAGTGCAACGCAGAGAACAAACGAGCCTTCTAGAGGAGTCTAGGTGCCAGCGGTTGATGTAGTACCTGGCGGCGGCCGTTGTACAATAATGTGGATTGTATTCTTTGGTGCTCCCTCACTAAACACTTCCGAGAGATCGCTAGTCGGGCGCAGCTTCTTCTTCTCATTCAAGGAGTCGAGCCTGATGGGAACCTCATCAGTATCATCGGGAACCGTGACGAGCCAGAGCGTGATCCCGTCTGCATCGACGTCGTTGAAGGCAATGGTTTTCTCGGTCTTGATGAGCTTCTTGAGGTCACCGACTGTTTGTGTCGAAGGAACAGACAGCGGAAAGGCTCTCGACGTGGATTCACCCTCGACTAGACAAAAGAGCTTGAGGTTGGCCATGGTTGTTGAATGGGGCGCGTGGTTGTGATTGAGCGACTGAGTAAGTAAGCGTGTGAATGAATGGATGGGAATGAGAGAGAGGCAGGGAAGAGTAGGGGAGTAGTGTGGAAAGAGCGAAAGAGATATCTTTATGGGCGCGCGAGATGCTCCTTCACGAAATGAGCAGGCCCGACCATGGCGCAAGGCATGCGTGGTACGCCGCTGTCTAACTGTTCGGCACGTCCATTGCCACCATTTTATGATTTTATGCAAACGTCCATCCATTCCAAGGCTCCTATTGGCTGAAAAAAATTAGTAAAGGAGTCTACGAATGGAACGGCACATTACTTGGTGAGATGTCGACTGTTCGAGAAGGCAACCAGATGGAGAGATTCCCCATTGGCAAGAACAGCAGAGCCTCTAGTGTAAAGAATTGACGTGCTGTTCAATCCCAAATCGTCCTTAGAGGCATTGTAGAACCCACAGCGCCGTGATTGTATGCGAGCCAGCTAAGTCAAGGCAAACGTAATGCACGTCCATTCCTGACCCCATTTGTTATAAACCAGCTGTTGGTCTGCCAACAAGGAACATGCACCTCAGTAAGGGGAACCCAGTAGTGTCATCTATCTGTGCATCCAAATTGTTTTAATAGAGTGGAAAGCAACTAAAGCAATTTATTGATGTCATCGAAGGCATAGCCGCCCTTTCGAAAGATATGGAGTACGTATAGCTCGAATAAAGGTCTCCCTGCAATTTCTTTGCCATCGTGGACGCGATCCGTCAATGGAGACCTTGCGAAACAAATTTGCTTGAAAAATTGGTACAACTGAAATATTGTGCGCGACCAACCTATAGAATTTCCAAATGTCCTTGTACAAATATCCTTGTAGAATGTAACAAGCTCTTTTAGCGCTACATCAAGCCCATTTGCATGGCCTTCAATAAGACAATCCATGATTCGTCGCCCAAACCCTCGACAAGTTCCATTTTGATATAATTTGTGGCCCATCGCAGGTGGTAATCTGCGTGATCGTTCGTAGGCCAGCGGTGGAGCAGATGGCTACTGAACTCCAAGGATTCTCCTTTTTGAGCCAAGTATTGTAGAAGTGTTAACGGACCCTTGGCATTATTGAGGGCCAGCTGGACCCGATACAATGCTTTCGACTCGGCACCAGCAAAATCGTTCCGGTCTCGACCCAAGGTATTCGCCGGAGAGTGCAGAACATATCTCGGCACACCCCCTATCTTAAAGTAAAGCCTCTTCATCAAGTCCTGGCCGACCACATTGAAGCTCCTGACACAGACCCGGCATGTTTCCAACTCATCGAACTCCCAGGGCGCCATGTAATGTAGCTGTGGCGTCTCCTTCAAAACATCTTGATATCGGCCACTGTCGGGACAGAGAATCTGTGGCGATGCCGATATAATGGTCTTGGCTTGTACGAGTGCTGGATTAGGAGAGCTGTCGATCAGATACCAGGTTTCGGGGAGGTCCAGGAGGAGACGAAAATCGTCGATTTTCCCTTGACGTACAGTGGAGATCCCTCCATAGACATAGCAGTCCGAACCCTCTTGGGTGTGGAAAACGACAAGAGGAGGATTGTCGTCATTGCTTGCAGCAAGAAGTCGGATAGTAAAGTATAACAGGAACGCCGACTTGCCGATCCCAGGTGTGCCGGCGACGACGATGCGATTCTGATATGTTGTATCGGGACTGTCTGTGAACGTCGAGGCGACTTTGTCACAAAGATCTTTGTAGGCGTGTCTGACGTAAAGACCCTCAGTGTCGACCACAGGAAACCGAGTGCCGGAAGGTGATGATATTGTGTCCAATTCTTGTTCGTTGGTATTTCGATATATACGAGCAGCCTGCAGCAATGAATCGAATGGATCGTTTCCGTCAATCGGTTGACCAAGGAACATAAGCAGCGATACCTTTTCTTTCTGGTCAAGGCGAGAAAGGTCATACAGGCCATCCATTAAAGCCTTGTCCATAAGACCAGCGCTCTCAATCGCATTCGTCAGAGTACCCCTGTTAATATGGGTCTTCTTGAGAGGGGGCGCTAATAAGTTGGATGAGGTACAAGCAAAGCAAGCCGCCAGTTGTGGTTTTGTAAGCGCAGATAAATGATGTAGATGGAATCACAGCAAGTCAGCACCAAACCCCGATCATACGCTTACAAGAGGAGTGGATCACAGGAGAGCCAGGGGAAGGCGCAGATAAAGAGGGATCTAGATCACGAAGGAAAGAAGTGGATGTGAGTGTGACGAACCAGGGCGCGGCATGACCCAAGGGTATATAGTAAAACAAGATGTTTCGATCATCGCGGGTTGTCTAGCCTTGATTGCCGAGATGTCTTTTTCGGGACTATTACATCGGACACACAAGTAGAAATAGTGGGAAAAGAGACTTTCATTTAGTGGCGTTTCCAATCGTTGTCAAGGCTCAGTTTTCAGCACAACACAGCGAGTAAGTCCAGGCACGACTGCAAAGTGAGCGTGAAAGCCTTACTTGGTGGCGGTCGCTGAACGATGATGTGGATTGTGTTCTTTGGTGTCCCCTCACTAAACACTTTTGAGAGAACGCTAGTCGGGCGCAGCTTCTTCTTCTCATTCAGGGTGTCGAGCCTGATGGGAACCTCCTCAGCATCATTGGGAATCGTGACGAGCCAGAGCGTGATCCTGCCTGCATCGACGTCGCTGAAGGCAATGGTTTTCTCGGTCTTGATGAGCTTCTTGAGGTCACCGACTGTTTGTGTCGAAGGAACAGACAGCGGAAAGGCTCTCGACGTGGATTCACCCTCGACTAGACAAAAGAGCTTGAGTTTGGCCATGGTTGTTGAATGGGACGCGTAGTTGTGATGAAGCGACTGAGTAAGTAAGCGTGTGAACGAGTGGATGAGAATGTGAGAGAGGCAGGAAAAAGTGAAGGAGTAAGTGTGGAAAGAGCGAAAGAGGTGTCTTCAAGGCGCGCGACCACGGCGCAGGGCTGTGGATTTGCCACCACATGTGCCGTGGTGGCAAAATCGTATGAAGTCACGGAACGTTCACCCAGCGCATCTCCTGCTTGTCATTTTCCATTCTCTAGAGGTGGGGGGAAAGGGGAGCCTTGACTCTGAAGGCATCACCAACCAAGACCATAACCGAAAGGGATTCTCAGACATGTCGGCACCAAACTCAAGCGGATCAGCTACTGCACCTGCAATCGCATCTATTCACCAGCTGCCATTAGGTAACGAAGAAAGGACAACAGCGGGTTCAGATCAGCATCTCGACTGGACGAGCGAATGAACACGAAAACAAAAGCACTGGAAACAGGACAATGGATACCTGCCTAATTGTATTGTCCCCAGCTGTATGATTAACCAGGATTGCGGAGCGGCAACCTGCTTTCCAATGGCTGGACTACTCAAAGGGAGCTGTCATGAATGGTAGCCAGCATGATTATGGGTACAGGGCACAGAACGCTCAACTATCATCAGCATATTACTCATTCCACCTCGGATGGATACAGCCTCGACATGAACATTAAAACGCGCCAACAGTTCAATCCAGAACTGACGTAAATAATGCATGCCATGGCTGTACTCAATGAAGGATGCTCGACTATCACCAACGCAAAAGACACCTCGCCTTCCACGACGGAATACAACGACTTGTGTAGTGAACACTCTACTCATTGCTGCTTAACATGTTATTGATGCACTATTCGCCCTTTTTTACGTGGCTATAGAATTGATCGACTCTTGCATCGGATCCAAGATCTGGGTAGTCATGAAATCAGAGAAGGAGTTCACAGGAACGCTCAAGTACTTTGATGACTATGTCAACATGGTGCTCGAAGATGTTACAGAATTGTAAGGCGCTCCCCACCTTTTTTTTTTCTTCTTTTGCCTTGGAAGACACGCATAAAGATACAGGATACGTTTACACAGCTCCACGGCACATACAATGGTGCAGCTGGACGTGCGATATGCGACTCATTACTAACTGATAATTCGTAATCTTGCGATCGTCTCATCGCGCCTAGTGAGAACACACCGGAAGGAAGGAAAACGACAAAGCTGGAGCAAATTCTTTTGAACGGGAACAACATCTGTATGGTAAGTACATCGATCGGGCTGTATACGAATGTGGTTTGTGTGCTTATGGGCCGTATGATATAGTTTATGAATGCACCTCTTAACATGTATATTTTTTTTGTGACCCTTGTAGCTGATCCCAGGAGGCGAAGGACCCCAGTAGAAAACAACAAAATGCCCCAAAACGATTCACTCCAATCCCATATCGAAAATAAAGCACCAAAAAAAAAAAAAAAAAAAAAAAAAAAAAACTGCTGTACCTATTTGTACAAAAAATATCACTTGTACGTTAAAGACAACTAAACTACATGCAAGCGTGAATTAGATTGACTTTTTACTTATTTTGATTTTTTTTTTGATTGACGAGTGCCGCATACTATTCTACGATCTGAAGTTCTTGAGAACGACCGACCGCGTACTTGTCCTTGTATCGCTCCCAGATCGTCACGAGCTCGTCAATGTACTTCTTTTGCAAATCCTGAAGTTGTTCCGTCGTGGGTGCGCCCTCGACCTTCTCGACATGGATCGGCTTTCCAACCACAATGAACACTGGCTTCCTCCTTGGCAACAATCCATACTCATCTATGGAATTTTTTTTTAAAAAAAAAGAGAAAAACACACACATGTGAGTCCAGAGAGATCAAAATGCTCGCCCTTTTTTCTCTTTTTTTTTTTGTTACTCAGAGAATGAGTATTTCCAGCAGCGCTAAAAAAAACAATCACAAGACCAAGACGTACAATTGAAGACACCGCGGCCATTGAACATGGGCATCGTGAAGCCGAGAGCCTTCTTCATGAATTGCTGCACATGGTATAGCCTGCTTGTATGGGAGGTACTGTACAGTTCATAAAGATCGTTCTCGCCGAATGCCAAAGTGGGCACAAGACTTGCTCTATTCAGAGAGAGAGAGAGAGAGAGAGAGAGAGAGAGAGAGAGAGAGAGAGGACCATGTAAACAAAAGAGATTTTTTTTTAATTTTTGAAATATCCCACGATAGCGGAAAAAAAACACATCCCATCCTCCTTGCAATCAAAAAACAAAAGCAAAAACAAAAAGACATACCCGTTCACCAGTGCTAGCTTGATAAAGCCCATTCTTTTCTTGAGCGTCAAGTCCAACGTCCCAGGCTTGGCTGCAAGACTCTCCTGGGCGCCTCCAACGACAATCGTAATTGAATTTCCTGGACCCGATCGAAGAATGTGTTCACAAGACTCCTTCGAAACCGAAGCACATCCATGCGCCATGATGTAGTCGCGATAGATCGGGATGTTGAAGTTCGATTGCAATGTCAAGAGACGAGGTGTGATCCCAGGAAAGCGCTTCGAGAAGTTGAGGCCCTCGGTCCCAAACGTGGAAAACGCGCCGAGGGAGATGATGCCGTGTGGGTGATAACCAAAGATATAGTTCTTGGAGGGATCCAGATCAGCTTCCTAAGGAGGTGTGCGAATGAATTTTACAATATGGATCAGTCAGTCAGTATACGACATACCCCAACAGTGGCATGAAAAGACCCGTTTACAAAAAGGCCCCAAGAGATCGAACCGCCTTTTTTTTTTTTTTTTTTTTTTTTTTTTTGGAGTTGCTGTCCTGTCTCATTCAAACACTCATTACCTTGATCAGCGTCATAGGAAAGTACTGGGCAAAGTAGGACCATACGACACACTTTCTCGCCCAATTGAAGCGTCTTCCGCCCCGCTCGGGTGCTTGGTCGAACATGAGGATCCATAGAAGATAGATGATGATCAAGGGCCAGAGGTATTTGATGGTGCAGAGGTAAAAGAAGACCGTTGTTGTCACTGCAAGGGCAGAGATCCAGACCAGGACCGCAGCAGTCTGCAGCCTCCGCTTGATGGGGAGGCGGATTGGAGCAAAGGTGGCCATCCTCTGAGGAGTGTAGCTGTGCTTGGACGTAAAAGACAAGTGAGATGGGGGAAAGGAGGAGTGGGGTAGGAAGTGAAAGGAGGGTCGTGGGCGGTAGTGGGTCGGGCGAGCGTGAGAGGGTGGAAGTTTTTTTGTGCGGAAGAAAGAGAGACAGGGTGTGAGAGATAGGAGAGGGAGCTAGAAATGCCAAGTTCATATAGTGCGGGAACAGTTTTGCCATGGACTGATTGGCATCCTTTTCACCCGGCCCCGACAATGAGGTCAACTGTCAAGCCCGTCAGTCCAATTTGTCTGCCCGATCGAAAAGAAAAAAAAAATGAGCAAAAGCCCCCCGCCCACTGGGAAATGAAATGCTATCTTTCTATTGAGGGTCTCGCATCCGTGCATGTGAAAGGCCTCTTCACTCCTCCATCGGCGACTCATATGACGATCGACTCCTTTATCCCTTGTTCCATCCTGTTCCATTCTGTCGATCCACAAAAAGCTACCCCGTCCATCTTGTCCGCCTGCAGAGGAGCACATTTCCGGACTCTGTCCATCGGATGTAATAGCACCATATCGCAATTAGCAATGGCCAGTGCACTGTTGCACAAGTATGTGTCAATTATAGTCTAATGATAGCGATGCTTTTATTGTTACGTTGCAAACTCTCTTCATGGACACACCCTCATAAATTTGCATCAATGCCCCCCCCCCCTCCCCCCCCCCCCCCCTCCTTCGGTCCCTAATCACCATAATCATAGCTAATCCTTTCAAAGAATCATAGATTCGGGGTTCTCGACATAGTGCGAGAGGCGCTCCAGGAACCGTCCAGCAACCTCTCCATCGACTACGCGCTCGTCAATACTCAATGTCACGCTCACCACCTGGGACTTCTCAAGCGAGGGACGCAACCGACGCAGTACCTCATCTCCTAATGCTGACTCGGAGGTAGAGGTCGACTTTTTCTTCAATGGTGCGCTTCCGCCCAAGAACTCAATCAGGTCAAGATCCTCCTTGGTCTTCTTAGAAGATGTGGACGACGATGACGAGGATGCGCTCTTCTTGCTCTGGCCACCCAAGTAGTCAAAGATCTCAGAGTCGCTCAACAGATCCGTCTCCTCAACTGCCGCCGGCTTGAAGATTGTGCGGGCACCGCCAACGGCCAGAATACAGGCCTGTGGAAGGTTGATGATCGCTGAAAAGTTGCTGACGCCAAACATACCCAAGTTGGAGATGCTAAGTGCAAGCAGATTGGAAGGTAAGGAACAAATAAGTCTCTTACTTTGCAGAAAAGTACATGCTATGTATGAATAGGAGCGTGTTATACCTGAATGAGCCGCCTTGGTACTCCTCCGGCTTTAGCTTGTTCTTCTTTGCCCTCTCTGCCAATTCTTTGACGACCAGCGACACGGATTGAACGCCACGAGTGTCAGCACCCTTGACGATGGGAGTGATTAGACCAGTGGGTGTGGCGACAGCAACAGAGATGTCGATATCCTTGAGCTGCTTAGCATTGTCCCCGGCAGAAAACTGAACATTCGATTCTGGCACATCACGCAAAGCAAGTGATGCGGCCTTGATCAAAAAGTCGTTCACAGAGACCTTAGCCTCAAGCTCGTCTATTGGTTCAATGAATAAAGAACATTGCATTAACAACGGCTCCAAAGTATAGTTGACAAAGCTTTCTTTGATGGCCCAAAAACTAAAACTTACCAGCCAAAAGCCGACGGAGCTTCATCATGTTGTCAATAACAATATCGCGAGTGACGTAAGAGTGTGGGACAGTCGTCTTGGTCTCGCTCAGACGAGAAGCAATGATCCTGCGCATGTTGGTTGTAGGAGTATCTGTGAATGTCGATCCTGGAGCAGCGGCAGCAGGCGCAGCTTTCGAGGCCTGGGGTTGTGAGGCAGAGGATGGCTTGGATGGGGGAGAAAGGGTCTTGGGCTGAGGAATGGTGGGTTCTGGTGCAGGACGAGCCTTAATTTTGCCAAGGAAGGCGAGGACATCTCCTTTCAAGACGCGGCCCTTCGGTCCAGTCGAAGGAATTTTGGTGACATCCTGGATGTGGTTCTGAAGCAGCAAATGGGCAACGGCAGGCGAGAGAAGGTTTGAGGATGGAGTGGTGGCAGTCTGCTGAAAATGCGGCTGCTTGGACTCCTCCTTCTTGGGAGCTGAATGTAATCATGGTCGCGAAAATACGAACATACAATTAGAATCGCATAGCGTCTCTTCCGAGTCCGTCTGAAAAGGCTCGCTGCCGATCCTTGCTTAGTGTAGTCAAGTCGACAATGAGAGATTTTTCCATGTGAGCCCTGTACAATCTTCATGAACGTTGCTGTCTGCCGGGGCCATCTCCTCTTGCAATGTAAGAAATAAGGTTCCGCGTTCGCTTTCAGTTCATTCCTGTTCCACGCGTTCCATGGTATAATCTTGACATATAGATCCTGGCGCATTTCCCGAAAAGCAATCGGTCATCCTGGTCATTTACACGCACCTGGAGTGTCCTTCTTCTCTTCCTTTACGGGTGTGTCGCCCTTGGGGGCTGCCTTGGTCTTTGGAATTTCAATCTTTGACAGATCATCGCCCTCCTCGGCCAACAACGCGATAGCTTCGTTGACAGGAACCTTGGATCCGTCTGGATGCTGTTGTAGCAAAATAAGAGCCATCAATCGCGTAAATACATAGTGTAGGCAGAGCGATATTTCGTGTAGAGTCGACTGCGCACGCGTGGGAAATCAAATCAGGCGCGCTCATCAATCCCAGAGATATCGAAAAAAAAAGAAGAAAAAAGCACTTACCAAGATCTTTGCAAGAATACCATCCTCAACAGCCTCCACATCCATGCCCGCCTTATCGGTTTCAATCTCCAGAAGCACATCGCCAGCAATGACCGCGTCGCCTAGGCGTTTAAACAAGAGACCATTACGCGATCAGCACATCATGATACATATACCACACACACACACCCAATCGAGTTCAGTAGAAATAAGGAAGCTGTTGCCGGCTGACTGACAGGCTCAGCAGCAAGCGACAAGCGACGATAGCAGGGGGGTGTGCGGCAGATGAGCGTTTATCATCCAAAAGTAGGGTTTTCTGCATACCCTCCTTCTTCTTCCAGGCGGTGATTGTTCCCTCGGTCATGGTGGGCGACAGTGCTGGCATGTTCAAGGTCGTGGTTGCGTGCTGGACAGCAGCTGCGTGGAAGTCTAGAAGGGATATGACAAGGGTTCTGTGTGAGTCGCGGCGTGGTGAAGGGTGCGCGGAACAAGGCAGGGGGGGGGGGGGGCGCTGAATGAATGGATGGGCATTATGCGAGGGAGAGATCATTGCTCTGCATTGGAATACATTTGACGCCAGCGACAGAGCGCATGGCCAAGGTCTTTGAGAGAGAGAGCATGAGGTTGTGTTCGTTGAGTGGATGGCGAAAAGCGGATGTGTCTTGGGATGGAGAGGCAATGAGGGAGGAGAGGAGGAGAGGAGGAGCGGAGGAGCGGAGGAGAGGAGGGGGATGTGGTGCAGAGCGTCCGTCGAGCGGGCAGCAGTGCCAGGAAATAGCGCCCAGTCTCTCACGGCCCTATTGTCCTCTGTCCACCCACTGAAGACACTGAAGATGGAAATGGAAATGGAAATGCCTCCTTACGTGTAAACAAAAAAAAAAAGATATGATATGATATAATGTCGCACGCAGATAGGGCGGGGATGCAATATCGAGAAAAAAAAAAAGATTCGTGCCCCATCAAATCAAACTATCGCCATTTCCTTATTTTTTTTTATCGGATCCGCCCGCCCTTCTGTTTGCTCGCCGCTCTCTGCCAGCCCCCCCTCCCCTCCTCATAAGGCCGAACCAAGCTCTCGCTGCCATTCAAAACCCGGCGCACCCCCCCTCTCTCTCTCCGATTGCCACCGATAAAAAAACAAGTCATGCCAACGTCCCTGAGAATGCTCACCTAGAGCCTAGGACACAGGACCATGGCCTCAATGGCTCCAAGTGTAGCGCGAAGCGGGCAGTTCGACCGCTCACTATGCTTTTCATAAAATATAGCTGTCCAAGCCGCGTAAGGCATGGGCCATGCTTTGAGCAAGCACCGAACAAAAGAAAATAAGAAATAGAAAAAAAGGCTTCTATTCACGACACATACTCACGCGCCAAGCGAATCCTCCACTTTCTGCTAGTTCTGGGTCGCGAATGTTACCACGTTACCCATACACGTAGTATGCGTCAGGGCCGTATCATCAACACAAGGAGCGCTTAAAGAAGGCGACATCCTAGATTTGATTGTCTACAGAACAACGTATATCAATTGATCCCCATATGCCCCGAGCAGCGGGCCTCACAACGTGTTCATATCACTACAGGAAATCTCTATGGATGCTTGTTTATTTTCAAAAAAAGAATGCCTTGAAGAATGCCTTGAAGAATGAATGGATGATGATGCAGAGTAGAGAGGTCAAATAATGAATGGCGATCTATAGTACACAGATATTAACATGAGAATCAAAAAAAGAAGCGCAGCTCAAATCTCTTTAGCGACGGCCGCCCCGTCCACCACGGAACCCTCCTCCGTTACCACCGCGTCCGCCGCGGGACCCTCCACGTCCCCCAAATCCACCTCCGCGTCCACCGCCATAGCCGCCACGTCCGCCGCCATTGCCTCCACGGCGATCGTCCATCCGCTGTTCCAGCTCTGGCAGGGTCTTGGCGACCTCGAGTGTAATGTTATCGAGATCCGTCCATTTGTTTCCACCAAGGGAAATCGTATTGTTGCTGTCGACCTCAAGCTTCTCCGAGACTACGTCAAAGACGACACCCGTCATGTCCTTGGTCATCCTCATGCCCTTGACGTCCTCGTAACCCAGCTTGGGGAAATTACGGCTCAAAATATTGCGGACATATCCAGCATGCTGAATCTCATGCGAGAGCTGGAAGATCATCGTGGTGAATCCCTCAGTCGCAGACATGAGAGAGCGCGCACGGACTCCAGCTCCATATCCTGAAATCTGTGCCAACGCAGCAGCCAGAGCTTCCGTGGCATCGCCCCCAAAGTTCTCGGCAATCATGGACTCGGCAATGGGCCTGAACATGGGAATGACATTCTTGACGACCTTGACAACAATGTCTGCTGCATCCTGTGCTGTGGCGGCAATGATATCCTGAGGCTGAGGAGGACCGGCCTTGACCATCTCCATGCCTGCTCGGCGCTGGATGTTCTGGATCATGTACTCTTCCTGTGCCTTGAAGAATGTCACACAGACACCTTTGCGGCCAGCACGACCGGTACGACCAGAGCGGTGGACATATGTTTCGACATCCTTGGGAGGCTGGCAGTTGATGACGAGATCAACCATAGGGATATCGATACCACGAGCCAAGACATCCGTGCAGATGATGCACTTGACCTTGGCCTCACGGAATCCTTGAAGCGTCAACTCACGCTGGGCCTGAGGAATGTCTCCGTGGAGGACCTTGGCATCGGCCCTCAGCTTGTCCGTCAGCGCAAGCTCATCTGCCTCGGCCTTGGTGTTGGCGAAAATGACTGTCAGGCCGCGGTTACCGCCATAGACAGCAACAACATCTCCAATGACATCCTTGCGCGACTGCCAGGTTGAGGGAATGGCGTAATGGCGAATGTTCTCGTTAGTCTTGACACGCGAATTTCCAACCAGATCGACATTGATGTACTTGGGGTCGAGGTACTTCTCAACCGTGCGTTTGATCCACTCGGGAGCTGTTGCAGAGAAGAGTAGGGTCTGATGCTTGGGTGCAGAGGAACCGCGGCTCTGCTTCTGCGTCTGAACGTGCTGCAGGACCTGTTCCATGTCGTCGGCAAATCCAATATCCAGCATTTGATCGGCCTCATCCAAGCAAACGAAGAGAAGGGAGTCCAGACGCAAGTTGCCGCGGTTGATATGATCCAAGCAGCGACCAGGTGTTCCAATGACAACGTCTACTCCGGAACGAAGGGCTGATGTCTGCTCGTGCATAGGAGTACCACCATAGGCGCAGATTGTTTTCAAGTTGGGTGCAATAGTGGTGAATTCGTTTGCGACCTGAATAGCCAAATCACGAGTAGGGGCTAGAGGGAGAAAAAAAAAAGAGCCATAACGAATAGACAATTAATAAATTAACATCAGAAATGAAAAGGTTTTCTTCTTGATAGACAGCACACTGAATCCAGTGCCGCATTCTTACCGAGGACGAGAACACGGGGAGCACGACCGCGGTCCGCGCTGACATGATTCTTAAGCAGCATCTCAACCATGGGCAGAGCAAAGGCGAGGGTCTTTCCGGTACCGGTCCTAGCCCGTCCAAGGACATCGTTTCCGTTGTAGATATGATCGAAGGTCTCTGCCTGAATAGGGAACAGAGCATTGATGCCGCGGGCGGCGAGAGCAGCGACGGTGGGGGGCGAAATCCTGTAGGTGCTCAATCTCAGGTTTTCAGGAACTACATCCTCTGCCTCCTTAGCTGCACCAGCCTCAGGGGTGGAGTCGCGGGGGGTCTCCGCAGGGGAGGGAGTGTTGGAAGAGTCGAGACGGGCCTTCTTGAAGCCGGGCTTGACCTCTTCTTCTTCCGAGTCTGAAGAATCGGCCTTGCGAGATCTCTTCTCTTTCTTTTCCTTCTTCTCTTTTTTCTCCTTCTTTTCCTTCTTGTCTTTCTTGTCTTTCTTGTCCTTCTTCTCCTTGACCTCCTTCAGCTTCATGTCGGCGACGTCCATGGCCAGCTTTGTTTCGATTGAGGGCATATTGGGTATGTGGTAGGTGTGGAAAAGGGAAGGGGGGAAGGGGTATTGAAAAGGGAAGCGGGTAAAGAGAAAGAAACTTTGATACGACCTCAACTTTTAACTTTTACACCAAAAAAAAAAAAAAAAAAAAAGGTAAAGGGGGGCGTTTGTTGTTGTTGTGCTTCCAGACACAGGCATGGTGACCGCCTTTATTTCTGCTGCTTAAAGTTCATTATTGTCCTACAGAATAAAGTATCAGAGCACTGCATATTCCCATAATCCCCATTTCACTTTGAGGACCTCCGAGGCATCGTTCTTGGATGTCGAGAGCTTTGAAGATGACTCCAGTGCTTGCTGACTAGCGGTGATAGTGGTGCTGGCGGCACTGGGGTGGAGAGTAGCTCAGAAAAAAAGCGCGTGCTGGGCGTGCTGGGCCTGTCGAGCCTGTGCCTGCAGGACATTCAGGGCTTTCATATGCCACCCGAGGTCAGAGGTAAAAGTTATATTTTCGATTGAAGCATGGCTCTGTAGGGAGAGTTAGAGATGCGTAGGAGAAGGATTGATAAAGTCAAAGGTATGCTTTGGGGGGGGGGGTTATAACAATTTGTTCTCTCGAGTCGGTTGACCCTGCGAATCTATCAGACCCAACTAGCAATGATCTACTACAGTCGTCCTTTCCACCGAAGCAGAGCCGATCCACAGTCGCCAAAAGACAGGCCACATTCCCCGGGCCTGCCCCTAGGGCCTGCGCAACAATTGCCTCACCTCATCAGTGTGTTAAAAGCTGAAAACACCTTGTTACAAGAAGAGTATCTTCCCCACCCCCTCCATGGTTGTCAACCGCCTCCTCCCTTGTAGGCAGTCCAGCAGCGTCCGATCCGCAGCGTCTGGGTAAACTTCAAAGGTATGCTTTGGTGAAATGAGGGTGTATTGCGCAAATTTTATAGGCATCAACGCATGCATGCATGCACTGCCAAGAACGCGAAACCTTTTGTTTTGGCAGGCCTTGAGAGATGCGGAAAAATAAGAAGACAAGGTGTGATTGATGGCCTGAGGATAGCAATCGTATTGGGAGAGTATTTTTTTTTTTTTTTTTTTTTGTCGCGTACAACTATCGTTGGTGGTTCATCACATGAACATATCCTCTAGGATATCATCCTCATCGTCTGCAAGCTTCGCATCTTCCTCAGCTACGCGGATTTTGTGCTCCACCTCCCTCAGGAGCTCGTTGTGCATCGACTGGACCGATTTACAGGCATCGACTATCACCCATTCATTGCTCTTGAGCTGCAAAAACACGTCTCGAACTCTCTCTTGAAGCTCCCGCTTTTCGTACCGCTCCTCACCGAATCCTCCACGTTTCTCTGCCTCGGATGTTGGGAGGTCCAAGAAAAATGTCAGGTCTGGTCGGACAAGTCCACGGTCAGGGTTCTTGCACCATGTCAAATCCAAGCCCTACATCGATGAGTAGATTGGCACTATTAAAAAAAAAAAAAAAAGTACTCTCTTCAGGAACCCATGGAGAACGCGATGTATTTATTACCTTGGCTGTTGAAAACGCGACTCCCGAATATGCGTATCGATCAACAACTAGATGTATGCCTTGCTGTAACTTGCGCTTCATTGCTTGCCTGTCATTTGAGCAATGAAGGCGGCGGTGTGAGCTCGTTAGCAAATTTGATATCGGCCAGAACACGAAAAGGGACAATTTCATACATGGCCTCCCATCTATTCGCAGAAAAGAGCAGGTGAATTGCTCTGTCGTCCAGTTCCCTTGTATTCGTCAAATAAGCATGGATCATCTGCCCAATAGTGGTAGTCCTATCTGTCGACAACATTTATTTATGACCTTGTTAAAACGAGCCAACTGACTCCTCGTCGAGATGTATACAGGTATGCAACCTGGCGTGCCTTTTTTTATTTTATTTTATTTTTTACCTGGAAACTTGCATAGCTCAACCGAATGCCCCCTCTCCTTCATTGCGGCGACAAGCATTTCGCACTGCGTTGACTTTCCTGCACGATCGCATCCCTCTAACAGGATGAAGCGTCCTCGAGCCATGTTTGATTGGTGTTTGGAGGGATGAGTGCGCTTGTGGGTCATCTTGCTTTCGCATCTATCATGACGTCGACGTCGCACAGAAAACGACCGATGCCTGTGAGGGTACATTGACCCACATCCTATTAAGGACTAGCGCCAATTGCATGCTAAATCTGGCATCTCGCGTGCATCGGAGTACGTGAGTGCTGTAGCCAATCAGCTTGCGTTACCAACACACGCGGTTGTTTCTTTGGCCAGGGTTCGCTTTGGTTGCTCCTGGCTGACCAATAGAAGTGGTTTGGTTTAAGATGCGTTACGTTGATGTCGAGTGATAAGGAGGCTGCCCACGACCATTCGTCGTTCGTAGCAAGATCAAGTAGGGGTTGGGCAGTGGTTTCGTGGACGTTGTTAACCTGTCCAGATGGATTGATTCTGGCCAGGAAAGGGTAAAGTAGATGGACAGACATGTGCAGTACACACAGAACTGGCCCAGAAAGGCGGCCTTCTTTTTTATCAGTCAGTCGATTGGGGACCGAGGGCCCAGGAATGGTCCTGAGAATAGATTGAACCCGGGGCGGAGGTTGCGGAGGGGGACACGCGGCCCTGGGCCTGAGGAATGAGGCTAGACTGCTCCAGTAAGAGGGGATGGAGAGATGTCGTAGTGGAGGAGCTGGGCTCGGCTTTATTTTATCTTTCTGTCTGAAGAAACAACCGATTGGCCGCAAAAGGGGGGAGGGGTGAGAGAGATTTCACGGACAGACGGACGGACAGACAGGATTCTAGTGACGGGTGGAGTACAGCCGTGGAACTGGCTAGGCTGCTGATTGAATGATACTACATTACTACACTAACTATTTCGATCCTGCCCAACGATTTCAACTTCCCTTTTGCAGCGGTTCCACTCACCCACTTCTCCCATCTCCCATAAAAAGCTGGACCTTTCCCTCGCCTGTCTCCCTCTCTCCTCCCTGCCTCTTCCTCTCACTCTTTCACTCTTTCACTCGCTCTCACTCTCACTCTCACTCTCACTCTCACTCTCACTCCCACTCTCACTCACTCCCTCATCCACACACCCTGCGTGGTTGACCCTCTCTCTCTCTCTCTCCTTATCCGGAACTCGCAGGGACATCGCCCTCGGAGGAGAAGCGCCATCCACATACCACCGCACCCACCCACACATTCCTTAAACAGCCATGGTCAAGTTCAGCCACAGTCTGCAGTTCAACACCGGTATGTACCCATGCAACCATGCAGCCATGCAGCCCCTCCCCGCATTCCCCCCTCCCCCTTCCTCTTTCATGTCAACTCCATCGCCACCGTTTACGGCTGTCTTTCCTTCGCTGATCAATTTGCCATGTCCCGCTGCAGATCCACTTCACAACTCCAAATCGGGCTGTGCCTCAGAATGGGCAACCCCGCCCTCCCTCTATCCATCATTACATAATGCTTGGCTGGTGTTCTTTGATGGCATCATACCGATGTTCAACCATGCGTCGGGAGTGTTTATGTTGTCCATGTTCTATGTTCTATGTTCATGGTGGTGTGGGTGTGCAAATTTTTTTCTGGCTTAGTGTAACCATCACGCGACTTCCTTTTAAGGCAATTATCGTCGCACAAACGAACCCCTCCACTCCGCAGAATTTGTTATAGGCAACTCTACTCGGGTTCTGGTCGCCTCCAGTCAACCCCCTCCAATCCTCCTGGACTCCTTGATTTCCCTCCTTTCTCCTCCGCTGAACATATATTATCTAACTCATGCCATGCACCTCTTTGTCGACTGCGGTGCTTCTGCGCCTGCTCTGTTTCTCGTCTCTCTCTCTCTCTCTTTCTCTTTCTCTTTCTCCATCTTTCCTCAATGTCGGCTATGGTGTGTCCTAACTCTTCATCTCTCTTCATCTCGTACAACTCCATACTAGTCCCTGACTGGGCCAACGAATACGTCGCGTACTCGAACCTCAAGAAGACCCTCTATGCCATCGAAAAATACAACGCACAAGCTGCCATCGAGGGAGGGACGCCCAGGCCATCGGACATCGAACACGGCTATGGTGTCCCAGTCTCATCCTCAGATCCAGAAAAGTCATCAAAAGTCGGACGCTTCCTTGGATTGAAGGGCAAGAGCCAAAAGGAAGTCGCGGTCGCCGCTGCTGCTCAGGAGGCAGCCTTACACAACGGAAGCGACATCTTCCCACCCGAGAGCGCTGCATTCGAACGCGGACTAGCGAAGGAGCTGGCCAAAGTCACCTCATTCTACATTCGTAAGGAGCGAGAGCTGTCCGCTGAACTTGAGGCTGTCGACCGTCAGTGGGAATTGGAGGAACTGAAGCAAAAGAATGACCGTATTGCTTACGGAGAAGAGAAGGGTGATAGGATAGAGGCAGAAGAACTCAAGCGCCGCATGTCCGTCAACTTGGAAGACGAAAAGCAACTCAAGGCGGTTGAAAAATCCCAGCTGAAGCGTATGATGGGCTGGGACAAGGACGGCCTGGTCGACCTGGACTCTACTACAGAAGCAAGAAGCAACGGATTAGCGGGAGCGACTGTCAACGGATCCACAGTCGCGGACGAAAGCGTCCACGGCAACACCAAAATTGACACCTCAAGCGTTCCGGGAACAGGCAACGCATTCTCTGATGTCGATGGAAGCGAGTACAACCCAAAGTCCCACGGCCGTCAAAGCTCGGTCGGAGACCTTACCGAGATTGTCTGGAGACGTGAATGCCTCATCGAGTCTGATGAGGACAAGCAAAAGAAAAAAAAGAAGGAAAGTAGTCGCGGCTCTGAAAATTCCAGAGACTCGCTGCACCCGTTGGATGCACACCACGATGCCGACGATGCCGATAACTCTCACGAAGAGTACTCGTCCCACGCCAACACCCGGCGCCATAGCCTCGGCATGGTTCAACGGCCCCAGGTCGAGACATCCGAGCTCAAGCGCACCCAGTCCCAGCATCAGAGCAAAGTATCGCTTAACCCCAGACGGTCAATCACTGCCATGCGCGACATGGTTACTGGCCACGGCACGATCGGTCGTGAAAACCCTAACCTGAGGCCCTCTCTTTACGCTCCCCTCACCACCGAGGCTCTCCTCCGCAGACGCCTCATCGACACGTACGTGCTCCTCTCTGAGCTCAAGTCGTATGTGGCCCTAAACTATCTTGGATTCCAAAAGATCGTCAAGAAGCACGACAAGCTGGCCCGCTGCACAACCTTGAACAGATACATGTCCACAGTCGTTGACTTCTCAGCCCCCTTCCAGCCCGAGTCCCGTCAACACTTGGACGCGCAGATCCTGCGTCTCCAGGCCCTCTATGCGCGCACATGTGCCAACGGAAGCATGGCCCAGGCTGCCAAAGAGCTCCGGTCTCACCTGAGGGAGTATATTGTCTGGGAGCGTAACACTGTCTGGAGAGACATGGTCGGACAAGAGCGCAAGGCTGAGGGTGCCCGTGCTGTGGATCCCAAGGAGCAAGAGCCCTGGGTGCTGTTCGGCTATCCCATCCGATTCATCAGCGGCGCAGAAGCGCGCCGTGTCCTTCTCGGTCTCCTTGGCATCGTTATCTTCGCCATCCTGATGAGCATCACGATCTTTGATACGCGCGAGCAAAACCGCTGCTTTGCGATCCTCATCACAGTCGCCTTCTTCTGGGCCACCGAGGTCTTCCCCCTGTTTGCTACCGCTCTTTTGGTCCCTCTGCTGACGATTCTCTGCCAAGTGATGCGCGACCCTACCACGAATGCCACCCTCTCGACCTCAGCTGCCACCAAAGTCGTCTTTGGCTACATGTTCTCTCCTACGATTATGCTGCTGCTCGGAGGCTTCACCATCGCCTCAGCGCTTTCAAAGTACGGCATCGCAAAGACAATCGCGAGCACTGTCTTGAGCAAAGCCGGAACAGATCCCAAGTGGGTCCTTCTCGCCAACATGTTTGTCGCCACCATCGCCTCCATGTTTATCAGTAACGTTGCCGCGCCCGTTCTCTGCTTCTCCTTGGTTCAGGTATGACCCGATTGTTACTTTTATCCTATCTTTGTCGTCCATTACATGTTTAGTAACTCTGCCGATACACCATCTTGATATTAACGCACGATTTTCTATTTTTTTTTGTTCTTGCTGTCAATCTCTAGTCTATCTTGCGCACTCTGCCCCACAAGTCCTCGTTCGGCCCTTGCCTCATCATGGGTATTGCTCTTGCCTCGAACGTTGGCGGTATGGCCTCTCCTATCTCGTCGCCTCAGAACATCATCACCATCCAGAACATGACGCCTGCCCCTTCCTGGGGTAGCTGGTTTGCGGTCGCCTTGCCTCTCTGCCTCGTTATCGATCTCATTATCTGGGCCTGGTTGATGCTCCTCTGGCGTCCCCAGCGTGATACTCCTTCCATTCCCACCATCCGTGCTACCAAGGAGCGCATCACGTTCTCTCAGGTCTTTATCTGCTTTGTTACCATTGCCACTATTGTGCTCTGGTGTGTTGAGAACTCGTTCCAGGAACAGCTCGGGGACATGGGAGTGATTGCTATCCTACCCTTGATCGCATTCTTTGGTACGGGTCTCTTGAACAAGGAGGACTTTAACAACTTCCTCTGGACCGTCATCATGCTGGCTATGGGCGGTATCGCACTCGGCAAGGCAGTCGACTCCTCGGGCTTATTGGATACAATTGCGCATCACATCCAGGAGGCCGTCTCAGGCTTTTCGGTGTGGGTCGTGCTTATGATCTTTGGTGCTCTGACCTTGGTCTTTGCCACTTTTGTCTCCCATACGGTCGCTGCCGTGATTATCCTGCCTATTGTTCAACAGGTCGGAATGTCGTTTGCTGATCCTCACCCCCGTATCCTGGTCATGGGCACCGGTCTGGTTTGCTCCGCAGCCATGGGCTTGCCTGTCTCTGGGTTCCCGAACATGAATGCTATCGCGCTTGAGGATGAGATGGGCATGCCTTATCTGAAGACAATGGACTTTTTGAAAAGCGGTGTGCCATTGTCTATCCTGGCGACACTCTGTGTCCTCACCATTGGCTTTGGTATCATGTCTGCCCTCGGATTCTAAATCCGATGTCCCCCCCCCCTCCCTCTTATACTGTCGCCGCTGTCCATATACCATGCGTATTATTACTACTATATTATTTATTTCTCTGGTTCTTCACAAAACACCTTGTACATTAGCTGTGTCCACTTTGAACAAATAAACTCAATGGATCAAAAAAAAAAAAAAAAAAAAAACCTGTCCCAGCCCTATTCCAATACCGTACATAGAACTTTAGCCAGTTCCCCGAGTTTGTTATTTCTGTTAAATAGGCCAACCTGCGCAGAGAATTGCATTGTTAGTCCACTCGTAGGTGCAGCTCGCGGACCCGTGCTTCCGAGACCTGAGATAAGATGGGGCTGGCGCGTAGCGCCGTGTCTTTTTCAAAAAAATCCATTGTATAATCCTCTCTTATTTTCGATACTTTTTTTCGTCGAAAGTGAATTCCAGCGATTCTATTGGCTGGGGGTGCATTTTCTGTCGGTCAGTGTATTCTACGCAGCATTCTGCCCACCATGCCCACTATGCCCGCTATGCCCACTATCATCCCCATCATCATCCTCATCATCGCCAGCGCTTCTAGGCGTACTTATTTCGATATATGTGTATTTTTTTTTTTTTTGCAAAGGGGTATCAATAAATACCATCGTGGCATGACTATTCACTCTGGTGTGTGCTGGCTTAACGATCTTGCTTGCTGGCGGAAAACGTTTGTTGAACCGCGCTTGCTGGACGCGCAGAGCTGCCTTCTTCTTGTTGAATGCCTGCCTCCATGCTGGATCTGTAGTCTTTGGCAATGGACGTACGGTAGCTCTTTTGAGGCATCATCCATGCGATTTTGTTGTTTCCTGTATCGCCTGTGCTTCTTTTAGGTCATCAAAACTACAGCGGCACTCAGTAGACTTTGTCCCCTGCGGCCTCCTCCTCTTCACTCTCCCAATACTCGTCGATAGATCCTTCTTCCTCAATCGAAGTTGTTTGTGGTCCCGACTGGTCAGTGTTAGAGCACTCTGAGAAAGCCAATTGCTCGATTCGGCTCATATAGACGCGGCTGTGTAGAGGCTTGTTGATATGCTTGGGCTTCAGAGGAGACCCTCTGTCGTTGGTTACCACCAAGAATGGGTTGGGCACCGCCACGAAATCGTCGTCTTCCGTGCCTTCGCCATCACTTGTGCTCTCTAGCCAGTCACCACCCAAAAGCTCGGAACCCGTCTGTGGTGACAAGAAGAAGGGATATGAAATCGGGGGTCCTCCTGCAGTTGATCAATGACTTCACATATGTAAGGCGAGCCATCCAAAAGTTTTGTGGTTGAAGCCAGCAGCTTCTCATGGCTCTCAAGAGCACCCATGATCGAAACACCTCTTGATATTGCTGACGAAGAGCCATCTTCTGGGATGACGGCGTTTTGTTCTGCAACGCCCATTAAAATGTCTAGGACTGGCGTTGTTGACAAGCCGCGTCTCTGCCGCTGACTGAGTCGTGGTAACCCTGCACCCTGATCCGATGGAGAATGTTTTGCTGGATCTCCTTGAGCGCCGCAACCACCTCCTCTTCTAAACTAGTGTGCGTTGAAAGTTGCTGTTTTTGAGCCTCGCCGAAAATGGGGACGTGTCTGAAGCAGCTCCGGATGGACTTGTCTTCCACCTGGTTCCAGGCAGCAGCTATCATGTGCAATCCTTCGAGGTTGGACACCCTAAAAGTCCCATCCCTCTTCGGCTTCATGGCCTCGTTGACCGCCTTGGCCCTCGTCGCGTTTTTTTTCCCTTGCTGGCCGCTTTGGGAGGCGCATTGGGGTCTAGCACTGGCTGGGAGACTTTAAAGTCACGTAGCTTTAGAATAAGATTGCGATACCGCCTCTTGAAATCAGCAATGATTCCTGCGTCCAGGAGCTGCGTTACTGATGTCGAGTTCGGCGGCAGAAGTAACAGTTTGATGTTCGGAAAATCGACATTGCACTGTTCTAGCACTGCATGGCAAGATGCACCATCGATGAGCAAGACTACACGCCGGTCAGGATCCTCCGCGACGATGGCCTGCTGGAACTGGCACAGCCAGTGGGCAAAGGTGTACTTGGTCGTGTAATCTGCTCGCTTTTTAGTCTGCCGCTTTTGCGTCTGGGCATGCTGTGAAGTGGCCTCCTGCTGCTGGTATTGTATATTGCCAGGTGCGCCATCTTGTCCACTAGCGTCATAGTGTTGTTGCTGGACGACTGCCGCTACTTTAGCTGGCTTGGACTTGCATGGTTGCTTCGCAGTATCCCAAGCGCTGCAGATCTTCATCTCTCCTGAAGCCAGAAGCAAGGTTTTCGCCTAAATGGATTCGAATATGATTAACATGACATCCAGCATAAAAATAAAAATAAAAAATAAAATAAAACAATGCCTCTCCTCGCTCCGAATATCAACTGCTGAGAGGATACTTACTGAGAATAAAAGGCTTTCGCTTGTCGCTACCTGTGGCATTGGTGCAGAAGAGAATGGAGACGCACGATGCTGGAATGGCTGCTCCGGCCTTCATCTCGACATCGAGCGTCCAGCTTGAGGTAGTCTGCAGGTAGAGGCCAGTCTCGTCGGCGTTGTAGATGTCATTCAGATCATAAGTCGCAAGAATTGACTTGGGATCCTCCACTTGCCCCGCTATCGTATCCCAACCAACCGACCCTGCCTCGCCCATCAGCTTATGAAACGACAGCCCCCAGGTGGCCTTGAAACTGGCTACCCAACCGGACGAGAATCTTGGCTTTTCAAACGTGAGTGGGCCATCTCTTTCCACAAGCAGGTCGTATACCTCTCCTGCAAGCAACTGTAACAGTCATTGATCCACTGGCGCGTTCATTTTGCGAAGACGTTGGATCTCCCGGTGTAGAATCGTCTCGACTGGATAAAATTCGCGGATGTGGGCTTTGGTGTAGCACCTTGTATCCATGTATTTAAAGAGCTGGCAGGCATTTTGTTGATAAAAGGCTTCATTTTTATGAGTCGGGCGATCGTTTTTGGTGGCAGCTTGTTAGCCGTCTCAAAGCCTTTCATTGATGGTGGTAATTCTGGTACAGGATTGCTGAGCAGGTTCCGATAACCTTTGTGAAAGACATCCCAATTGTCGATAATCCGCTTCTTGCTAGCAAGTGTCCAACTACTGCGACCTACGTCCGACAATGAAGCGTCCTCGTCCGACTTAGGTCGGTCCAGCGCGCCTGCAATCTTAGGGAGCATGGGGTACAACGTGGCGAGAGGGATTAAGGAGCGCTGGCGATGATGATGATAGGGATGATGGTGGGCATGGTGGGCAGAATGCTGCGAGCCTCAGGCGTAGAGCACACTGACTGACAGGGAATGCCCCTATAGCCAAAAGAATCGCTGGAATTCACTTTCGACGAAAAAAAGTATCGAAAATGAGAGAGGACTGTGCTATCCGGATTAGCCGACAAAGCGTCGCTTA